ACATTGAACACTGGACATTGAACACTGGACATTGAACACTGGACATTGAACACTGGACATTGAACACTGGACATTGAACACTGGACATTGAACACAACACACTTCACTCATTCCCAAATACCGCCTGGTGCGGCAGATCCGAGTTCCAGAATTCCAAGAACCTCCCGACGACGTGGCAATTGATCGAAGAGCAGGGAAACCATCCTCTTCGCTCTTGCATTCAAGCATATCTCCGACGTCTGCATCCCTCATACCCGATTGACCGAGACCTAGAACATTGCCGTCCCAATCCAGACCGGGCACCAGCCAGTCTTGCGTCACAGAAACAGAGGCCCGAGTCATTGGCGTCGACGAAGAACCTGTCTCGGAGAGAAGAATTGGGTGGTTGCCAAGGGAATACCAGCATTGCTGCTCCCCTTGTTTCCTGGCATTCCTGTCGGGTGTAGGGGCTGCTCATCCGCCACCTTTCAGTTCCTTTGCCCTCCTTGTTTTCTTTTCAGCATCTCGTCGGACGTCTGCTGCTGCCTTAGGTGAGATACAACCCTCCGGCGCTTTTGTGGTGGTCTCGCTGGGACAATGGACTGTGCATCGAGGCCCTCGGCCATTCTGTTCGTCGGATCAACAAGGGCGAGGGCATGAGCGTCTGCGTGCCACGGCGCCTTGACCCTCTTTGACCCAGCACTGACCCTTTGAGGGCCAGGGTGTTTTTCAATGCCTCGACCCCCATCTTCCGTCGTTGCTTCTTCTTCGTATCACTCTGCTAACAGGCACAACCATGCAGTCATCCAACCTCGGGCTCCATTTCCCACGCCTCCCAAACCCTCAAGGCCTGGCTCTCTATCAGCGAGCTTTGGCACCTTCGGCACCTCTTCCCGCAAAGGGAGGAATGGACGTTTCGACCCTCCTGAATTCGAGACATCAGCCTGAAGGCAGCGACGATCTGAGCCGATTCCAGCAATCGCTGCATATGGACGGTGGAGCGTCATATAGCATGGATCAAGAGTCGAACATGGCTCACCACCCGTCATCTATCTCACAGTCCCATGTACTGCCGTACGGTATCATTGCGCCACCCCAGAACAGCCCTCCGATGTACACTGCCAGCACTTACATACCAAGGCATGACAGCCAGACCACGGTCTCGGACGAAAACTTGGCCCCTGCTAAAGGAAATAATGAGACAGGTGCTAAATCGTTTCCTTGTGGTACTTGCTCGAAATCGTTTGCGCGACGCAGTGATCTTGCCAGGCACGGTGAGTAGCCACCACACCTCCAGGGAGCGACCTGCTGACTCCGCCAAGAACGGATTCACAGCGGTGACAGACCGCATACTTGCAACCACCCGGGCTGCAACAAGTCGTTTATACAACGATCTGCCTTGACCGTACACGTCAGAGTCCACACAGGAGAGAAACCGCACTTGTGTGGACACTGTGGGAAGGTGAGTCTGGATGTCCCTCTCCCATACGTGAGACTAACCCTCCCACCAGCCATTTTCGGACTCCAGTTCCCTTGCACGGCACCGGCGGATTCACTCGGGGAAACGCCCATACAAATGTGAATATGCGAATTGTCAGAAGACCTTTACACGACGGACCACGCTCACGAGGCACCAAACTCAACATACGGGCACACTGGAGCAAGCAGCCGCAGAGGTCAACGCGAAATTGGCACCGGCACAGCCCCGTAGTCAGTCTATCTACGAGTCCACTTCAGGGGGCTCTTCGAGGAACTCGACAGCATCGCCCGCAGACAGGACATTGTCCATGTCACCGCATTCAGAGCTTCCACCTATGGCCACTGGGATGCAGCGTCAAGGTTCAGACTATGGATTCTTGCCCCAAACCCATTCCCTTCCCCCTCACATGCGACCTGACTTTGGGTCAAACTCGCCCCGCTCGACACCTCCCTTGACTCTTCAAAACTACACGAGTGCGCCACAACAGAGACCGGTCACGTCTCATCCACCAGCATATGGACCACCTCAACCTCTGGAACCTCCTGCCAACGGCACCGCCAGTGGTAGCACCTCGCCTCACTTGGGCGCCCTGGCATGGGCTTCGCTGGGTAGCGGATCGCTGCCAACACCATCCTCGTTGGATAATTACGGATATCCGGACCCCTGCTATGGTGGACCTTCACTTTATTATCCCGGGAGCGCTATTCGGAGACCTCAGAGCACTGAGCCAGAGGACTATGGCCTTCGACCTCGTCATGGTCACATGTCTCACCACGTAGCGGTCTCGGCTGATTGGACTTCAATGCCACTGGCTGTCCAGGACAATCGACAGGAGCGATACGTCATGTAGCGCGAGCATCTTTATCCTTTCTCAACACCTGGGGAAAGGGTTTGGCAACTTGAAAAGGCCTGTGGTGTGGCGGTCTCTACCGGGGTCAAGTCCTCGGAACTACGAAAACACTTGAACGCGGACGATGCCAGTCCAGAGAACGCAGCGTTGTCTACTTGACCGCAAATGGCCTCTGAGGACGTCGACCTAAGTAAAGAAGCTTGCAATATTCATCACTACCCGTTTTATCCAACGACAGCCACGTCTATCTTTATTAGGACGGGGACTCGCAAATATTTTTTTGAAATTTGTATGAAAACAAGGGGTTCCCGTTCGCTGGAGCTAACTCAGTCGGTCGAGGGAGGATTTGGAAGAGGGAATGCTTCGAGTCTATCCAGCAGCAAGGCGTCGAGTGGTGAGGTGCTATGGTATATTGGGATGGTTAAGGGCTGGGGGATTGACTGCGTATCAGGCACAGGCACAGGCGCAATCACGGATCATGGCGCAATAACGGGGCAACACTGACTGAGGGCATTGCCGTGAGCAAGCTGGTGGGTGGCAATGGTCGAGGGCACAAGGCAGGATTCACACGGAGTATGTCCAAGGGCGACATTCATACCTGAGCACCGTTTAGTCTCTTTTGTTCTTCTATCGCACTCACTATCGCGGGGCACTCTAGAATTTATTATTGCTTCTTTGATTGAGATCAAGTCCCTTGCATACATGAGTGCTGTGGTTGTTCGTGTGCGTGTCGAGGGCATCTCAGCCTTGCGTGACAGATGGAGACGGAGACTGAGACGGCAGAGGAGGACCAGCTATCATATCACTCACTCGCTGTATACTCTGTATACTCTGTATTATTCGGTGGTATTACAAGGGCAAAAGGGGGGAGGTATAAGCACGTAGATACACAATCACGATGCACGATGTATTCCACCTGACCTGGCTCCCTTTCCTGGCTTCCTGGCTTGGTCGCCTTGTGGCCTCGTCTACTTGGTATGTATGTGTGGATTACCGCCTCAGCAAGCGGGCAGGCAGGCAATCGAACAAGCAAGAAGCCATTGTCACGACAACAAACAAATGACAGCGCCGTCATCGCTCTCACTCTGACTCTGATTCTGACTTTGACCCTCAGCCTTGATGCCCCATCACCAGCTTCAAAACCTGTCGACAGACACCAACAAAGGACCACAAATGTCGAAAGACAAACACGGCGCAAATGCAAACACGGATACAGACAGGGGGGAGAGAAACAGACAGAGATGCCAAAGACAGCTTCGCATTAGGTGGGTGGTCTGGCAATCTCTTCTGTCAACTTCGTCCCTACCCTGAGAAGTCCTTCTTCATCCCCCTTCCCCCTTCAGGACCAATATCTTATCCTCCTGATATGTCGACTTCAATCCAACGTCCCTTCCTTCCAGCGATCATCAGCAAAAGGACCTCAAGTGCACTGGATCTCTCTGGTCTGACGGGGCCGGCCTCATCAAAGAACAGCAAGCCTCCCTCATAGGCATCGAACCTCTGCAGTAGTGCTGCTCCCCTCTGGATTGATACCATCAACCATCATCCATGCCTCTGCTCTACTCTCCCCTTCCTCGACAAGCCTCACTGCGCTCCAATCGGACAAGCGACGGCAGAGTCCAAGCCCCTGGACAGGACCCCGCGCAGAGGTGTGACATCCCCCGTTGGAACGTGGTCATGGCGTCTCAAAGTCTGGCGATCCAGTATAGAAACGGCCGGAGACGGAGCCGGTTCGCAGATATCTTTGCTGAGATCGGACGTACACAGTCCAAGGGCACAAACTGTCGGGTCCGGATAGAAACCACCCCAGAAGACCGATCTTTGTCAATAGCGTCCACCAGTAATCACATCCTTCCCACGTCTCCCTCCGGTGGTCATTCGACGGAAAGGGGCGTGTGGGTGATTCCAGGCGGCGAAGGAGACAGCAGCCCGATCCCAGATGAGTATCGTGGTCTCCTCCAGTCTCACGATGCGGTAATGAGGCGTCTTTCCTCAGTCTTGCGCTCAGCTTCGTCGAGAGTGAACAACTCCGCGGATCAAAGAACGACTTCTTCTCGTCCTTGTACTTCGGCTTCACTGAGATCGAGTAGAGGCGAAGGCGACGATACCGTGGGTCTTTCCTCAGACAGTATAGATCCTTTTCGCGTTCAAAATGGGCTCCAACAACCTCATACACAGGCAAATCGTTACCGGCACAACGAAACCGGCGTCAGTCACCCCACAGCCTCTGACATGGCAACACAATGCTGCGCGTTCCAACATACAGCGCTGGGGCAGACTAGGCACTGGGCCGATATGCAGCAACCACGAACCAGGACAGCCTCCCAGAGACACATCCATGCGCGCGGCCGTGCTCCTGGCAGCCCCAGCAGTGAGACTGTAAAGGATTGTGCGACCGCTTGCATGGCTGCCGCTGGTCGAATGCAAGGCCAAACTTCGACGCCCAGCACGAGTCCATTGCCCGTCATTGTTAGGTCGCCATCACCATTAACATCCATCGACCGCGCCATCACTCAACTTGTCTCCCAAAGCAACACATTCTTCCGAACGCACCATCCTTATTCTCTTAGAACCGGTGTCAACGGGCGCGGATATGGCTCGCATCTGACCCCTGTTGTGGGACATGTCACTACCGCTCAGACTTCTTTGGCGACCAGCTCCATGTCTCATGACCAAGCCGCAAAACTAGGCATTGACCACTAGTCATCAACCGAGGCAGCCCTGAGGCAGCGACCAGAATCAGCAGAATGGACTTGTCGTCCTCGGCGTGCCGCACCATCCCAATCGCGAAGAAATGCAACTTCTCCCGCCACCGATAGCGGCGGCGCTCCTTTGAACAGTGAAGGCATAGAAAGTACCAACCAGGTCATAAGCGATGATGAATCATGACTTGCGTGCTCAATGTGCCAACCATTTCGCAGAGCGGACCTCGAGCACTGGCTCAGGTTATAGATATTTTTTGTCCCTATCCTCCTTTGCTTTGGCGCAGTTGACCTGTCAGGGCGGAGAGGCAGGTATCTTGCTTTCTGTTACAGCCCTTCTTTTGCATGGTATACGAGGTTGGCTGGCTGGATTGGTATAGTGTTGCAAATGATGAGACTCGTGGAAAATATCTTCCTTGGACCATGGCGCTTCGCGGAGCAAGAGGATCGGGAGCACCAGCCTACTGAGCGATGAGGAAGACGGCCTGTATTCTGTCGCCGAGATGAGCAATCACTGCGGTCGAACAACGCAAGTGCAGGTCGATATCGCTGCAGAGGCAAAGCTTCAAGAGAACTGCAGCTACATGATTAGTCAAAGACAGCGTTAGAAGACGACAGCAAGAGCAGAGCATATTGCATCGAAAGAAAGGGGTATGATGAAAGGGGTTACTATGTATCCGTTCCTGGGCTCGCCAGCCCCCGAACAGTCATGCAAGAATTTCTGTTCTGTCAGTCCTCGGTTCGATGACGAACGATGCCCGATTTCCATCCTGTCCCAAATAAAACCAATGAACCGTCATATCTTTGCAGTCTAAAGCATGCCATATGTAAAGGGGAGGAAGGGATCTGGCCGACGTCCATGCTGGCAAAGCGCAGTGCATGTGGATCGAGCAGAGTTGCGATTGAGTGCTGTAGTCTCGTTCGGCTCAGTAGACTAGCCAGCTGGTCCAGGCCCAAGGTTTCTCTTGGTGGAACATTGCCCCAGGTGGTATCATGCCAGTGCTCGCGCGCAGGAACGTGAATCGTGAAACCGAATTTCATCAAGGTTCAGCATAAAACTGCTTCATCAGGGTGTTGACGACTTCATAAGCTCGTTTAGCCTCCGCGAGGCTCTCACCAATGAGTTTTAGGCACTTGTCTTCATCGGGTTCATCGACCTCGCCGGTCTCGTTTTTCTTGTGTCCGTAGTGCTGGATCTTCTCGCATTCGTCCTTGACCTTTGTGAAACCCAGTGTCGCAGACGAGCCCTTGAGAAAGTGACCAAGGCTGGAAAGCTCAGCGAGATCCTTGTCTTTCCTGTTGAAGACATGGGTCAGTCGAATCCTCGTTGATCCAGCCAGACTCCGATCTCCAGTGGACGACTTGCTGACTCACATGGCAGTGTCCATCTTGCCAAACGTCTGTTCTGCTTGCTCTAAGAATCCAAAGACTATTGACTTGCTAAAGTCACGATCGTCTTCCTCGTCCATGTCGAGAATTTGCTCGAAGGTGCTCTTCTCGACATTATCGCCAAAGTCAAACTCGATCTGCCGCAGACCAAGAAGTCAGCTACGTTAAAGCCTCGGTGGTTTCAGGCTCTGATCGACCGCGGACAGGTCGGGCTTGTTCTCTTGTCGTACTTACTTCCTCGGACATGATCGTACGTGTATCTGAAATAAGGCAGTCTGTGTGCAAGACGTAAAATGGTCCTGAGTTGTGGGCTGGCCCTTGGTTGAGCCCTTGGTTGATGAGGGGGTCACAGATTCGCTCGCCTCCCTGTCGATATTCTTGCAAGGACCGTAGCAGGCGTTTCGGGAAATGGAGATCAGGTGACCCGGTCTTGTCAGCGACGGTGGTGAGGAGTTGTCGGTGAAGATAAGGATAGCAGATAGGATACTAGGGGCCGCGGTCTGCCTGCAGGCATGGTGTCAGCGGTTTGGCAAGATGATGAGATCGAGACTCAAAATCCTCGTGCCCTGTGTGGCAAGGCTCAAAAACATTGCAACGGGTTCAACCGACCTTGGAATCCACAAAGAAAAAAGGTAAACAGTAAACCAATGCAAGGCACAACCAGGATTGGGGGAACTGGATGCTTTTGGCAGTCAGAAATCAGCAAAGGATCAACTCGGTCGGTCGGGGTCCAACGTTGAGATTGTAGATGGAGGAAGGAACACGGCGGTGCCCAAGATGCCAAAAGATGTGCCGGCAGCCGTTTCCTGCAGTGGTGAAATAGGACGAATTTTGAAGCCTCTGGACCAGTGGGAAAGTGACGTACGTCCGACGTTGTGGTTGATTGCTGATCCTGAAGAGGCTCGATCAACGCGCTCAACCACAAACGCAGGCGCTCGAGTCTGCGGCGAAGGCGGGCGAACAACCAAAACTCATTCGAAAGATTTTTCTCACCGGGAACCTGGGACCTGGGACCTGGGACCGGGGGCGTCGAAAATGCGCGGCCGGGGTTGAGGCTGAACAGCAATGACCTGCAAAATGATATCAGGAACAGATCTGGCGCGCGGGCTCTTGTTTTTCTCTCTCGGTGGTGTTTGCAAAGGCGGGGCCAGCAATGTGTGAAGGGGGTCTCCTCCCTCCGAGAAAACTAATCCCACGTCCATCCACACACGCTGCGATTGAGATGCACCGCTCTGGGTGGCCGGGAGGGGCAAATGAGCCATGCTAACGTACCTCAGGCCCTGCTCTCTTGCGCGAAACTCGGGTCAACCGGCTACTTCCTGCGATGCTGGCCTGCGATATGCGTTCTGTCTCGCGAGCAACCGAGCCCAAGATCTCCGTCCGGCAGCGCAGATCAACCACCAAAAGCGTCGGTCGTTCCAAAGACAAGCGGGGGCCAAGCACAATCCCACCTCACTCTTGGATGCGGCCAGAGACACGAATGGAACGAAAAGGAACAAGGAGGACCCTGAAACTCGACCGTGTCCGAATGGTGCGAGTCGACCCTGTCGTATACCCGGACGCTCGTCTGAAGAAAGAGATGGTTCAACAATGGGAATCGATGCTGAGCTGAGGCAAGAGATAAATCCGGGGACAAGTTTTTGTCTGCTTGGCGACTTGGGGCCCTACGACTACTCTATCGACCCGTTCGAGGCTGAAGGGATTTTCCAACTCCTCAATCGGTTAGGGACAGCAAGGAACAAAACCGGAGCCTATGGGTATCAGAAGAGATACGCACGGCAAGACAAGAGAGCCCACAGCCCAAGATACCCGCAATCCCCCCTCCAGTCTGTCAACCGTCTCGAGACCCATACATTCTCCCTCCCTCCGATTACCAACGAGACCTTCTCCTGCTCCTCCCCTCCTCCTTCTACCACGACCACGCCTCTTCACGAACTACCTCCTTGTACACATGTCCTGCGCCAGGACCACATCCCGTCCTTTCCAGTCCAGCGACTCGTATCTCGGCCTCGGTAAGCTGACGGGTGGCTCGTCGCGTGGGGAATGCCCTGCTTGACGGAGAACAAGTGACTCAAGAGAATGAGGTGACTATTTGTGGCTCCCCAATCGCACTCAGCACCACCACTTTTTAGCGGACTTCGGAAGGTGGAATGCTTTCTGGCTGTGGTCGCCCACGAGTCTCCTGCCACTCCAGCGGCGAACAAGACTCTCCTCTTATCCTGCAGGAGCATATTTAGACTCCCTAGAACCTTGAACCAACGAGCAGCCGCACAGTTGGATCCATCCCCGAAACAGTCGTGTTACCGGCCAGGAATACGGCAGATCGACACTGATACAGCATGAATTGGGAAAGCTGACGGCATGCCCTGTGCAACTACAATTCATTCCCTCTGGCGAGCGTTCAGTCCGTCTCTCTGCGGCGTCTGCCATCGAAAATTCAACGGGAGACACCTCCTCCAGCTAGCTGCCATCGCGGTGGAGGTTCTTGAGGCCGCTGCCCCCTCGTTTTCCAAATGACCCTGCCCCCTGAGTTGCTGCTACGCTGTCTGCTTGGACGTCAATAATTTTGCCTCAATTCCACCTGCGCGATGACGTCGACAGGCATCCAGGGTCCCATCAATGTCGTACGGAGCGCAGACGAGCACGAGTCACCATTCTCGGAGCAGCAATAGACAGAGCCCATCACGAGTATATAGAGGGCCGCCAGGACGAGGTTTCTTCCAGAGACAAACCTAAGCGCTGGATTAGGCTTGATTGGTCCCGTTCGGTACAGCCCACGCGGGCACTGAAGCTGCAAGAGAAAGGACGAAAAAGCAAGCAGAGGCGCGCCGATGGGTAGGCGAAGGGCCTACGGAGCCAATGATGTCAACCCGCAGATGAGCGCCCATTCGGCTGCTATCACGCCAGGGCCTAGCATGCGCCACTGAACACTCTGCTCTCTTACTCGGTTGGGGGAGCACAGGCAGCTTGGAGGCCAAAAATTAATGTTCCGGAGCAAGCACCAACTCTCCCCACCTTCTCGCGAGTTCCCAACGCAGTTTGACCGGCATTTGTCTGGGCTGGCTGCTGAGAAAACACTTTACGAACAAAAGGTCAACTGATTCAAGTCGCCCAATGGTCGAAATGTCCACGGTACTTCAACGGCCCTCCACTGCGGCCGGAACCGCTTGCCCCCGCGGCCCCTTCCAGCCTGAGGAGATCTCTGGTTGCAAGCAATCGAGCATAAAGAAGCAAAAGCAAGTCCAGAGGCGTTTCAGCGGTGAGGTTAGCTGCAGCCGGGAGCAAACAACGCGGAAGCCCTCTCTGCAGTTGGAAAACTCTCCCGGTGAGCCCTGTTAAATGGTTCCCCTATACCACTGTCCGGTGGACGGCGGACGGGGACTCTAGGGGTCTCTTGGAGCAGAGGGGAACCGGGACATCATCGTTTAGTTTGCATACCACAGCATGCTACCCACATGCTGCCCACATGGCCACTTGTGATGGCTGCAGAGAGAAGAAGAGGGGTGATCTTGGTCAAACACGGCCGTGCTTTTCACCCGGAGCTCTTGACGACTTGTTCCAAGTACAGCGCGACCGCACTTGTTCGCCAGACTCATCGGGGAACAACCTAAAATGCTCGACCGTGCATTATATCTCGGTTACGCTGCTCACAAGTTGCATTCGATGGTATGATTCTCCGGTACTCATCTCCGTGCCGTGCTCCCCAGCTCCCAGATCGTCACCGAATGGTCGATGACCAGCAAGCCAATGCATCGAGATTCAGGGGAGTGTCCAAGCCAGACCCGATCCTTCACGCTCTCTTCTCCCAGTGTTCTGGGATGTTTGGGGCCTCTCCATTGGTTGTCGGAACGAGAGTACCCTCTTCGATTTGAACCCATCATTGACAGCAAAGTCAGGTTGATGGGTTTTACATGGCAAGAAGGGCCATCCTTCTCTTTTCAATGGTACGGAGGATTCTATGCAGGGTGGCAGACTCTAGCAACGACTCGCTCTTTGTTCGGATCATTGCTGTCACCGAGTCATACATGGCCGCAGTTTTTGGAAGCTTGCATCAACGAGTTCCAGTAATATCATCTAGACCGAGCCGGAACGAAAGAGAGACGACGACGCCGATCTGTCACCAAGTCTAACCCTTTCATATTTTGTGCTTTGCTCAATCTATGTAGACGATCCCCTCCCCGTTCTATCTCCGGATGATGCTGACCTGTTCCCGCCATCGTTTTGGTACATGGTGCCGGTATGAAGCAGGTTAAACGCTAAACAAAACAATGCCCACCACGCTCCCTCTCTCACACAGCAGATCGTCGGGCAATGGCTTTCTGTTCGTCGGCAGCACAACCCCATTTGTTATGGGCTTGCAGCCCTCGGGGGAGCATCTATCCAACCTGTCTAGACTTGCAAGTCCCATTGCTACCAAAATCCCCTGCCGGCTCATACCACCACGTAGAGGTTCGTTAGTATCTTTTAACCAGTCACCTTGAAAATCGACTCCGCCAGCCTCTTGACATTGTCTGTGGTGATACCCGCCACGGAGATACGGCCGTCCTTGGTCGCGTACACGGAGTGTTCCTTGGCCAGCGTGTCCATCTGCTCGGGCTTGAGGCCTGTGTACGCAAACATGCCAATCTAGAAGAAAACACCATGTTAGTGTCCACTCTATCATTACCTGTCTCTAGGTAGGGTGGGAAAAGGAAAAAAAAGGAAGGAAATCCGCCTCAGCGCCCCTGGGGCTGCTTAGTACGTACCTGATTCGTAATGTGATCCCAGTTATGCTTGCTTCCCAGCTCCTCGAGATTCTTCTTCAACAGCGCCCTCATCTCGATGATCCGGTCGGCCATGCCCTTGACCTCGCCCAGCCACTGCTTGTTCAGGCCGGCGTCGTTCAGAATCTCACTGGCGATCCTGGCTCCGTGGACGGGCGGGTTAGAATACAGCGGACGCACGAGGATCTTGATCTGGCTATCGACACGCTTCTTTTCCTCGGCGCTGTCGCACACGATGCTGAAGGCGCCCACCCGCTCGCCGTACAGACCCATGTTCTTGGCGAAGGACTGGGAGAGACAGAGGCCGAAGCCTTGCTCGATGAACAGGCGCACGGCGTAGGCGTCCTTATTGGTGTCGCCGCTCGCGAAGCCCTGGTAGGCCATGTCGAAAAATGGGTAGTGCGACTTCTCCTTCATGACCTGGGCGATCTGCTGCCATTGTTCCTGGGTCGGGTCGATGCCGGTGGGGTTGTGGGCGCAGGCGTGCAGCAGGACGAGGGAGCCGCTGGGAAAAGCCTTGAGGTCGGCGATCATGCCGTCAAAGTCCAACCCGATGGTGTCCTTGTTGTAGTACTTGTACTGCTTGACCTCGAGCCCGGAGTCGGAGAAGACGGCCTTGTGGTTCGCCCACGACGGCGTAGGGATGTAGATTGTCTTTGCCCCCGGGTAGAAGCGCTCGAGGAACGCGCCGCCTATCCTCAGCGCGCCGGTGCCGGAGATGGACTGGGTGATGGCGACGCGGTCTTCCTGGACCGGCTTCGAGTTGGTCCCGTAGGCGAGGAGCGCCGCGGCCTTGGTGAACGAGGGCACACCCGTGATGCCGGCATATTCTTTGTCGAGGGAGGAGGAGACGACTTTCTGCTCGGCGGTGCGCACGCTCGGGAGGACGTAGGGCTTGCCTTTATCGTCGCCTGCAAGAAACCCACGGACACAAGCACGTCAGCAGAGCTCACGAGATGTGTAACTTCTTCTAGAGAAGGGAAAGACTGGAGGGCAGGGGGGCTAGAGAGTTTGCCATCTGCGGTCTTTCACTTACGATATGCGCCGACACCCAGGTTGATCTTCTCGGGGAAGCTATCCTTCTTGAAGGCCTCGGTGATGCCCAAGATGGCATCGGGAGGTCCTTCCTTGACGTTGGCCCATGTCGATGCGTTCGCGATGCGGATCACTTGGGTGGCCGTCGCAGCTTGTTGGCGCAGGGCCGAGCGAGCAGCTGCGGGACGAAGGGTCGAGAGCATTTTTGAGAGTGATGGTTGGGGGTTTTAAAAAAAAAGATGAGAGTCTAGTGTGATATAAGTAAAGACAGGTAGCAGAAGAAATTCTATCCCAGATCAAAAGCCAGCTCAAGGTCAAGCTCCTTCAGACTGAGGTTGATGTTGGTGTTGTACAATGACTCAAGGGGACTTTTGTCAACAAAAGACAAGAGAAAACCCAGCTATCTCTTTCCCGGATCTTTGCTAGAGTAATTAGAGATATGAGAGAGACAGAGAGATGAAACTTCAGAGAGCTCGGATGATGAGGTTTTGAATAAAATGGTCCTTGTCTGGTAGACTTCCAGCTCGACTGTTCTCTGTGAAATTGCTTTCTCCAAAAAATTTTACCAACGGGTTTCTGCTTTGCCGTTTCGGTACCTGGAATTGAAGCTTGGGGGCAGGGCGTGTTCCCAGGGACCTCCAAGGCATCGGCGGCGGGCGGGCCACTAGGCGTGGATTTAGTGGGTTGCGGCCAATAGCCTTGGTTGGTTCTAGGGGCAGTGAAGCCACCGGAATAACTGTAAGCTCGGCCATTATCGCCTGTGGGTGCCTGGTGCTGCCTCCAACCTTCCCCAAGGCCCCTTTGCGCGGACTGTTCCGATCTATGGCATACTCCGTACTCGCAGCCCTCTGCTCCCCCCAATCGCCTCCCGGGCCACGGCAATCAAGCCCGCCCAATGATCAGTTCTATTCCCTTTTCAGGAACCACAGCCTTACCACAGACACCAGGCTTCCTCCCCCCAATGTCATTATGAACACGGCGTTACCTAGGTATAATTACAACCCTCCCGCCTGCAGTCGTCCATCAGGCCAGCCTGACGCCCGCCTCCTTGTTCTTCTTGCCCATCGTGCCCTGTGCGTTGCTCATACCTGTCGCCTGGCTACCATCCAGAACGCTTGTCGCCTCCCGCTTCTTCTCTTCGGCAATCTTCTTGAGGTGCTTCTCCGTCTTCAACTTCCCGCTACCCTTGCCGTGGAACTGATGACTCAGGTGCTTGAAGGCTTCCTTCTGGTTCATGATCCTGCCATCGTCATCCACGTACTTGATCTGCACGTCGGGCTTGTACTCTCGGTTGAAGGTGGCGGCAGCCTGGATGGAAGATTGGTGCTCTCGCTGAGTGTTCTGCCAGCGTGCATGTTCTTCTCGTTCTTTGACAGACATGCCTGTCAGTTTGCCCGACTGGCGGTCTCTCTCGCGCTGCATTCGAGCCCTCTGTTCATTCTCATGCTCGCGCAAGCGCGCTTCGATGATGAATTTTTGCCGATCTTTGTAGAGAGAATTGCGGTCGCCGGCATCGCCGTCCTTGAGAAGGCCACGTTGTCGGAGAAGACTAAGGGCAGCTCCCATTCCCTGATCGAGTGTCTTTTCCTCTTCAAGGCCCGTGTGCGGGACTTCTGGCGTCACGGTGGACCGCTCGCGCTTCACTCGATCGAGGAGCTCCTCTTCGTTCTCAATTCCACTATGAACCTCGCCCATCGGGTGGTCTTCGTCTTCGTCTTTCACTTGCGGAGCAGGACTCTCTGACTCGACTTTCTCAGTGGACTTCTTCACACCCCGTTCAGGTTGTTCATCCCTCGGCCGCGAAGATAGGGTGTCGAGGAACACGGTTGTGTCGTCCAGCACAAGACCGCCGTTAACCTCTTCGTCCGCCTCTGCCTCGTCGTTCTCTTCTTGTTTCAGTAGCTTGACGATGTCTTCTGCCTTTCTTTTCTGCTTCTTCAGTACCGCGGCTCTGGTTCTTGCAAGGGCACTCGCGAGATCTTCGTCATCGTTGAAATGATCTTCGGTCGTTCGGGGCCTCGTCGGAGCGGGAGCATTGCTTCTAGAGTCGACGTCCATGGCATCGCCGTTGCTACTGTTTTGTGGGGGGAAGATATCATCATCTTCATCCACAAGTTTCTGACGTTTGGACTTCTTCCTTTCTTTCTTCGGCTTCCTGATCTTGATCTCCAAGTAATCCGAAGCAGGTTCCACTTTTAGAACGTCCAGACTGACAGTATTCTTGAGTTTTTCGCCGATTTGCTGGCGTTTGGCCTCGCGTTCCTCGACAGTAGCGCCCTGACCATCCAATGTAAAGGCCTTCCGCTTCTTGTCGTCGTACTGCGCTAGCAGGCCCTTCTCAGAGTCGTCATTCACATCGTAGACCTTCCGCTTCTTGAGATCCAGTTTCTCTTTGACCTTTTCTCTAGCAATAATATCTGCATTCTCTAGCACATCTTCCTGCTCACTGTCATCGGCTTTGCCGATCTCAGTATCCTTCAGCGTCAAGATCTGCTCTCCCGCGGTTTCGTCGAAGTCACCGATCTCATGTGCGACCTGCACGCCGGCAAGGTCCTTAGAGGTATACTCGACAGCGGCCTCTCTTTCACGCTCCGCCAGCTCCCGTGCCAATCGCTCGGCACGTTCCCGCTCGATTTTGGACTGTCGCTTTTTCTGGCCTTTCAACCACGCCTTCGTATCGAGATCTCCTTCGTCATCGACGTCGCCCAGTCCCTTGCCCTCGAGCTTCTTGTTCCTGGCGTCGGCATCTCGCTGTCTCTGGATTTCCCTCTTCCGTTGTTCTCGGAGAGCACGCTTCTTCTCTTCCTCGCGCAATTGGTTCCAGTTGTCGTACCCGGCGGCTTCGCGGGTCTCTAGGGTGGATGCGGGGTCATCATCTTCGTCGCTGTCGGCGTCCTCGTCTTTTCTTTTCGATTCTTTGAATGTTGGTCCTTCAGATGACTGTGGAGGTTGCCCACTTACGCTCAACAAGGGGAGGCCCAGGCTCTTTCTGAGCTTGTTCATCTGCTCAATATCCGCGGGGGCAGCCATGTTTGGAGACGGTGCTGGAAATGTCAACAGGAATATCAAAAAAGACAGCAGATGGTGGTAGTGGGAGGATGACCAGCGCAGGCGAAATGCTCTGAACAATCTCGGCCTGCGGAGGTAACCAGACACAGGCGATAGCCTAACCCCGATTAGTCCTAGCGTTTGTGAAATCTTGGCATGATTTTTCGACGCTTTTCAAGCCCGCTTCCTGCGTTTTTGTTTTCCTCCTTCCTTTCTTTCCCTCATCCAAAGTTCTGTGTCTCAAACGCTCCCTTCCTATCCATCGCGGTAGTGTAAGGTCGAGCGTCTGTGGCGTTCTCGACTACTCTTGCGGAGCCATTAACAGCACCCCCATTAATGTCTATTTCCCAGTCGACAGAACTGAGAGCAACCGCCGAATCCTTTGCCTCACGGCCGGTCCACCTGAGCTCGGTTCTTGGGACGATGACCCTTGAGATCCTCGCGATCTCGGGTTTTCCGAACGGGGACTTTGTCAGCTCGGTGGGCTGAGGTAGTAGGGGAGACGTCTTATTCCCAAGCTTGGTGTATTTGAGCCTCGTCGAGGCATGATCATTGGGCAAAACCAAGACTATTGTCTACATTCCCAGCTTTGAAGATATCAAACTAAACTTATAGAAGTTCCGAAGATCTGCTCAAAGGACCAATGTCATATGCTCCAGAACGCCGAGCGATGGTGCCCGTTCCTTTATTATGTTATCTATAGCCCTTCTAATGCGATCCAGTGCAACACAGTGCATCATGCTGTGCAGCCGTCACCTCTCCGGCAACGGTACAAATGTATATACAAGCCGAGCTCTACCAGCTCGTCACTCCCCTCTCTCGATCGAATCCACCTCTCAACTGCCTCTGCGGCTTGACGACCTTACCCTGCAACACGGTATATCGCACAATGTTTTCACAGTCTTCCGGCCTCACCCTCGCAAGCCAGATGAGCTGTACAGCTTCTTTCTCCAACTTCTCCCCGTCCAGGTCCACATCATCTCCCCCCACCTCTTTCTTCCGGCCTTGCCTTCGATAGATCATGACATTGGCGGAGTATTTATGGCCCCCGACGTGACTAATGAAATATATACCGACACCACCAGGTCGGTCGTCGTGGAGGTCGCGGTAGAGACCCATGGGGCGCAGGATACGCTCGAATTCTTTGCGGAGGAGAGGCGCAGATTGGCCGCAACGGGCGTCGCGGGTCTTTTGGCTGCACATGAGAATTAGGTAGGAATGAGGGATGGGGCGGATTTTGAAGGTCGACGAGATTGAGGGAGGTAGCGGTGCTGGGTCAAGCGTTGTGTTCTGTGACGGTGGTGGTTGTTGTTCTTGCTGCGAGCTGTCTTGCTGTGATGTATCGGCGCCATCTCCAATTTGCAACCCGGACACATCGGGAGTATCTTCAGGCTCTTGTTCGTTCTGCACTCCTAGAGCCGGGTCTTGATCTCCTGCGGGCGATGGCACATGACCATTGCCATTGACCTCTGTTCTTTTTGTGCCGACAGGCATGTCATTTCTGACACTTCTGTCCACCACCTCTTTCATTAGCGTGCCCGCTTGGCTCGGCCTGACCTTCTCAACCACGACCCAACTAGGCAGTAGCATGCAATCGCTCGTGCCGGCCTCTTCCTCGTCGCCATGGCACTCCTCGCCAGATGGGAAATTGCTCGCGCTCAACATGACCCTGCCGCGCTTCCCACTCAGGTCCAGCCCGACCTTGCCCACGGCCTGCATGACAGAGCCCTTCTCGTCGGTGACATCCCTGACCCAGTCGGTCTTGCCCGTGCCGACGAGGAGGTGGACGTTGAACCCCTTGACGTGGCCGAAGAGCTTGTCGCTCTCGTCGATGGAGAATTTCGTGGGGTAGTGCACGGTGCACGACGAGCAGTCGTGCAGACATTCGTCGCCGTCTATCGACGGGTCCGTCGGAGGGAACAGGTCGGCCTCGGTCTTCGCGGTGGTGAAGCCGTCGCGCGCGGAGCCCGGGAGGTGCGACTGCGACGACGACGGCGTGAGGAAGGTCTTGACGTTGCGGAGGAAGGACATGCCGGAGGACTTGAGGGCGCGGGGTTTAGAGGTCGAGGGAGCGGAGGAGGAAGAGGGAGTGGCTGTAGGCGTGGAGGAGGACATGAGAGTCGTGAGGAAAAGTCCTCCTCGCCGGCGATTTTTCTTTTCTAGTGACGATGATGAATTTCCTCAATCAAATGAACGCACGGCAACGGGCCTTCGGAGCCAATCGCCCCTCAACCGCTATCTTATCAATCAGCCACGGAATCGCTTCCGGTGGGCGACTGGGCGTTCGCGTGTCGGCCGATTTCTTCGAGCGAGCGATGAAAAGACAATGCGAAGGCGCAGGGACGGGAGAAGAGACGGGGCAGATGAAGAAGACAAGAGCGCAAGAGGGGGGAAGATATTGTCACTGTCTATTTTCCCGTTCAAATCGACCTCCTCCTTCTTTTCCTGCTTCCTCGTTCCCCTGTTTTTATAGCAGGCAGAAACATATGCTTCGGCCATACTCGTCCCCTCCTTCTCGACCGAAAGGCGCCTCGCTTCACCGAGCTCCCTGGCTTTCTCCGAGTTCGCACATACCTTCTCTTTAGCCGTTCTCTCGCTGGGCTCCCCATGATAAAACGTCTCCACGATCCATGCGTCCTGCATCCTGCATCCTGTCGCGCCCTCTATTCCTAATGCCGACCCTGCCCCATCAATGCTGGCTCAAGTGTCTATGTATGCAGGGTATGGAGTTTAAGGGGGGCGATCTCCGTGGGTGTGCAGGTACCAGACCGATGCATCGTTTTCTGGCGATCACTGTGAAGATGACCTGTGAGATAAGAAGGAAAGAGAACAGGGCTCTGCTTCAACTGTTTCGTCCCCAGAAGCCGTTGTTGTACATGGAGATCAGCATTGAAGGCTCCTGATAGAAGCATATCTCGAGGGATGTCGTAGAGAGTTGATCATGTGTACTGCGCCTCCTCGCCTATACGGTTGGCCTGCATCGAGGCTCACGATCTTCGTTGCGTGAATTCGTATGCGCCGTTTTCAGCCACGTCGCGGCCTTGACGCTCGAATTGAATGGCATCGCGTGATCCATAGGCCTCGGATGCAGTGTTATGGGGGCGCAGTTACCATCACTGCGTCTGGCTGCCTTGGCGGTTGCTCTACATTGCTATCCAGGATGTGCAAGACTCGTCGGATGCCTGCGCCGAAAACCTGGAGGCTCGTGAGTGCATGTCTCTCTATTCTTGGGCTTCCAAATGATCAAGACAGACCTGCTTCGAACGGGGTGCCAGAAGCATTCTATCTCCGAAGAGTTATTACACGGTCCGTCATGCAGCGATCCAAACCCATCTTACCCGTGAGCTGAACACGCCACTGATGCGAAGTCCAATACAGTTGCCGGTCAATTGGAAGTTCTAGCACGGGTTCATCTAACTCAAGCCCGTGCCGAGTACGATGAATATCGGCAACGTTCCAGTCCCTACGACTTCGAACGCTACATCAATACGGATGTCATGGAAAGCTTTGGGACGAGAGTATGTCCTTGATATGGTGTCCAGCTACGCCAGGTGATCAGCAGCAACAGCTCGCAGCGGCATTGATGAGTTGTTTGTGTACATCGCATACCGAGAGGGCCCTCTATTACTCCTGCTCTCCAGGTATCAGTTTTCCCTGGAGAGTCAACCCGTAAGCGCATCGCCCATTGCCTCAAGCGTGGCAGAAGTCCCGAAGTACAGATGGGCTGCATATTCTCTTCGTCTCTCATCTGTCAAATCATCACGGGGTGGCCGCTCACTGGCGAAGGTCAACCGCATATATCGCATACTTTCAACGAATCAACTCTTGGCTGGGTGAGAGCTCCTCTTAGCTACTTTGCAGCACTGGAGGACATCGCCTCGGTCCTTCGGTTGGTCTTGTCGCAAGCCGTGGAGCCCACCATCCTGTTTCTTGACCGAGTTGATGATTTGAATGGGTTTGAACTGAACACTCTTGTCACCGAGCTCCAGAATCTGAGCCTTCCCTTCGATAAGACCTCAGGGGTTGTCTTGTCGGGGAGATACTCGGAAGGGACTATGAAGCATTTTGGTGACTTCCCTCAGGTCGACCACTTGTTAGAGTATCGAGGTAAGAATCCTCTTTGACGACTCTTCTTTCATCAAGCCGATGTCTTGCAGAGTGTACCAAATCGTTATGCTTCCGACGAAATCAACGTCAGGAGAGATCAAGCCGATGATGCAGCGAAAGGGTCGAACGAATGGACTTGGAACCAGCTTTCCTACCGGGGGTTTGCGGCACACGGTGCAAGTCTCCTCTGGATCGAAGGGAAGGCAGGCAGTGGGAAGAGTGTTCTTGCGAAGTGCGTCGTTACACACCTACGCTCGAACCATGTTCAAGGCGAGGTTACGGCTCTAATCAAGTGCCTGTCGAAAACTTACAAGGAGCTCGCCTTACAGCACTATCTCGGCCTCGCGAAAGAAGCAGCTACTGTTCGCAGAGTCAGCGGAGCCAAGAATAAGGTAGTGCCATTGAATGATTCGAGTCTGCTCACAGCCGAGCTTCCCAGGACGCCAAAGGAGACGGAGCAAGAAACGCAAGCCATGACTGGAGTCATCAACTTTTTCGATCGCAAAACGCTTCTCCCTTGTGCCAGCCAGATGCTTCACGGGCAGGAAAATTTGTCCGGCTTTCATGGAGAATGACACGGACGACATGAGGCAGGTGAGGCAAGTGAAGAAGCAGCTGGAGCAGCCAGAGCAAACCTCCCCGCCTGCAACATGGCCAGATACCACGATACCTTTTATGTCTCGGGATCATAGCCATGATGATCTTGAAGGTGACGACGATGACGAGGTTGAAGGAGACGAGGGGAGCAGGACTGGCGTGACTGGGAAGACTCCAGCAGGGACGACGATCCTCCTAAGGATCTCTAGCGATGTCCGCCTCAGGAAACTCAGGAACACTCAGGAACATTGATCAAACAGCGGCTTGGGCTGATCTAGCCTGGCATGGCCCAGTTCAATCGGTGACCAAAGTGGAAGAAGTCGTCTATACCTATACACACTGCCCAACAGCCCTCTAAAAGTAGGGACCACCAGGGACGTCGGACATGTTCGATTCACGCTTGGATTCGCTACCTTGAAAATTCACACGCAGATAGCAGAACAAGCCAAGACACACAACAAAGATGGCGGTAGAGAACAAACGGGAAATCCTCTCCTTTTCCACATCCCCCCTCCACCTTGTCTAGGAACCAGGTTGGGGTATCGCTGAAAGAGCCAGGTCGCTTGTAGAAAAACACACACACAAAAATACAAACACCCACAAACGCCCACACATCCATTCTTTCCTCCCTTGAATTCGGTCCATTCCCAAGGGGTATCAAACCCCCATTCAATGCTATCTTACTCGCCCACCTCTCTTGCTCTCGCCTCCGGGCAACGAAGGTGTCGCACACGAGACTTTCGCCGTGGAGCCTGCCTCGCCCATCTAGACCTCATCCTCCTCACCGTCGTCCTCCCTCATCCCGATCCGTGACCCGTTCACGTTCGCCTCCCTCCCGCCGTACCGGCTGGCCGCCCTCGCCTCGTGGATCCGCGCAATCGCCCGGTGCGTCTTGGCCAACCTCTTGTAGTCTCCGTTCCTCTCATACTCTTCGGCGAGTTGCTTGTAACATTCCAGTGCGTGGACGCCGTACTCACGGTCGCGGCCGTGTTGTTGCCGCTGCTGCTGAGACGACGGTGACAGCCCATCAATGCTTCTCCTCGCCCGAGCAAGTTCTTTGGCCTCAGACGTCTGAGAATCGGCGTCCTTGCTGCCGGCTCGTTGATGATTGCCCGGTGCATGCCCATTATGGTTCGAGGTGGCCGTCGACGAGTTCCTCAAGTACTGTTCGTCTTCCGGATCGGTGCTGGTGAGCAGGTCGACCAACTCTTCGATGGTCCCCACCAACTCCTCGAGCGCAGTCCACAACGCATCATCTGGCTGATTCGCAATCGTGGAGAACAATTCCAGCAACTCTGCAATGAAGACCTTGCGACTCACTGCTTCGTTCGCCGTCACTGGTTTCGCTTTCAGAATCGAGTTGAGCGCGCCGATAATTTCGGTCTCAATCAACTCGAGGTCTTCGCTTAATGCCCATTCGCTCACAATCATGGTTTGAAGCACCTCGACAGCAACCTTGCGGAGACCTTCATGCATACTCAAACAAAGACTGATGGTAGGCGCTACGAGACTTGGCACGTATTGTACTTGATAGCCTCCCAGCCGGCGGATATTGTATCGTCGCTGATCGTCGGCGGTGGCTTCCCAGCCTAAGCTCTCCCACGCTTTGCGCAAGAGGTCGGCGCCATATTGGCGCACATCGCCTGCAATTTTCCACACGGCCCGGCGTTTTTGTTCGGGGAAGAGCTCGAGTGTCAAAGCAGGAGACGACACGAGCTTGAGGAGAGTATCGAGGAAGGTTTTCCACAGTTGCATGTCGAAGCCATCCGCATCCTCTGGTGTTGGGAGGTATGAAGATATAAGGAGTGATGAGAGGTGGTTCAAGATTGTCAAAGCTGATGAGTGGTGATAGATGTGCAGGCTGAGCCATGAGGCGGGAAATGCGTCGTTCTTGAGGAGAGATCGTAGGACCATGAGTGTGGAGATGATGTACTCGGTGAGTTCCTGTCCTTGGAGTTTGAGATTCGATGGGAGCTTCATCTTGGCGATTATAGAGATGAGGGAAGAGAGTTCCAGGAGCGCTTCGTCAAACTGATCATTGGCTTCGGACGATTTGCTGATGAATGGGTAGGAGTCTGAAAAGAGCAGAGACAAGGACCGTCGTCTCGCTGGCGGCCCATCTGCAATGGTATTGTAAGCAGAGATGAGTTTCGGCATGAAGTCGTGCAGGTGCAAAGTCGGAAATCGTGTGAGTTCGGCGACGACCGAGCAGCACAACCGGACTTGTTCGTGCCAGTTGTCGGACCGGTTGTTTGGGGTCCAGTATGGCGAAAGCCACCTGATACAGTTCTTAACAAGCATCTTCCGGTCTTTCTCGTCCACCCAGACCTGGTCTAGCTTGGTGTAGTTCAGGATCAGGACGATTCTGTACAAAAGCAGCTTCCCAGAGGCTGCGTCACATGCGTCAATGAAGTCAACCGCCACCTTCATCACTTCTTCCTTGCTGAAGGCCGGGAGTAATTCGGGAAGCCAGTCGTGGAATTTCTGTACAAGGAGGGTTTTGCTCCCAACGAGTGCCGGAGTCTCGCTGCGCATCATCATCTGCAATCCAAAAAGAATCGCCTGCATATCTTCCTTGAAACTCGAGTGCTTCTCGTCGTTGTCTCGGGGTTGCGACCCAAAGCGTCGCTGTTGGTAGGACACGATCAGGATCCTCATGAAATTTTTGCCAACCTTGAACAAAGACCTCATATCACGGGCACTTTGGGGGTCTGAAACGCTTTGCAAAAGCCTGGTGAAACTGCGAATCAGGCACGACGCAGCGTAGGGAAAGCGAAAGTGATTCTCCGTATACTGTTCAATCAGAGGACCCAAGTTAAACCGTCGATCATGGACAATTCCGAGCACCCAGACAATATCATTGAATATAAGGTCTTCAAACTTGGACTCCCCCGATTTGTGCACAAGGACTCCGAACAACGCGTCCAGCACCTCCCTAAGCTGCTTGACGATTTCGATCTCCGGGACAAATGTGAGTTTTTGCAGGATATCCAACAATTGGACCGACGTCTGATGTTTCCAATTGATGAGGCTGACCAAGGTTCGATCCTGCGAATACTCCGTACTGCAGAGAAGTGTGTAGACTTCAAGGGAAGCGATCGTAGCCAAGGAGCCTTCATGGATGGTCTTGTAGTTAGCATTGTTCCAGGGCAAGGATAAATATGCACCGCGTCCTTGGACGATGCTGGAGGTGATCTTGTCGTAAGCGTGTAGGATGAGCGAGTGCTTGCCATCAGAAATAAATGCTTGCTTGTCCCATAGTGGCAACCAAGCCAGGGCAAACGGGAACTCTGGGGCATCCGCAATACTCAAAACCAAATGACTCTCTGGTACTTTCTCGGTTGGCACTCGCAAACATAGTGTCTGATCCCATTTGTGGTCGAACTCCACGGCATTCGTTCGGAAAGCAGTAACTCCCGCCCCATTCGACGACGGAAATATACAATGTTCCACGCGCCGTCCAGCATTGTCACGTATCTCCATGGTCAGTTGTAGATTCTGCAGTGAGTGGGCTTTTATCGGCGCCACGTTCACTTCAGGGTGAGACAAAAAGGAGGCTTGGGACAGAACTGCTTTGCTCAAAGTGAGGTAGATATCTGTCCGTGGTTTGGACGGTGCCTCTGAGAAACCCATCTTCTGAGTTTTGGTGATCATGTGCATTGAGGTGGGTGTATTCTTGATCAGGGTGTCTGCCTCGGGCGCAGCATAGGGAGTGAGGCTAAAGGAGACACTGGAGATAGGTGTGCACAGAACAAGAGCTTTGCCGGGGCTGTCAAGGAGCTGCGCTGCGATTACGCTCGATCCCCCCGGTTTCTCGTCGTCTCGCTGCGACCCAGACCATATGGTGACGTTTTCTTCTCGTGGCTGGCCATCCCTCATGATCTTTGCAATGTCTAGGACTCCCACCCCAATAGTCCGAGGAACAGGGGGCCCCATAGGCTTGCTTTGGCCATCTTCCTCCTCCTCAATTATCGACGGAGTCGATGCTCTTTCCTGCAACTGTGGGGTGGTTCTACCATTTTGGCCGGGCTGAGGTCTGTCTGCATTTCGCCGCCTCCCAAACATCAGGCTGGATCTCCGCCTGTTCAGTGATAACTGCCGTTGACCAAGTAGGGTTCCATTCCTTGACGGCGGTCTCTCTACCGCTCTTTTTTTGGCTTTCCGAGGAGGCTCCGAAACCACAACTTTGACAATGAGGAATAACCGATCATCGGTCCCAACGTCGCGAGTGCTGAGATCAGATAGGAGTGTCTTCATTTTGGAAGTGGCCATGGAGCTGTACGTCTCTGAGAAAGGCTTGAGATTGCCGTCTGCATCCCTTAGATACAGAGCCAGACTCAGTGTTGTCGCATCGAGGTCAGAACCCGCAACTGACGTGATCTCAAGGAGACAATGATGGAGTGAAGTCGCCTTGGACTTTTCAGATGGAGTAGTATCCAGTACACTCATGACTGACTGCAGTTTGGCCAGCTCGATGGCGGAGTCCTGCGACGTCAATAGCCGTCCTTGTCGAGCGGGATCACGCACAATGATCTCGCCGCTCAGCATTCTGTTCCCTCGCACGAGGTCCCAGACCGCCTCCTTGCGGACTTGGAGCCTCTCCTGAGTGGTGAGCACATCGTTTAAGAGTTCTCGCCGGGCGTAGTCGAGTCGGGTGGTAATATCCGACATTTGGTCCAGAAGATGATACTCTCGACGCAAAACCAGCTCGGGAAGGTGCAAAATATACCACTCTCGCAAACAAGAGGTGATTTCATCCACCAGTGGCTCAGTGCTTGACGTCGGAGACTCATCACCAATTTTCAACATGGGCACTGGGGCTGGGGGCCTTGGCTGGCCCGGCTGGACGAGAAAATCGACATTTGGACCCAGTTGTTCTCGAATTTCGATACAACACTTGGGGAAGATGCCAGAGAAGACCCGAGCGTCGGCGGCGGTCCTGATCCCTGTGCTTAATGCCGACAGCAGGGTGGGCGGCGCAACCAGATAACCTCGACACCAAGACCCATCTTTGCCTCCCTGCTCGATGACATACAATTGGTCTCCAATCTGCAGAGGGAGTTCGGATGGAGAAGACGTCGGCTGAAAGGGATAGATGGCAACCGCATACGACAGAGGCAGCGGCTGCCAGGGCATATTAGGTAAGAAACGGTCGAATGGCTCTGTGAGTCGCAAGAGAGAATGAGGTCGGACAGCAGTTCGTCGAGAATGTACGTCGGATCTCACAATGGCCGGGGCGGTGGCCTCGCGATGGTGATCGGTGGATCGAATCTAGGGGCCTGTGCACACTCTCCCTTTTCTCGTGGGAGATTCATCGGCTGAGGGAGTGGAGAGGCCGTGCGAAGGTCGATACCGTATTGAGAGATCGAAGGTCGTCCGTCGATGTCAGCGTGAGTGATGAGATGGAAGTGGGATGATCAATGGTTCGACTCGACTTGTTTTTTTTTTCTGCGACGCGTTGTTGGAGAGTTTTGCCCACAGGATCAAGTCTCCGATGTTTGAAGAGTCAAGACGACGCTCGCCGCGCCCGCAAAAGCTGCGAGTCTTGATCTCCGCTGCAGCTCCCGGCACTTACCGCCTAACGGCTTCGACCACTAGCCGCCTAATTTTCCCTCCCTAGCGGGGACTCCTTCCCCCAATCCAGCTAGAAGCCTGGTGCTTAGTTTCCCCCCAAGCCAGGCCCGCGGTCCTTGCTGCAAGGCACCACTATCATCTCTTGCGTGCCCCGTCGCTACCAAAAAGTGATTTGCGACAATCTCAAACAAGCCACTACGCACGCCTCTACAAAGTCAGTTTCATCGCTCTGAAAGCAACCTACATCACACCATCCTCTTGTCAAATCCTGCATTCCTAGCTACTTTGGTCACAAGCGCAGGAAGAGGGGCCCGGCAAGATGGAGCCCGTCGTCAACGTCCTGCTGGAGACCTTCCCCGGCTTGTCGCTCCCTCAGACACTCTGTCTACCCTTGCCAGCTTCGTCGACTACCGCACAGTTACTGGCCGCTATAGCAGAACTGCTCCCGCCTAATTTCCCAAACACCGCACGGCTGAATCTGACCTCGACCCTGAACAAATGCGTGTATCCCTCGCCTACGACCACCATCGGAGAATTGACACACCCGTCATTATGCCGCCAGAATGCCTGCAACAGCTCTCTACTCCCTCTCCGGCTATCCGCACCATTGGTGGGCGGGAAAGGTGGGTTCGGCTCTCAGCTCAGAGCGGCTGGTGGCCGGATGTCATCGCGCAAGAAAAAGCAGAATGCAGAGCTTGCTTCAGGGAGTGCTCGCAATCTCGATGGGAGGAGGCTGCGGACCATCACCGAGGCCAAAAACCTCGCTGCATATCTGGCTACTAAGCCGGAAATGGACCGAAAGGAGAAGGAAGAGAGGCGCAAGAGGTGGGAACAGGTCATCCAACTGGCTGAGCAAAGGGAAGCCGACATGCGAGCAGGTAAGGGCCCGGATGGGCGACGGAAAGGTCTCAGTGACGAGTGGATAGAGACAAAAGAGGAGGTCGGAGAGAATGTGCGAAATGCCGTCAAGATGGCCATGTTGGCAAGCGAAGAGAAAGAAGACTCGAAGGGGTCTCTGGCACAAGAGGGGGAGAGCAGTGGAAGTGGAGGCTCCGGTGCAGCCAGCGACGAAGATAGCGATGAGGAAGATCTGATGGAACTGGACCCAGATGACATGTCCCGCCTCAGATCCGAAGCCGAAGCTGGAGACGTCGATGCCATCTGGGTTCTGCAGAATCGACTCAAGATCCCCTCCCATCTGCTGCCGAAGCCCAAGCAACCAGTTCGTCGGTTTGCAGGGTTTGATGACGACGAAGACGACGTCTCCGGGAGTGACGATGATGAGGCAGGGGTAGAGGCAAACGTCGTGGAAGGAAAAGGCAAGCAGAAGGTCCCCAGCACTTCATAGATGGAGTAAACAGCCGACGCCCTCAATCCCCGTGTTTTGCATGCTCCCACTCATGTTGGCACATTCATCCTCGCCTCTCTTGGCTCGGTCTGGACCTCGTACACTGCAGAGTAACACGCTATCACGGATTTGTGCAACGCATGGGTACGGAGTTGCGCGACCAACCTCAACATTTGGCTTAATGAGCTGGATGGGAATATACTCCTCGCCTACTCTTAACATTAGGGGTATGGGTAAATCAGTTTTCATGACAGATTCTTCTCCCATCTCCGAGTGCTGTCAAGAAGTACAAGAGCCCTCACTCATTGTGTGAGGCATTGGGGTCCCCAAGCTCCTGGTCTTCCGTTGAGAACTTCACTTATCTCTCCCTCTTGACTAGATTCGACCCGGTATCACAAGAGCGGTGACTTGGAGAGAGAAAAGGATAGGCATCACTCTGACTTGATCATCTTTTTCGTTTGTCCCTTAACTTCTTGCTCCTCCTCATCCTTTCCATCCCTGTGATTCCCAAGACATGGCGGTCCCCGGCTTCGCATTGCTCACCGTGGGCTCGCTGGCTCTGCTCGCCGTCTACAAATTCGTCCTCTACCCTCTCCTCTTCCACCCGCTGCGGCATATCCCCTCTGCGCATTGGTCGATCCCAATCTTTGGAGATGTCTGGATCACCCACCAACGGTACATGGAGAGGAACAATGCCGTGACATATGCGGCGCACTTGAAGTACGGGTCTGTCGTCCGCATGGGTGCCAAAGAACTGAGTGTCAACTGCGTGGACAACGGCATCAAGACCATCTATGCCGGCTCGTGGGAGAAGCACGCCTGGTATCCTCAAAGGTTTGGGTCCTATGGGTAGGTAAAAAAAAAAAACATAGTCTCCATCACTTTCGTGGTTTAAAGGGTTTTCGAAGCACTCCAAGAGCCCGACACTGACGGCCACGGCCAGGGTCATGAACATGTTTTCGACAATCCACCACGGGCCTCATTCGCAGAAGAAACGCACCATGGCCAACGTCTACTCAAAGTCCTTCATCGCGTCCTCCCCCCAAGTTGCGGCGAATTCGCATACCCTGTTTACGACCCGCTACCTCCCGCTGCTCCAGAAACTCTCCGAGACGGGCGAACCCGCGGACGTGCACGACATGAACAACGCCTTTGCCATGGACTTTATGTCGGCGTACCAATTCGGCCTGTCCGCGGGGACGAACCTCACCCAGGACGTGGCCACCCGGAGAAACATCCTCCACCAATACCACTGTCGTCGGGACTATGAGTTCTTCTCCGCCGAGGCCCCGTGGCTCAAGCGCCTGACGCGAAGCCTCGGGTTGCAAGTTGTGCCGTATTTCGTGGACGAGGCGAACGTGCTGCTCGAGGACTGGAACGCCGGCATGTGCCGCAAGGCCGACGAGTTTCTCTCCCACGCCTCTGCATATGCCGGCGACGAGCCGGTTGTATATAAGCAGTTCAAGACGGGCATCACGAAGCTGCGCGAGAAGGACCCCAATGCCGGCAAGGCGACGGGCGAGGTCATCCTGCCGACGACCCGGCACGATGGCCTGCAAAGCAGTCAAAACAGCAGCGACGACGACGACACCACGACCGCGGAGATCTACAGCGAAATGCTGGACCAGCTGGGCGCCGGGCACGAGACCTCGGCCATCGCCCTGACGTACCTGTACTGGGAGCTGAGCAAGAATCCCGAGCTGCAAAAGCAACTGCGCGAAGAGGTGCTGACGAAGCTCTCACCGCCCATCCAATGGCCACCACTGCCTCCCGCCACCGCGGCGGCGGGTGACTTCCAGCTCCCGGACCCGAAACAGATCGACGCCCTCCCGCTCCTGAACGCCGTCCTGATGGAGACGCTGCGTCTGCACGCGCCCATTCCGGGCATCGAGCCACGCATCTCCCCCCACGTGCCCGGCGGGAGCACGCTGGGCGCCTACGCCAACATCCCCGGCGGCGTGCGCGTGTCGGCAATGCCATACGCCCTGCACCGCAACGCGGCCGTGTTCCCGGACCCGGAGACGTTCCTGCCCTCGCGCTGGCTGCCATCGCACTCGTCCGAGGAGCAGCTGAAGGAGATGCACCGCTGGTTCTGGGCCTTTGGGTCCGGCGGCAGGATGTGCATCGGCAGCCACCTCGCCATCCAGGAGATCAAGCTGCTCGTCTCAGCCATCTACAGCAATTGGGCCACGGAGATCGTCGACGACGAGGGGATCGAGGAGGTCGACGCCTACACGACCAAGCCCACGAGTAACCGCTTGATCCTGCGCTTTACGCACATTTAAAATGTCTGATGGATGGGGAGCCCGGGCGGGCCAGGAAAGGGACAAAGTAGAGGGGAAGCCGTGGGCCAGGGAGACAAGGCTGAGGATGGTGCTGCGAAATCTCGAGGGGGGTTCTGAGCTGGTTCGGCAGCATCATGGTGTCATGTCTCCAGCCTGGCCATCACCGCCGTCTCGGGAAATGTCCCCAGCGATGTTTGACGGTTCCAAGAGGCTCGCAAGTGAGCAGACGAATATTACAACAGACCGCTATCAAGAACACCCTAGCCAGGATATCTATTTCCGTGTAACCGATGGGCCCTTCGTAATTCCCACCAAGTCGAAAGGATAGTCGAGTATTCCCCCCGCCCGCAAGCGAGCGAGCACGAGCTATGCACTTGTACGCCTTGCTCAGTCACAAGTTGACCTGCCATATCTGGAAGGTAAACCCCCTTTTTGGCTCAGATATTGCGGGCTGTCAGTTCCCATTATATCTGTCCCGTCTAGATCAGTAATGTGGGGGGCTTTTTTTGAGCTGGTTGCTTCCCCAGGTTAATGCAACTAAGTAATGATTTCAGCCTTTAGTGCAGGACATGGTCCGTGTTCGGTCGTTTGCCAGGGGGATGAGCGTTCGGCCAGAGCCAACGAACGCTGCATTTTGCAAGATGTTCAGTTGTGCCAAGGCCTTCGAGTCAAGTGCGAGGCCGGCGTATTGGAGTAGGAAACTTGATAAACGGCGAGAGGTCTTGTGCTTCTGTTGCAAACCCATTTGCTCACATCTCGGGTATAGGGGTCCGTCACTACTCGTGTGTTGATGAAGCCTCGAATAACGGGTACATCTCCGAGAATAGAGCAGCACCAAATTAGTCCCTGAGAGCTCGGTTAGAACCCATCCTCTAGCAGGATCACCCAGCTAATTCTGAAGCAGTCGGCTGGGGCCTTTGGTCTTTTGTACCTGTCAATTCACATCCCCCTTCGCTTCTGAGCGGAGCGTGAGCGGGTGGTGCGTGGAGTGGCCGATTTTGGTTTCGCTGGCTTCTGTGTCTTCAGCTGTTTCCTCCGTTCAAAGCGACGAATCTGGCGTTGGGAGACCTTGCCTCCACGTGCGATTGATTCGTCGTCAATGACGTCCAGCTCGGCCAAGACGTTCTTCCGGAGACCCCATTTCCCCAGTTGTCGCTTGTACTGCTGCGCGGTTGCAGCGAAGTCGTGTTTCTGTTGCATTTCAGCCATAACTTGATCCAGGGGTAACTTCGCATAGAGTTCATAGATGGTAAATTTGTGTTTCTCCCAGATCTGGGTTGGAATAGGTCGGCTATGGTTTGAACGAACCATGATGAGGGCACAGATTGGACTTTGCGCTACTTTTGTCACAATATGGTCAACAGAGAAAAAGTCTCTTCTTCGAAGCTGGAGTATCAACATCAGATGTCGAGCATGAGGTCCATTGCTCAGTCTTATAAGATTTGCAAGGCCCGAGAAAGGGCGTGATGGGAAGTTCAAGGCGACGGACGACGTGGCAGACCTTCTCTGGAGCCGTGACATATGAGGCCTAGGCCCTATTGGGCATCAGGTTGGGTCTCTGCGGCCTGACAGTGCAAGCAATCAGCAGCGCAGATTCCGTGAAGGGACTCGGTAGAGGTCTATTTTCCAGCGGGGGAGGTCTGTGGGCGAGGAACAAGGCAGCTAGATGCTGCATGGGGCATTGCTTGACAGCTTCACCGTCAGCTGACTGAATCTGTCAAGTCATTGCCAGAAATCCGCCGTCGGTTAAGGCGGTCGTAGCCCTTCGGGCATATGTCGTAGGCACCACGGTGACCAGTCGAGCCTCACTCCAGTTTGGCGTCTTCTCTTCTCTCGAGTTGAGCATGTAGAAAGTCCGATTGGTAAAGAGGAGATGTCGATGTCTGCCATGGCTTGTTAGGAGGAGGGGATCATGTCAGGAACGCGCAAGAACCCGGCCCTCAAAACACCAATTGCGCGCCTCCTTGGTGTCCCTGACCTGAGTTCAGAGACATGGGAGCCTTGGCACAAATGCCTCTAAATGGACTAGTGTCTCTGTAGGAAAATTCGTGGTCATCTATTTGAATCTGGAAGTTTCAATCAAAATCAAGTGGCTGATACATCTTCGTATTGGTTTCCACCCCTTGTGGTGTAGTTGGCTATCACGTTCGGTGAGCAACAACGCTTCTCTTGTCAAAATAGGGGGACACTTTGCTGATTGAAAAAGGCTGTAATGGATTATCTATGTAACCGAAAGGTATGCGATTGATTCTGTGGATGAATGTGGAAATTCAGCTCGAATCCTAACATGTTTCAGGTCGCTGGCTCGATTCCGGCCGAGGGGACTTTGCTCAAATTTTTTACCTTTTTTTAAGGTAGTGACTGTAGTAGGTTGTTGTGTGATCAAAGGCTAGCCAAGCCTTGTAATGACGTCGAAGCCCTTTGTTAGTAGAGTAGGTACTCCGTAAATGTATATAGTCTGATGGTCCCTAGGACCCTTTGAATGTCAACAAGTTCACCGTTCAATCACAATCACTCAAATGAAGTTCAAGACACTGTGCACTAACAATACTTTTTCGAAGGGGCTCAAATTACATTTTGAAACCATTCATACTGAACGTATCCTGAGATCTAACAGTGCAACAAATCCCTACCAAAGCTAAGGTAAATGGTTCAATCCATGTTGGCTTTGAAGATTGTACACATAATTTTCATCAGAACATCTCTTTCTCCATTAACCATACTCGCTCAGGTAGTCTTAGTGATAGAATTGCATGGGTAAACCTTGCCAAACCTTACCAAACCTTTCCTGACTGACGAATCGCACTATCCGTCGGGTATGACAATCACCATTGCATTCAACAACACTATCTTGAGCTTTGAAGTCGTCTATAATACATTTGTAAGTGATAGTGGCTCCCAAAGAAAAAATTCAAGCTTTGCTACATTCCTCTACAAATATGCTGGTAATACCAAGTTCACCTTGCCATTGCGAAATCTTGGTCTCTATTTTATGGAACAACTTGCGGCAACCATGATATGAACTCTACACGAATGGCTCCGCCTCCATTTGACCATATCTTCAGCTCGAGTCCAGTATTATTGACCCATCAAGATGGATATCGTATGGAGCGTGGGTCGGGACCTGTCTTGCAAGCGGTTTATGAGTGGATACATTGGTACCTCACAGAACGGTCCACGCATTGCGAAAAGACAGTGGTTGGTCTGGCCAGAAACCGCGAGAATGGACAACAATCTGAGGCAAAGTTTTTCCCTTCCGAAAACGGGACCTCCGAGAAAAAATATACGGCGCGGCGCCACTTGTAAGGCTGAATGAGGCGACTGTGCTGAGTGCTCCGTAACCCCCGTGAATTATTGTTGGTGGCGGGCGTTGCCCGTCCAAGGAATTATTATTGCACAAGGCTCACCCCCAAGTCACAACAGACTGCCAGCGGTCTGATTATTTGTTTTGTTGGACGACTGCGCACAATAGCCTTTCAGAGACCGCGGCAACAAAAAGTCTAGAAACCAGTCCGAACACCCACATCATTGGCTGACTGGACGAGCCAGGGCCTGGGACTCCGTAGTACAAGTTAGATCTTCGGAACGGGCTTATCGTACGTACGGACCACGGAACATTAGTCGAGGGCGGTTGTGCCAGGGGTTTTCCCTCCAGACAAGCTGCGATGCATATCTGCCCGGATAAAACTTCACCATACCACGGGGTTTTGGTTGTGAGGAGAAATACAATCAGAAATTATGCAGCAACTTGGGCAACGCAATGCAGTCTGACGGAACCTGGCAAGGAGCTGTTGATTTCGTCGTGGGTTGAAGCCCTCAGCCTCATCAGAAATTCCATTGGTCCACAAGCCTTGGGATGGCGGAATCTGCGACCTTCGATCTGGTTCTCTTCTCTTGGCTTTTTCTAAGACTTTCCCCGACCCGACCATTTCGCGCGCCTCAGATCCTGAACAATACAATTGTTTGCCTGCGACTGACCTCATAAATCCCAGACCTTTCGCTCTTGGGACCCTTCTCACTACCTACGTATCTCTTGGTAACACTAGCTGGATATTATTGACTGTCCACCGCTGCCTCTGTCATCTTAGCCACCGGATCGGCAAACCTCCTTTCCCGGATTTCCTGCTCGCCGCTCACAGACGAATCTTTTTCAACCCTGCAACGTCCTTCACCCTTCCTGACTTGAGTCTCACCCGAACCTCGTCAACGTCTGCCCTCACAGTTTCCCTGCAAGATGGTCAAGGAGACAAAATACTATGACATCCTCGGGGTAGGTTGCTCTGCCTTGCTTCGTCAGGCTGGAAGAGTCAACAAACTAACAACTTCGACAGGTCGACCCGATGGCCTCAGAGGCTCAACTGAAATCTGCCTACAAGAAGGGTGCACTGAAACATCACCCAGGTAAGACCGCGGTCTGGCGTCGATATGAGAGAGGCAAGACCCTTCTGACTCTCGAACAGATAAGAACGCCCACAACCCAGAAGCCGCAGAAAAGTTCAAAGACCTCTCCAAAGCATACGAAGTCCTCTCCGACCCTCAGAAACGAAGCCTCTACGATCAGTATGGCGAAGAAGGTCTAGAACAAGGTGGAATGGGTGGTGGCGGCATGGCTGCCGAAGATCTCTTTGCACAGTTCTTTGGCGGCGGGTCAGCCTTCGGAGGCATGTTTGGAGGTGGCATGCGCGACACTGGCCCAAAGAAAGCCCGGACTATCCACCATGTTCACAAAGTGTCTCTCGAGGATATTTACCGCGGAAAGGTCTCGAAGCTTGCCCTCCAAAAATCGGTCATCTGCCCGCAGTGTGAAGGCCGTGGAGGGAAAGAAGGGGCTGTCAAGACCTGTGCTGGTTGCAACGGCCAGGGTATGAAGACCATGATGCGTCAAATGGGGCCCATGATTCAGCGGTTCCAGACCATCTGCCCCGATTGCCAGGGTGAGGGGGAGACCATCCGCGACCGTGACCGATGTAAACGTTGCATGGGCAAGAAAACAGTCGTGGAACGGAAGGTCCTTCACGTCCATGTTGACCGTGGAGTTAAGAGTGGCCATAAGATCGAGTTCCGCGGTGAGGGTGACCAGATGCCTGGTGTCCTTGCAGGAGACGTTGTCTTTGAAATCGAACAAAAGCCCCATCCACGATTCCAGAGGAAGGACGACGATCTCTTCTATCACGCCGAAATCGACCTGTTGACTGCTTTGGCCGGTGGCCAAATCTACATTGAGCATCTCGACGATCGGTGGTTGACTGTCAACATCTACCCCGGCGAGCCCATCACACCTGGTGAGTAAAACTACCTGCAGCTTCTCGTGGCGATAGCTTGGGTGTTCCAATGCTAACTTTCTTGGCAGGCGCGATCAAGGTGATCAAGGGTCAAGGTATGCCGTCGTTTAGACACCACGACTTCGGTAACCTGTACATTCAATTCGACGTTAAATTCCCGGACAAGACACAACTCCAGAACCTCGAGCTCCTCGAACAAGTCCTGCCGCCTCGCATGCAGCAGAAACTGCCGCCTCAAGACGGCATGGTGGAAGATTACGATCTTGAAGAAGTCGACCCCCGCCAACAAGCACGCGCTCATGGTGCCGCGGGCATGGACGACGATGACGAAGATGGCATCCCACCTGGAGCCGAGAGAGTGCAGTGCGCTTCTCAGTGAACGGGCAACGAAGCGTCCATGATTTGTGGGCAGATGTGACGACGCAGAAAACAACACAGAAAGATTCGCAGACGTAATGAGTTGACGCACGAAAGACGCGCATGACGCCGGGCATCAGCGAACGTGGGGGCATTTCCTGCATTTGATCTCTTGATCACTGGAGCATGGGCACGGGGGCATATCGTACGGCGTCAAGGATTGGGACAGGTACCGCTTGCGACCAACCCCCCCCCCAGCGGTTAGCTGGGGATTCAGGATATGGAGTCATATCTCGTATGGTGTGCACACAAGGAGGTCTCGGTCGGCTGAGTGCATGGACAGGCCTGCTAGAGGGCTTACTGGATGTCCATTCTAGGCCCTAGCCGACCCACGCATACCTAGACAGCCTTGCTATTATGCATGATAGAGATGGGGTCTGGAGTTGTGGCATGCGAGACCCTGTTCAAGGGTTGTGAATAGTTGCTACGACTACAAGTATGTTATGGCGGTGGTCACCAATGAGCTACAGTAGACGGGGAGAGAGTGGTTGCCGGGCATGGCATGGGAACGGCTGGTCTACAACACTCTATGTATCAAGCGGAGCATGCACGTGTGAATTGAACTGGGTTTTTAGACTTCTCCGTCCTCCGTAGGGCCACGGCCATCGCTCAAAATGGATTATTCCAGATATGGAGACCCCATAGTTCCCGCTGTACGGAGTACACGAGCATCATATCAATCGTAATCTATTGACAGATCGGGTGGGTGATCCGAGGAGCGATGGACCGACCTAGCGCGAGGCCACATGCTTTTCCAGCCGTTGATCACGGTGGTGGGAATGGCGGTAAGGCCGGCCATAATCTCGTCGATACGAGGCGGGATCAGATGTCGGAGGTTGCGACTCCCAGACGCCGATGGTCGGTTAGAAAAGGAAATCATGGGCACTGCGCCCTAGGATAGGGGGGCTGTCGGTCAAGGAAGTCCGGCGTTTGTTGGGACAAAGGTTGTCAGGTGGCCTAGGGACCGCAAAGGCACGAAAAGAGAACAGCGTATGATGATCTCTGGGAGCTGGAGCTTGAGCTTGAGTCTCAGGCTGAGGCTGAGGATTGAGGTTGAAGTCGAGGTTGGCATGGCGAGGCGCCGACGCGAAGACGTCGAAACGGGAAATGAAAAGCTTGGCACCTGCATTGGGCATTGGGCGCAAAAAGCGGTCAACAGACGAACAAAGCACATGCATGGTCCCCTTTTACCAACATCCCACTCGCTCTCCTCACTTCTCCCTCGTGCTGCACCTGACCTTGCACCTCCACAGAACCCGTCGACCTCGCCGAACCTACGGCCAGCCCTCCATCAGCAATTCGACGGCTCTCCTGCGGGCGTGATTGACGGAGAAGAACACGATGTGTAAAGGCTGAACAGAAGGAAACAACAAGAGGACACACACAGTGAGCTGCGTATGCTGATAAGTTCACTCTCAACTCCCAGCGTCGATGGGATCATTATGGCGTCAATCGCGTCAGCAACTAGCCAAATCCACCAGGGCGAGCATCTCGCCATGATTGGCTCCGACACCAGGACTTTTCTTCGATGATGGCAAGCCTTGCCCACAATTTGACAGGGCGGGAGACCCGCGGCCCCTGGCATGCAAGAGCGGGACCACGTTGATCGACGAAACAAATGTCAACAACTGCAACCAGGAGACCTCGAGCACGCCATTTTGCTCCTGTAAGAAGACTCAATGGCTTTTTTGGTCAGAGACAACAGGGAATTGACCAGCTTTTGCATGCAGCCATCTGAGGCGACTGTGATAACCTAGTTTGCCACTAATGGTCCACCTAACGCTGAAGATACGAGGACATCGGGGAGCAGGGCAACCCGCAACGGGTGTCGACGGCGGCGACGATGGCCATCATCGGATCGTCATCATAATCGCCGTCGTCATCATCAATCGCAATCCATTGTTGCCGCCGTTACTCCTCCATGGCGACTGCGGTCCCAGAGCGACGGGTCCTGCTTCAGGTCGCACAAGGCGCACCGTCTGCGAGTTCTTTCCATTCCTTTGGTGGCACTGGCCATCACAGGGAGCCTTGAATGGCTTGGCTGTACGACATCATGACCGTTGAATCGGTCGAAGAAATGCTTCGTGTGCTTAAGCAGCAGCGGCAGCTGGCTTGTTGTCGGCCATCCAGAAGATCTCTCGCTTCAACACATAGCCATGGTCGCCATCCGTACTCCCAACGGGACAGTCCCACGGGCTTGATGCTGGGCGCGTGAGCACGAGCTGCAGGCCAGTGTGTTGCACAATGTCGCTTTTCCGAGAAATGCGCCTTGGGTGGCATCACGCCTTCGATTGCACCATCACTTCTGACCCCGTCCATTTCATCATTGCTCCAATGGGACGAATAGAAAATTTCTGCGGCCCTTCTTCAGGGAGCCATCCTCAGGATCTTTTCTAGATCCCGTCGCAAACACCCTTTTGCCCGCTTCTCTGCAAGCCCGCGTCAAGATCTCGCTTGTTCAATCAAGCACCGACGCCCACATGGTCTCTCGCTTGCTACTGCCTCAGAAGGGTGCGTGAGGCGGAGGAGACCCTCTGACACCTCGCACACTCGCCTCTACATCATCTTCACATCCATATTTATACTTGACACCATCTCCGCCCTAGTTCTTTTCTCTGTAAAACCCCCGGGTACTTTTTCCCCTTGGCTGTCACCTGGTCGAAAGCTCCGGCGAACGCTGGCCTTGTCTCTCTGTTTGGCTTCATTCTTGGAACAAGAAGTACAGCAACAGCTCTGTTCAGCCTGTTGACCGCCTACAAGCTTGCGGCACGACACCAACTAGGTCGACCGTTTCAAAGACACAGCTCCATCTCCCCCTCCACCTTGGGGCAACCGAGCGATTCCTAGCTACGCAAATAGCCCGAACCACGCTGCAAGCCACAAACCCGCCAAACCCTAGTCCTTACGTGCAAATCCTATCCGTTTGCCGCTTTCCACCACGCCATAGGACTTGGCACATCCAGCCACTCAGCGGTCAGGCATCCCCGGTCCATACCAGATCCATATCTCATCAGTCCTAGTCGCGTCAGGGCAATCTTCCCTCCCCCAGGGTATTCAAACTCTGCAAGTCCGCTCCGACTGCCCCTCCTCTTTATATACCCTTTTCCAACCCTTTCACACCAGGTCGACCTTGGACACTCCGTCTTTTGCGGTTCAACTAGCCGGAAGCTCGTTCTTTCAGATCTCTGCTTAGACCTGTAAGGCGTGGCAATGGCGTCCAAGTCTTCCAAGATCGGCCACGGGCTGGCCAAGGCCCTCGCCATCAACCTCGACGAGCGCCAGGCACAGAAAGATGCACTCACCCGGGGCGAATCGACATATTCAGTCAGTACCGCTGACTCTTACATTGAGGAAGAGCCGAGAAGTATCGACTGGGTGAGAGATCTCATTCCTTCGAGCCATGACATGGTGTACTACTTCCGCAGTCTGTTCCCCTTCACCAACTGGATTCTGCGGTACAATGTCCAATGGTTGATTGGCGACTTGGTTGCCGGTATCACGGTCGGCGCTGTCGTCGTGCCGCAGGGCATGGCCTACGCCAAACTCGCCGAGCTTCCTGTCGAATATGGTCTCTATTCCTCCTTCATGGGCGTCCTGATCTACTGGTTCTTTGCCACCTCCAAGGATATCACCATCGGCCCTGTCGCTGTCATGTCCACCATTACCGGCAATGTCGTCAACAAAGTCGTGGCAGAGCATCCAGATGTTCCCGGCCACGTGGTCGCTTCGGCGTTGGCAATCATTGCGGGCGCCATCATCTGCTTTATTGGCCTCGTCCGGTGTGGGTGGATTGTGGATTTCATTCCGTTGACGGCCATCTCGGCCTTCATCACCGGCTCTGCCCTCAACATTGCGGTCGGCCAAGTGCCAACCCTGATGGGCATCAAGGTCAAAGGATTCAATACCCGCGCCTCAACCTACTTGGTCATCATCAACACCCTCAAGTATCTCGGTCACACCAAGCTGGACGCCGCGATCGGCTTGACGGCACTGTTTCTACTCTACCTGATCCGATTCACCTTGAACCGCTGTGCAAAGAAATACCCCACCCGAGCGAAGCTGTTCTTTTTCCTCAACACACTGCGCACTGCGTTTGTGCTCTGCCTGTACATTCTGGTGAGCTATCTCTGCAACCGACATCATCGCAAGAAGCCCGTCTTCAGCATTCTGGGCCACGTCCCCCGTGGGTTCAAACACGCCGCGGTGCCAACGATCAACACGACAATCATCGGCTATTTTGCCGACCAGCTCCCAGCATCCGTCATTGTCATGCTCATTGAGCATATCGCCATCTCCAAATCCTTTGGCCGGATCAACAACTACACCATCAACCCCTCGCAGGAACTGGTGGCCATCGGGGTCACGAACCTGCTTGGTCCTTTCTTGGGCGCGTATCCTGCGACTGGGTCATTTTCTAGGACTGCCATCAAGTCAAAGGCTGGTGTGCGGACGCCTTTCGCCGGTGTCATTACCGCCATTGTGGTCCTTCTCGCCATCTACGCTCTTCCGGCCATGTTCTTTTACATCCCCAACGCTGGACTTTCTGCCGTCATCATCCATGCTGTCGGTGATTTGATCACCCCTCCTAACACCGTCTACCAGTTCTGGCGCGTCTCACCACTGGAAGTTCTCATTTTCTTCGCCGGTGTGCTTGTGACCGTCTTCTCATCCATCGAGAATGGTATCTATACCACCATCAGCGTCAGCGCCGCCGTGCTTCTCTTCCGTGTTGTCAAAGCACGCGGCCATTTCGTTGGGAAGGTCAAGATTCATTCGGTCGTTGGTGACCATCTGATCGAAGACAAATTCCATGACAAACCTCGCATGTCCGACGACGACCAGGCCACGCGAAATATCTTCCTTCCGTTGGACCACAACGATGGCTCGAACCCGTCCATTCATGTCGAGTCTCCGTACCCAGGAATCTTCATCTATCGGTTCAGCGAGGGCTTCAATTATCCCAATGCGAACCACTACACCGACTATCTTGTCAGGCACATCTTTGAGCATACGCGGAGGACCAATCCTGACTCGTGGCCACGGCCGGGTGATCGTCCATGGAACAACCCTGGCCCGCGAAGGGGCAAGTCTGAGCCAGATCGATCTCACCTGCCGACCTTGAAAGCTGTGATTCTCGACTTCTCGTCGGTCAACAACGTCGATGTCACCAGTGTTCAGAACTTGATCGACGTCCGCAACCAGCTCGACCGGTATGCAAGCCCTGAGGCCGTTCAATGGCACCTGGCCTGCATCAACAACCGCTGGACGAAGCGAGCTCTCGCCTCTGCGGGCTTCGGCTTCCCCACAGTCCCCACGGAAGAGCAGCATCGCTGGAAGCCTATCTTCAGTGTTGCCGAAATCGGCGGTGCATCATCTGCCGCCGCAGCTGCAGAAGACGAAGCCAACCGACGAATGTCTCGTCATCCCCACGACGAAGAACAGGGCGGCTCTCGACCAAACAGCAGCGGAATCTCCAAGACCGACGATATTACGCGAGCGCAGTACAAGGACGACTCCACGTCGAGCTCCAGCCAGGATGGCGAGCTATCGAAGCAGATTAGCGAGAGCAAGGCCTACGTCCGAACCTCGACCAAGAGAGTTGCTGTGGTCCACAGCTTGAACAGACCCTTCTTCCACATCGACCTGACGAGTGCCTTGCAGTCGGCGATTGCAAACGTGGAGCACCAAGAACAACTGAGAGCGGCCGAGGCTGAGCAAGTTGATGAGATACCTGGCAAGGTTTAAGATCGCTGAGCTGTGGGACATGTGCACACTACCCTTGATACCCTAGACTTCGTGTGGTCATTTCTCAGTTGCAAGGATCAGCTGGGATGGGCAAGTTACCTGCCATCAGACATCATGCGCGCCCCACAGAGTCAAAATTGGCTTTCACAGCGTCTGGGAGTGGCTAGTATACCTGCCCAGCGTTGATTCCCTGCGGCCTGCGCATACGACGTCTTTTTGACAGCGAGTCGCTGTGGACCATCGATTGCCGATGAGGAAAGTTGAACTGATGGACGGAAGACAGCGCGAGGAATTATATAATGATCTGCGGAGCCTTGCTTTTTGTGTGTTTTGGTTATATCCTTGGGGGATCCAGAATAACCGCTTTTTAACGACTCTTGTGACGAACAACGGACATGCACACATATATACATATGTAGGGATATTTACAAGCTATCAATGCCATCGGCGACACTGACACCCACCCCCATTCACATCCACACTCATATACTATTCGTTAATACTATACAATAATAGTGGTTTGGTTCTGCCTATCATGTGCTTGCTTGTTATATCTACAGACTCGCCTTCGTAGATGAATATACTCTCCCTCCGTGGTGCAACACCCATGGTAATCATCGTCTTGGGTGAAATTACGAAGGCATGTGAGGGATCGATCGAGGTGAAAGCGTATGGCCTATATCTACTGTACGTGTATTGCCTACTATATCTATGGCCAAGTGTATGCCTTTCCAACATGGCCGTTCAAAAGCTAATGCCGTGATTCTATCTTGGTCTCTTCTTTTCATTCATATCTGATCCCGTCTCGATTTCTGGGGATTCTCTAAGAATTCCTCGCGTCACCTCTCGGGAAGAACTCCTCCTCGTCCTCATCTTGATGATAACGAGGACGGTGACGAGGACGTGGACATGACCTTCTCAATGTCCATCTCGGTCCACATGACCATCCACAGGGGCCGGCCGCCCAGCTTCTCCATGACGCGGCGGCTGGCCGTGTTGGATCGGGAGACGTCGGCGTGCGCCCAGGTGTAGCGGCGGTGGATGTTTGAGGTGGCGGTTTTGGTGGTGGTGGTGGTGGTGGTGGTGGTGGTGGTGGTAGACTCGGTCGCCGCGCCCTCTAATCTACCCTCACCCCCCTTCTCCGCTGCTGTCGCTGCCGCGGACCGAGAAACGACCACATGCTGCCTCCTCAGGAGCTCCCGGCCCAATGCCACCGCCAGGCCCCGGCCGCGGTGCTCGGGCTCGGTGTGCAGACTCGACAGGCTGGCGTCCTTGCCCAGAAAGCCCCATCCGACAGGCTGGGAATCGCTGTGGAACAGGCCCAGGGAGACGTATTGGCGGAGCGTGTCCAGCGTGCGCGGGATGGGCGTGCGGTCCAGCACGGTCTGCAGGTGCGAGGGGCGCATGGGGCCGAAGTGGTAGTCCGGTGGGAGAGGAGGGGTGCCAACAGACGGGGAGGAGGCAGATGGGATGATGGGCGGTAGTTGTGCTGGTAGCGGGGAGGATATGATTCGTTCGGCGTCATCGTCGTCGCCCTTGGTGTTGTCACCAGGTTGATCTCGTGATGCTAACGACGACATTATTGTCGCGGACGGCGTCGGTGGTGGTGGTGGTGGTGGTGGTGGTGGTTCCTCCTCCACCCGGAACAGATACTTCCAGTACCCGTCGTCCGTCCGCGTCCTGGCCTCGACCGGGAAATGGCCCCAGAGCTTCTCGCTCACGGTCCCGAACAGGACCTTGTTCCGCGAGTACGGTGTCGAGAGGTACTTGCCCGCGCGCTGCAGCTCGAGCCACGAGGCCGGCGGCGCGGTCGGGAGCTGCGGCACGAGGTCGGCGCGGATGCACGCGAAGAGCGAGCGCATGAGGGCGCTGTGGATGGCGCGGGACGGGGGAGAGGTGGTGGTGGTGGTGGACGGAGGACTTGGGGATGGTGTTTGCGATGTCGAAGCCGACGCCGATTCTGAGGCGGTGCTTGAAGCCGTCGTCGACGACGGGAATGGATATCGTGCGTCGGCCTCCCAGCTCGCAAAGAGCCAGACCTGGCATTGGCCCGGGTTGGCCAGGTCGATGTGTGCCGCGATCCAGGGCTGCGAGTCTGCTGGCATTTCCCTTTCACCTCTCTCTTCTGCGCTCTTCTTCTCGTCCTGCCCTCTCCCCTGCGATGAAAAAGACCCTCTCAACCACCGATCCACGAACCCCGACTCCCCATCACCTGCCGTCGGCGTCTCACCCTCCACCCCGCGCCCTTCTTCCCGCGCGGCGTCAGCGGCGGTGGCGACGGCGACAAAGATCCTCGCCGACTCCGACACGGGCTGGTGCAGGTGGAATTGGATCCGGCGCAGCAGCGGGATGGAGTAGGGGAGGAGAGCCTCGAGCTTGTCCAGCAGCGAGGGGACCTGCGGCGGCGAGAGCGTCGAGGACCTGATTCCCGTTACCGCTTTGATGCTCTTGCTCTTCTGCGGTATTGTCTGCGGTGGCTCTTCATGTCCATTCGGCTGAGGCTGGTGTAGGTGACTCATCGCGGCCATGTTTGGGCCAACTAGATTCTCCCGAGTATTGAAGAGGCGTGGATGGATGGGTTGTGTGTCAACTGTTCAGATCCTCACTTCTGCTTGTCTTTTCTCTCCCTCTCCCTCTTCTCGGTGCTGACCTCGAACCAAACTCCTCAATAACAAAGGAACAGGTACACGTCCTCAACGTCACATTCAGAGGCAGATAGTGGAGTTGCAATGCGGCCAAAGACGTTAGTCATTCAAGCCCTGGCAAACCGCCCAATAACAAGGCTGCTTTATTGGTGGAACTGGACGTCCTTGTGAGAAGCGACGGAAGATCGAAAATCGAAGGTCGAATTCATGAATTAAAAGTCCTATTCAAGTAGTGGTATCATATCCTGACGCGGCTTCATGCTCGCACAAGCTCAACCCCGCTTCTTGCCAGTCCAACGAAATTCAGGTCAAGGCCTGTACAGAGCGCAAAGTCAAGGCCCATGCCGGTAAGGATATAGAATTCATTATACATGAGCCATCATCGATGAGAGCCTCACAGGTGTCGTCACATTTTGAGCTTCCAGAGCAAATATATAGCAGCCAGTCATCCTCGCCCCAACACTGCCAGAGCAATCAGGTCCAAGTCCAGCCAAAGACGTCGTTCGACATGTCTGGTCAGGAGGATGCTTTACGTCGTCCAAAGATTCCGCGCGATTTGGACTTGCTGCGCGGTTTCTCGGCCGACGTCTTTCGGTACGACCGCGACCTATCTTCAGTCTCGTCCTCCGAGTCGTTGTATTTCTCCTTGTAGATCCTGCGCCGGATTAGACAAGGCACAATGTACCACCGCAACGGTTACCAGCACTTACCAGCTGTTCCCAACCATACTCACACCCTTTGCCTCAGCCCGCCGATAGAATTTGGCCGCCTTTTTCAGGTCCTTCTTGCATCCGATGCCTTCTGCATAGCAGAAGCCCGCCTCGGTGAGGGCATCTGTGTCACCCCAATTGCCGGCGATCTCAAAACATCGGAGGGCGAGCGCCTTGTCTTGCTCGATACCCCAGCCGTTGAGATGCGAGACTCCGAGCTCGTATATGCTCAGCGCAAACTGGGCCCGGTGTGCCTTCTTCTCGTTGACATCAACGCCAGGCCTCTGACTTGCAGGGTCTTCGTCATCCGCAACTTCAAGCATTGCATAGTCTACAGCCTTGCGCAGCCATTGCACGCCTTCCCGTGGATTTGCTCGCATGCCCCAGCCATGACGACAGGCAAGGGCGTACAGGAGCATGGCGGTGGGATGACCCTTGTTGGCTGCGATTCGCAAGTGATATGTCGATTCCTTCAATTCACCCTGTTGATGGAGCTCAATTGCCTTGGCGACATGCTCGTCCGTGGAAAGGCCTTGGTAATTGCTGGGAGACCGACTAGTCGTTGGCCGAACCGTGCTTGTCGATCGTGACGAGTGTGACGCCTCTTCAACAGGTGATAAAGGGACAGGAGGGAGCATGAACGCAGAGGCTGCAGGAACAGGCTGGCCTACCGAGGGTCGCGAGCTTGAAGAATCATTCGATCTGAGAGACCCTGTCGGCGTATAATACGCTGTCGAGTGGGCGGCTCGGTCCGGGGCGGTGAAGGCGTGCTCCGTGTTGAGTTCAAAAGATGGACCCGACCTTTGATGATGTTGGTCTTCTCTGCTGGGTCGAGCCGATGGCATGGGAGATGGGATGGGAAGCTCGGTGCTGTTTTTCGCTTCTAATGGAGGCGTACAAGGAAACATTGGCTCTTGCCACTCAAAATGGGGCGTTGAGAGGCCCGAAAAGACTACCGAAGTCCGATCGGAAACCAATCGGCCTCTGGGCAAGCTGTAGGTTGCGTGAGTGTATGAAGACGTTTCCCCAGCCAGATAACCATCAACCGGCGACGCCGAGCTATCAAAAGAGTTCGCAGCGCGGAGCTGGCTCAATCGATTTGCGAATGTGCCTTTAGTCGGGCTCTTCTCGCTCTTGAGGTTGGTCATACTAACTGAACTCAAGGGCCGCGAGAAATTCCGGGTGGGAATCTTGTGAGTGGGAGACCCGAGTGAAGCGTTGGAGGGGGACCGAGTATGAGACTGGGCGTACGGGGAGATCGGAGAGTGAGGAGCAGACATGCCGCTGCTAGACGACAGCTTTCTGGACTGCGAAAAGGTCGAACCCGCATTGGAACTGGTATAGTCGTCGTCAGAGGCATCCTGGTACGGTCGGAGTCTGTTTGAGAAAGATCGTGGAGGCGCCAGAGTTGCGCTGAAGTCTGACTGAGAAGTGCCCGAGACCTGTCTTGAGAGTCCAGGCTGATGATGCAGAGCAGGGCTGCCGACGCTGTGGGGCGGGGATGATGGTCTCTTGGGTTCAAGAGGCGGCGGAGATTCCACTCGAGGGGCGCCAAAGTAATCTTGCACCTCAGAGGGTTCTTTGGCTTCCTGATCGTCGCCCGCCTTGATGGCGCTCACGTGGACTCGTTGGGAGGTAGGCCTGCTCAGAGGATGAGCAACTCGAGCGAAACTGCCGCCGCGTTCCTTGTCCCATGTTGGAAGAGGAGGGACCGTGTCAAGGCCATCGGACAGGGCTCGAAAGATCGGAGGACGATTGTTTTGATGTTCGGTCAGGGAATCAGTCACAATTTGAGGTGGCAGTCTGCTCATGCGTCGCTCGCCCGCTTTCCTGGTTTCCTCCAACTCTTTGGCCAACTTGCGACTTCGGGCAGCAATGGCATCCAATGGCGATAGTGCCGGGGGGACATCGCCGTCGAAATGTTGGATTCGGGGAGACAGTGCATTTCTCGACAGCGCGCTGGCCGAACGAGTGTTGTCGGGGGGTAGCTCGATGAAATTTGGACGAGTCATCGCCGGACGTGGACTTGACAAGCAGAATGAACTCTGTCTCCAGAAGGGGTGGCAACCGTGATTGTATGTTGCCTCTTTTGTTGATGGACCGTGTCGGAGAAAAGGCGAAATGAGGGCATGGATCGAGGGTCTGGGGAATCGGACAATACAAATGCAGGGTGCCCAGGAGGATCGAAGGGTGGCTGTGGTCACAGCTGGGGATCAGGTCCGACCAAACGAGCGTCTGGGGGCTGGCGTAGGAGTCGCAGCTGATGGGTGATAAAAACAGGATGTTGTGCCAACGGAGCTGGTGACTGAGAGTCGCCCAGAATAAAAATGATGACAAGTGAGCGACCAACAATAGCCCACACGGCGATAGGTTCAAGTCACTGTCAGTGTCGATGCGAAGCGAATGGCTGCGGTGGTAACGAGAGTATAGAAAAGACGGATGAGAAAACGAGTGATGATGTGACGGTAGAAGGACAATGGGTGTGTATGTGTGTGAATCGAGATTGATGAAAAGAGGTACGGAGTAGATGCAGGACGCAGGCAGGGAAAAAGATCGCAGTGGACGGAGTAGTGGGTGGTGTGGGTGGTGTGTCTGCGGGCAGACTGCAGGCGGGCCGTCAATGGCCACACACAGTATGCGAACTTTTAGGTTGGGTACGAGTAAGGTTGCAGCTTGCAGGTGGCAGGCTAGACACATGCAGACTGCAGCACTCTGGGCTACCCCCGGTTTGAAGATCATTCAACCACAACCTCTGGTGGCTCCGGTGGCTCTGGTGGCTCTGGGGGCAAGTGATGGAGTGATGTGCAGGCCATGCAACTCCAACCGGGGGCAGGCAAGTAAAGAGAAACACCACCAAAGAGAACAGGTGCCCCGAAAAACAAGAGTGACCTGCATACAGCAATTGGGGGCATCCCTGGTGGGTTGGGGTGGACCAGGCTTCCCCCTTGTTATTTTTACTTAGGGACATTTAGGGAGCCTATAGTACCCCCTGATGGTCGCCCAGGCTGGCAGCCGAACAAGCCTCCCGAAACCCAGACAGCCAGGGCAAGCCCTGTCATTGGGTGCAGGCCGGGGTTCTAAGCCACAGCTGCACTCCAATGGAGGCTAATCGACACTACTAGTTGCAGACCTCTGCTTCATCCTGTTTGGTGCCTTTGGATGGGCTCAGGGGCTGGATTTCTCGACCGCAATCCGACACCCAACCAACAGCATGTTGGGGATGCCATGGCAGGTCCAAGAGAGAGGGACATTGGTGGGTGAGGTGAGGTGAAGGCTGAGAGGCTGAGAGGCTCAGAGGTGCTACAACTGCTGGGTACAGATGATCCAGAAGCTTCAGGTGTTGGACGAGCCCACAAATTACGGGGATCGCGGTGCAACCCTCATCTTGTCGTCGACGGTGTGACTGTGCTATATCTGCAGCCCTGGTGACACGCTGGTTGACGCAGAAATTCTCCGACGTTGTTCTGCAGGTGATGGTTTGGTGCAGCCTGTTCCCTGCACCTACAACAGTGTCCCACTACATCTTCCTCCTCCTGCACTCTTTTTGCTACTACATACATACATTCCTCCTTCTACGAGAAAAAGGCTGTCGGACTGGCCCACAGTCAAGTCCATCTCCTCTAGCCCAAGATCTTGGGACCAACTAGCATGAAACTATCTCTTCTGGTGCCCTTTGGGTCCGTGACACCTGCAAATCTATTACGTCGTCGAAATTCAAAACGAGATCAAAAGCATGGCGCCTGATTGGTGCCGTCAAATTGCCTGTCACTTTTCTTCCGCACGCGACACTCTGTGCGGCCATTGTGTTGATCGCCGTCGTAGATGGGCAATTTGTTTACCTGGCGAGCCCTTGTCGAAGATAATTACATGGCACAGTCTGGCGAGAAGAGGCTTCTCCAGTGATGCTCCTCTCCTTATTGGCGATATTAGCCATATTTAATCTGGCGGCCACCTCGTCGCTATCTCGAGTGTTTTTCTTGAGGCTGCTGGGATAATCACAAATTACCACTTCAGCCACATTCCAGTCACTGTGCGAGCTCCCATAGGAACAGGCAAAACAACAGGAGAGCTGCCTGCCAATTACGGTGTCCAATGAATGAATGAACTTAACGAGGCCCATGGATTGCTCCCCCGCAAAAACAGCCAAAGACAAAAAAGCCACCAGCATCATCATTTTACGTACAGCTCTCAGCCTTGCTCCAACCATGGCAACGGCCGCCTGAGCCGGTACAGTTACTCGCTCCAACTATTCTGTACACTTGATGTGTGGGAATGCCAATATTACACGATTATACAGATCACAACGAGGAGGGCTACTCAGCACTCTTCTTCCTCCTCTTTCTTCAATGCATCCCTCTCCTCTTGCTGGGCTTCCTCTCCTGCCTCGCCCTGTATCTTTTTCTGCCGGAAGGCCTTCCTCAATTCGCATTTGCCCAGGTTCTTCCCTCCGGCCCGACATTCCTCGCACCTCTTTCCGTGCGTGACCAATAATATGTGTAGCCCGTACTTGTCCTCGTCCGGGATCATGACGTCCAAGTGCGCGTGTGTCTCATCTCTCGTGGCATTCTTGGGTCGCCACCCCAACAAGCCCGTAATGCGCCAGACGTGCGTATCGACAGCAAAGCTCTCTCGCTGGAGACAGAAGAGCAAGACACAGCTGGCCGTCTTGGGCCCCACGCCCTGGAAGGACAGCATCTCCTGCATGGCCTCTTCACTGGACGCCTGGTGTAAATGGTCCAGCGAGTACTTGCCATACTTTTCGTGGGTCTGCTTCAAGATGCTCATGATGACTTTGCTCTTGACCGCGCTGAGTCCGCCGCATTTGATAGCCTCTTGAAGCTTCGCTTCACCTCCAGCAACAATAGCGTCCCATTTATCGCTCCCTCCATATACCTTGTCCATGCTCTTCTTCGCCCGCGTCGAGTTGACGTCGCTCGTGTTTTGGGAGAGAATGGTGCGGACCAGCGCGTCGAGGACGGTGGGAGAGTCGCCGCATCCTGCTCGCGTAGTCGAGGCGACCACTTCTTTGGGTCGGATCCGAGGGCCGTGGAGGGAGGCAAGGATTTTGTGGGCGAGCTTGCATTCTTCAGATGTCGGGTGGTGAAAGTCCGGGAATGGGGATTGGTTGGCAAACTGGGCATAGGACTTGAGTTTCTTCGCCTTCAAATCGGAGGAGTCTGACTTCTTGGGCTTGGATTTCTTTGGAGAAGGCGCCAACGTGTGTGGCTCATCAGACGGAGTTGGGCTGATCAAGCCAATGTCGTCCTCCTTTTTGACCCTTTTCCTGGCTGGTGTCTCTTCTGGGTATGACGAAGTGCGCCTTTTCTGAGGAGTTCCCTGCTCTTGTTTGACGATTATGCCATCTTGATCTTGATCCTCCTTCTTGACCTGAACATTGTTTCTTCCTTTCACCGGTGCAGATACAGTGCTCCTAGTTACTCGTCGGACCCCTGAAGCAGCTGCCGATACGCGCCTTGACATGTCTGGGTTAATTGCACTGGTCCGGGATTAAAATGGGAGAGCTGCTCTGAACAGTGACTGTCGCCAAGGGCCTTGCAATGGCGACGACGCGGGAAAGAGAGGCGTTTCTCTAGACGACGACGCGCAGGAATAGCGGCCTGAAGGTGGCTCTGGTCAATCACGAGGGTGAGCCTATACGCCTTTGGGCGGGGCTTTGCAATCTGACAGATACTCACTCACTATTTCTGTTGTAGAGAGACATCAAGCAGCGACAGAATCAGATCATCGAAGACATGTTCCTGAAAAGGGGGAGACCAATGTCATGATGTCAAGGACTTGTGTGGGACATGTCGTGCTTGTTCGTCAAGGATGATCTTCGGCGGCCCTTCAGTCACGCACAGCACGCGGGGTGCAGGACTAATGGCCGTTGACAACGATCGTCAGAATGGCTGGACGCTCTCCGTCTCGTGGCCGGAGGCAGCAGCAGAAGAGACATTTGCCAGCGACGAAGCAGTGGGCGCTGTCTCTGATATAGAGCCGTTCAACTGCGCACACCGGCCGCATGTAGGCATAGAGACTCTGCACCTGGATCCTTCTGCGCCCTGCGCTCAAGACATGAGGCATCCACCAATTCCTATACAGCCGGCCACTCTCCTTCGCCTCCACGCCCCAGTTCCTAGGCACAGACGACGAATATCGGATGTATTTGCTGCCTTCACAAGATCTAACAGGACCTTCATGTCAGATTTCAGGATGCAAACCTCACATTGAATGCCAGAGCACAGGCTGAGCTATGGCTTTGCTTGGGGTCCGGCACAACCTACCTGCCCGCTAAGAGCAGACGCAAACATTCATTATGCCAGACTTCACTTCCCAAAGCCATCGCTGTTAGCACAGACCTCACTCTCGCAGCAGCGCTTGAAAAGTTCCCTCTTTTCGTCAACTCGCCTCAAATTCGCGCCCCAATCCCCACGACATCATCGCGAGGTAAGCAAGCGACGGAACCAGCGCGACTCCTTCTCGGCGCCCTCAGCCTTGTGTCTCCTTTTCACATGGCAGCCTCTTCTAGCGACGGCCTAGGCGCCGCGCCCACAAGTGCAGCGGCCATGCCGATGTCTGCGATGTCTGCGCCTGCGAAACTCTCCTTCTACGACTTTCCGGCAGAAGTGCGCCTGGAAATCTATGAAATGCTCTTCTGTTACTCCGGACCGATCCAGCTCGTTCTCGACAATGACGGCAAGATCAAGCGAGATGACACTCATTTGCGTTGGTTCGCTTCCATTCCCGTCCATGCTTTCACCGTCGCGAAGAAATTCGGTCAAGAGGCTGCTTCCGTCCTCTACCAACGCAACAAGTTCAGCATGGATTGGGAGAACCTCAGAAAGTTCTTGCCGAAGTGGGACCAGGGACTCAGTAGCCATCTGGGAGCCATCACCATTTTCTGTGCAGGCGGGCCAGCATGGGGCTTTGTTTCTGTCACCAGAAAGTTGGCCGACAAGATGCCAGGTCTTCGTGAGATCCATTTCGAGCTTTGGGGTTCACTCAGACTTGCCGCTGCTGCCCTGGAAACCTCCAGTGCCATAACTCCTTGCGCCTCTGTGTTCCCCGGACCGGAACTGGAGCTCGCTGTTCAGCCCATCAAGTTTTCATTATACGACGCAGGTAAGGGCGGGCCCGATTTTGACGCCATCCGCACCACCCTCCGACGGGACTATGCAAAGCTGGCAGATATCTGGCCCCAAAATCTTCCCACGAGCAGTATCACCCGGTTCTTTGCACCGAATTTGTCTGTTATCAGATTCAGCGGCAGGATCTCTAGCAATGTCCTTACCACAATCCTGCGACACCGATGTCTGCCCGGCGATTGTTTCTGGAAGGATGTTACTCAAGAATTAAAGGAAGGTCACACCGACAAGCTCACTGGGGAGCGCAAGAATTGCGGCCAGAAGACGAAGAAGCAAGACAGCGACCCGAACGGGTCTTTTATCTACTACAAATGGACGGCCAAGGATCCTCTCGAAAGAACAGACATCCCGGAGGTCAACATGCGCCAGTGGTACCCGCCACTTACAGAGAGGGAAAAGCAGAAAGTGAGGGATTTTGCCAAGGCCTTCGAAAAGCGTGACAATTCCGGCCCGGACGACGACTCTAGTCCTGGAGAACATGAGACTGTCGGCCACAAGAGTGAGAGTGCATCCGAGATGAACGCCTTGCCCAAGGGAGCTGTACCTGTGACGGGATCGGAGTCGACTGATCATGGTGGGCCGACTGAAGATGCTTCGTCTGCGAATGCCGAGAATAAAGAAGCCGGGTCTGCACAGGAAACAGAATCTGCGAGCACAGCGTCCGCCGATGAAGTCCTTCGGGACTTGCGGGAGTTGGCATTCGCCGACTGCTTTGAAGAGCTCGACTCGGAGGCGCTGCACAAAGATCCGGAAGACGTCAGAGACGCACTGCTCTATACGTTTGGCTTTTTGGGGCTCGATTACCCGCTGAGACAGACACCGAGGGGATTTTGATCGGAAGCAGCTCTGTCCACTCCACGCCGACCCAGCACTTTCAGATCATTGACTCGGGAATGAGGCTCTGTTTTACTTCTTTTGTTGCCATTATCATGACGACTACCACATCACAAAAAATGTAATAATGATGCCGAGTGATGGGATCGCGTTGTTTACGGCCAGACATAGCAATGGTGTGCGGATGAACATGATTTTGGATGAGAAACAGAGACTTTGTCGGCAACAGTGGCCCGCCACAACGGGCTGTGAAATACGCAGATGGGCTGGATGGAAAATTTTGAACCACCGATATTAAAAAAAAAGGGAACAAAGGACAACAGCAACCAAACACGGTATTTCCTGGTGGTGTCCAACAGATCTTGGTGTGGTCAGATGGCTGGCAGGGAGTGGTGAATGTCGTCGAAATCGAGCTGGTGACTTGAGACAATGATACCTCATTGGCACGCCCCTCCCAGGCCATTCAACACGATGGCTGAATGTGGCGCATTCTGGTTCGTGCTGCGCCCGTGCAGTCTTGTGTCTCGAGCTTGAGGATTGGCAGGGGTAAACAGCAATCCACGAGTATCTCGCCCCCTACCATTGCAGTTCCCTCTACAGCTTTCGCCCTCCATCAGGCTCGGAGACCGATAGGCATCGTGGTGGAATCAGGCTGCCTCTGCAGCCGGTGAGTCGAATACAAAAACTGCGACTTCTTGATGTTCTCCGTTAAGCTCGTGCCATTTCGCTCTTCAAAGTGTGAATTCAAAGTCTGAAAGCCTCACGATCATCAAGATCACATCATCCTGACTGAAAAGCCAACGCTCTGGCAATGAGTCACTCGTCAGGTTCGGAGCAGCGTAATGCTTCGAGTGAGCCGCGCTTCTGCTCCAGATGCCAATGGATCAAGTTTGATGTATTGGCGAACATACCAGCCTCGACGTTGTATAAGGGGTCTTGTCGGGTCGCCGTGAAGCTGCTGTATTCGTGGAATCCCTCTCGACGTTATAACGATGGCAAGTATGGGTACAACCTTGGCCTGGATGCATTATACGTCTACGTCCGTCTTTTGGAGACCCCATCCGATTGGCGTCTTCCACACGACATCATATGGGTGCTTCGCTATGCCGTGACTAGCAAGTTCAATTGTGACAGATTCCCTATCCCCTGTTTCCTTGACGAGAAGACTGTCTAACATTCTACACTTTAGGGGCCCCGGGGGTAGACGATTGAGACCTAGATGCGACAGTCGCTTTGGACGTGCCATGGCGGAGAGTTCCAACACGAGAACGGCAGAAAATTGCGGAAGAAGATGGACAGTGCTCGCTATGGCCTGAAACCCCCCCCCCCCGGGGAAGTTTGAGCCATTCCCTCCCGCGCCATTCTCATTGACGTTGATGCTTGCCCACCCAAGCTCGTCAGGTCCAGCTCAGTGCGTGACCAAGAAGACCCCGATTATATACCGCATTTCGCTGTCCTGAGCTACTGCGGGGGTGATTTCAAAACCCCCAGGTTCCCGCCCGGTGTGGTCAGCTTCGACTGCGAAAAGCGGTTGATGCGGCTCGCATCCGCGGCCGTGAAGGGAAGATCCGACGGCCAAAGGGGCTGCCTTGGGCCTGGTGGTCGAGGGGGCGCCATCCACCGTGTCGGCGATTTGGCATCTTCCTCTCCAAGCCTGCTGACGGATGGGACGGGACGGATGCGGGCGGCATGAATATCTTTGAAGGGTCGGAGAAGGAGAAGGTAGCTCTTGAACGAGGAAGGGGTGCTTTTCTCGTCGTCGATATCTATTCCCAACATTGGTTGGAGACTGGTGAACAAACAATGCATTGTTTCTGAATCCTGTGATCGCTCCCAAGATGAGAGAACCCCGGAGAGGCAAACGATACAGACAGCGCGGTGGAAAAACGAGAGGCTGCAAGAGCCTGGCGGCGACAGAGAGCCAGAACCATACCGTACCGTACCGTAGCAGCCTCAGACCCGACTTAGACTTAGATACCGACTCCCGGTCTGGCACCGCCGTGAACCGCAACGAAATCGAATCCTGCCTGTCAGTAGATTAGAGCCCATATCGACCCTGGGCGCACTTCCAAGAGATGTACATGGGCAACAAGAAAAACCCCGTACCATTTTCGCTCAACACGCCGGACCTTGCAAGTCTTTTTGTGCATCCCGATCTCAGCCTTACCGTGTGCAGAGTTCTTTAATATCATGCGACTACACCTCGAGGGAGGCCAGCCTTGTACAACGGGAACCAGGGAGTGGCGGTCTTGCGGCCTTGTTGGGTCTGTACCTCGTAAAGGAAGCTGGGTGGGAAATCGTCGGCCAATCAATCACGTCACCTCAGCGTTAGCATGGACGTTGCAGGGGCGGTAAGTCGATAGATCGATAAGTATTAAGAGAGGGAGGAAATCTTCAGTAGCCAAAGGGTCATCGAGTTCCATTGTCGTGAGATACCTATCATGTCATGTCATGTCACATCGTAGCCACATCATATCAACGTGCAGAGTGCCCCCCGGAACATCCAAACGCAATGCAACGAGAACGGTGCAATGCTGCTGCTCGTGCACCTGGCTTGGTCAGGCGCCCACGAAGCACACACAACCAAGGAAGACCCAATCATGCCGGCTCCCTCGCTTGCCTCGTCCGCCCCTGTGGGACCTCAACGAACCAGCCCTTTATTCAGCGCCACATTCCTCCCCATCTCCTCCTCGTCCTGGTCGCGGAACTCAATGCCCAGCTCGTCGAGTCCGTCACTGCTCATGGATCCCCCCAGCAACGACCCGACTCTCCGCATCATGCCAATACTTCTTCGCACCCTATGGCTTCTCCCGCCATCTTCGTGCGCATTTTGGAAATCCTTCGGCCCGCTCACCACGGCCGCTGCCACTTCTCCGCCCCCACCAACAGCACTACCTCCGTGGTGGCCGTGGTGGAGAAAGTGGTGGTGGTGCGAAGAATCCGGCCCGTTCTGCTGATCTTCAGAATGTTCTCTTCTCCACTTGGCAAAGGTGCTACTCTTCCTCCCCTTTTTCATATCCTGCGTGAGTGTGGCGCTGGGTTGAGGCGGCCAGTTCCCTTCTGATTTCCACCCTTCCACCAATGCGGGGATCATGTGACATAATGGGATGGGCACGTTGGGCGTGAGGCCTTGGACCACGATTTTCGAGTAGATGGTTGGGTACGCCGAAGGTTTTATGCGTTCTCGAATGATGTTGTCTTGGGGAAGTATGGGAGGGTAGATGGGTATCCAAGGACCAGGTTCTGTAGATGAGGAGGATGATGGCGACGACGGCGGTTGAGAGGTCGAGGAAGGCGAGAGAGGTTCAGCGGTGGTATTAGTGGTAGTTCGTGTGGCAGCCGACGTGGCTTCGACGCTGTCTACGCTTGAGCATTCTGGCGTAGGTGAAGCCGGTGACCCTGGCCAGCTTGTCGAGCCTCCATCGGTAGAGTTGGGCTGGTCCCCCTTGTGTCCCGTGAAGACTTGAGACAGGCGAGATTTGTACGAAGGCCTTTTCGTTGTCGACGATGGCCGTCGTTCGGTGGGTTTGTTGCTGTTGGGTTTCTGCTGCAGAGCCCCTGTCCAGGCGTCGCGACGCTCAATCCAGGTTTTCAACCCCTCATTCCAGGAGACTTCCTCTTCCTGCATTTTTCTGCGTTTCCTCCTGCGTTCGGCAATCACCGTTCCTACCGCCTCGGGGCTTTCGAACTTGTATGGGTCGCTTTTCGCCCGGCGTTTGGCGGCCAACTCCTCGATTTCTAGGTCGGATTGGGCTTCTTCGCGTAAGCGGTATGTGAGAGGCTCGCGGTAAGGGATGGGCGATCTGCCGCCGTTGTTGACGGTGGGTGTCGGCGGTGGAGGCGGGGGCCATTCCCAGTCGTCTCGCACCATGGACAGCACCATGCGTCTGGCGGCTCGAGTGGCCTCTGTCCTCGATGTCGGGTCGGTCGGGGACGGAGACGAGAGGTCTGAGCTGTAAGAGCTGGCATTTGAGCTTTTTCGTAGGCGTTGAGTCAGCGTGTGGAAAAAGGGAGCAGAGGCATGGTTGTGGCCATCGAGAGACGGTCGAGGCGAGTGATGAGCCATGGGAGGTCGTCAAAGTAAGGATATAGCGGGGAGTTCCGATGAGGTGGTTTGCTTTCACGAGACTTGTGGAGTGGTCGTAAGCGGTGTGCAAATGGGTTAAAGATGGGATAGACGTCACGGCGTCGAAGTCATGGAACACTGGTAGAACGGAGAGAGGAGAGGGAGAGCGAGCGAGCGAGATGGGTTTGAAGGCGTCCGGTAAAAGCACGCAACTCACACGAGCAGGCAGGGCGGAAGGCCCAGGCAAGGGCAGTGGATGCGTGTGCAACAAAGCAAACAGCCCACCCGCACATCATGGCAAAGGCGAAAAAGAAATCCGAAGAGCAGCGAGCGCATGGGAAGTTGTGGGCATTTGTGGGCACTGGGCAGTGTGGGCTGGTAGGTGGGCGTGCCTAGAGGCCGCGCCCAGCGCCCGGTAACTAGTCCCGTCCAGGCACCTGGTGCCCGCAGCCGCCCAATCGCCTCAAGCGAACCGGGTCTCTCGGCTGATCCGCAAAGGCTCTCTGGACCGCCCAAAGCAGCATTGCTTTACCGGCACCTTAGGGCCAGAAAAGCATGCCACCATGCCGCAAGCGTCGTGGATTACGCAAGCTTCGCCCGGGGTAAATGGTTTAAGCTTTGCCAAAGGGCCTTCGGGGCCTCTGTGAGTCTCGTGGCGCCCAGACCTGCAAAATCCGGGGAACCAGTCGCCCAAGTCGGAAAAGGCCCTTGCAGCCCAACGGCGACTGGCCGATTTCATCGTGTCTCATCTATCATCGATACCAACAGAGCCGTCAGAGGGAAAGCAGTGTCATTATCCAACCTCACACGTCAGCTCTTTTGACTGTATGGCGGTGTCCAAGATGCAGCACAGTTCATGACTGCTGCGACCTTTCAGCTGGTATCACAATTGTCCAGCCCCTATCCGCCGTAGTCCCTGTACATCCTGCGTCCCTTTTCTTTTGCCTTGATTGTCCTGTTTGCTTGGGATTGACTGTCGTTCCTCAGGCACCTCGTCCGGAGGCCCTCCCAGACTCCTCATCCCCCCTATTCCTGGCTCTGGTCCCCATGGCACTTCTCCATTCCTGTGACAACTTCGACCTGTATGATGGCGGCCGTGTGGCCCCAGCTGCAGGGCCCAGGTTGAACAGCGCCTCCAGCACGTCCCTGCTGAACTGGATGGTTGGCTCATTGAGGGGCAAGGTGTCTTTTGAACTTGTCGGAATGTACGCTGGCTCAGGTCGTGTGATGAAAGGCGTGGGAGGTTCGGTCTCGGTCTCATCAAGCGGAAGCGGAACGTGGGAAATGGGGGTGCGAGAAGATGGTCGGATTCCAAGACAGCGCTGCAGGCGATGGAGCCAGAACGGTGACGCGAGGTATGAATATCTGACGATCCACGCGAGACAGACGAGAACGCAGATGGTGATCCCGACTATCGCGCCAGGAGAATGACGGCCGTCATGATTCATCGCCTCCAGGGTGTCTGACGGGTCTGGCGTGGCGCTGGGCGCGGCATTGCTGAAGGAAGGCAGGATCGGTTGCGCTGGCGTCGGCATCTTTCTTTGCTCGGTTCTTTGCACAGCGTCGTCGCGTTGGTGTGATGGCTATGTAGGCTGGGGATATATATAAATGACTACGAGCTCGCTTTTGGCAGCTGAGAAAACATAAGAGAACAAATTTCACACAGGTACCGGCAGTAGTGACGATCCAGGGCCCAGGGCAAACGACCAAGTATTGTTCATTGATTGCACTCACCACTATCTCACTTGACCATTCAATGTCAGTTCTGTCTTGTCCAACCATCAGACGTCTTTCTCCAGTCTCCCTCCAAAATGTCTGATATCTGCGCATCGAAGCGCGGTACAGATACAACCTCCAGCCGTGTGGGGCGTCAATCCTTCAACGCTGTTGAAATGGCGGTTATCGTGTAACAGACGTACGAGCCAACAAGCGCTGTTTCATCCAATCTCCTGGGTTTGTCACCATAACTTCGTAACATGTACAGTTGACATGCCGGTATTGACGGTGGCGAGAACGCGTCCAGGCATCGTGCTTCACCTTCGACATGAAGGGCGTGAAGGTCGTCGGCGGTGAAGCACATTCACACTGAAGAAGTCTCCTGCCATCTTCTCGTCGTCGGGTAGAAACTGGCAGAAGCACAAAGACAATCCCCTGGTACTGTATCGTGAGATTCGTTTGAAACAGGAACCGAGCATTGCCCACTCTAAGCAGACTCTTTTTTCGATCTTCATAAGCTTCTATCATCGAAAGATTGACGCCATCCAGAGCAAATGGCTTGTGCCTTTGACTCTTCCCAATGTGCCATCTAGAACTCTATCTCTGTTGTAGACCAAGATAGCCAAGGCAGCGCCGTTATCCTTCTCTAGGTAGGAATCCGTTTCTGGTAGGTTGAGAAATGAAGCAAGACGAGCCACAACGCAATGATGTTCGCAATGTAATGTAATCTGTACGCGTAAGTCATGCCGTACAACGCCGCATAGACAGCCAGGACAAAAAACAACAGGTTGGTTGCCCATCTGAATGACCGGACAGATGGCACCATCTTCCCACTTGACAGAGTTTCCACCAAAAGGATAAAGGGCATTATTGACAACACGTTGTGATGTGAGGAGAACGGTGTCAGCCAGTGCACCGCCAAATTATGGACCCAAACAACCAGGACCGGAACATTAATCGGCAGGACCCAGAGCATTAAAATCAGTATCGAGTATGTGTAGTTGAAGAAATTATGCGCCGGCCCAGATCTTGAATCTTTGGCGTGGCGCAACGCCCGTGCGCAGGTAAAAAGTTGTACAATGCAGGCCACAACGTAGGCAAATGGATAAGGAATGATGGTCGCAACGAGGAACAGGAGGACGGCAGTGTTGATCGCGCGACGACGGGGCGTACTTGCAACGAAGGCAGAAGCCATCCCCTTTTCACCGTCGTCAGCTTTCAAGTAGCGTTGTGATATGAAATTTGATAGGATGACAATGAAGTGAAGTAGTCCCAAGACCGCGTAGTTGACTAAAACGCAGGCGCCGACACTAAGCAGGCCTGCTAGAGGGACGAGAAACCAGAAGAATGTGTCCTGAGAACCCAAAAGAAGGTCGTTCTGGGTAAAATCGACTGCCGTCCCGTTGGTTTGAGTATAACTGCTCGATACGATATTTGCTGAGCTTGCTGTGGTAAACGCAGTAGCAAAGAACGTCATTGATAGCATCAACACAGGGAGTGGCAGCCTCAAACTCTGGTCGAGGCTTTCGGAGAACGAGATAAAGATCCCGGAGTTGTCGTAAACTCGAAATTGCTTCCGCAAGACCATTGCCACGACCAGGAGAGGAAAGACTGCAAAGACTGTGCGGTATCTGATCACAAGCTTGCCGAGGCTTCCGACAGGGTCCGCCCGCAGGCGGATCTCTAAGGAAGAATTGCAGGTCGGATCGGACCAGATCTGGAAAGCCACTCCTGCCTTCGACTCCCGGCCATCGAGTGTAGGTGGCATAAATGGAGCGACCCCATGAAGGTTGACATCTCCTTGTTTAAAGTTGACAAAGTACTTCGACTCGTACGGACTGTCGATGTGCTGCCTCAACAAGGGCGTGAAAAGTTCTGTGTCGGTCCTGCATCCGTGCTGGCGAATTTGGAGCGTATACGCCAGTAGGCTCGATCGAATGGATGGCACCCGAATTTCTGTCACTAAAGGACGGCTAGAAGGGAGTTCCAGACTCAACCCCCGAAGCAAGAGCATCGGCAGGCTCACATCAGACGCTACCACAGAGTCTGAGGCAGAGACAATTTCTGCATGCGCCCAGCCATGATTCCTTTCCGCAGATTTGTCGATTATCGCAGCAAATTGGTGGTCTTGGAGATCTCTCAAATCGTAGTTCAAAAAGGTGAACGGCGGCTGTTGCTCGAACGGAAATTGAGACAGCCTTGTCGAAGCAGGCAGTCGGATGCCATCTCCGGCTGGTCTCTTACAAGCAAGTCTCGTTGCGCTAGGATCGCCAGGCGAGAGATCGAATTGAATGGGCAATGGCGTTGAAGTGAACCCTCCAGCGAGTGGAAAGGCGCTGCAGAACAATACTTCCATTTTGTCAAAGCCACCTTGGGCATCCATCTGTTGATCCGTCAGGAGTGAGAAGAACTTCGAGGTAGTATTGTCCACGGAGGGAATCGGGAGCAAGACTGCGGACATATGGTCATTCAACCCAAATTGCCGCATAGTAACGTTGTCCTCCTTGGCCACGGCTGACCTTGTCCCATCACCAAGCGTGAGAAGGACTTCGTGTGGCGCATCACGCATGTTCTTTGGTGCATTATTCTCTAGGCCCGTCAAAAACCACTTCCGGAAGACTTTCATGCGCTCTGATCGTGGCTTGGTCTGTGCCGCTCGGCGAACATCAACCACATCGTACAAAGATCTAATAATGACCTTTCGCATTTGATCCGCCCAAGTAATCGCGAGATGATCCATCGAAGTCCAGACACCGGGGATGGTGGAACTGAAGACCGTGAAACCATGGCTTTCGGGAACCAGAGAGGCAATATTCGTGTAGTCGGAAGGCACGGTGGTGTCTCGACCTCCTCCGGCGATAGATATTAGGGTTGTATGCCATAAAGGATTATTGCTGGCCCAGCGCTGCAGGTAGGCTTCTCGCCAGTACTCGTTGACTTGTTGGTACAGTGACACAACGTCTGCGTCAAAGGAGACCGGTGGTCGTGCATGAGGCGTAGACATGGTGATAATGGTATTGACTGAATTTGCCTGGTATTTTGGAGTCGCAAGGACAGTGCGTGCGACAATCCCACCCATCGAATGCCCAATGAGGATAACAGAGCTCGGGTCCGGCAATTGCGAGTCGCGACGGAGGCGGTTGCTGTCGACATACAAGGAGAGGATGTAGGCAATAGCTTCATTGACGTATTCGGCTTGATCCAGTAGCGTCTGGCCGTGGAACGCAGAGAGATCCTCGTTGAAGTTGATGGTGAAGAAGTCGAAAGACCGTACGCCGGCTTTGATGGCCTCGGCGTCATGCCGCAAGACGTTGTGGAAGTGGCGGGAGGACTCGGACGAGAGGGATCGAACCTGCTTGTAACTCCCAGCATTCCCCGGAATGAAAAGCACCGGAGCGCCTCGCAACCCAATGTTATCCCTTGTGTATTCGTCGACCCCCTCTTCCCGATACAAGTACAGCGAATATTTGGTTGCAAAGCGCGAATGTTCCGTATCAAAGCCGGAGAGCTTGATATAGGTTGGGGCCATCATCGACATGACGCATCCCTGAGGATCGACTTGCAACCGGAGGGACGAGCGAACGATGATAGAGAGCGATAGGAGAGCGAGGGCAGTCGTAATGATTGTAAGAGGCCGCCATGTCCACGGGCTTTGAGCTCGAATCTTGCGTAGACCTCGGACGTCAGTGTCTGTCTGGCCGTCGCCCGCCTCCTCCTTGGGCTTCAGCAGCATCGTTGCCGCATTGACGTCTGGCCCAGGCCAGGGATTTTAGTTTGGGAGGAGGAAGCACGGTCTGGTCTTGGGAAATCGAGCAGAACTTGGAGCGGCGAGAGGCTGGGCTCGTGGTTGCATTCGGCAGGAACGGAAAAACTAAAAATCCGCCTGTGCTAGTCCAATCAAGGCCATTGAACACGCGTCTCCTTCTTTTTCTTTGGGGCGATCCGCTTCTCGCCGTTGGCAGCCGTTGATCATCGCCGTCCAGGCCTGGTGAGCCACGTGACTAGGCTGAATATCAGCTCAGCCTCGGCGTAAAGTACGTTGCATCCTCCAGGTAATGTCAAGCACATCGTCCAGACAGATACGTTGCTCAGATCGAAAGTCAAGGTTGATAGGTACTCCTTTCATCTTATTGCACTCTACAACACTTTCATCAGGAAGCTATGGGATTACCAATTCGGTCGTATGCACAAACTCCATCGCCCCTTGAAAACGCCAACCTCTCCCAAGCTCTTCGATTTAAGCCACGAGCACCCCTCTATACCGCATCTTCCCACTTTCCAGGGTCTGAAATGCTTCATCGACGCCACTTTCTGTCAGGGGGAAGGTCTGGATGATGGGCTTCAAGCCATGGACGGCCGCGAAGTCGAGCATTTCCCGATGGATTTGCCGTGCGGCAACCAGGCTGCCCTGCACCTTCAGGCCGCTCATGATGATGGTCATGTACGGCATCTTCAGGTCTTCCGAGCTGACGGTGAGAGGGTAGATGGTGCCGGATGGCGCCATGATGGGGAGGTACATGTTCCAATCCGGTTGTGAGGCGGTTGTGACGAGTAGGTGGTCGATCGGGTTAGACACCTTCAGCTCCTTCTGTCCATTGGTAGCATAGAACTCTTTGGCGCCGAGTCTCATGGCTTCCTCTCTCTTGCTCTCCGTGCCGGAGAAGACGGCAACCTGGCAGCCCATTGCCGCAGCAAATTGAATGGCGAGATGACCTAAACCGCCGACGCCAATCACTCCGACGCGGTCGGAGCTCTTGACCCCATGGAATTGGAGGGCGTTGAAGACCGTCGCCCCGCCGCACATCAGGGGAGCAGCGTCCTCCAAGCTGATCGCTTCAGGAATCTTGAACAGGAACTTCTCATTCCACACCGCGTGCGAGGCCAAGGAGCCCTGGTCAAGATTGGCCGATCCGTAATATTGCCGCTCCGAGCAGAAGGTCTCCGCGCCACGGAGGCATTGCTTGCAGTGGCCACAGGCGTTGTGGATGTACCCCCAGCCGGCTCGGTCGCCCTTTTTGAATGTCGTCACGTCCTTGCCGATTTCCTCCACGATGCCCACGCCTTCGTGGCCGAGGCCCATGTCCATCTCTTTGTGATGCAGATCGGTGCCACAAAGGCCACTGTGCGTGATCTTGACAAGAACCTCGTGCGGGCCGATCTCGCGGCGGGAGGTGGCTTTGACAATCCCGTCCTTGCCGCCCTTGAACACTGTGAATTCGACCATCTTGATTCTTGTATAGAAGGGAGTTGTAGTGGTGGCCCTGTTTACGGCTTTGTTGGAATGTTTCGAATCTTGTAGAGACTTGGTTGTTGGAAGAGGATCTTGCTGGATGTAGCACAGGACACAGACGGAAGTTGTCTTCTCTCTCTTCTTATACACTTCTTTTCAGCTGGATTCGGAGAGCCATTACTAACCTGCAAGGCTCTCCCGTCATTGCGAGGATCTAGCCGTGGGAGAATTGACATCATTGTAAAGTCAGGTCAAGTCAGGCCTCGACCAAGACCCGGTCAGAGATTTCGCTGCTTGCCCTTTGGCATTTCAAAGCGGACCTAGACAGAAGCATTCAAAGTCAATGGCTTGCAGATGTCGGCTAGCCTTGCATAGTGGTTTTCTCTCCCGCTTCCCTCTCTTACTAAGCCGCCCGGCCATGTATCCGGAACCCACCGTGGATCGCCGTCGAGCAAAGTCGGTGTTGGCCATCCGCAGCCAACCGGAGGAATTCGGTTGGCCATGCGCCTAGAGCCCAACAGCTTCCTAGAAGAGACGTCGATTGTTCCCTGGGACGGGATTCCCGCAGCGCCTCGGAGCCATGTGAGGATCTCTCCGTCGACGACGTGATCTCCGTGACGGCATCGCGGGGAGACAGCTTGGTAATCGCCTTCTCTCGGCGGATAGTGGGCATCTGAAGGCCATGTCATATTCCACGGTTGATCATTAGGGGTCGATGACAAAAGAGAGCAGAGCGACAGCACCTCAGCACCACCAGTGAATCCTTATTCGAATCCCCGTAGCCGTTTAGAGAAACTTGCCCCGGTGGGCTTGTATCTCGAGAGCCACATTGACTACTATTGTCACAATCCGCTTCTGCAGGCACTATCTAGACGACAGAGGACATCAGACCGAACATCAAGCAGAACCGTCATCCACTTGATCTGTTGGGATGGGATATACATGAGCGATTCCGCTATTACCTTTTTGTATCTGAGCACCTGTCCTAGCTACTATCAGCGCTGCGTCATTTGCTTGAAATCTGCCATTTGAATCTTCCTCGATTCCTCCTTTATCTCATCTGCATTCAGAGCAATCCTTCTTGTCTTGAGCGGTCCGATTCCGACTCAACGTGATCCTGTCTAGACGTGGCCGACTCTTTTTAGCATCCCAACTGCTGTCGTCTCAGACTGCACCGACTTCTCGGAACGACGAGCATCATCAAACAAGCTCCACGTAGTCGTGGAACTCATCATAAATCCACTGGTCGATTCCCTCCCATTTCCTCTTCTGGTCTTCTTCGTACAATCTCTTTTCCCGCTGAGAGTCAGACTCTTTGCATGCGGTCTCCGCAACATCATTCTCAGTCTCTATCGGAACGTCCATGGGCTCGATGCCGTCCGGGGTCTTCACCACTGATTCAACAGGCGTATCTGCGAACGATGTGATATCCTCATATTGAAGACTGACAGAATCATCGACATTCCCGGGAGGGTTTGATGGAGCTCCATCAAAGTCGGCAGGGGCGAGGAAGAAATCATCATCGAAGTCCGCTTCAGCTGCAAGGTCTGGTAGTTCTGGCATCGCAAAGTTGTTCCGCGTTGCTGCCGAGGTCTTACCTTTCTTGAGGATGTCAGACATGGCAACATGCTCGAGTGGTGCATCAAAGCACCCAAGGTCAATATCTGACGTTAGGAAATCCATGTGTCCCTCGTCTCTAGGGAGCCAGTCCTCACCGCCATGGCTTGTGCTGGAAGGCTTGGTGTCTTCAACAACCTCAGCACTAATTGTAGACCGGGAGCCAAGTTCATCAACTGGTCCAAACTCCCCAATCGAGAAATTGGCAGCGTCATCGTCGTCATCGTCGGAAAAGGGAGCGAAAAAATCTTCGTTGGCCTTGCTGGTACTTGTAATATGTTCCTTTAGTATTTCGGATTGGCTATTGTGGGAGAGTCGCTGTGAATTCTCGGACTTGAAATCGGTATCTTTATAGTCATGTTCAGAGTCCTCAGGGTCTCGACAATTTGACAGCTTCAATCTTTTCCTGGCAGGTGCAACGTGCTTGCCGCGACTGGATCGCATCGTATCACCAGAACTTTGGCTTCTGGAACGGCGAGTCGTGCTGGAAACCGTCGCTCTGGTCTGATCTGGCATGCATTCCACGTTTGGCAGGGTCATATCTGCCGACTGCGTAGGATCTTTGCCCTCTGACTTGATTTTCGGTTTCATGACTGCGGTGATCTTCTTTTGGACCTTCTCTTCATCTTTGATCTTGGGCTCTACTTTTTGTCTGCGTCTAGGCTTTGCCACGCCTTCTTTGCAGCACCGATGTTTGCATTTCTTTTCCCGTTCATTACAGTCATGTTGACAAGTCCAGCGCCCGCTGGGCAGTCTTGTAGGCTCCCGATGGGTAGCAACATCGGCATCTTCTGCAGGCCCCGAATTTGCGCCTCGGTGTTGCTGCAAAATCTCCTTTGATGGCATGGTCCGTTCCTGCCCGATTTGTTCGGCGACAATGTCATCAATATCTTCAATCACCTCAATCTTGGCACCATCGGCTTCGAAAGCAAGCAGATCCTGGTCATTGACACCGCCGTCGTCGAACTCCTCATTGCAGAACTTCGACACTCCAGCATGGCGCCCAGTGTTTTGTGGTTCGTGTTGCATATTCTCCTGGACTCGTGGATTGCGATACACCGAAGTCGGAATATCCGATAAATTTAGTTGGGCGTACTTACTGGTACCAGCAATGTTGTCGCACATCACATGGCAGTTGACCTGACTAGTCGGCTTCGTGAGGTGCAAAGTCAGACACACTTGCTCGTCACGTTCAAGCATTCTCGGACTGAATCTCCTGAAGTCCACGAGAGCTCCATCAGATGTCTCGGCTAAAAAGCAGATAGAGAACATCTTTTTGTTGAAAGTATGGGGCAACAGCTTGTTCAGGAATCCAAGCTCCGCAATCATTGTGAGGCGGACGCCGTCACCGAATCGAAGTTCTCGATTAGTCTCTTTAACCGACACTCTCAGGTTAGGAAATGACTCCAGCTTTTGCAACAGTTGGTAGCCAAAGGGAGGGTTCTTCCTAAGGACCAGCTCGATGCGAGAGGGCTCGGTATTGAGAAGCGTGTCGATGCTATTGATTGATGCCGACGCCAATTTTCGAACCGAAACTTCACCCAGACCTTCAACCTGCCTTAGTTGGCTAGCAGTATTGTCCCAGACACGTGCCGCAAGGCTGCGACCTAGTTCAAGCGCGTTCCGGGTCGAGATACCATCCTCAAGATGAATCTGGCAGTCAATGATACACCGAATGAGTCGGTTCGCGTGAGCAAAGACGGGTATTTTGTCAATTCGGCTTTGTTGGAGATGTCTTTTGTGGGTTTCACCGTCAGGCAAGGCGACGTTACCCAGCTCAGCCTGGATCAGTAGCGAGATCTTGTGGGCTGGAAGAGCAATATCGACCTTGATCGGAAACTTGATTTCTGGGGCTTTGTTGATTTCTTTGTAAAAAGACTTCTCGCCAGCCAACATCCGTACTTCGCGGAATTCTTTCGCTTGTGCCAAAACCGATAGCTGTCATCACTGGTCAGTCACATCCTCATCAAAAGGAATCCCACATACGATTTCCGACATCCTCGCCTTGGGAGGTAATTGCGTGAAAGACTTCATTGTGTCAAACCGGACGTAGTACCTTGCCATTGCCTCTCCAAATACGGTTGAGGTCAATCGATCGCTGTGTTCCATGAGTCCAGCGTCCATCAACAACGCAACATCCTTCTTGCAAAGTTGATCGAGCAATTCGCTCCTGGTACTTTCCTCAACGCCCTCTCGCAATTGGTAGTGCGTGGGGTTCTTCTTCAGGCGAACGTAAAAGAAGGTACTCTCTAGCCATTGCTTTGCGCTTGCGACGTCATACACCGTGCCGAGGACAACTTCTGCATTGAGGTGTTCGATGAGATTCTGATGAAGACAACTCTCCAACATCTCTTCGCCTGACACCATCTTTTCGTAGTGCGCAACTTTGTCTTTTCGTGTGAGAATAACTGCACATGCTGAAGTTTCGAACTGCGGCCTCCCTGCTCTACCAAGCATTTGCATGACCTCCAGATCTGCATATTCTTTGAAGCCATTGTCGGTCCACGCCTTGGTTCCCTTTAGGATGACCAGATAGCAGGGCAGATTCACGCCGACAGCCAGAGTAGAAGTACAACATATAACATTGATCAGGCCATCTAAAAATGCATTCTCGATGGAGCGGCGATCTTCTGCACTCACGCCACCATGATGGAATGCTACTCCGGCGACTGTCGTGGCTATTGAGGCATAGTTAGAACTGGACGGCGCGAGGGACAACGTGATCATATAGATAAGGTACCTTTGAGTTCAGAACTGGTGAAAGGGAGCTGCTTTCCGGATCCTCTCCACGGGCGCTGTAAGGAATGAGAGGTTGACCACATGTCCGCCAGCACCTTGGCAGTCGTTACTGAAGCTCGCCGGGTAGAGCAAAAGACCATGACAGGCTTCCCCCGCCCATGCCTTTCAATGATTTCGGGGATCCTGGTTGATATTAGTATGCAATGTGAGTTTGGACAGTTCTCGTACTGGTGTGTCAACATCGACTCAAAAGCAAAATCGTTGCCTTTCGCCTCAAATCCATAAACGTGCTTTTTGAGCTCGACAGGGCGGAAGCTCTCTCCAAAGACCTCTCTGCGTGCGGGCAAGTGTTGCGACGTCGAGTCTTTGCCCAACCAGGCAGCAACGTCCTCTGAATTCGGCACGGTCGCTGACAACGCAACCACTCTGACATTGGATTTCAAGGACTTCATCCTTGACACGACGGCTTCAAGGGTGGCACCACGCTCGTCCTTGAGAATGTGCACCTCATCAACAAGAAAGAGTTTAACAAGCTGCATCAGTTTGGCGTGATCTTTCCATTTTCGAGTCACGCTGTCCCATTTTTCCGGGGTTGTAATGATAATATTTGCCTTCTGTGCGTTAGCCAAGTCGCTGTGATCACTGTCACCTGTGAGTTCGGCACAATGCAAGCTCAGAGCGCTGAATTTAGTATGCCAATCGCGGTATCTTTCCGAACATAACGATTTCGTAGGTCCCTGGTATACAATTTTGAAGTCTCGGCCCTTGGACTGTACTACCAGCCTGCAGATAGCTAGCTCCATGATAACAGTCTTCCCGCTCCCGGTGGGCGCGGACACGACAAGATTATCATCCGAGTGAAAGGCACTTTCAAAACACTTGGACTGCATAGCATTGAAAATCCCAAACTTGAACACCGAACGAATTTGGTCTGGCAGTGTAGACGCTGGGACCAGCTGAATTCCTTGGATGACAGGTGGAATCGTGGTAGGTTGATTGGCCAGCGATGATCGCCCATTTGCTCTCATGTTTCCGGTGATCATGTTGAAGGAGGGCCGGCCTTCATCAGGTGAAAAGGTATTTGGTCTTGGGTTGGAGACTTTGCTTGGAAGCACGTGGTTTTTTCTGTCACTTCGACGGTTCTTGAGGAAAGACACTGTAGGACTCGTGGCAGGGGCGGTGGGCGACGAGCTAGATGCCTGGAGGTCTGAGTTGTCATGCAAGTCATCTGCATCCATCATGAAAACCTAACTTTCAGCTTGTGGACTGTGGCTCACCTTGTAGGTATCTTCTCGTACTGCTGGTCATTAAAGGTGTGAGAGGCTTGTGGGGAAGTGAGACCCGAGTCAAGCCCAGTCTTCCCCCAGGTTCGTGGAGTCTTGCACTCTCCTCGAGCAGGGCTCTGTCTGAATGGGACTTTAGTACGTTGATTGACAGTCCATCTGGGAGGTGGCTTACCAAAGGAGTCGAGAGGCCTCTCAACTTCGGGAGGCGAGTGAGGGTCGAAGAGGCCGGCCACAAGACGGCTTGTTGGAGCAAAATAAGGAGATTGTTCCTGGGTGACATTGTGAGAGGCATTTGAGTTGGATTCAAATCCAAGCACCCGTGCAGTGCCTGAATCACGGGTGGAAGGGGAAGGCGCATCTCGTCGATAGCCAGCAGGAAGGCGTTTGACGTTCTCCATCACACAGATCGAAGCAGGGTTCCATGAAAAGAGGATGTAACGGGCACAGAGAAGAGGAGGCTGGCTGTGTGACAGAGGTGTCAAACTGAAAGATATTCTCAAACAGACTGGAAGGACGATGCAGGCGGGCAAAGTGCAGGTCAAAGTTTCAATGGGCAGGTGCGATGCGATGGACAGCCAAACCGGAGCACGTGACCGTGCCCCTTTTCTTCCTTTCTCTCAAAGCAGCCTTACTCCTTCAACAGGTCCCGTTGATTACACTCCTCGGTAGCCAGAGGAAGTGTTGCAAGCCCTCCATCTCCTCATCAGCGGCGGTTTGCCTGGCCACTATCTCGCTGCTGATCGTGTCGCAGCATTAATCCCTTTCCCAAGGGGTATACCCAAAGTCTATCCTTTCATGTCCAATCATAAGCATCTGACCCAACGATGGGACTGATTCAATCACGATGCTTCGTAAAATAACCCAGAGGCTCCTTATTCCTCTTTTTGTGGCTTGGTGAGCCCGGTCTTGAAGTGGCCAGGGCCGTCTCCTCTTGAATCAAAGGGGTTTTGGGGATCTGGATCGACATATCGTTCAACGCCGCTGTACCATTGAGCGACAATTTCTCCTTCTCGTTGATTGTGACTGCCGGGGTTTGTAGGAGTCGAGCTTCTTCGATATTGTAGACCCAAGTGGCGATGAGGACTATTGAGGCTCCAATCAAAAACTAGAAGACGTCAGCGATCCTGAAGATACCACTAAATCATGATTGCATACATGTCCGGTCATAGCAAAGTCAAAGAACATGAAGCTTGCCAGACTGCTGAGGACCATGCTGATGCTAACAGCAAAGTTCTTGGAGATGTTGTCGGCATAAAAGATGCAGAACGCCGCGACGATGCCGCCAAAGGACTGGATGACAATTGATGCAACCACCACCCAATTGTAGCCCGCAAAAAAGCCGTACTTTGCCACCGTTTCGCCATCAAGGAAGACGATTCCGATAAAGAAGGCCGGAAAGAGAGAATATATCGATAGTTGCACATTTCGGATCCAGAGCGACGTGTTTTTGGGAGACTCCTTGATGACCTTCTCAAAATACACTCCAGCCAGCCCTGAACATATGCAAACACCCAGAACCGCAAATAGCCCTACGGAAGCGTCCATGCCGGGCGTGTCCAAGGCGAGTTCGTCTTCTTCAATTCCCTCGTACGTTGCTGATCTCTTCCTGAGGTGGGAACCAGGCTCAGCCATTCGGAAGTGTTCTCGCAGGGGGTTGGATGACCGTGGAAGGTAGATTCTGGTATGGTGGCTTGAAGCCAGGGATCCCGACGAACCATGGGGAAGAGAGACAGTTGCAACTCCCAGCATGAGCAGGATCAGAGACAGCCACTGTCTCCCCGAGATGGTTCTCCGCAGAAGCCAGACGCTCAGGATTGCCGTCACAAAGATCTTTAATTGGTATGTGACGTGAAAGGTCGCGGCGTCCAGATTAGAGATTGCAATGTACTGCAGGCTGTTCGCCAGCGTGTATAATCCAGCAGGAAAGGCCATCTTCCAACTGTCACCGGCGAAAATGGCGCTACCTAACGTCCCAAGGAGCGAAGTCGCAGGCATGGAACGGGGAACTGAGAGGGAGACTTCGTAGAGCGATATCGTCAGGCACACTGCCAATTTAAGGGCTTCGACGAGGAAGACGGCCGTTGATGGAAGATAGCGATGTCCATCCGTAGTAGGCATAACCCGGGAATAATGGAGGAGCTGTAAGAGACCAGTCAGTTCAATGTGTGTATGCTCAGAATACTCGATCTGGCTTACCAAAATGAAGGTCGAGAACTGGACTGTCAACTGTACCACGCATCAGTCAGTCTGCAGCCGATGATCTCGCGAGGCTTCCCTTACCGTGCTCAATGAGAGACTCCGGAGCGACACTCCCATGAACTTGGGCGCGTTGCCGCGCCTTTCCACACCCATCGCTCGAGACGGCTGTGATAAAACCCTTGGGTGTATGAATATCTCGACAATGCAATGCCGTTAGTCTGTGGCTGAACGGCTCTGCGCCAGGCAGAACAACCAGTCATTCGGTACGAAGGGAAGGGAGCGTTAAAGGAATGGACAGGTTCTCGTTGCAAGAGACAGGATATGTTTCTGGCACGTTGAACCAGGGGCGGAGATCAAGCAATGAGGTGAAGATGACCCAAAGGTCATCCGACACGCGAGCAACACAAAATGAGTGAACGAGACTTTGTGGCAGCAGGCCAAAATGATAGGGGAGGAAGCGTTTGGCGAAGGGTGGAATGGTCTTTGGCGCGACGATTGGTGGTTGTCGCTGTTTCCCCAGCCTGCGGAACTTCTACAAGTCAATGGCCCTGCGTCATGGCCGCCCGCGCCTTTCCAAGTTCTTGCGCTTGGCTTCCCAGCCACTGGTTTGGCGGTGAAAGTGCACCTGGCGAGCTGGTCAGAGGTCTCGGTGCAGTGTCTGCTAGTACAGTGTGCCGTTCTTTGCTTGTCCATCGCTCAGTGCTATATACCTAGTAGGTTACATAGATGGATATAGCCGCAGAGAACAGACATCGAAAGTTCACAAGGAGACCGCCCAGTTACAGGAAGGAAGCCTTCATTAGCTACGTACGGAGTACTCGATACCCCCCTCAATATCTCGGGCTCTATCAACCACCCGGTTTCTTAGTGTACAGTGATCCTCCATGTGAATGTCCTCCTTCGTCATCATGAAACCAAAGTGGCTTGAAATCCAGAGCCATGCCTATTGTACAAGTGATCCACCGCTCTCTTCAAAGTCGTGACCCTACCCAAGAGCCCACAAACGAAATAACAAACGAGAAGCAGCTGAACTTTTGAACGTCATGATCGAGCCTCGTTAGGCCTCAATGCGCTGTGGCTGCAAGTTTCATCCATCCATTATACGGAAAATCAATGAAATCCTGAGAAGATACCTCTTCTCGTTTTGGTGCCGCCTGCAGCTGCTCCAATGTGGCTAGGTAGTGGCTCTCCCGTCGGTTGCGCGAGTTATCCCTCGAGCTGTTGGTCGACGTCGAAAAGAAGGTCGAACGACTCATCCGATTGACCGCACCATTCGACGGCGCAAGAAGTGCAGGCGAAAACGCAGCCATGGATGACGACAATTCGGTCTCTGGCTCGATGGAGGTGCCGGTGTGAAAGCTGGCTAACGAATATCGGGCGCTGGGCTCGGTGGACAGTCCAGTCTGGAAAGTCGTGCAAGAAGCCTGGTCGAAGTTTGCATCTGAATACGGAGATTGTAACTGTTCCTGCGCCCGCCTCTGCAAAGTCAGTTGGACCTCCAATGCGGCAGACGTCCGTGGGGGTCGTTGGTGCTTTGCCGGTTTTTTCTCCATATCTCGCAAAACCTGTATCCTTCGGTCTGCTGCGCCGCCGGCGCCAGATGACTGACCCAATGCTGCTTTCCTTGAACGTATTGCAGCCAAAAGAGATTCTTCTTGTCGGGTAACGCTCATCAGTCTCCTGCTCTCAATGCTTGCGGTGTCGGAGAGACAAGATTCGTGGAAAGATGGCCGATGCGAGGATGCTTGGTCTGTTGGAGTGGCAGGGAATGAAGTGAGCAGGTCGTCGTCGTCTTCTGGTGTAGGATTTGAAGATAGATCGCTAAGATATGTCGATCGGTGATTTCGTCGCTTGGTGGAAGACTTGGACAATGACGATGCCGGACCCCGAGCATTGGTGCCATGGACACGCCGCAGACTGGGTGTCGCCCTCGCGGTTATGTTTTGTTTCGTACTGACTGCTTTAGCCGTCCGAATCTCAATGTCTGATTCTGCTAGTGATTCCACCGCTATGCTATCTCGCAACAGTGGTAAGTGGACGGCCCCAGATTCTCTACCTCGTGCTAACGGCTGTAGCTCATCATCGTCGGAAGAGGACAAGTCGAGAATACTTGTTTTGTGGAGATCGGTGGACGCCAGAGACGATGCTTTTGGTTTCGATGAGGTCTGCTGTGACTCGTTTCGGGAAAGGGTAGACCTTGACGATTTGGCGTTGAGGGTTGACACACGGGTGGGAATTGCCGAAGCAGGGAGTAAGTGGCTTGACGGTGCTTTCGAGCTTGTACCTCGACTAGATGTCTCAGGTGTATGCGTCGTGACGCGAGCTCCCTCGTTTGTTAAGAGGCCTATCCTACCTCCCTCGAATGCCATTTCCATACCTGCAACAAAGCTTGGGTGCAGTTCGGGCTCATGTACACTTTCGTCATCGCTGCTATCACCCTCCAGTCCGTCGAACCAATGTTTTGCCCCTGCTTTTGGCCGCCTGATATTCATCTTGACATATGGGGTTTCTTGTCGAGAAGGACGGACACTGGACGGTTTCGACTTCTCCGAATTAATTAACGTTGCTGAGTGATCAGACTGGAAGCGCACACCCTTTTGCGTTTTGGACTGGTTAGGGTGCACATGTCTCGCCGTTCCAGTCTGATCGGATGATCTAGTAGAACGCGGGCTGCCGAACAACATTTTGACCGGGGAGTCCCCAGGTTGAGAACTAACTTTGGTAAGCTTCTTCATTCCTGGTTTAATGTCGCTTTTAGAAAGGCGAAAAAGTTTCAATTGACGCAGTGAATCTTTGTCCGCGGTCGTAGACTTGACGACCACCGGAGCCCCCTTTCGGAGAGCGAAGTCCCGTCGGGAGGATTCTGAAGTTTGTTGTGACACAGCTAACGGCGCCTTGTAAGCCTCATAATATGAGTTGATGGTGGAAGACGAGCCGTACGTCTTGAGGCGCTTGGAATTTGTTGAGCCGGCAGCATCTGCCTTGAGCAGGAACTCCTCGTGTAACAAGACCGACGACGCCTTCAGATTAAGACCTGTACCTGCATCCAGCTGTTCTGTTGGGGGATGAGAAGAGCCCAGCTCGGTCGTCGCATCGGAAAATGACAAGGCCGGCAATTTTGCAGTAGCTGAAGAGCTTATGCTTTGGTTCCGCGCGGTGTTGAAATCAGTCTCAGTAATCCCAAGCAGATGCTGTACTTTATGTTCATTTCCTTCCGGCTGCCAGCCGTGGTTGGGAGGTTTGGATTTTGTTCGTTTCAGCGAAGCCGGCAGATGGAATCTTTGACCGCTTCCCATATCAGTGTTTCCTTATCATGCCACGTGCGTTGACATCTGATCTTTTGTGCATGCCGAGGTGTGCAGTATATTGTACAACGTCAACATGTACTCTGAATAACCCGTCAAATCCGATGTCTTTGTCGATAGTGCCTCGTCGGGCGGGTTCTATTAATCTTGCACTCGTTCTCACAACGAGGACAAGGAGTTGTCAAGTGGACAGGTCAGGCGGTGGAGGGCTACAAGGCGTGGTTTCGAACCAGGAAGAACAAGTGGGCAAACGTCGGTCTTTGGGAATGCAACGACACTGTTCTTGAGACGTTATTGGGATATCATGGCGGCACTCTCGTAGGACACGTCGGTGAGGGCTTCGAGGGGCTCCAGAAACAAAAACTTTGACAGTTGAACTGAGGCAGGTGGAGGAGGTCGTGCAGGTCGCAGCGACAGTGTAGGAGTGTATGATGAGCACTTCAAATTGCCCGGACCGGAATCGTCTTGCATTGAGCTGCCCATCAGCCTCTGGTGGATCACTGGGCCTCTTCAGGCGGGATGACGAATTGAGGGCAGGCACCGACATATACTATGGATAACGGTCACAGCCCCAAGTCCCCAAGTTTCGAGCCTAGAGTTGCTCGTGGGCGTTGGACTAGCAAGGGTAGGGGTCGGTCGGATGGGCTTCAAGGAGATGCCATCCCCGAGGTGGAAAACGCTTGAAAGCTGGTGGAAGTTGTCAGTGGCTTGATTTGTTCGAGAAGCTAGGGTTCCAGCCGTGTTGCCATGCTCTTTCTAGACCTTCTCGGCTTTCTTTTGGTGTTCTTGAAGCGCCTTTGCAACCCACTCCAATCATTCAAGCCGGGTGGCGGAGGCCACCCCAAACGTAAGGGATTCAGACTCGGTGGCCGCACCCTGCGTTGGCCGCGCTGAATGGTCAGAAGGCAGAGATGAGGAGCCCATGGGGGTCGACCGTAGCTTAGGGAGCCCTCCCCTACCACCGGTTAGCTGATTGTCATGGAAGGCCAGGGGAACTGGGTAGATCAGATCCTTTTCCGGGAAGGATGCAGCGTCAAGTAGATGGAGACGGAGGAGTCTAGTGTGACTGACAAGACAGGAGTAATTCACACCGTGACCACCATGCCAGGATGTCTCGAGAGTCAAGGGATTCTCGGGGACCTCTGCGCGAGGTTAGCCCGAGTCAGTCCTCGGCGAGGGCACCAAGCACACTCCACTCCCGCTCCCACCATCTTTGCTGGTTAAGGACTTGGGGGTCATGGGGCCCTGGGGCTCCCTTGGCGCCATCTTCTAAGGGATGCCATGTCGGTAGCGTCGTCACTTGGAGGGCACGCCATCACCCCAAAGGATAGAAGAACGCCAACGCTTGCCAGTCGCTTTGGGGAATGTTGTTTTTCAGCCATGTCAGGGGTTGGTTTCCAGAGATCCGAATGGACCGATTTCTCGAAGTCGAGGCGGGTTGATTGCACTCGAAGCCTGTTATTGTGGAGAGTCGAGTTTCTAGCCTGGACTTATCCTGTTCTTCGAGAAACTGCTCAAGTCCAACAGGACTTTTTCATAAATTTTGCCCTCAGCAAAGGAGTACAAATGGAAGGCAGCCTCGTGTGGCTGGACTGGCAAAAGCCTGGATGCGTGTCTTTCTCGAGTCAAGCAATTCTCCTTTCAATACCTTAGGACACTACTGAACTTTGAGCACAAAGCCATCTTTATAACAGCGTCAGGCTGGCAAAGATAGACGACCCCGTACGGAGAATCGGTGGACCTCGCCACAGAAATAGATATCGAGCAGGCCACCCCTGGCTCCTTTCGACTTTTCGTCTCGGGTTATCTCTGGGTCCTACCACAAAACCAAGAGGCATCATTTCAACCCCCCTTGTCGAGGCTTCTCGAGGCTTGTTGAGGTAGGACCGGTCGTTCAGCCACCACCACCACCACCACCACCATTTCCACGTGTTTTTCCTCGTGGCAGCCCACTGCTCGTCACACCATGCTGGTCAGCCACCTCTTCAGAATCCCTGGCTGCTCATCTGCTTGTTTTGTGGCAGAAGGGTCACAATCAGTCGGCAGTCGCGGTCGAGGTTGGAGTGCTGCAATCGGTGTCGCAACCCCCGTCCTTGGGGCTTCGGCTTGTGGATTCTTCGAAACTCATACTCGCAGCAGAGGGGGAACAGCCAATGTCGATCAATGTGCGCGAGATACTGATCCTCCGTGGACGTACGGGCGTCGCCGTCCCACCCTCGACAACCGAGTCTTCAGGCGAAGGAATCGTTGCGTCTAGGCGATATCCCCAGCGGACTACTGGATCGCCAAAATCGTCGTACGCAATCAACTTTTCGCATCTTTCGGCTGTCGTATATGCATTTCCACTGGCGTACGCTTTGAGCAAACCCATATTCTTACCGTCCTGAGTATTTTCGATGTCTGGATCTGTCTCATAAAGATGCTTTATTGACGCCAATGAGCTCATACATCGCTCCTTGACCTGCCACTTCTCCGACTCGCTAAGCGATCTGACCTCGAAGAGCTCTCCAGCACGCGGCACGAGCAGACTCTCTTCCACAAGTCGCTGAATCGTGTAGTCAAGCACCTTCTTGGTCCAGCGTGGTGATTTCAGTCGCATCTGCAGGGAGCTTCCATCGATCTGCAATCCCGCGGTGGTCTGTGTTGTGAGATAGCCTACAGCCATTCGCAGGAGAATTATGAGTAAGGGGGAGTTCGGGGGTTCTAGCCCTTCAGAAAAGAGGAGACAGGTATAACAAAAGTGCTCCGCAGGTACAGTAGCAGAGGTGACGCTTTCAACGCGGCCATAGCATTTGCTATGCTGCCAACCGTCACATACCTCGCAGTAGAGCTAGTCTGGTTAGCCGCTGCACAGAATAGCTTACGACCTGCGTACCATTGAACTTGATCTTTGCTGACTTCCACATTCACAGTTGATGCGACTCGATCGATTAAGCCGTTTGATCTTCCCTTCGGCTAGCAAGTCTTGATCAAATGCATTTCCACATTCGCCAGCCTTTCCGCTCTGAATGGCATAGCAGTGTATGAGAAGCTCTGTGAGCTTGGTGATACGGAGATTGAGACCCTTTGCTTTCGGAGAACTTGGAGCAGAGGGATCTTTGGACGTGTTTCCGTCTTGACCTGACCTCAGCACTGTGAAGGTCTGCTTCTCAAGGGGTGTCAACCCCGTTGGCAGATTTATACCGACACCGTGTGTAATGGGTTGTTCGCTTGATGACTTCTCAGGATCAGAGGCTCTCAAGCGTTTCGCACTAGGTATTGGGCCGTCCCTAGGGCGTTTTGATACGGGAAGCGAATCTCTCAAGGTAGAGAGTAGGTTATTGCTCTGGCTGGAGGACGTCTTCTGCATTGCCTGCAACTGTCTGCTCATTTCCGTGTCTTGCAGATCAATCGATGGTTCTTCTCTTGCCGCACTTTGAACGCGTACTGCAACACGCACTCGGTGGTGTCCACATTCTAGGATCCCTACCACGTCGTCGTCTTGTTTCAGCAAGGCCCCACACATTGCGTGACCTTCCTCCTCTTGGTATTCATCTTTGTCTATGAAGCCGGGTGGCTGATATACCATAGGACACGTCTCATTGTATGTGAGACTCATTCCAAGCTTCCGACGAGCTATACTCGCAGTCAGTTCTCGCCTTGCAGCAGGATGAGACGGTCACACCTGGCAAACGAGGCAGATTCCTCAGCGAGCGAAGCAGAGCCCGTATCGCAGCCTTGAAACTTTTGTGTACGTTCTCCAAGACGAAAGCGTGATCCGCCAGACTTAATCGCACGCTGATGATGCGATCACGTTCGTAGGCAAAAGTGAAATGGTAAGTCTCAACAATCTCCTGATTGCTTCCTGTTGCTTTGGTCACAAACACTCGGAGGCTCTCTAGGTAATTTCGATGCAAGGCATCAAATACTCCTTGCTCCTAAATGGAAATTAGCGGACTCCTCATGTGCCCGGATATTCATGGCTTACAAGCATATCAAGGATTTGATCAGCGCGTTGATGCCCTCCACGGACGAGGAGTTTGATCTCTTGACCTTCACCAGCAGTCAACGAAGTGAGAGCTTGAAAAGCAGAGTACAAGCTCCCTCCAGCAGGCGGGTCGTCTTCGAGAGTGATCTGATCGACATAGCGCGTGCGGAAGCAGGGCGAAGTCCATGGAATGAGCTCTCTTGTGTGAGCGATACAGGCCAAAGATGCGTTGAGGAAGATCTGAACCACCGCGATGCTTTCGGCTTGGGAAAGAGTTCGTTCAGAAGGGGGAGCAAGGAGGATCTGCTGTGCCATTATTGCGAACTCCTGACATCGAAACTGTGATGGTGGAGGGAGAAGAATCAGCAATTGGAAGTGATAGAGGCAGCTGCCGGGGATGCTCGGTCTCTGGATTTCTGAACTTCACAGGACCGAAGTTCACGAAGAAACTTGTCATATCCATTATCAACCTGATGCTCAATAAGATTTGCAGATCATAACCTGAACTTCCAGCTTAATTGACTCATCAATCTACAAACATCTGTTTTAATCAGCTTGATGCGTTGGCCGATCGCATGTCCAGACGGTCACTCGGCTTCATCCAGTTGTGAGGAAACACAGATCAATCGGAACACCGCCTTGTTTATTCAGAATCAGCAGCGCATCTGTTCGGGCGCCCCCTCGGTACAGAAGCAACAGGATCTTGCTAGCAGTCTGGTTGACAAAGCTCAAAAATAGTCTTCAGCAAAGATCAGTAGCGGTTGTCTGGTAGAGCATTGACAACGATTTGCCTATCTGAGTAGAGATGAGCCGCCAAAAGAGCCATCGAGGCGGCTAACAAGCGAGCTGGGTAGGCAGGAGCTGACGACATCGCCCAAGTCCAACAGTCAATCACAAGCTGGCTGCCCTGGTGGCGAAGGCGAGGGGGAAAACTCGTTCTTCCGTGTTATTATTATTGCGGTGATGGCAGTGGCGCGGCAATAATTGCAGCTAAAAAACATCCGCCAGAGAAAAGCCTCGGTGAGAAAATGGCATTGTCTGACAGAGTGCTTTCTGCTTCGGCATCGCCAGCTTTGATCAGAGGCAGTCCTTATGTGCCCTGAGCATCAGTGTTATCTCACTGCGTGCTGAGGTGGAGGCTGAAGACCGCGTATTTTTCTTCGCGTCTGACGAAGCTTTTAGGCACTTCCTGGGCCTGCAAGCGCGCGCCAAGGCTCAAGTCCCCCCCAATTCTTTCGCTCCGAATCTCTTTCAGCGGTTCAGGCTCGAACGGTGACCAGCCTGGGCCAATCCTGTAGGGCCAGTCACGCCCTGGTCTTCGCCGTCGCCGTCGCTCGCTCCTTTGCCATCTCTGCTGGCTCCGCCCGCTCTCCATGCCTCCCACTCTCCCGACACATACCAAAACACCTCGTTCCTTGAACTGCCTCATTAATCCACTGCCTCAACCTAGTCCACCCGACTTTGGCGCTTTGACAAGAGTACGTTGCTTGACGAAGGACCATGTCATCCTTCTTTTGCTCCAATTTCGAACAATAGCAGACCTTGATCGAACCTTCGCTATGTTTCAGGCCTAACCCGACCTTCACACAAGACGAACCGGCTCTTCCAGTTTCAACGCAAATATCTCTTTCTGCCGCCGACTCTTTCGCTTTTCCAAGCCCTCAGGCTGGCTGTTAATCCAACGGACCGGTATTTCACGTATTGACTGCATGGTGCTCTCCCGAACCCTCACGAATTACCACGACGCGACCCTTATCTGCTCTCCTCTGGCAGATGCTTTTTGTCCACAGACTTGACAGATTCGAACGGTGAAGAACAAGAATACAATGGATGAGGATATGGTGGATACCGGTCTTCGTGGCAGGCACCGGTCTGTCCGGCGGAGGACTGAACTTGGACAACGCCAACGAAGTAAAGACAACTCAGGCCATGCCAGAACCATGGACTCGGACAGCTTGCTTGGCCAATTCTCATTTGCACCAGCTACACAAACCACTGTTGTCACTACAACCACTACTACCACCACCAATTTCCCTCCTTTCATCATACGTCCCGTGCGGCGGACAAAAGACCTGGATCTCAAGCAGTATCCTTTGGCAGCTAGCCCTACCCCGGCCGGCCTGAAGAAGATACACTTTGAAATCGGTGGAAAGCACACAATTTTTCGCGAGGCAGAAGATACGACGCTGGCACTGGAGCAGTTCCAAGAGGAACAACGGACTCTTCGAAATGGCAATGGGGCAGTCCAAACCGTAGAGAAATTCCCATCCAACACTGGTTCTACAACAGGCTCAAAGTCGACCTCCCTTCGACGAAGAGTGCAGAGGAGACCGGCCTCTCCAGAGTCTATCACTGACAGCGAAGATCAAGGGCAATCGCGAGAACCTTCCTTTACGTCAGGTGGAGCTGGTCCATCCACGAGATATCGCCCCGAACCTGTTGCATCAAATTCCTATTACCAAACCTCAAACCCAATCACGCCAGATAGTATCCCGAAATCCAGCAACGGATCCCGCATGCTCAATATGCGAGACATGCGAGAGCCACGGGAGCAGGCTAGTTCATCCAGAAGCATGAGCACACTTCTGCCCTCGCCAAACATGGGCCAGCTGCCGCCATTTTCAAACATACAGCCCTCATCACCAAGACCTAGGCAATGTCATTCCCTAGAATCAGAAGATGGGACGGCCGCTTCATCTGATCGCTCTCATCTCGAACGGAGGACTCATAGAGATATTTCACAAGAAACAGCGGTGCCTACGCCACCTATAATCGAGGATGCTGAGCAGTCTTCAACAAGGCCTCAAAGTCGGCGTGCTCTATCATCCGTACCAGCTCGGTTACATGTCGCCGAAAGCCCATCTGTACAGGACGGAAGTCTTCCTAGTCCGAGCCTTTCTCCTGTCACTGCTGCTGCAACACTACAGAGTGCTGGGTACTTTGCTGATGTCGACTCAAGCTCGGAGATTGCCTCGCAGCATGATGGGATATCAAGAGCTCTTGTTCCAGACAGACAGTCGCCCAACTCCCTGCCCCCCCGACTCGATTCTCACCAGCTCTCTCGGTTTGCCAATGGCTCAGTCACCGAAATCCCGGCAATGCTTGACTATTTCGAAGCGATCCCGGATGAACTTAAGAGTTACGTTATGCACCAACTGCTTCGCCGATGCCCCAAGTCCACACTTCAAGTCGTTGCGGACGCCGTCAACCCTGCATTGAAGTGCGACTTCCTTTCCCTGCTTCCACCAGAGCTGTCACTTAATATCCTCAAATACCTTGATGTCAAGAGTCTTTGCAGGGCAGCACAGGTGTCGAGAAAATGGCGCCAGATGGTCAATAGTGATGAAAGAGCCTGGAAAGAACTATTTGATGCAGACGGATTTACATTGCCGGAAGGAGAGTTGCAGCAGGCCATCGCTGAAGGTTGGGGCTGGCAAGATCCATCCGGTCCCTATGGATACGAAGAGAACCTCGCCGGCTCGGCTTCTACCAAGTACGACACAACCGCAGAGGCCTATTCGCTCGCAGAAGAGTCCCACAATAGGTTTAGTGGAATCCTTCGATCGAAACGCAAGGCCTCCACGATGCTGTCCAATCGAAACAAACAGGTCAAACGTGTCAAATCCGAATCCCGAGAAGCCTCGGTTGACGTCACTTCTTTGGAATTGTGGAACGACATGTCCTCTGCAGACGGCCCATATAATGCGGCACACTCGGCGATGATGGCAGTTCCCCAACCGGATATTGGTCTGTCAAGTCTTACCGGCCTACATCTCTATAAATCCCTCTATCGGAGACACCACCTTATCCGAAGAAACTGGATGTTTGAAGATGCGAAACCTCAACATATCGCGTTTCGCGCGCACGACTCCCACGTTGTCACTTGTCTCCAGTTTGATACCGACAAGATCGTGACGGGGAGTGATGATAACAACATCAATGTTTACGAGACCAAGACCGGGATCTTGAGGGCGATCCTGTCGGGACACGAAGGCGGGGTCTGGGCTTTGCAATATGAGGGAAACACCCTGGTTTCAGGGTCGACAGATCGGTCCGTACGAGTCTGGAATATTGAAGAAGCACGGGAAACCCAGGTCTTCCGCGGACACACGTCAACTGTACGATGCCTCCAAATCGTGTCCCCCGTCCAAGTTGGAGAAACTGCAGAAGGAAGGCCTATCATGATGCCAAAGCAGCCTCTTATCATCACAGGATCCCGTGACTCTACTTTGCGAGTGTGGAAGCTTCCTCGGCCAGAAGACCCAATTTTCATCCAAGCTGAGAATGAGGTTGATGCGGACGATTGCCCCTACTTTCTACGGACCTTGTCCGGTCACCAGCATTCTGTCCGTGCAATCGCAGCTCACGCAGATACCCTTGTAAGCGGAAGCTATGATTGCACGGTTCGTGTCTGGAAGATATCCACCGGCGAGACTATCCATCGCCTTCAAGGCCACACCCAGAAGGTTTACAGTGTTGTCCTCGACCATGAACGCAACCGCTGCATAAGTGGCTCCATGGACAACATGGTGCGAATTTGGGACCTGAACACCGGCTCCCTCAAATATTGTCTGGAAGGACATACATCCCTTGTCGGTCTACTGGACTTAAACTGCGACAAACTCGTCTCTGCAGCAGCCGACTCGACACTCCGCATATGGGACCCAGAGACTGGACAATGCAAAGCCACTCTGAGCGCACATACAGGTGCTATCACATGCTTCAAGCATGACGGTCAGAAAGTCATCTCCGGCTCTGACAGGACTTTGAAACTGTGGAACATCAAAACCGGCGAATGCGTCAAAGACCTGCTCTCCGATCTCAGCGGAGTTTGGCAGGTGAAATTCAACGAAAGGCGCTGCGTTGCGGCAGTGCAGCGCGATGGATTGACATTCATAGAGGTACTTTCTCACTCTTGGGCTCTGGTGTCAAGCTGGCTAACTTCCCCTGCAGGTTCTAGACTATGGCGCCGCCCGTGACGGCATTCCTGATTACAATCTCGGGCGAAGAATCGTGGTCGACGCCGATGGGATGGAGGCGAATCACGACGACAACGCCTATTTGGATCTGGACGGCACCGTTGATGCATGATGTCTTTCCCAAGCAATAAACCAGACCTGAAGTTGATATACTTCGGTTTTCGAAACGACGCCAAGAGGCAAGAAAGATACACCCTGTGATGAATCATGACTCGGCCACTCTTCTCAGCGTCTGCGTAATTTCGAATAACACGACAATCACTGTTTAATGATTTTGCTTTATGATGATACCTTTGACACCCAAATGAAGGCTTAGATGACGACTTATCAACTTTGCCAATATGATTACGGCATGCCAACGATTGAGTCTTGTTTACGAGCTGCTTTGTCTATCCATATTGGCCGGATGATCTACCTCGAACTGGCATGGGAGTGAGGCGTTTCCACATGGATGGAAGCCGGTCTTGAACTAGGACAGTACTTTGCTTGCTCATGGATATTTTCCTGAAAAAGAAACTCAAAAATGGATGTTCGAATTGTTGATCGCGCTGCTTGGAGAGCGCGCCCAGGATTTCTCGACCTCCCAGCTTTGAGGGCATTGTTCTTAATTCGCTAAACATAGCCATCCATACCATACGGACACATACGCAATGAACATGTTTACGGTCTTTCCAACCTCAAGCGCTATGTACCCTTCGATCCAAGACTGCAGGGCTGTCAGTGATGAGAATAGCGTGGAGAGGGCTGTCCATTGTTCGGATCATTAGGTCTACAACAGCAGCATTGGGCTGTATGACAAAGGTGTTCACGACACCGCGGGCCCAAGGTCCGTGAGAAGCCTTCTACTCTTGATCCGCACCAGGTCTGCTTCACATATAGTACATGCATTCATCCCCTGCAACGCTCTACCGTCTCCACAACCAGTATGGTAACTGGCCGACCCACAGAGTCTCCATGCCCGATATCTCAGAAACGCCACCGAACGGAATCGCTGCACTTTCTTTCCCTCCCGTCTATCCGCTCCAGTCCGGTCCTCTATTGCCTCCTCCTTCTCCGATTCGAGCTCGACCCGCCGCCAGAGCGTGGCTCGGGGTCGGCGAACATGGACTCGAAAGCGTCGAAGCCTTGGGTGACGCCTTTGCCCGTCAGAGCAGGCGGGTCGCGAGCTGGCTGGGTGGTCATGGACTCGTTCTGGCGCGCCGTCGTCGCCGGAGCTTTCTGACGACGGCGTTTGGTTTGTTGAGGCTGCTGCTGCCGCTGCCGTCTGCTCGGCTTGGGTGGTTCCGCAAACATGGCTTCAAAGGCGTCCAAGCCCTGCGAGACGCCTTTCCCGACGAACCCCGGTTGCTGCTGCGTTGTAGGCTTGGGTTGCGAGGGATTTGGCTCCGATGAAATGGTGCTTGTCTCTGCCACAGCTCGGTTCTGACGCCGTTGGTGGAGAGTCCGGGATTGCTGTTGTTTCTTCAACTTGGACGGTTTCGGTGGGTCCGCAAACATCCCTTCAAAGGCATCGATGCCTTGCGAGACGCTTTTGCTGGAGAGAGGCGAGTGCGAGGGTGTCTTATTGGCGGAGGGAGATACGGGAAATGCAGGGGGTTCGGACGTGCATTCAAGCGGACTCGCTACGTGCTCCGCAATGGTATTCGTACTCTCGGGCTTTGGGTGGGCTCGAGAATTCAACTCTTTGTATACGAAATCAAGTTGGTCGTGTAAAGACGAGCTAGCGTTGGCCTTTTCAGAACTGCGGCTCCCGGGCTTTCTCAAAGAATCAAAGACCCTAGGTGGCTCGCGGTGTCCTTGGGCTTCGGTTGAGGTTGAGGCACTTGCTTCTGAGCCAGTGCCCAAGATCTCACGCATGAATTCCTGGAGGCTCAAGTTTGGGAGTGCTGTTGATGCACTTCCTGGCGACTGTGCAGGTTCCGATTCGGATTCCTTCCCTTGGATCAAATGCGATATCTCGGCGCCGATGGGGCTAGGGCGACTCGAGGCGCTTTTACTGATGACTTTGTGGGCCACGGCTTTGTCCATGGCATACCACTCCAGGTTCGCGGCCCTGAGAATGGCCCATTGCAGATTCTTCAGGCCAAGGGCATTTTCGTTTGCCCCTTTCGTTGTCAAGATATCTTCGAGCGATCCGACAGCGATCATCTCGCCTAGCATCAAGGCCGATTTGCCCTCGAATTTGGCCTGACCGCGCAGTCTCGTCAATGCTTCACGAATGTCGCCTTCTGATACTTTGGAGCTCAATCGATCACACTTTGTGGCGACAATCTGGAACGGAATCCCAAGCTTGTGGAAGATCTCCAGCATGTGACGGTCGGCAGCCATGACGCCGTGTCCGCTGTCAACGAGCAGAAATGCCCTTCTCAGGTTTCTTCGGTTGTTCAGGTATGACACAATCTGAGCACCCCATTCGGACCTGCTCCCGAAACCATACCCAGGCATATCGACGAGAGTGACTTTAGGGTTGACATCTCCATCCCACCCTTTTATGGCCCCTCCAGTGTCGTCTCTTGCTGCCAATGCCCACGCAGCCATGACCTGGGTCATTCCAGGGGTGGCACCGACTCGATTAAGATCTGAAGAGGTAAGGGCGTTGATCAAGGTGGATTTGCCAACATTGGACCGGCCAACAAAGATGACTTCTGGCACAAGGATGTTCTGCGGCGAGGACTTCGAGGAGCGCCGCCAGGGTTCCGAGGTTTTCCAACCTGTTCCCGTCCATGTCCTTGAGGGTTTATGGTTTTGAAAGAAGTGTGCAGCTGCAGCTAAGTTCTCCTTGGTTGGAGGAGTGGTATCCCAGTACCACGACCCGCTAACCTCTGAGGGCGAATCTTGGAGTTGGGGATGCGTGGAGGACAATCTGCGCCGGCCATTTTGCAGCTCGACCAGACGTTGTCGGAGACGAGATCGCGAGACCAGCCGGCAAGCGGAGCAAGTGAAGTTTTGCATCTAAGTCTCGAGGAGGAGTTGTGAAGCACTAAGGCCAGTCTTGAAGAAAGAGGTCAATGACAAGGACTGAATTTCGCCGTGCAGCGCGCGGCGACTTGGAAATTTTGAGAATCTTGCGGCGCGTTGGGCCCATAAGGTAAAAAGCCTGGTTTGGCTTGTCTCCGAGGCCGATCCCGCCAATCAAATACAACCTCAGCAGCCCAGCCCGGAAGCCTTCCAAACCCCCCTCCGACATGATTTCCTGTACGTTTCCCCACACTCTGAAGAGGGCGAAAGCGCAGTGTGCGTATCTCAACAGCAAACTGGTTGGCATCGCTCTCTCTACCCAGCTTCTGGTGTTCATGCGAGCACTGTTCCATTCACGATGATCAACGCTGTTCTGGTCTTCAACAATAACGGCCAACCGAGACTGACAAAGTTCTACTCACAACTAGTTACGTGGGACCTCTTGAATCAACACCACATGTACTAACTCTCTTGTTCAGGACACGGCCACACAGCAGTCTCTTCTCTCCCAGATATTCACCCTTGTATCAGCTCGACCAGCTTCTGCCTGTAACTTCCTACCGCTTCCCCCCTTGTTGGCTTCCAGTGGCACGGGCACCAACACTTCACCCGACGCACCGACCCAGATCACGTATCGCCATTATGCTACCCTCTACTTTATCTTGATCTCGACTTCTACCGAGTCTCCTCTAGCGTTGCTCGACTTCATTCAGGTGTTTGTCGAAGCTCTGGACAGATTATTTGAGAATGTATGCGAGCTCGACCTGATTTTCGGGTTCGAGACCTTGCACGCAGTTCTCAGCGAAATGGTCGTCGGAGGTGTTGTTGTCGAGACCAACCTGGATAAGATCGTTGAAGGTGTCAGAACAACCGAGGGAGTCAAGGGGAAGAGGAAAGCCGTCAATTCCCGTGACTCTACCAGCTCCATAGGCAGAGGTTCTGGATTTGCTGGTCTTGGTTGGGCTACTGGTTCGGGAAGCAGCTGGAGATGAAAAATAACTCAACCTGAACCCTTCATGCGCAGGGGCAGGAACTTCGCGTTACGCCGTATAACCAGTGGCAACAACGGCACCGCCTGGAGGTGGAACATATGAACATAACGGATTCCCCTGCACTTTGGCCGTGACGGTTGGATCTAGTCTGACATATTCTCAAGAAGAGAACTCTCAGGATCAGCCATGTGCCGAATCTCGTTTGCAGACACCTTATCAGGCACATCTAGGCAAAGATGTTGCGATGTGGGAAGGGAAGTCCATGACACGAATGAACTATCACATACGGTTTTGTGTGATAAAGGTTGATCACTGGGTAGGACATTGAATTGAAGTGTGTGCTGGCACTGAAGCTATACCCGTTTCTGAACGCATCGAGGGGTTCGGACCGCTCTATCAGCTGGGAAAAGGTCACTATTGAAGCTCGCTAACGAAACGAAAACTACGCCCACCAGGATATTCAATTCTTGTTCGTGTCTCCAAGGTCAACAAAGACCGAAAGCAGGAGAGAAGTCGTGTCATACCATGGGCGGCGTCTACAGGAGCAATCAGAGACACAGTCGAGAGGCCGGGCACCACCATCACCAGCAAGGGGGGATCGTTCGGTTTCCTATTCCCTTGGGTGTTGCCGGCTCGGGACGGAAAGACGATAGAGGCTCGGGCCAGTGCGCACTGTGGCTCATGGATTAACACGAATTGGTGTGTGTAGGACTTCTCTATGGAACAGACGCTGTGTGATGGCACAGTTTGCGGGCACGGTATTGGTGAGGCTTGCACAGTGAGATGGCTCTTTCGGACAGAGTACAGTGGTCCTAGCGACGCTGAAAGCAGCTGGATATCCGGGGCACATAAGGCAAGCTGATGCAGGATTTCAGGGATGTGAACCCGATAGCTTGGAGTTTCCCAGTAAACCGTGGTCTACGGTGTGATAGAAATCATGGGACGAGGTTGGGACCAGAAGCCAACATTGGAATGTTTCCGGGCGCTTAAAAATAGGACGTGAATGGAGGGCCCAGCCTGTGCGATGGAGGCCTCTTAGACGATTGCAGTTAGAGCCCCTCCTCCCAGGGTCCCCGCCATCCAGGCACCTGGGAGCCCCCATAGGCTCGCCCAGCACCAACGGGGGCTCCCTTCTTGGGCACTTGGGTGCTTCGGCTTCTGATTTGCCCGCTGCAGACGGCATCCTCGTTTTCACAGCTTCCCACTTCTCACCTTGTACCAATCACCACAGCAGGCGGCTTGCTGGCCACTCCTCAGCAATCATGATCAGGTACATCTACCGCCGTGATCGCTCTTTAACGGGCAATCAGTTGCTTCATGTCCCTCTCGGCCAGGGGGTCAGCGGTTTCAGGCTCGCAGCGCTGGGACATGTCGACAGCTTGATCCGCCTACAAAGATGAGTCGTCCCTCTTCAATCTTGACCCTCGCGAGTCTTATCTTTGTCTCTGTCCTCGTTGTTCCACCCTCTGCTGCTCGGCCACACTCGATCTGGGAGGTCAATATCGACGAAGGCCCTGCTCCTCCGCCAGATCAAGGCCCTCCGCTCTCCGCTGGTGCCCTCCGAGACAAGTCCAAACTCAAATACGAAGTCATTGGCATTGTTGGCGCCTACGTGGTTTGGTTGATCATCACTGTTCTGCTGCTTTTCTTGGTCGGCAAGAAGCTGCGTCGCAAAGTCCAAACCTCGAACCGCAGTCTCAGTATGGAGATCATCAAGCCTGCTCCACTGGCCGATCATCCCAAGATGAATGTCGAACCGCCTTTAAAGAGCCCCGGCAAGATGGCCAGCCTCAGATCATGGGCCACGGGCAAATCCCATTCTCACAAACAGTCGCTTGTCAGTGTTTCGTCCACCATCGACGAAAAGATCATCGAGGCGGACAAGGCAAGAAACAAGGATGAAATGGCAAGGTTGTATGCTGCTGTCATGGCACATGACGAAGAAAAAGCCAGGAGCAGTGGCCAGACGTCGCCTCGCACACCCAGTTATCCACTGCAGTACACCACTCCGCCTACGCCTAGATCGCCCTATCATCTCCCACCGACTCCAAGGTCACCTTACTATCAACCAAATCTCCATATCAATGGCCCGGCCTCGCCAAGGTCCCCGCGGTATCCTCCAGAGTTTCAGCACCTACGGCATCCCGAGACGGAAGTCCGAAGCCCGGGCATCCAACCAGTGGCTCAAGTATTGAGCCATCCTCTGGCACCCACACCAGCTGATGATGTTTCCTCAATGAGGACAACATCACAATCCAGCAGCCGGAAGAAGGTGTCGCCGTTGTCCTTCATCTCGGGCCGTAGTGATTCGGCTGACCAAACGAGAAAGCGCCCGACCAACATCTCAGTTCGTGGGCAGCCGATCTCACAACCAATAGGTTCCGCCACTCTCACGGACGCCTCGATCTATTCCGAAGATGCTCTTTCCTCGCCTCGCATTTACAACCCGGGGCCAGCTCCGCCAACACCGGGCCAAAAGTCCGCTGTGACTGTGGTTGAGGAGGTTGAAAAGAGAGGTCCTCCCGCGCCTCTGTCTCTTCGCAGCGCTGCAGCGTCCGACAGCTCCAACAGCCTACCGTTCCGTCAATTCTACAATGATGCACTGAAGAGCGCACCTGCAACCAAAACTACTTTCGTGGACCGCCGCGAGAGTATTCTGGGTGTGCACGCGAAGACGGGTGTGCCTCAAACTCCCTACAGCCCTTATATGCCATACACCCCTATGACGCCCGTGACGCCCCGCACGCTCATGACGAAGAAGGAGATGAAAAAGAACAGGAAGAAGGAAGGCTTGAAGGTGCTGACTGAGGACGACATGGTGCTCTCGGATGAGGACTTGTGGTCGACTTAGGATCAAGCCTCCCTATGGCTGACGACGTTCCCCTTTGGTCTTTGGTGTTGTTTCCTTGTCTCATACGTTTCCTATCTCACCCTTAGCCCGCGCACACGGGCCTTGCTCTGCGGAGTGTCGATGAGACTGGACAGATGTGTGCAGTGTACATTTAGGCCGCCTGACAATGGCGAAGATAGATATCCTCGACCCGACAGACACAGATGTCGATGACAATGAACTTTATTGAAAGAAGAATCTGTGGTCTCTGGTAGTTTTCTTGTCGGTGTCCCCGCTGCTCTACAGTATACCTCTTGCCTCCTCGGGATATAAAGACGGCCGTTGCACATTCGTGGTTCTCAAGATCCCTTGACAAGCTTGCCCCTATCTACGATAATGGCTTAACCTTCGCTGATAATTTGCGAGACAATTCCGTCGTTTTACCCAGAAGGCAATGGGATCGAGGCACTACTCCTGCCCTGCAGGCACCGCTTGGGACGAATGTGTCGGGGAGGGTGTGTGAAGAAAAGTCCCGGGATTCCTGGATATGTATCTATGTGTGAAGCCCGCCGTCATGCCACCGAGAGAGAGAGAGGCCACCAAAGTAGATGTCTAGACATGTTCTATCTTGAGAGTTACCCGACGACGTATCGACAATATATACCAATATATCTCTGGGGGAAGTTACAAAGAGGGACAAATAGAAAGAAGGAAAAGAGAAAGGTATAGACACCCTTGGATACCCTCCAATTCCATGCGTGAAACCACCGAAGACTCCAAATCACCGACCGCCATTTCCTTCTCTTTTTCTCGGGTCCGTACCACTTACTTCAACATGTTAGATATTCTCCGCCCTGCACCTCGCGACTTAGCTTTGGATTTCTCCTCCCCCCCCCCCCCCCAACAAAAATCTATCGCTCAGCAAACTTGCTCTTGGATCTCAGCACCGCCCCGTATTTCCAGAGAAATGCCATGCCCAGGACGCCCGCGGCGCTCACCCCGGCGAGCACGCTGACGCCCTTGTCCACGCCCCAGCTGACAAAGACTGCTCGGCTGCCCATGACCACGCCGGCGGCCATGGATCCTCGGGACATGTCGTACGTGGCGGACAGCGAGGCAAAGTATTTCCGGTAGGACAGCGAGATGTAGATGATTGTGCACTGGAAGACGACGTAGCTGCCGCCCGAGAAGAGCGCGATGCCGATGGTCGGGACGATCCAGTGGAACGCCGGGTGCGCGGCGCCGTTGGCGTCGTGCGTGGTCGCGGTCGCGGTCCAGGCGAAGAGGAACAGGCCGGCCGGGCAGAGCACGCTGAATGGAATGGAGGGGATCAGCCACCGCTCCTGCGGGATCGCGGCGTTGATGTGCAGTCTTTGCGGACCGGTGGCGAGAGTCTGCGGCTGGCTGGCGTCGTTGGCCGCCGCGGCCGCCGCGGCCACTTGCTTCACGTCTGCACGAGCCCGTGGAGTGAAGTACAGTTGGAGGTAAACGGCGTAGATGATGGCGCAGATGCCACCGCCGATAATGGCGGAGAGGAATATCAGCCCAATGGCACCCGCGGAAAAGCCGTACCTGTCATGGTAGACCAGAGGGAAGGCCTGTATGAGGTTTTAGAGTCAGTTGAGAGGTATTCCTCATATTGAAAACGAAGTTTGTTTCGAGGAAGGGTCGTCAACATGACACCACGGAGATGCAGACATACCTCAAAATACGAGTAGTAAGTGGCGTACACGATGCCGCCGTACACAGTGACAAAGGCAATCGCTGGATCCTTCATTGCAATCTCCGTCGGCTTGATGAGCGCGTCCATGAACACTTTTGCAACGCGCAGTCTTTTGATTTCTGATGGCGCCCGATACTTTGGATCACCGGTGAATTTCCTCATGCGCTTTGCTCGTTGAAGGAGGATGTAATCTGCGCTCGTCTCCGGCAGCAAAATGACCAGCGGGAACAGGCCACCTGCCATGATGGCCACCTCCCAGTATGGCCATCTGAAGTCTTTGACGACGGCGTAGCCCGACAAAAGTGGCCCGACTGCAGGACCAGCGTACATCGCACCGAGCCAAATCATGTAGCCGTATGGTGACTCGAACTCATCAAAGAGATCGTCGTAGGACGCAGCGCCGGTAGCAAGGATCGGGGAGCCGAAGTAACCCTGGAGGAAGCGTAGGACGCAGATCGTGGCAAAGTTGAGGTCTTGCACTTGTGTAAGGGCTATGGAGAGGGCGAGAAAGGGGAAGAAGGAGGCCCAGTATGGGATGTTGCGGCCAATCCATGGTATTTCTGACAAGGGAGCAAACAGCAAAGGGCCTAAGGCGTAGCCGAGAACGTATAGAGCGAGGATCAAGGAGACGGAGGTCTCACTGAGACCGTGCTGAGGTGCGATGTAAGGGTAGGATGGTGTCGTGATAGACGAGGTGCAATACACAACAAACGTGTAGAGACTATTACAATTGCGGCGTTAGTAAACAAGACGTTATTGAAGGGACGGAAGAGTGCATTTGCCAAGTTGAAATCCAGAAGAGTGCATTCCACATACAAAATGATGAAGCTCGCCCAAAGTTTCTTCGTCCTCGAGAAGTTTCGCGGGTTCTCAGGATCTGTTGGACTGTACCAGTCGACTACGACAAGATCCTCAACGTTCGTGCCTTTTTTTGCAAGGACTTCAGGGTCGGCTTCGACATTGACTGGAACTTCAGTAACTGTATCCACCGGCTGCGATCGCCTGTTTCTCAAGATTTCGAGTCCGTTTCCGTCTTCTGTATACTGCAGAAGACGGCCTTGTGAAACTAATCGAATGAATTGGCCCAAAGGGGTGTCCCTCAAAACTCTAGCCATCTGGATGAGGACCTGATGGGATTTGCCGAAATGGGAAGAACTTGTCTGGCAGTGAGAAGGTTTCTCGGTGCGAGTGATAATGCCAACGAAGTTCCAATCTCTTATAGCCTATTGAGAGGCTGAAGTAGTGCCAGAGGCAATATCAGACCGTTTTCCAGAATAGTTCGGCCGTATTGCCCTGCAGTGGAAATAGAGCTAGAAATAAGCACGATAGATTGCATTACTTACTCAGGGGGCTTGGTCAGCGAGCGCCGTCGTCGCAGGGACGGCACTGGTGTTGTGACCTTGAACAAGCCTTTTGCCAATCGTGTCTATGTTGTTGCTCCAACAGAGCACTGATTGGCGCTGGACGACAAATTCCCCGTCGTCCTCGACTTGGCGCAGCATGGTAGACGCTTGCCACTAAAAGGTACGTCTTTCTGCAGCATGGTAGTGGAGGAGATCGAAGCTCTTTGGGAATAGGCACTCGTTATAGATCGATTTGATAAGCAGGCATGGAGACTTGGGCGGTTCAGACTGGCTAGCGCATTGAAAAAGTCGCTGTCTCTTGCCACTGCGCCGTGGAGATATAGTGTATGACAGCTCAGACCGTCCATCGGTGAGGATACTCTCCGAGCTCGACAAGTCACCGCGATGCAACCTCAGTTGAGTGCTGTCCTTGGTCGCGCCACATTAATTCGACGCTTCACGAGAACGGGCCATACTGGGACGCTAGGCTAAGCAAGATCGATATTTTCGCGCCAAGCTATCTCGGTTGCGGACGAGAAATGAGGACTTGCCAGAGTAGGGGGATAGTAGGTGCTGGGCGAGCCTACGAACATGGCGTCCGTATGATTGACGGAGCCGAATTCTGGCGCAGAGAAAGAGGAGCTCGTCCTCAGCGTCGGCAATGGAGTTCGCCCGAAGTTGGGACAGAGAACGCAGAGGTGCGCAGAGAGGTGACCCGACTCTGGGCGGCGTCTGGTGAGAATCTCGTAAACGTTCAACCTTCATTAGCCTGTAGCGTGGCGAGTGAGCAGCTAACGACGATAGCGAAAATATTGCGTCCACGGAGTGTTGAGGTCGTCGACATGACTTACAAGTTCCATCTTGCGGAAAATCGCCCAACTAAGCATTGAGTGCGAGCAAGATGTGCGACCTGGGCGTCACGCGGCAGACCGTTGTGTGAAGAACATCATATCAGAGTTGCTCCGACCCAGATGAACACGAGGCTGGTCTAACCCTAATTGGTTAGGGGTTGGATTACATAACCACATCTGCTTCGCGCGAGTCGAACAATACGGCCGTTGAAGCGGCCGAGAAGGTATGATCATGTTAAAGGAGATAAAAACTACTTGGAGTCTCTGTGTTCTGGTGACGGGTGAGTCCGATCGGGGCGAAGATCTATCCGTTTGACTGGTCCCTATCTGTGGATTATGGGATATACCGGCATCTTGGGTATGGCGGTCAACGCAAGGCTTGCTCAAGGCTGACACCCAGTTCAGTGCAACTGATCATAGCCACTTTACCAGCAGACCACGCAATCCGGAGTTGACGTCGTCCTTGACTGGTGTCCTATCATTCTGCACGTGCGAGATCAATGTCAAAAGCCGAATTGATGTCTTCTTCCCGAGCCTCGACCGTCACTGAAGGAGCACCCTCTTCGCCACTGTGGCTCTTCAGGTTCCAAATTAGTCCAGTACTCAAGCACTCCGCGGGGAAGCTCAAATGGATTGACGGAGTACTTTGTAGGGACGGAGCAGAAAGCTCGAGACATTCGCTAAGCTTAAGCTCCGGGCGATTGGTTCCCGTGGTTGAAGGTGCATGCCAATGCTGAGATAGTCTTCCGAAGTGGCGACAGCGATAACTGAACTGCAAGATTGTTACATTGAGACTAGTTTGTTGATCTAGACCGGGCTGTTATGGTCGGTAGGGAAATGCAGTAAGAATGGGGAAATGTAATGGGAGAGGGTTGTCAGCTCGGTGACTGATGTTTGAAGAAGTGAATGGAGAGATGTGGCAAGGTCAAGGTACCTACGAGTAAGGTACATGCATGGGGAGCATCAGTTAGGCAGGGCGCCATGAGGAGGGCGAAAATTTGTCATTAATAGGTACTGGCGGTACCTGGACGTATCGGTCCGCCACCCCTGGAAGGGCCCCAAGCCCACCGGCTTGCTAGCCCAAACAAGCCAAGCCCCCGATGGCATTAGTTAAACTACTTGGTAGGCGCTGATGAGCGTGCGGCCTCCCTGACATACCGGGTACATGTGCGTCAACGAGGGGCCAATCGTGGCGGATCGAGGCTCTTAGTCATTGTCTTGGTACCTGCAACCATTGCCTCTGCCATTGCCACATGCCGCCATAACCCAACACTCAACCTCGCAGGATCCGCTGTTTTATCCATCAGCGTTCTCTGGGGAACACTTGCCATCGTGAAGGATACCAGATCAAGTCGCTAGAATTGTCACCTGGGCCCCGACCGACTCTCCTGAATATACTGGAGATCGCCCGCACAAGTACCTCCTCCACCTCGCCGAAAGAGCGCATCGTCGGGTCAATCTCCAGCCAAGATGCCCCTAACTGTCCTCACCGATGCAGATGTCAGGGAACTGCTGTATACCCTGACCAAGGAGGATATCGACGAGCTCCAAGCCAACCTCGCCGAGGCCCTTCATTCATACTCCACAGGCGATACCAATTCGCCCTGTTGCGCATCTTTCCAGCCACAACGTACTATCATCAAGAAGAATGGCGTCACCACCCTGTTCATGCCAGCATCCACGGGGAACTCTGTAGGGATGAAGATCGTGTCGCTTCAGCAACCTGAGATATCCCTCCACAGCAAGTCTTCGGTCTCGTCGGGCAATTCTGAAAGTCATTCTGGAACCCCTACAGGCAGCATGTCCTCCTCTGCCTCAGTCAAGTCTGCGACGAATGAATTCGGCTCCATGACCCTGACTCCGTCATCCACCATGTCATCCGGAAGAGACTCAATCGATGGCTCTTCTTTCCAACCCCCTGCGTCGGTTGCTAGCTCTCGCAGTACCACACCGAAGGGATCTGTCACCCTCCTCGACTCCGCTGGAAACCCCATGGGTATCGTTAATGCCGAAGAACTCACGGCTTTCAGAACAGCGCTGGCTTCCACTTTGATGCTGAAGAAGCGAGAGAATGTCCACACTGTGACCGTCTTTGGTGCAGGAAAGCAGGCATACTGGCACATCAGACTGGCACTGATACTAAAGGGCGACCAAATCCGACATGTCAACATCATCAACCGCAGCTTCGAGAGGTCCATTAAATTGATGAAAGCATTCCAAATCACACAAGACTTCAACGACCAATGGCGCAAAGACATTAAGTTCTCAGCCATGAGCCCGGAGTTTGGTGAATATGGCCGACTACTGAAGGAGGAAGTTCGGAAAGCGGATGTTATTTTCTGTTGCACGCCGTCCGTCGATCCCCTATTTCCAGCCGAGTTCCTGACGTCGCGCGAAGGACGAAGGAAAGGCAGATATATCGTGGCCATTGGCTCCTACGCACCACACATGTGTGAGATTCATCCCGACATCTTGAAAGTTGCAGTTGAACCCGCTCACGGCGGGCATCATCATCACCGACATGCTAGGCAAGGGGGAGTGATTGTTGTCGACAGCCTGGAATCATGTCTAAAAGAGGCCGGCGAGATTGTCAAGGCGAAGTTGAAACCTGAACATCTGGTTGAGATCGGCGAACTCATGATGATCAAGAAGGCTGCGACGAGAGAGATTGAGCTTGGAGGACCAGGCGAGCAAGGGCTCCTTGACTGGCTGACCAAGGGCAATGTCATCTACAAGAGCGTTGGCATGGGACTTCTGGATCTCGTGGTTGCTAGCGATCTCATTCGAATGGGCAAGGAGAAAGACGTTGGCGTGACCATTGAGGATTTCTGAGTTGCCATGGAGAAGACTCTGCGTTGGCGGGAAGGTAGGCATGCGGCCCCCCCTCTGTATTTTTTCTGTTGGGCTGTTTGCCACAATGGTGTATTCCTGTTGGGTGGAACCTTGATTTTCTTCTCCTTTTTCCTGCAGATTTCAACTCGAGGAATGCCAGAATGGCACCCGAGGTGTCACCCCAGTGGTGGTATGCAAGCACTTACATGGGCAGCGTGAATAGATATACCTGAGTAGCTAGAGCTAATGTGACATGATATTCCCTTGACAGCTGCAGATGAACACACGTGTTGGATGAAGATAACAGCATCGATGCCATCTTGCTGTCAGCCAGAAGCATATGTCTTCGACCACTCCATGCCTATGTTGTCGTCTGGCCAGCCTCGTGGGTTCGCCAAATGCTGCCTTGTCAGACTGCGCCATTTATCGACATCTGCCCGCGGAGGTTTGGGGAAGTTCGCTTGCTAGAAAACTGTCGGCACCACCCTCAAGCCTCTTTGCTGACCCTTGTCGATCTGCCCCGCCTGCTCCGAGGTGCTCGTCACCCCTCGCCGCTTGCCCCTCCGTCTGCCCTCGCTGCCTCTTATCACTGGCAAGGTGTCAGCCCAGTCCAACCAAGCTAACGACAACCGATTCGAGGGTGGGGGAGCCACAGTGGGCATTGTTCCTGAACGACACAAACAGCCATCCCAACGTCATCCTTTCCCTTTGGCGGCAATGGGCCCGTGTCCACGTCGGAGAAAATAGTTGCTGGGTTAAACTCAGTAGGCTTTCAATAGGCGACAAGAAGAAGGTGAAAACACACCATAGTGGCAAGGTTCGTGGAAGGATTTCAATCTCTCATGGCCGGCTAGTGCCAGCTACTCAATGTACAACTGAGTTCGGACCTGTCGTGCAACTCAGGTGAGTTGTGTTGAAAATCCTCCCTCCTCGTTTGTCGCTTCCTCGGGGAGGTGGCTCGCTAGCTCGGCCAGTGGTCGAATCCCCGACAATCGTTGAGATCGGCAAAACAGACGTGGACAAATCCACAGAGGTGGTTTCGACTGCCACAGAGGTCTCGCATCAGTTGTTACTATTCTTCATCCTCACCGATCCTACGGTTTACGTTGCGCCGTCGCTATCATGCCCTGAAGAGTGAATGTCATCATGGTCCAGCACGTTTATCTGCCCAATGGGTGAGTAGCCCCTCACAGACAATGCTTGGTCGGTTTCGAGAAGGGGCTTCCAACATCGATGGCCTCCAACATGCTTGATGTAAGCTAACAGAACCTGGCAGGCAGATATACATAGTCACCCCGGTCTTCGGTGGCTTCACATTCAAATCGACCAACCTCGATTTGCATCACTCTGCAATGCCTCCAGGATGGACGGTGATCCTTCAGACAGAAGACGAGGTGGAAGACGAAGAGCGCAGAGGCAGCAGAGTGACAGTCATTGCAGGCGGGAATACAGAAGAAGCAGGGCACAAACATACTATTGCGCATCGATTTACCAAGCCCACCATTCAAAGCGACTCCCTCTTCATCTCCTCCATTTCCATGCCCTCGAGTTCGGACTTCAAAAACACCGCCTCGCCGACCCGACATATTGCAATGATGCTCTGGGCCACTTTGTGCTGGTATTTTCACAAGGAGCCTCCGAATCCCCACGCCCTGACCGAGGCATCTGCATTAACCCCAGAGGCAGGGCGACCGAAGCTTGATTGGCGCATCAAGATCAAAAGAGAGGGTATTTTCAAAGGGAAGAACACATTACAGAAACTTGAGCGGATGGGTTTAATAGCTAGCGAGGACTCTTGCGTCGGGACTGATACAAATACTCGATTACCCAGCGGTTGGGCGGAGACCTTTGTGAGCAGGAAATCATTCTGGCAAATTGATGCAAGAATCTTCCTCTACACAATGGCGCCTCAATCGCATTCGCCCTTCCCCCAAGCTTCGCCCTATCCTTCTCGTCCGTCTTCTCCCGACCGGACGGTTCCTGAACGTGGCTCACCTCGACCTGCCGACTATGTGACCAATGCGGCAATATCGGACACCTTCAGTTCAGGATTCTGGTCGCCTGGAGGGCCCTTCAACTCTGGGAGTCATCTGCCGACGTTCTACCCTCCTCCGCCAACTCAGTTCACCTTTACCAACCACATTCGCCATCCGATACGCCCCAAGCCACCTCGGCAGGGAGAGTCATTCTACACCCGCTATATTCCAAGTCTGGGTCAGTGGCTTTCATTCCGGATTCCAACAATGTCTCCCAAGCCATGTCCTCCGCCTCACTTTGTGCCCGCGTCATCTTCGATGCCCGCAGTGCTGCCGAGCCACACCGCGGCCATATCCATTGCGACATTGCCCACAATGGACAACTTCTTGGACCGGCCGTCTGACCTGGACTTGCTCCACAAGTGGATGAATAACCCCCGGGTCAATTCGGCGTGGGGTGCTGCCGGTCCGCTGAACACGCAACACAAGTTCTTGATTGATGGCCTCCAAAGCCGACACTCGTTCCCTGTTTATGGATGCTGGGACGGCAAACCCTTTGGCTACTTTGAAATATATTGGGTGAAGGAGGACAGGTTGGGCCGACTACTCGGTGGAGAAGTTGGTAATTACACGCGCGGATTGCATGTGCTAATTGGAGAGGACGAATTCCGAGGCCCGCATCGAGTCAAGGTCTGGTTGTCTGCGCTGGTGCACTATTGTTTCCTCGCGGATTCCCGAACCGAGACGGTGATGTTGGAGCCGAGGATCGACAACACAAAGTAAGTCATTCAATTGCCCGAAGATCTTCAAAGTGATTCGGCGACTAACTGGAAATGCGAATGTAGGTTCATCGACTACCTGAAAGACGCGGGGTTTTACAAGCAAGGCGAGGTTACCTTCCCGCATAAACAGTCGGCCGTCATGAAAATCGACCGGGAATCCTGGGAAGCGCCCGAGCTCTAGGAGAGCATTAGGTGCCGCAACCTACCTGCCCGCGTCGAGGAAAAGATGTATGGTGGGAATGGATCTGATATCCGTACTCGGAGGATCCGCTGTTTGAGAGCTACGATCAGCGCACACTTTGGCATTACTTGTAGTCAATTTGACACGGTATTGGTGTTTCAGAAGCCATCGACGATGAATCCGGTTACGGAACATCCAGCAACGCCACAAAGCAGCCCAAAACAGTGCAAGCAATTGTATATAGAACCCCAGAAGGCACCCGAATGTTCGGGCGGTTACCGCCTTGTCTCATGATAGCGGCAAGGCTGTGTACACGTGATCAGCCTTACAACTCCGCAAAAGGCGGCGAGGCTGTCCAAGAAATAAACCATTCGCCGCCGGTTTTTAACAATTTCTACCCAACACTGCAGAGCGACTTTAGCCCTCATTGATACGTCGGAGGGTTCGAACGTGCATCGCTCCTCGATTCCGCCATCATGGCGACCCAAATACCTGTCGACCCGACTCTTACCTCGGCCAACACTCTCAAGCTTGAAAATGTGAGTCAACTACACGCGAGCAGGAAGGATTTGAACTAACCAAGGGCTTTAGACACACAATCGGGACGTGTTGATTGCGATCGAGAAGAAATACCAAAAAGAATGGCAGAACAGCAAGATTTTCGAATCGGATGCGCCTACAACCACTGAGATCCCCTTTGACTCAGTCCCCGCCGCAGAGATTCGAGAAAAATATCCCAAGTACTTTGGCACCTTTGCCTACCCGTACATGAATGGCTCTCTGCATGCTGGGCACAGCTTTACAGTCAGCAAAGTCGAGTTCACCGCTGGCTTCAACCGCTTGACCGGAAAGCGGGTGTTGTTTCCATTGGGGTTCCATTGTACGGGCATGCCGATCAAAGCATGCGCAGACAAACTTGTCGAAGATGTTAAGAAGTTTGGACAGAATTTCGAGAACTATCATGAAGAGGAGGACGAAGCACCGCCAGACACCAACGGAGCCCCCGTCGCACCCACACAGGGAGTCAACATGAAGGACGACCTCACAAAGTTCAAGAGCAAGAAGGGCAAACAGGCCGCAAAGACGGTCAAGGCCAACTACCAATTTCAGACAATGCTGGCTATGGGAATACCGAAGGAGGAAATTCACAAGTTCTCAGACGCCAATTATTGGCTCGAATACTTTCCGCCGATATGTCAACAAGATCTCATCGACTTCGGAGCAAGGATAGATTGGCGGAGGAAGTTTGTCACAACCGACGCAAATCCGTACTACGATGCTTTCGTGCGATGGCAGATGAATCGCTTGCACGAGCTCAACAAGATTCTGTACGGCAAGAGATACACGATCTACAGTCCCAAGGACGGCCAACCATGTATGGACCATGACCGGACCAAAGGTGAAGGTGTAGGTCCGACGGAGTACACAGCACTGAAGTTGAAAGTCAAGGAGTGGTCACCGGATGCGGCGAAGGCGATCGAATCGAAAATTCCCCAGGACGCGAGTGTCTACTTTGTGCCTGCGACACTAAGGCCGGAGACGATGTACGGTCAAGTATGCTGTTTCGTGGGACCGAAGATCAACTACGGTATTTTCAAGGTATCAGAAAAGGAGTATTACGTGGTCACCAAGAGAGCGGCTTGGAATATGGCCTTTCAGGGCACTTTCTTTGACCAGGAGCATTTCCCCCGTAGTCAGAACGAGTTGCAGCCTGTTGTGGAATTGCCTGGGTCCGCCTTCGTGGGTACACTGGTCAATGCGCCTCTTTCGGTGCACAAAGAAGGTGTTCGAATATTACCTATGGAGACCGTATCTGCAACAAAAGGCACGGGCGTTGTCACTTCAGTTCCGTCTGACAGTCCCGACGACTTTGCCACAGTCCGAGAATTGGCGAAGAAAGCCGAGTTTTATGGCATCCAGAAGGAATGGGCTGAACTGGAGATCATCCCCATTATTGACACTCCAGCTTATGGCAACCTTGCGGCGAAGTACCTGGTCGAGACCAAGAAGATCCAATCACCCAAGGACACCACTCTGTTGGCCGAAGCGAAGGATCTGGCGTACAAGGAAGGCTTCTACAACGGCACCATGTTGGTCGGAGAATTCAAGGGGGAGAAGGTTACCGACGCCAAAGAAAAAGTGCGAAGTTCCTTGATCGCGTCTGGCGAGGCATTCCCTTTTGCCGATCCTTCAGCTGAAGTCATCAGTCGCAGTGGGGATGAATGCGTGGTCGCATACGTCCCACAGTGGTTCCTGAATTACGGCGAGAACGACAAAGAGTGGCAGCAAACGGTCTTGGACTATGTCAAGGACAAGAATGGCCTCGAAACTTACACTCATGAAACCGAAAACCAGTTCGTCGCAAACCTCGAATGGTTGAACCAATGGGCATGCGCAAGGACGTATGGGCTGGGTTCCAAACTGCCTTGGGATCCCTCCTTCTTGGTGGAAAGTCTGAGCGACAGCACCATTTACATGTCATACTACACGATCGCCCATTTCTTGCACGGAGACAAATTCGGCAAGACGCCTGGATTATTGGACATCAAGGCAGAGCAAATGACGGATGATGTCTGGGATTACGTCTTTACGCGGACAAACGACGTCAAGAAAGTCGCGGAATCGACAAAGATATCGGTCGCGGACCTACAAACCATGCGACGATCCTTCGAATATTGGTATCCTCTCGACTTGAGATCGTCTGGAAAGGACTTGATCCCCAACCATCTCACATTTTTCCTTTACATACATCTCGCGCTTTTCCCTCGCGAATATTGGCCGAGATCTGTCCGCTCGAACGGCCATCTCCTGCTCAACGGCGAGAAAATGAGCAAATCCACCGGCAACTTTTTGACCTTGAGCCAAGCAGTGAAGAAGTTCGGGGCCGACGCCACGCGAATAGCACTTGCTGATGCGGGTGACGGTATGGAGGACGCGAATTTCGAGGAAAAGGGCGCCAACGCCGCGATCATGCGGATGTACACTCTCAAGGAGTGGATCGAAGACACATTGAAAGATGAGGGGCTCCGCAAGACGCAAGGAGAGGTCCTTTGGGACAAACTTTTCGAGGATGAAATGAATCTATTGGTGCACGAAGCATACAAGCACTACGCCGAGTAAGTTCCTCATGCTGTTTTGCATTTGCCACGATGGTTGGACCGAAGCTGATTGTGACTTAGCACAAACTACAAACTCGCCCTCAAAGCCGCGCTCTACGACTTCCAGTCCGCGCGGGACTTCTACCGCGAAGCCTGCGTATCCAGCGGCATCCCTCTCTCGCGGCCCCTCGTCCTCTGCTACGTCGAATTGCAATGCCTCTTGATCTGCACCATCGCGCCTCACTGGGCCGAGTACATTTGGCTCGAAGTGCTGCACAAAGACCAATCCATCCAACTCGCCCGCTGGCCGACCGGCGTCCCTGAAGCGGACCCCTCCCTGACCGCCGCGAGAGAGTACGTGAGGACGACGTCCAGCAACATCACGAGCGCCGAGGCACAGGCGGCCAAGAAAATGGCAAAGGGCAAGGCCGTGGCCTTCGACCCGCGCAAGCCGAAGCAGCTCACCGTCTTCGTGGCCTCGCGCTTTCCCGAGTGGCAGGACAAATACGTCGACCTGGTCCGGACGATGCTCGAGAAGGCCAGCCTGGACGACGACAAGGCGCTGAACGCGTCGGTCGCCAAAATGGGCAAGGGCCCCGAGATGAAGAAGGCTATGCCCTTCGTGCAGGCGCTCAAGCGGCGGCTCGTGGTCAACCACGAGAGCCCCGCGGCCGTGTTCGAGCGCAAGCTGCCCTTTGACGAGGTCCACGTCCTCACCGAGATGCGGAAGGGCCTGATGAAGAACACCGGCTGCAAGGACGTCAAGGTCGTCAGCGTCGCCGACCACAACAGGCAGAGCCTCCCCTCCATGGCCGAGGCGGCCGTCCCGGGCCAGCCGAGCTTCTTGTTCGAGAACGTCGACGCATGAGCGGCCCGTCCTTTGCGCGCTGTGTACCCCTTCTGATTTCCCTTTGATCTGTCTCAGGGGAATAAATCAGTTGAGCCGCAGAAGGGTAGGGTGGTGCGATGACAATGGATGATTCATGTGCGTGTCGGGGAATGCCCATGAACTTTTCAACGAGCAATGTGTATGTATGAATGTGGTCGAGGTGCTCGAATCGAGAAATGCCAGGGACGAGACATGATGGGAAGGAAAAGACAAGATCCAAAAAAGAATGAGCCAGACACCTTCGCAGAAGGACTAGAAGGTTGAAACATGTGGAGAGGGCATCTCATATGCATCGAGATGGACATATGTGTAAGCCTGGGTACTCGCTCTGGTTAGATAGAAATCCAATAGAGCGCCCAAAGATGACCAAACCATTGAACGGCATTACATTCCGCAACAACCATTGAACTCCCTCGAGCCCGTTTTCCATGTATGTATCCGCCAGCCCCATGATTCGGGCATGCCACGCCATGCTTGCTCTTTATTCATTCCCACGAAATCCCAGCATCGTTCTATCCCAGTCTCAAAGCAAAACCGCCTCCCTTTTCCTCCCCCTCTGCGTCCCACCCTTTGAAGATCCATTCGACCTCCTTCTCGTCCAGCCTCGGCGCATCGCCCCTGACGGGTGCTTGCGGTGTCTCCTTTTTCCGTCTCTTCTCCTGGCCCGCCTTGCTTGGGAAAGTGGGGAACAACTCCTTCGACTTGGGCCGCGGGTCTTCCCTGAAGTAAGGGTGGTTAAGGATCTCTGCGGCTCGGGGTCGAGAAGCCGGATTCAGCGAGAGGAGGGAGGAGAGGAGCCGCAGGCCTGCACTGGTGAGGTATGGGAATTTGGAGGCCGTGAGGGACGAGCGCGTCGCGCTTTTGGGGGAGGACAGGAGAGGGTGCAGTGCTCGGGTGTTGGGGAGGGAGCGGAAACCCGGCCATGCTTCCCGCGTGGGAGTCCCGAGGAGGCTGAACATCTTGGAGAGCTGGTCGAGTTCGTTGTGGCCCTGGAACAAGGGTTCCTTGGTGAGCAGTTCGGCGAAGATGCAGCCCAGACTCCAGATGTCGACTTCAAAGTCATACTCTTCCGCTCCCAGCAGCAGCTCGGGCGCGCGGTACCACAGCGTCACCACCAGCTGGGTCAGTTTCGGGGGAGGATTCGACGTGTATCGCGCCATGCCGAAGTCGGCCAGCTTGACCTCACCGCGGTTGTTGAGGAGGAGGTTCGAGGTCTTGAGGTCGCGATGCAAGATCCAGTTTCTGTGGAGGTACTCGACGCCTGAGACGATCTGGAGCATGAGCGTCTTGGTCTCCGAGGGCAGGAACGGCTCGGCCATCTCGTCGAGGAGGGTCTTGAGGTCGTGTTCGAGGAACTCCATCACGAGGCAGACACTGTTAACGGGCCGCGGAATGACCCGTGGCCATATGGGTTAACATCGTCTGGCTATCCGTGCCTTTTCAGGGAGAGAACAAAAGCGTTCAGTGACGGGGAGGCCAGACTTACTCTTTCAAACTGTCGCCCACGACCACCTCGAGCAATTTGACCACGTTCGCGTCCCGACACGCCATCAGCGTCTGTATCTCGCGCAGTCCCGTCACGGGGAAGCCGTCGTTGGTATGGTCCATCTTCAATCTCTTGAGGGCAACGATCTCGCCCGAAGTCTTCCTCCGTGCTCGCGCGACGACGCCGTAGGAGCCTTCTTCGATCTTGTTCAGCATCTCGAATTGGTCGACGTGGCCGCAGGGACCGAATTGTCGGCTGGGGAATCGTAGCAGGTGTGCGCCTTCCTCCTCGCCTTCCACCTGGGGCTGTACTGCCGGCGCCGCTCCGTTCTCTTCCTCGTCGAAAGAAGACGTGCGCGGGCGTTTGGTAGGTCGCTCATTGTCGTCCGCCGCGGAGGGGAATGGCGTGGTTGACGGAACTGCGTTGCGCGCTTTCTCCTCCTTGAGTCTTTTTCTTTCTGCTTTCTCCCTCTTCCGCTCTGCCTGCGCGGCGGCCGCGTCGTTGTCGTCACCTGTAGCCCATTTCGATGGTTTGGGGGCCATGTTGGGAGGTCGGTGCTCAATGGCTCTAGACTCGCCAGGGAAATAGGAAGGGTTGTGAATTGGTGAGCTTATGGGAGCAACCCGCGATCAAAGTAGACGTTGGCGAGCAGGTGCTTTTGAGACCGGCACGCTGTGGACCTTTTTTGGAGCCGCCAAAGCAAGCCGATCATTGCAAAAATGGCGATATTTCAACGTGTCAGACGACAGAAATATTAGCGGCTAGAACTTGCTCGCATACATATCAATGTTCCCACAAGTAATGGCCCTCTACCTCTGTGATAGGATCTCAGGTAGAGTGTATGCGTGTCATTGCTCTATTCTATCGATGGCGGCCGTCAAGTACATTCCTATCTGTTCCCAGCGACGTCTCAACACGTCTTTTTGCGAAGGCAGCCCTACTTTGAGGCGAGCGATTTGCTCGAGGCTGCTGTCCACCATCTCCAAATATGCCTTCAATGGTTGCCGGAGCAGTTCGTGCACGGAGCTTTGATACTCGTCGTCGTCGTCGGCACCATGCGTGACACATCCGTTCCATTTTTCAAGAGGCATGCATAGCAACCGGAGTGCGACTCGGGTGCGATAGCAAGCCACCCCGTCGTCCTGCATCGATGGCGCCTCCAGCACGTAGTTGCCCAGGTAGCCCGCCTCTTCTAGCATGCCTTTCTGCTTCTCTGAGAAAAGAGGCAAGACGACTGCGTCCAATGACACCTCGTCCCACTTGTTCTCCTCGAGGATGAAGCCATACTCGACCAACAAGAAGTCGTTCGGGTGGCTGCCGTAGGAGATGTACAGCTCCTCGCCCTTCTCGATGGTGTGGTCCACCTTGAATTCATACCCTGTTGCCGAATAGGCGACCTTGCACCCGGCGTCGGAGTGGTTGAAGTAGTCTCCAAAGGGAACCAGCGCCAGGCACTCCTCGGCTTCGGGGGTGTCTTCGGGTTCCATGTCGGGAGGCGTGTAATAGAAGGTCCGTGTGCTCACGAGAAGCCAAGAGTAGTGGTAGGCATCGTAGGAGAGCTGTGGGAAGGCGGCAGAAACGGCATTCCAGTCCCGGGAGACCTTGCCCTGCTGCTTTCTCAGAAGCGCCAGCGCCGGGGGTGGCAGGAGGTCTTGGAGCTCGGGCGGCCAGAAGAGCGGCATCGACTTGTGCAACTCCTCCATGGACGGCAGAGTCGTTCTCCAGAGGGCATAAATGTCGGATGTGTCCATGGCCATTTCCGTGGCGAGGTAGCCGTTGACACTACATCCTTGGACGGCATTCAGGATGGTCGCTGGCACTGTCTCTCCCGTCCGAATCACAGACATGGGAATGTCCAATATCACTTCTCCAGCCTTTTTTTTTTGGGTGTCCGTCAGGATAGGCGCAAAAAAAAGAGGCGAACGGAACTGTTTCGACCTACCTTAAGCCTCCTTTTGGCGACAATACCCAATCCCTTGCCGGGAAATTTGTGCGCCGCAACGCCGTTGACCTTGATGCCGTTGGAGACTGCCCATTTTGTAAGGCTGTCGCAAGTCTCCATCTCCCTCTCTCACTGCGTGGAGATGGATGGTTTGGACAACGGGTGTCTATTTGTGGTGATCTACGGGGGACGTCCCAAGATGCAGGAAGCGCCCATCTTCGCTGCCCAATCAGATGCCTACGATCCTGGCAAGTCTCAAGGGATGAGCATCGAGAAACAGCTGGATCGGAGACGTCAATAAACCTAATCGAAGACTACTCGACCATCTCTCTAGCTTCCCAAGATATATTTGACGATTTCCAACTGAGCTTTCAAAGTACCAAAGTCACTGAATGTGTATGCCCCCCAGAGGTCATTCAGATATCAACTCGTTTGCGCCCATCAGATTGGCATAGTGTCACCAGTCCGAAGTAATGACGTCGAACAATGCCGCCGCCACGATTGCTTCCCTCCGAACCTCAGCTCTTCCAGCGCTCACCGGATTGATGGGTACCATGGGCATCGCAACTGGGCTGTACAGCTTGAGGGCTCCTGTCAACGCCGAGACACTGTTTGGCATCCTCGTCCCGGCTCCGGTCACTGCATCCAAAGAACTTTCAACCTGGCAAAAAGCGCAGACCTACACCCGGGGCCTCAGGAACTTGGCTGGTGGACTGTCTATCGTCGGGATTACTGTGTTTTGGCGCTTCTCCTCGTTGTGCCAGTCGTCGCCAGTGGCCGCGCTGACAGCCAAGAGATGCCTGGGGATCATCTTCTTGACGGGTAGCATTATCGGGGGAGGAGATGGTCTTGTCATCCGCCAGTTCGCTCAAGCGGAGGGCACCTCAGAGGAAGCAAGCGAGGTTGGCAAGCAGGCGGGTATGGGACATCTGGTCATGGCGCTGCCGATTCTGGCTCTCGGGCTCACTTGTTTCTTCATATGAGCGGCCTCTAGGCGCGCAGGCTCACACATCTGGGGGTCAAGGTCGAACTCATTGACCGCTGTATTAGTATATTTCACGAGACATCTCCCCCTCACCAGACAAAAAGGATCATGAACCATACTGTCCTGTGTTGTACCATCTTTTTGGCAGATTGGAACCCGGCATGGCTTTGGTTCCGAAGTCGGTCACACGTCACTCTGTGGGCGTGTGGCGGATCGATGCGGGGGCCTATCGCGGTATTCATACCTTTGGCGACTCCAATATTTGATCAATTACCAAGCATCCATGCATCTTCCCAGCTCATCACCTACTGGACATTGAACCGCATTGCTTGGAGCCCCTTCGAGAAACAAATCGCTTGTCTGATCTTTGAGCCTTTCTGAATCCTCGGCCGAGTTCAAAATGGGAAGCGTGGAAATCCAGCCATTTCAGGTCAGGCTCAACAACCGTCTCCTGCCGATCTTCGCCATGTAAAGCTGACCAGAGCACAGACAACTTTTGCTGTGCCGCTGCACTGCGATTCCTGTGTGCAGGATGTGACAGGTGCATTGGAGAAAGTACAAGGTACCTGGACGAAACCGTCATTCCAGGGCTCGCGATGCCAGAACTGACATGCCGGCTCGTTTCCAGGCATCACCAAGATCGAAGCCAATCTTAAAGACCAGCTTTTTTACATTGAAGGAACGGCTCCTCCCTCATCAATCGTATCAGCCATCGAATCTACGGGACGAGATGCCATCTTACGGGGCAGTGGGAGATCCAACTCTGCCGGAGTGTGCATTCTGGAAACTCATGCAAGAGCCGTGTCAGATCCTGTCCGTGGACTTGCACGAATGGTCCAAGTCTCGGACAATCGGACCCTGGTCGACCTGACGTTACGTGGGGTGTCACCAGGAACATATCATGCCACGATAAGGGCCACAGGTGATATCTCACATGGGGCAGCCTCGACGGGTGCCATCTGGGAAGCCGTCAAGGAACTAGCGGGCTTCAGACAGCCTCGCGGAATGTTTGGCACGGTGGAGGTAGACAAGGATGGACGAGGCAGCGCGTTCCTGGATCGACCGGTGTCAATCTGGGAGATTATCGGTCGCAGCATGGTGGTGTCGAAACAACAACCAGAGGGAGCGTTTCAGACCGAAGATCCAGATACCCTAGTCGGGGTCATTGCTCGCAGTGCCGGAGTGTGGGACAATGACAAGACCGTGTGCAGCTGTTCGGGGAAGACGGTATGGGAGGAGCGAAAAGAGCAGGTTGAAAAGGGGATGCTATGATCTGTCAGTTGTACGGAGTACGAGGTACTTGAGCCTGCATCGACGATAAGCATGGCACAATAGAAAGGGAAAAAAATTCAAAGGGAAAAAAAATCCACAATAACACTCTGCAATGCAATGCATCTTGTAAGGAGTAGCCCCAATTGGATTTTCACCCAGTTCTGATTCGCGGTCCGAGTTTGTTCTGGTTTTGGAATCGCCCTTTGGCTGCACGATGATGCAGTGCTGGCGCATCCCCCTGCAGGGAGCACTGGAAATGGACAACCCGATTGCTTGGATTTGAGGGTTTGGGAAAAGCTTTTGGTCTGCTGTGTCAACGGTGGTTGGTCGCCAGATGTGATTCTGAAACGGACACGCAGATGCGGACCTGGGTCCACCAGGCGAGGTTGGACACTGTTGAAACAAGACAGAATAGCGAGCCATGTGGGCGTGAGACGGTCCATGAGAGGGAGCAAACAACGGAGGGCAGAGAGGGCAGAGAGGGCAGGAAGAGGGCTCGCTCAGGTGATGGACTCAGGCCACTTGATAGAGGAGGACATATTCCATCACATTTTCGACGAGTGAGAATCGAGGGTGCAGGATAGACACATTGGACCGCGGCTGGCGAATAAGGGAGGAGGTGTGGTAGATGGTCAGGTTACCTAGTCGTAGTAGAAGTGTCAACTGTGACCACGATGATAAGGTGTCGATGATGCTGGACGCGGTCCCCTGGAATGGAAGTTTGAGGTGAGTCTGTACAGTATCATCTGCACGTGTGCCTGTGCCTGTGCCTGTGCCTGTCCCTGGAGCCTCTCACGTACAGTTCTGCCTGCATCAGGTGCGAGGTACCTAGAGGTGATCTGACCCGAACCCCCTAAAGAGTGCCTGGCGAGTGCCTGGAGTGGTAGTTCTCCTGTCCTTCCCCCCTCTATCCCTCCAGCCACCGCCCGTCCCTATTCGTGCCTATCCCATCCCGATGCCCATCCCCTTGCTTCCATGGCTTCCACTCTCGCCTTCTCGGTGCTTTCACCCTTGTTCTCGCTTGAAGGGTTGGACTCCCCACTTTCCCTGTTCCCCTTCTCTCGAGTCTCAACCATCATTCAAGAAGTCCGAGTCTTGCTGTCACAGCAACTCCTTCATCCAAGTCTCTTCTCCCTTTTTGTCTCCAACCCAGCAGCAACTGGCATTGCTGTCTTCGTTTCTCCCAAGCTGTGCTTTTGTTCTACATCCAGCTACGCTCTTTATTTCCCGATTTATCTTCTTCGCTTCCCAGACTATTGCAATCTATCGGGCGCATTCCGTCGCTAATCTACTCATTCACCACACTGTCAAGTTGACAGCCTCTTTCATTGGCACTCAGCCAGTGACGGCATTGGCGCCGAGCAAATCCCACTGCTCCCACCCACCGAGCCACCCACCCCGGGCGCTTAACCCCTGGCCCTCAAGCACCCATTTTCAGGACCTGGCGGCAGGGCCGGCCCTCGCAGCCTCGGAGCACCGTGCAATCGACCGCCACACCACCAGCCTGTGGTAGCCATCGGTTCCCACCACCCTAGCAGAATCTGTGACCGCCCGCACCCACCATTTCAATAACGTCTCAGGCACCGCCGCTCCTGTCGCAGATCTCGCTCCCTCTGTAAACATATTGCCCTGCATCAATCTGCCTGCACCTTGCTGTCACCACCTTGTTGACGCCAATTCTAACTTCGACGACCCCGGCCCGGCGCCATGTCGCTCAAGCAGGTACGTGAATCCCCCCTTGGTTGCATGGTCCAGTCCTGACGGGTCTGCAGGAAATAGAGACTTGGGTCGAGGCGCTTGGGCACTATGACAATCAAGAATTCGAGGAAGCGTTGAGGATCTTCGACGCGATTGCCGATACCTCCAAGATCCTGTTCAACTGCGGTGTCATCCACGCGACCATTGGCGAGCATGAAAGAGCGGTACGTTCAATGTGGACAGAGGAGCAAGGCCAAACCAAGCTGATATCGAGACTAGGTGGAATGTTATCAACGCGCAATCAAACTCGACCAGTACCTCGCCGTGGCCTATTTCCAACAGGGTGTCTCGAATTTTCTGGTCGGGGATTTCGAAGAAGCATTGGCGAATTTCAATGACACCCTCCTCTATTTGAGAGGCAATACATACATCGACTATGAGCAGTTGGGCTTGAAGTTCAAGCTTTACTCCTGCGAGGTTCTCTTCAACCGTGGCCTGTGCTACATGTACCTCCAGCAAGAGAAGGCCGGGCTTCAAGATTTCAGCTTCGCTCAGAAGGAGAAGATGACTCCTGACCACGACGTGATTGACGATGCTATAAAGGATATGGCACAGGTAAGCATTGGAACTTCCACGTAAAGGAGATGTGTCACTGACGTGGTTCAGGGCTATGTGGTTTTCAGCATGTGAGTCTCAGTCACTTTCCAACGACCAGCGTCTTGGAGGAACCATGCCCCCCTCTAAGGTTTCATGATTGCAACTGAGATCGATGGACTAACTTTTGGCGTTTGATAGACCGGTTGGGTGTGTGTACAGACCAAACGAAGCCAAAGTCAAGAATCTCAAAGCAAAAGACTACCTGGGTAAGGCCCGGTTGATAGCCACGTCGAACAGTGAGAACACCGGTACCGGATTTCAGGGCGTGGAAAGAAAACAAGCGGTGGCTGCCGAGATGTCAGCCAAAGACGACCGTCCTCCGGAAAACATCAGCTACGCAGCAACAAACCTCGTGCAGCGCAATTTGTCCAGTAGAATCGTCCGAGATCAGAGCGCTCCTCCTGTCATGAGTCGAAATGTGTTCCCGCCAACTCCGCCACCGGAGAACGAGAAGCCCAGGCTAAGCGGCGGCGGTTCGTCAACGTTGCCTCTTCGGACCACTTCTATGCGTCAACCTCGGAATATGTACGCCAGACCGGACATGGAAGCACCCCGACCGGGTATGATGAATCGAGCAGCAACGTTCGACGCCAACGCCAACCAACCACCGAGCATGGGCAGGATGATGCCTCCCCAACGCGAGAACTCGTGGCCAGAGGAGCCTTCCATGATGGAGCGACCACAGATGGAAAGGTCGCGCTATGGCACCCAAAGGACTGCCTCCGAACCTCGAGGTCCTTCGTCTCGACGACAGATGCTCGACCGCTCGGCCTCGCAAAGGGCTCCGGCACCGCTGTTCCGGGAGACTACCCCATCTCGATACGATGATCCCACCGACACGGTGGACGATGTCTATCGCATGTACTCCAGCCCCCGCAGGCGCCAGCGACGCCAAGACCAGGAATTATACCTAAACGAAGAAGACGAATATATAGACGAAGAAGAAATGAGTGCTGAAGACATGAGCGGTTTCGAACCTGTGCGGCGCGCGGCGTCCCGATCTGGGCGCGGCAGCAAGCGGCCCGAAATGCGCAAGATCCGTGTCAAATGCCACTTTAACGACGATACGAGATATCTAATGATTGGCGCTGTGATAGATTTTGGCGACCTTGAGAGCAAGATACGTGAGAAATTTGGGATCAAGGATCAATTGAAGATCAAGATGCAAGACGATGGTGATATGATCACCATGGGTGACCAGGACGATCTGGAGATGTTGTTGTCAAGTGTGCGCAATCAAGCCCGGAAAGAGAGGAACGAGATGGGCAAGATGGAGGTTTGGATCTCGTGACCTTTGAAAGAGTTGTGATATACAAGGCTGGCTGAGATACAAGATGGGGCTCGACACGATGAAACCCTGCACCACCACCACCAGACATATGAAATCCTACACCTGTTATTACAGCGTCGGAGTTGGACAAAGATCATCTCCCTCGCGGAATTGGGAATCACTTTGGATCGGGCGCCGTATGGAACGGGACATACTTGTTTTCAGGGGGAATGTACTTACAAGTGCTATGAATGTGGCTCCTTCACTTCCCGACTCTATTTCCACACAGACATTTACATATACCTAGGTATCCCATATATATCTCACGAATAACGTCTGTGTTGCACACCAATCCATAATCGAGCTTGAGCTTCTTGACTCTTGGTTCTCGGTCATTCATGCCTCGACCCCTAGGCCATGGCAGATGTCCCTTTGAGAACCATCTTGCAGCGTGCTTGCCCTGATGTGATGGACGGATGGAGCGGATTGCGAACAGCAACAGCAATGGCAATAAATCATTACGATAGAAGAAGCTTTCTTAACACCCCTTGAATTCCGCTGCTACATGCTACAAACTCCACCGCACAACACAATCCAATCCCACCCATCCACGGGTCCAGTCCCTCTGGTCCAAACGTCCTTGTGGGGATGGCGAGGTAACAGCTTGAATAGACCGTAAAGTAGCTGGTAGATAGGGGAGTGAAGGAGAGAGGTGTCCAAGTTCGACCTTTGCTTTTGTCTTTGTCCTTGTCTTGCTGGCCCAGCCGTACGACTATTAGTAGGTAGAAGCCCTCACTTGCCCTGCCCGTCGTGCTTCCACACGCGGGCCTTATTGTCTCCCTCTCCCTCCCGCCCAGCGGCACCAGTCCTCGAACCCCCCTTCCGTGACCAGATTCGAAACTTCTCCTGGCAGAACAGACTGCCCTTCCTTCCTACCTACGTACCGATTCCAAATCCTCTGCCGAGACATCTTTTCTTGATCCCTTACATACCTAGGTACTTCCTCGCCCTTCCCCTCCACACACACAAACACACACACACACACACACAACCTCCTTTCCAGGCTCCGTCCACTCCACTCCAGTCCCATTCCGCAGATCACCCTTTTCCCCCCATCTTGAATCTCCCCTCCCCCATGAATGAATCCCACAACGACGGCTCCCTATCTGGCTAAGGCGGCGGTGGTCGCGGCCGCCCCCATCCTCTCCACGACCCAGGCCTTGCTCACATTGACGCCGGGGTACTCGACCTCGAACAGGATGCGGATGCTCTCGGCGTCCTCGCCGTTGCGGGCCTGGTCGCGGATGAAGGCGTCGTGCGTCGGGGTCCAGTTCGCGGGTCGCTTTGCCGCCGGTGGGTGGGTGGAGGAAGACGACGGGCGTAGAGAAGGCATGGTTGTTCTCTTCTTGATGTGGGTTGCCAAAAGGCAGGAGGCGCTTGGGGTTCTTTTATTTTGGGGATTGATTGGTTGGGAATGGTGATGTACGTGTGTACTTGTGTTTGGCCTGTGGGTTTCTTCGTTGGAGGAGCGATTGCAAAAGGCTGCTGAGCGTAAATTTGATGGGTGTCTCGACACCGGTGTCGTCCTGGATTCTGACTCGATGCACTCCTCCAAAGTACCCACGAAGGGGACAGACGGGGTCCCACAACACGCAGTAACAAGGGGTGGAGAGGAGAACGTATACCTGCGCTGGTCACAGGCGAAGTCGCGTCGAAACGTTGAAAGGAAGCGATTCAAAGTCCCCCAAGGCACCCGAAGCCCGATCGATGGCAATTGTGTCCTGTGGTATCAAGGAATGACCTGGATGAAGTAAGGCTCACAAAAGATCCGTTGTGCTCTCAGGCCGACCACAGTCCGCCGCGGTGATGGAATGCAGGAGCAGGGAGATCAAGAAGAAAAAGAATGTGACGGTTAATGTCGAAGCAAGGAGAGGGAGCACAACACGGCGAGGGCTTTTGTACTTCTTCAACGTTCTCCCAACACAAATTCAATCAGACTTGTGATCGCCCACTGGTGGGGAGCATGTTGTTTGCGTCCTCGTCGTAATGTGACCCGGGGAAGACGGGAAGGGGGTTAGTTGGCTCGTGGAATGGTAGACCGGAGACAGCGTGAGGCTACAAAGACGGATGAGGTCACCACGAGACGAAAAGCATCCTCTGACGAAAGCAGCTGGTGGACAGAACAACGAACGGCGGTGCGCATCCCGCTCATCCTCGACATCTCAAATCGGGGATGCAAGGGACGGGCTTCCGCTCCTTTTTGTTTCCTCCCTGTCACCACCCCGAGGCTCGTTGCCGGCGAATTGCGAGGCAAATCGTCCCGCGAGATCCAGATATGATGACTGTACCCGGTGGGAAAGCCTTGCACTTGACAAATAGCGAGGAGCCGTCTGGATTTCACCGATCATGACATAGGAGGCATCAAAAGGCATGATATCAAGCGGTTCCGGTTATGGGGCCCTTCCGCCATGGCATTTTGTTGCTTGTCCACATCTTCATCTTGGTCTCTGGTTGGTCTGGGAGCTGAAGGCACAGGTTCCTGTCTGTTGTGGTCAGTTGATAAAGAGTAAACTTTTCCCAGCCGACAACACGAGAATCGAGCAAGTGAAGAACATTTTCCCGCTTTTGGAAATTCTCTTTCATTAACCCCAGCAGCCTCGGCATTTTTCCATTCTGTATTTCCAAATCGTTGGACACCCCGGATGCCGTCCTCCGTTTCCCCGCCATGTAGGTAGCCGATTCGATGATTCCTCAATTGCCTCCGTTGTAATGCACCATTCCTTTGTAAAGTTGATCAAGATCCCGCTCAAACTGCCGCTAGACTTGAATGTTTTTGGTTCGTCAGAAAGAAACTTTGTCATCCGATTATTGGTCGTTAGATACTATAAAATATGTATGGTAAATATATCCGTCAGATTGGTCATGGGGAAGGCTCCTGTATCAGAACACACCAAATCCCCTGGCGAACCATGTGAAGGACAAGATGGTGATTGCCGATGTTGTCAGGATCACGCCCAGCGCTTGCTTTTCATGAATGGAGAATGCGCCGTTGCAGGTTGCACATTTGAATTCGTTCAACGGAGTGTATGGTTGGCTGTACCTTGTTAGCGTTCAACTCTGCGAGAAGAGAACCAGACTTACCCTGTGTACATGCCAAAGACATATTGCTCAAAGGCCCCCAAAAACCCGGCGCTTGGGATGTCGGTGACATCTTGGGACGAATCGTGGATGATCAAGGTATAACTGGCGACGGGGAAGGGGTTGGTGGCCGTTGCGTACATTTCACCCGTGTCCCAGGTGATAGCACCTGTTTCCTGCACCGACATGTTGGAAGAGATTGTGTAGGTTGCTTGATTCAAGGCGCACGACGCCAGCACGTCGATCGCGGACGGGGTCACCGACAGAGACGTATAGTTCCAAGCAAAGGTGACAAAATCTCCCACCTTGTAGTATTGAGGCCCATCAATTGCCGCGGGTGTGATGAGAGAGATACCACCGGGAGGCAGGCGAGGGTCAATCGCAGTTGTTTTTGTGCTCCGCGTTGTGGTTGTGTTCTGAGACCCTGAAGCCCCTGACCCGGACCCTGACGCAGACGCCGACGATGTTATCGATGTGCCAGACTGAGAGCCTGATGAAGAGCCTGACGAGGATGCAGACTGGGAAGCAGATGTACTCTGAGAGTTGCTCCCCGTTGAGGAGGCATTATCGCCATTCTGGTTTTGATTTTGGTTTTGTCGAGGGACAATGAGAGCGTCGACCTTGCTGTCGAGAAACTCCGGCCATGGCCAGGCCGAGGAACAAGCTGCAAAGAAGAGGAGAAGGGAGGAAAGGACAGAGAAGAGGCCGGAGCCCTTCATTTCGGACGTTGAAAGAAGCGGGTTCGATACGCCGTTGTAGCGCTGGATGGTCAATGGAGAGGATTTCGTAGGAGAGACTTCGTTGCAACTGGGTTGTGGAATAGCATAGACAATACCAAAGTAACGACTGAATGGGAAGGACTGACAATAGCGAGAGTCTTGGGTCAGAAACGGACGACGAAGTGGCTTTCGGAGTGTAGAAAGGAGCGCAGGGCGACGAAAAAGAAGTGCAGAGAGAGAGGCTTGTCTCACCCTGGGCGACGGGATCCGGAACCCGCAAAAACAGACACCCCCAACAGGGCCTAGCAGCTCGAGACTCACCAGACGCGCCCCGGCCAACAGCAACGGCCATTGGGCCATTGGCAGAGCCTCTGGGTGTCAACTAAGCCACTCTCCGCCCGGACCATCTTAACCTTGTCGGGCTTGGGCTCTCTGTGCCCTGTTCTTATTTTGGTTCGCCCACTCACCCATCTTCCCGGCCACTTGGGTCGCGAGCCTCGATGTCTGATATCACTCTTCACACCACCTGCAATGAGACCTCTTTGGCGACGCAAGAAGAATATTTGGGTCTTGCGAAGGCGGGCTGCTACTAAGCACGACACCGGCTGACTTTGACTGAACATGCCTGTACCTGACAGCCGCAACAGAGGGGAGCCACCGGTAGAGTGACCTGCTGCCCAGAGACCTATGACCGTACACATAGGAGTCGTGGATATGACGCGGGAGCTTCAAGGCCACGGGTAACACAGCGTACACTACAGCTCGGGGGGAGACCGAGTATTCAGACTGCCCTCGTTCCAATCCTTGGTTTCTTGTCCTTGTCTCGCTCGCCCTGATCCAGCGACTTCATCGAATAATCGCCTCTTTCCAGTCCGCCAAACTATTGTCTGTCTCCGGGTCTTTTCTGCCTCTCTTCTGCTGCTGCCGCTCGGGTCCAGATCGCTGCTTCTGTCCTCTTTCTCGTTTCGAAGCCGGCGTATCCGGGATGCTGCCCTGCTCTTGTGCTTCAATCACGGCGATACGGCGTCTCAAGATGTCCAGATCCATTTTCAACTTCACGTCAGAGGTTCGTCCGTAGTCGTCGTGCGGTCGGAGGCTATCTCTCAAGCCAGACATGGGTGACACATGCTGGTGCTTGATGGCGCCGTCTGCTGTTCGTTTTCTCTGCAGCGGCATCTGTCTTGGGGCGTTGCCTGGTCTCAACCCGGCGGCAGCGAACATTTCGTTTGGGCGACTTGCGATTTTGAGATCGCTGAATCTGGCCGTCAATCCGTTCTGAGATTGTTGTCGTTTGTCCGCAGTCCTGTTCGCCTGTCCAACATTGATTGCGTCCTTTTGCCAGACCGACAGTTGAATTCCACCTGACCGACGCGCTCCCCATTCCGCGCGCTCAGATTGAGACATTGGTCACCTAAGACCTCGACGTAAGTACGACGGTGGCGGAGTTAGATTATGGGCAATGCCACCTCGTTGGGAGACATAGGAGCTACTGAAGATGCTGGGATTGGTCACCTAGTGAATAGGTTGCAGTGTCCGCGTTGTTGACGTAGAGTGCTCCGTTGGCGTTGAACCAGCCATCACCTTAGTGGCAGAGAGGCGTGTAGGAAGGAAATCGGGGTTGGCATCGCTTTGCACAGCAGCATCCGGTCATCGAAAATATAGGTCACTTACTTGAATATCCCCGTGGATACTTCACGAAGGAACGAGTCCATGTTGGGATCTGTATACAAGAGTAGGCAGGTGCATGATAAATGCGCTGCACAAGGGCTTTTCATTCAATCCAGAAGTTCTTTGACATTCCTGCTCTAGCAGGTACATAGCACTCATGTCACAACTATAACGCATCATACTTCTCTTCAAAATGGCATGACTTCTCAGCAAAAGACTAAGGCCATCTGCAACAAAGGATCAATGTTGGTAGTGTGCTACATCTGATAGCAGCGAACCCACCCCAGCAGTGCAGGAAAAGGATAATTCCCACCAGAACTGATAGTGGCTGTACGTCAAGGGGCCGCATTAAGGCACCACCGAGTTACTTCGTGATAAGTGGATGAGGCCACCGGCCTGCAAAGGCCCGCCTGTGTATGTACGGCTCGAAATGGTCACCTGCAAAGTCGATGGAACGCCAAAAACTGAGGTAGCTGCTCGGCTGGTGTTGAGGGATCCGCTTGTCGAATCACTGGCAGTTTCAGGTGCTTGGTGTCGAGAAGCTTCTTGCACTTGTCGCATCGTCTAGTGGTCAAATCGTGGAACGAATAAATCATCTCCTGGATGGACCGTTAGCAGAATCATACGGAGCGATGACGCGAAGTGTGTGCATACAAGGAGGTTTCCCAGCCGGTCCCTCTCCTTCGACTCTCGAATGCTTTGAACGACGTCAGCACGCATGTCGTATACACCCGATGCTTCTGAGCCAGACTTGTCAATGACGTTGTACGTTGTCGCGCCGGGGGACTGGGTCTTCTCAACTCGAAAGTCAAAACGGGAGACGCTGATATCGATTGGCAAGAGTGATGCTTCATTTGACACGTGTATCTTCAACTCTGGATGCCTTGCGCGAAAGTCATTCACAGTCTTTGCAATTTCGGCATCAGATGGGGGCTGAAAGTCGCGGCTAGCGTCCTTTTCAGTGATGGATGTCTGCTCGTTTGCAGCAGCGTCCCGCAGGAGACTGGCATAGTCGAATGCCCATGCGTCTCCACCCTGGGGAAAGTCATTGGCGTGGACCGTCTGCCAGAGCTCGCGCACGTCGTCACTGTGCCAGTCTTTCTTGAATCTCTCGAGGTCCCGACTCCCTGCCTGTGCTGCCGTCTGCAAATAGGCGGCAAGCTTTGCAGGCTCATAATCACCAGGGTTGTCCAGAGCCACGCGGGCTGGGTTGATCAGCTTCTCGGGCAGTAAAGTCCGAAGGTCCCCAATCTCCAAGGAGGTCAGCATCGGTCTGGAAGGCGTGATTGGCCAAGGAAGAAAGCCAAAGCAAAGGCAAAGTCACTGACTTGAGTGTACATGTTCTGCAATTTCGCGAGCTTCTCGATGATTTTGCGGTCCTCGGGGTCCACCGCCCCTGACGAGGCCGATGGCAACATGCCTGCGGACGCTCCAAGGTGCGCAGCAGTGTTTCCAAAATAAAGATGTTACATTGAGAGGATGATCGGCTTTCCGCAGCAAAAGGATACCCCGATGAGAGCGAAGTAGCAACAGGTAGTATGACTTGAGAGATGGTGGCCAAATGCAAAGAGCAGCAAATCACATGTCGATGAAGATGACTCTACAAGTAGAAGAAGTGAAAAGGTCAGTCATGTGATGCAAGCCCAAAGGATTTATTCATAGAAAATGCCAAGACAGAGTCAAAAGCTATACTATACGAGGCTAGTATAATCCTGCCAAAGCAGCGTGAGAGCAGAGAGATAAATGACGCAGTCTGACACAGAATAGACGCCATCTCCGAATATCGCCAGTCACTCAATAGCGACGAGGTGGGCGCCAGACAAAATATGGTTATTAATATAAGGGATAGATATAGGGATGCCATTATGCCTAAGGACAGAATAGATGCCCTTATAATTGATAATTACCGCTGAGTTAATAGTGAATCACTGCTACTTTACTACTGTCTAGATATGTGCCCTTCTTGTCAGACTATGCTATTTATTTTCGACATACACTCGCCAGTACTCCCGCCTGTGTCATCATCAATCTACTCCGTCACTTCTTCTTCTTCTTCTTCTTCTCTCTCCTCTTGACAAGGTGACGCGCATGATACAGCAGCGTACTTCGACCCTTCTGGCACTCTCTTGGTACTAACTCACATGCGCTGATCATATCATTCTCCCCGTTTTCGTAAGCATGGAGAGAATGTCATGATACAACTTCGCTCTATTGGTTCTTCGCTCTATTGGTTCTTCGCTCTATTGGTTGGTCGCTCGCACATCATCGACGTCTCCACGAATCGGGGTGCCCTAGGGTCTGCCCCTGTTGGTGAACGCTAGAGGTGAGCCAGGTGGCAGGGGTTCCGGAATCCAGTGTACCCAGGATTTGGGTAGGAGTAGAGAGGCCTTCTGTGCCGTGCTCCCCGTCGAACACCTGCATCTCCACGTGGGAACTCTGTCTGATCGCTAGGGGCGTGCTACGAGACCCAAAGCAAGTTTTTGCAACTTGGATTCCTCTGAACGGCCCAGCTGTGGAAGGAAATCGCTCTTCCTAATCTATACCCTCTGTGCGAGCGGTGTTCGCACATCTTTATCTCATCGTTGGCATATTGCATCCTCGATTCCAGGGTTGCTAAGTGCGTTTCGCTGTATGGTGACGTCAAATGTCCATCGTGCTACGGGTTCGAAGTTGGTCTGAACTTTCTCTATCTCAGACATGCAGTGGCTCTCCAAACTCACATGGCGCAGAACCTGAGTTCGGACCCATTTGCCTCGCTGATTTCCAGTAGTCGGTTGAACGCCATCACCGTCTGTGCGAACGTGGGTAAGCACAGTCGCATCCAATGTTCGTGGACACGAGGGGGCGCAAAAGGACAGTCTACGGCGAAAAGGGGGCCAATTAGATTCCCTTCTCGGATATTCGTACACAAGGGTGATGATCGTGGATACTCGTGGAGAGATGGCAATAGTCTAGCTTACGTCAGGTTCAGTTATCTTCTGCCATGGTGACGACCATCATGCACTCGGTCCAAAGTCTAAGGACATTGAGCATGGTCCTTGATCGTCCGCAGCTCGTTCAGACTCACTGCACGAAGCATGGATACCGGGAGAGGGAGACAAAGAAAGACACTCTCTTTGTGCATTGACCAGTTGCGCCATCTCCTCACCTTAGCGCCTTTCTACTATACGACACCACTCTCAAACGGGTATACGTCGAGGGATCGGCGGTCACAAATTGTCACAAAGAGGCATCTATGTTCAGAGCTATACTCAAACCGTCTAGACGTGCGAGCCCAAGAGAGTACAGGCAAATAACACGAGATAACCTCGGACCCGAGCCGTGAGTTTGGAGATCTACACCGAGACGGTGTCCCTGGGTCCGCGAGATACCCCTTTGGGTTATTACGGCGAGTCTGATAGTCGTTCGTCATTGCAGCAGAGGCTCAGCCACAGATTGGTCGCTAAAACCTGTCAGGTCGTTTCCAGTTGCGATGTGCCGTGTGGCATACCTGGAACAAGGAAGTCTAAGCTTGTATACGGCGGTTGTGGATGGCCTGACTTGGGACTTTCCTTCATACCCCGGATCATAGATACGATATACTAGACTGGGCAGCGGAGCACAAGCTGTCAATCAAGGCAACACAAGAGGCGGCTTGCTACCGTCGAATACTACTCCAGCTCAGCTCGTGTGCGCAAGAGCCACGGTTGACAGATCAGGATACGCAGATGATCCACATCCAAAAGGCGCCGCAGCCGGTCGCTAAGCAGGCATGGCAGGTCAAGTTGCAACGCCGCCATGAGGAGTGGTATAGGTCGCCAATCTGATTGGATTCTGCGGCCGCAGTCGATTTGCAATCTCTGGGCGTCCATGAATCTGCGCGGGTCTCCGCTGACAAACGGCTGGGTCTTTGGTCCTTCTGACTCACTTGCGACCTAGGTTCAAAGAGAGCATGTCGCGAGAGCTGACCGGATGAAGGCTGTGGACAAAGCCGAGCAGGACGATCGACGGCGGAAACAAAGGCCCTGACAATGTCTCCGAGCTCGACTTGTGTGCACGGCCCAATTAAGTCCGAACGAGTTTTGACGCACGAAGCCGTCGGCCAACGAGAAAATGACTCGTACATTTTTTTTTCTCTCTCTCTCCAACTTGCTTCAGCTCGTCGACGATCTCCCCAGGTTTGGAAAGGGAAAGGGGGCTCAGGAACCCAAGTTAGAACATTGCACGGGGAGCATGCAACCCTAGGCATGCTGGCGTATGACAAAACACTCCTGGGAGACAAGTAGTAAACGAGCAGCCAGCTCTGCTCGGGGTGCACAGAGTGGCCATCGCCCCGTCCAGAATGGCATATTATTTTTGTGTGGAAGACGGGCAGAATCAATGGCAAATAAGACTCGGTACAGGTTTAACTTGTACCGGTACCTGGACGCCACTGCATGATGTTGATTGTTCTTGCCGTTTGTCTCCTGTTTACAAAGCAATAATGATGCCAATGTCAAAAAGCAAACCAGTGCCAGTGACATTGCCAGAGCTAGAGCCTGTGCCACCAGTGCCTAACCAGACGCAGCAGTTTTCCTCCCTTTGGGTGCGGTCATCCCAGTCTCACCCCCCCCCCCCCCCCAAAAAGACGCCTCCTTAGTGGGTGATTTAGGGGGGGCGGTGACCTGAGAGGGGGTGGAGGGGGAAACAGACCCGGCCTTGAAGAACGGGCAACAAAGACGAGAAAAACAACAAGCAACCAAAAGAGTGACAGACTAGCAAACGAGGGTCTCCACCGGGGATTGGACTGGTATCTTCAGTATCTTCAATACGGGCGTGCGGTGAGATGATCAGCAAAGCCGCTGGCACTTCGGCCGGTACCACCGTCTGCATGCGTAACGGCCTACTGGTACGAAGGGTCGTCGCAGAGTCTTGGGGCGTGGTGGAGCATGATTCGTTTCAATTTCCCCTTCCCTTTGGTCGCTTTTCAAGTTTCCGCCTTACCACTCCGACTCTCTCACTACGACTCACCTGATGGGACTGGGACTGGGACTGGCAGACTGGGGATCAGAGTGTGGCTCACAGATCCCTGGCACGCTTCGGCCGCTGGGACCCGCCTCCCAAGCCTCCATGACTACTGACCTTACCTACGATCTGCCTGTGCCCACTGTCCACTGCCCACTGCCCACTGCCCACCCCCTGGGCCCTGACCCAGCACCTGGGATGGGGGATGCTGTCAGCAATTCAGACCGGGGTCGATTCTAGCCCTACGAGGATTGCCTTTGCCTTTTCGCCCTAAGCCCAATGATGGTCGAGCGAACAGGCAGGCAGCTCGCAGCAGCTCGAGCTGGTCCTAACTATTCATATGTCCTTGTTCGCCCCATGGGTTTGAGAACAACTACTTCTATGTTTTGAAACTTGCCAGCAGCTCTCCAAACTCTGTGACCCATGGGATCTGGCATTTCGCCGACGAAGCCCAGTTCCAGGAATATATATGCAAACACCCAAACTCCCAACCACCCAACGACTTCTAAATTAACCCCCCCCCCCCCGAGAATCAGCAATACTATTAGTGCTTGCAGCAAGCCATGGCCGTTGAGACCCAGGACGCCATCTTCTCCATGACCCCCCCGCCCAGCGAGTTCGACGAATTCGACAAAAGCGCCTTGCTGACTTGCTCACCTTCCCTCCCCGGCCTCTGCTACCCTTCACCGGCTCCTTCGAGTCGAGGGCATAATCCGTCCGTGTCATCAGAGTCTATATACATGCTTCCAGGCATGTCAATGTCCGACTCCCAAGCCCACGACCTCCATCAGTTATCTTTCGACGACACCGCCTCCGACTCTGCGTCTTTCTTTCCCCTCCCGCCCGTCACCGATCCCGCCTTGACTGCCGACTTCAATCCCACCACCTCTGCGTCCGCCTCTGCTCTCACGCCCAACAGCACCTACGCCATGTATGAACAGAATCAGTGGTTTCCCTTCTCCAACTACCCGCAGCCCACCCCGCTGCTGGCCTATGACCCGACCTCGTCGACACACTTTCCCACCTATAGTAGCCACCCTCACCATCCATCTGCCCATGTTATTCCTCCGACACCTCAGGACATTCAACCCGCACATTTCGACTTCAACCAGGCTCCCACCTCGGGCATCCCCTCGGCCCATCACCTGGCCGCCTCGCCCGTCTTCTCACAAGTCTCTCACCCGAGCTCTCAGAGTCACCGCGGTAGCGTCTCGTCCATGTCACGGTCATGTAGTCCCATTTCCTCGATGAGTAGAGGTCATTCCGACTCGCTTCGCCCAGCGCTCCGCTCCAACTCGACCTCATCCAACACCTCTCTCCACGCCTATGGCATTCCAGTGACGGAACCAACGTCAATGATGGTGACATCTCTGCACCCCTCGTCGCCTTCCGCGCATAACGGTGGTGTCGGTCAGTCCTGGCGCTGTGCCTACCCAGGCTGTACCTCGCGGGCCACTTTCACTCGAGGCTGTGATCTGCGGAAACACTACAACCGGCACAGCAAGCACCTCTTCTGCCGCGTTGATGGCTGCCCGCAGAGCGAGGCTGCTGCCGCCGCGCGTGCCAAGTCCGCCGACCAGCCCCTCACTGGCGGGTTTTCCAGCAAGAAGGACCGCGCCCGCCACGAGGCCAAGCACAACCCGGGCATCAAGTGCGAATGGCGCGGGCCCGAAGGCGAGGAATGTGGTCGGGTCTTTTCCCGCATGGACAACATGAAAGACCATGTCCGACGGATTCACAACAAAGGCCAGCAACAGCAGAACGGTGGACAGGCATCCAGTCGCAAGTGACCGCACCGATCCACCTGTATGAGCTAAAAAATGAGCCCCAGGGTCTAAGAGGATCGTGGCCATCATGATCGCAGTGCGAGGCTTCACCACCGAGTCCCCATTCTGGGGTGACTCGGCACTCGAGGCCGCTGACGCCTGCAAAGAAATCACCACTTGTCATTCTCCACGGCCGAAATTGGGAAGGGCAGGAAGAGGCTACCAAAAGGAAGCAAGGAGGAAATGAAGACGGGAAGGAGAAGGCAACAGAAGCTTGCTTGCCGGCCAAGGGATCAGGAAATCCCCCCTCCTTTCTAAATGAACTATTTTTTTTGTTTTGACCCCCAAAGACCGTGTCCCTTTCGAGACCCTGACGAGAAGACTGTGTTTCTCTTCCCCTTTTCCTCGAAAAAGTCCTGACGAGTCTTCTTTTTTAATGTCCTCGTTTTGGCGGAAAGAGTGCAGGAGCTGTGGCGGCGGGGAAAAAAAAGAGGAGGCGCACTCCCTCTTCTTATGTTCTTATACCTCTCTTCTTCTTCTTCTTCTGGGAAATCGGGGTTCAGGAGCGTTTCCTGTTCTCCCTCTGATGTGTGTCCATATATTCTTCTTCCAACTGCGAATGGAAACGCGTATGAAATGACGGGATGGGAAGGAACGGGCACTTTATGGGACGGAAGATATACTCGGGCTGGCTGGGCGGGTTCTGCTGTCACAGATAATAATGCGTTATTTGGGTTTATGGTGTTCTATGGTTCTACCGTGTCCTCGCTCTCTTGCCCGGCTGCAAAATGTGTCTCCCCGTGGCTCTTGATCTCTCTCTCTCTCTTCCGTCCCTTCCCCGTCACTCCGCGGTTTGTCGTGGACCAGAGCCAGAGCCAGACACCGGGAAGCGAGCCATGGTTTCATGTTCAGGAGGCCAGTTGCCTCGTTGCCCTTTTCTCTCTCTGTGCCGCCAACGCTGCGTCTTCCTCCCGCCTCTCATGCCTGTGATATTGCCACGCCCCATACCACCGTGACAGACGGATAGAAGGAAGGAAGGAAGGATTGAAGGAGGTAGGAAGGTCAGATATGCATTGGTGGCCAGGGGGACAGGTGGATGGGTGGAGAGCGAAAGAAGGAAGAGGCAAATAGCACGAGACAGGCGAATGCATCAACCACCACGAATCGATGAGCCGTCCTCTCCTCTGCTCTGCTCTGCTCTGCACCAGAGAATGAACACACAGCTCGTCTCTTTCCATAGAGAGCAGCCGCGAAAAGAAAGATACCTCCCAGGAGAAAAAAAAAAAAAAGAAAAGACTGTGCGGGCGGGCGAGCGAAGGGGGGAGGGAAAGGGTTCTTTTGCAATTTGCCCCAGTAGTTTGTTTGTAGTGGTGGGCTGCATGCGAAAAGCCAAAGGCAGAGATGCTCGTAGATCCTTAGGGGGAGTGGTAGTGGTATGCACTGTAACAGTAGGACAAAGCAGTAGGGACACACACACAGAGAGAGAGACAGAGGGAGGAGACAGGCTGAGTTTGCTGCCTGCGCCTTGCCATTCCATCCCATCCCGCATCTCGCATCTCGCACCCTACACCAATGCACTATGTATCTGCCTGCGTGCATCTGGATGACTCGAACAGTGCATGCATGAGTGAATGACTCTTCCTCCCTTCCCCTCTGGTCTGGTGGCGCGAGCAATAATAGCACCTCTGTTCCTCTTCCTACCTAGCCCACAAGGCACGACGACAACACTACGATAGGTCCTTTTTCCTAGCGACTAGCTAGCTAGCTATCACCCGGCTCGTTCACTCATCCACTCATACCCCCCTAAACTCTTTCTCCTGTGGGAAGATGGCATCGAGGGAGGTATCTATGAGGGATAACGCGCGCGCACTAATTCTTCCACGCAAGCGGCAATCTGGGTCCTGCGTTTCTGCATTCTGGATCCTGGAACCCCGATGAGATGAGAGCCGCCACAGGAAAGGGGCAGGAGCAGGATAGGATGGGATGGGATGGGATGGGAGTTGGATGCTCACGTACACGCACACGCACACGCACACGCAACACGCAACACAACCCAACGCGCAATAATAATAATACGCAAACATGACATGCAACAATGCACACGCCCTACGAGTACACTACACTCCTACTCGGTCGGTACCGAGTCCTCACCTACCTACCTACTCATCTATTATTGCTCACGCCCACAGCTCACGCGCCTCCGCGTCCTATCTCCGTCCCTTTTCTCTCGTCAGTAATTGGTGCTGGCGCGAGGGGGGCTTTCTCTCTCTGGCTAATGATTGTCTGGGTTGCTTGCTTGCTTACATACTAGTTCAAGTACACTGCAGACCCTACAGACTTACTACTGTAGGTAGATACCCAGCTACCTGGATACCTCCCCAGTAATTAGGTGATGGACACAACCAAACAAGATCTTTGATGCTATGTATGGACCATCCCCCGCCCGGAATCTTGCATCTGCTCTCCTCGGACAGAGGCGCCGTGCTGCTCACCTCTGCTACTTCCATCGCTAGCTCCCAACACGAGTTCCTCGTATGTATGAATAGTCATAGCCCTGGTGGATTTGCTCCTCCTCTTCCTCATCCCCTGCAGGAATGGATAACATCAGACAAGAACATGCACAACTATTACAGACCAGGGGTGGAAAGGGGGCCAAGGGGCAAAAGTTCCCTTTTTTTTTGGGCTGCCTTTCGTTTCTATCGATGCCAAACACGAGCCACCACCGCCGAAGAACTGCCTGTTATCGGTTGGCGACATCTGACAGGTCGCAGCAGCGTGCATGTTTATTCGCAAGGTGGCACAGCACAGGCCAGGCTTGCTTGCGCTAACAATCGACCTTTGGCGGGTTTGCCGCCCATCCCATGCATGATGCAGCAAGCACCCCCAGAAATAATATCCCTCGATCGAATCCGTATCCTCTTCCGGACCTAAATCCGTGACCGCTATGCAGAGAGAAGTAAAGTGCAACAAAGCCAAAAGCATAGCCTCGTGCAGCGGCGCTGGAATACGTAAGGAGGTAAAGCAGCGGCATCAGCGGGGGACAACTCGCTTCTGCCTTGGTGAGTCCAACTCCCAAGATTACGGCCAATGTCGCTCGATGCTTGTCGTCGCTGCGAGGTGCGAAAGCAACGTCGTCCAGCCAAGCAACGAAGGAACACCCGGCTGTCCAAAGTATGACCACCCGTGTCCACACTTTGTCCACCACTGGCTAGGATACTCGTGGTTTCTGCGAGCCCGGTTGCTCGTCATTGGGGGTTTGTCTCGGAGCATTTCTTGGAGGAGGATTACGCCCGTTACTGCCTTCAGCCCTGCTGCAAGGCACGCGTAGCGAAGGGCTGTTGGACAGAATGATCGACCTGTCACCCCCAGAAGCCGCCCGGTCTGGCCGTAATCGTGATTCAAAACACAACCTTACGGTGAACTTCCTGGGCGGGATAAAGGAGGCCAGTTCGTCACCACTGAAGAACGACCTTCAGCTGCTGCAGGCTCCACATGCTAGCTCCATGGTATCCTGGAAATTTGAAACGTAGGGCACCGGTAGCCAATACTGCAGGTGCTTCGTACCAGAGATTGAACGTGCCCTCCTCGACCGCCTGGCAAGATTGGCAACACGCCGCGCCATTGAACGAAGTCGCCCAATGTACGCCTCTGCCCGGGCTCTGCATTCGCTGGTGGCATGGTTGAAACGGTCCCGCCCAACGGGTACCTGTTGGCAACCGTGGGGGCCGAAAGTTGACAAAATACAGTCGCCACTCGAGATTTGAGTTCGATCCTGTATACCTTACCATTCCATCCCTGGCCATCGGAACGCGGAAGCTTTCATAAGCAGGAGTTGCGGTAGACCGTATACCCCTAGCCTGATCAGTCGAGCAGTGGGCCATGGTGGACCAGGGGATCTGACCAGGGTCACCAGGATGTGGTTCCAAGCAAGCGCCCATGATCAAACGGCTCGAAGGCTACCCTCTGGTTTGGTACGCCGAGATCCACACCGCACGGCACAGAACCTTGCCCGTGCTCCATCCATCTTCTGAACCTCAATCGCGGTGACGACGCCTCGCTCTTGACCGTAAGTTGCGCTCGAATACGATCGGCAGACAACACATTGCAGATGCCCAGCTGTGCCGATCCCATCATGGCGACTGGGGCTCCGCGTTCATCGCCCTACTGCATGGATCAGACCTCGATTGTGTTTGCTTGTTGCCTGGATTGTGGGTTGTGCAACATGCAACACCACCAGCCCAGTGCTACTCCTGGGCATTCATCCGTCAGCCCTGTGCGGAGGCTCTCGACCCATGGGCTTCGGTAGACCCATTGCCCGACGACTGGCTTCTTCTGCCCCCTCCCTTGGGACATGTAGTTCACCAACCTAGAGCCGATTGGGTTCCTGACTAAGCTAGTCAGCACGATCGTCCCCGCGCTGTTGCTATTGGGAGAGCGTAGCCGGAGATAGAGATTCTTCTCCTTCTCCCGTTGAAGTGGTGAGAGCAATCCGTCTCGTCTGACCACAACATGCTCCGTCCAGAACCCGACGAGTGGACAAACTAATCATGTCACCGAACGCGGAATTCATTCCCTATTGGGATGCCAAATGCTGTTCTGTACTGTAGACTTCAACCAGCTTGTGTAACCGGTGTGCTAGGTCCAACAGCAGCAGGCTTTGACAAGGAGGTATCTAGTTACCTGCAACCGACGACTCTGCGCAATCGTTTTCCGAAGCTTGGATGCCGGTGCCAGTTGCACAAGTCCGTCCGAGCACCACGGATGGATAAGGCGGGGATAAAGGGGTGACGTTACATCGCTATCACCATCACCATCATCCACGTTGGGTTTGGGCACCCAAAAGGACAAACTCGACTGGAGATTTCGGACGAAGCGTGTGCCCTAGTAGCTTGGCCACGACGCAGCAGAGTCATCCAGTCCAGTCGAGTCGGGTCGGTTTGGGTCTGTACGAGTATTTCCGGCGCATGTTTGCATCTGCCCCCAGCAGACTCCCAAGTCGTCGTTGCTCGTCAGAACCTTGAACAAATGGTGATCGGCTAATCATTCTGACAAGGATCTGGGGGCGTTCGGTGGATGGGAGATTTCCTTTTGAAGCCAACTCCCATGTACACACAGGCGATTCATCAGAACTGGTATTTTCCCGACCGTGCCCACCCCTCTGCCTCGTCTGGTGATGGGGGAGCCCAGGATTTGTCGACGACAATAGCGTTGGACTGTTGCAAACACCAAATCAAAGAAAATTGGGTCGTAGGCTTCGCGGGCCCAGTTTCATCACGGCGCCACATTGTGAACCAGCCGCTTTAGGTACCGGCCACCTCTCCCATGATTTGATCGCACATGAGCGCTTGTATTGTGGGTTTGGAGAGAGCTAATCCCTTCCGCCCCCAAACGGCACTCTCTCAGGATTGAATGAGGAGGGGTCGAGAGGGGTCGACAAGTTGCCGTTCGAGCCCGCGTGGTCTCCAGAGCTTATCCACCGAGGGAGTATACGAAAGCCGGCTAGATTATTGCTGAGAGACCGATGCCGAGCCCCGAGCCCGAGTCGGAGGATGGAACAATGATGCAGAGAGCTTTCCCCATTAAAACTCCACAGCCATATTAGTTGTGCCGCTTTTGCCTGGTAGGGTCGATTTGAACGTCCTATCGACCACCCGCACGGCGACGTGACTGATCGCCATGCGGTCATGAAGATGCTCACGCTGCTCGGGGAATTCGAGCCATGACATACCAATGCCCAGAGAGTCGAGAGTGACGGCAAATCTCACGCATCAGCGTTGGAGCTCAGCCGACGGAAAGAGCTGGGGATGGGAGCGGACACCCTGCGCTCGCCGTCGCACTGCAAAGCAGGGCAATCCGACTGGAAATTGATGGTCTCTCTCCTCGAACACGAAAAACCTCGTCGCCGAGAGGCTCTGACCATCGTTCTTGGCTTTGTCCGGAACCATTCGATGCTGATGTTGATTTGATTAGATGAGCCCAGCACTGCAAGTCGGTCATCAAGTCGCAGGTCACTGGGATTTACCGACAGTGTGGTCTTTAGTCAGGGGAACGCCAGCTTGCCGGTGAGCACTACGTGTACGGAACACGGAGGACTCCTGCTCGTCCTCCTCCCTTTCCTCCTCTTCTCTCCCGATGACACCGACCGTGCGGACGCGCAGCGGAGTTGAAGTGGCGAGAGTCCTCGCCAGTCGTGGATGATAGAAGGATCAATAATAGGCGGATTCCATGGCCTTCGCTCGCGTGTCTCGCTTGCTTATGCCGAGTCGGGGCCTGTACTTTGTAATAGGTTACCGAGAACAGCAGCGGGGACAAGGGAAACGCCGTCACCGACTTTGTTGACAACGTTTTGTTTGGTATCATCGACCTGGCAAGGCGAGATGAATTGGGACAATGGTGATGGTCCTGGATTCGCTGGATTTCCGGATTGACGGGCGCCTCTCCACGGCTATTTTTTAACTCCCTTCGTCTTTGGAGGCCCCCGGTCCAGGCTATTTTACAGGGCTTATCCCTCTTGGAGGCAGCTCTCTCTGTCTCTGCCACTCTTTTTGCATCCTCCTCGCTTACCGCATGCAGGTGCCTGTTTTCATTCCCTGGTCGACGGCCGAGTTCGAGTGAGCAGGGGCCGTACAGGGCGGTGGTGGGGCCGACATTGTGAGAAACAACTGAGCGCTGGCGACGTGTCAGCAATGGATCCTGTTGACCTTTTGGCAACATACCCCGGACGGCTAAGTAATCAGTGAGGATGAAATACGTAGGGGTTACTTAAGATGGAAGAAGCCGATCCACGAAGGAAGGTGGCTTGTCATCCTTGATGAGAAAACGACCCATGGCGTTGGGAAGATAATCGTCATCTTTGCGGCCGCTTGTGGTTGTAGACGCTGCTGAAGTTGGTATTTTTTTTTTCTTCTTTCTGGATTGATATTTACGAGTGTGGCAGGTAATTGCTGCCCCTCCAGGACGAATCTTACGCCCGTTTTCTATAGCTTCGCCTTCCCCTGTGCGGCCTCTTGCAGTTTCTCTACCAAGCCATAAGCCCACTCTCCGTAGGCAGGCATCTGCGCCCCATAGTTTTTCGCAGTCATGCCGCTGGCCTGCCGCCGAGCGTACCTTGCTGCAATACCCTGCATGATGATGGCGCCTCTGAATCCTCCAAAGGCATTGCCCCAAGCCAGCTCGTTCGCGGGGTCATATCCCGACGCTTCAGCGTACCATCGCACGACCTGATCTAAAGTGGGAAGCCCGGGAGTGACCCCATCCTTGAAGGCTTCGGTCTCGCCCTGGGCATGAGCCGTTCCTAGATTTCTCCCTACCCAGCTCCACGGCGCCGTCAGATTGACAAGATCCGACAGGGGGTGGCCAATGGTAGCCATCTCCCAGTCCAATATGCCAATGACTCGAGGCTCGGTCTTGTGAAACACCAAGTTGTCAATCTTGTAGTCGCCATGGATCAGAGTGACGCGGTCTTTGGGCTGGGTCGACTTCTGCTTGAAGAATGTCACCATGTCATCGAAATGCGGTATCTCTCCCACCGGCTTCTTCGTGTCGACGTCCTCTACCGCCGCTTGCACCCTTGATAATGTCCCAAATGTCTTGAGCTGGCGGTCGTAGAAGTTTCCATGGCGGCCAAAGTCGGAGAGTCCAACCTTCTTAAAGTCTACCCGATGGAACTTTGCCAGTGTCCGGATTGCATCGTGCCACCTGCACAGGAAAATTAGCACTTTGAAAGTATCTCCAGGTGTCTGACATCCACCTACATTTCTGTCCGCTCTTCAGGACTGAACCCTGGGAAGTGCGGCTCGGTCACCATGCGCCCATCCAGGAACTCCATAATATAAAACGCTGTGCCGATCACATTGTCGTCTTGACACAAGCAGTATACTTTTGGCACGGGCACGTCCGTTTGACCCAGGGCGTTAATGATCTTATATTCGCGGTCGACTTGGTGGGCGGTTTTGGAGAGCAACTGCCCAGGGGGTCGCTTGCGCATCACATACTTGGCTCCTTTCGAGTCCGTGATCTGGTACGTAGGATTCGATTGACCAAACCCGAACTTGGAAAACAAAGCGTTAGCACCGACAACACCACAATCACCAAACTCTAGGACCGGCATACCTGCTTCAGCTCGAGGGGTGTCTTGATCTCGGGGACATTGCTGTCGATATAGCGCTCAAGCGAGGCTAGGTCGATCGGCTGCCGTACTGGCCCTGCCATGGCTGTCTACTGGTTGTCGAGGCAGACAGGCGAGAAGCTACACCAGAGCTCATATCAAAAGCGCAGGAAGGTCGGCGGCTTTTCTCATTGCGAGGTCGTGACCAGCGAGGCCGAGGCGATTGTTAACCTCGGTTTCTTTCGCGAGAAGCCGCCGGATTTCAGACGGGAGTGGCCATGGGGATTAGGCGATCCGACGTAGTCCCTCTAACCAAGAGTACGGCGCAGTGTGCCGGACGGTGTCCATTGCCCGAAGCGCAAAACGCGCTCTTCACGCGTCGAGGGGTCTCAACCTCGCCCAAAGCGCCATTATTTCGTGTCCTAGTACTGACCCTCCAACAATCCTCCCAAACGAACAATGACGAGAGCATCGACTCCTCCACCAGCAGAAAACAACACGAACGCAGACCACCTTCCTCCTTCACTACCCACCTCTCCACTAGCTAAACGTCTCAAGTCTGACACTCCCTCCAAAATGTCCGCAGCCGCCAACTCCACGACGTCGACAACCAGCACGACCGCAGTACCCAAACTTTCCTCCACGTCCCAACCGCCGCTTTTGATCAAGAAGCTCTCTCCGGACGCCTCGACACCGACTCGAGGCTCGGCCTTTGCGGCCGGGTACGACCTGTACGCGTCGAAGCCCATCACGATCCCCGCGCGAGGCAAGGCGCTCGTCTCGACCGATCTGTCGATCGCCACGCCCGAGGGCACGTACGGCCGCGTCGCGCCCAGGTCGGGCCTGGCGGCCAAACACTTTATCGACACGGGCGCGGGCGTGATTGACGCCGACTACCGAGGCGAGGTCAAGGTCCTGCTGTTCAACCACGGCGAGGCCGATTTCCAGGTGAACAAGGGCGACCGCATTGCCCAGTTGGTCTTGGAGCGGATCTACACCCCCGAAATCGTCGAGGTCGAGAATCTGGAGGAGAGCGTCCGGGGAGCCGGCGGGTTTGGAAGCACGGGTTGAGCCGACTTACTGGCTGGAGCCAAATTCAGACCAAGTCCGGAAAAGGCGTTGGTTATGGCTTTTTGGGGAGTGACGGGCCACAGGGAAGTAAAGGGGTTCTAGAGCACACGAAAAGGGAGTTTATGATGTTATGTGCTTTCTGTGTCTGCTCACTGCAGGGTAAAAGGATAGATCGTTCAATGCATGGAGAGGAGTAGACACCAATGCCAGTGTCGACAAACCATCCATCTCTAGCTGTCTCTTCTCCTTCTATCTCCTTCTTTTCGAAAAATCTTTAGCCTGGAATTTACACGTCCATCGCCTGAGCCCGGTACCGGTCTTCGGGGAGGACCAGATCCTTTGCATTCCTGACCACGCGCACCTCGGCCGCCTTGTTCTCGGCCAGAAACCTCCTCTTGCTCTCGCTCACCGTTTCCCCTTCCCCTTCGACGCCGCCCACGCTCGCGCCCGGACTCCTCCCGAACATGGTCATCTCCTCATTCCGGGCGGCGATGGTCTTCTCCAGGATCATGTGCATGCTGTTGAGCACCTTCTCCGTGGCCTTGGCGAGGGGCAGGTCGACGGCTTCGACGTCGTCGTCGGGCATCCACGATGGGCGGTCCAGCAGGTTCATCTGCGCGCACGCCTCGCGCAGCCGCGCCACCATCAGCGCCGCGAACATGTCTCCCGTGCCGCTGAAGTAGCAGTCCAGCACCGGCACCTCGACCTTGAACAGCCTCGCACTGCCGTCTTGCCTCCTACTGCTGCCCACGACCGTCAATGCCGCGCCCTCTCCGGTTCCTTCCGTGACGGTGCTTGCAGAATCACCAACTCTCACACTCGTCACCACCACGTGCCGTGTCCCGTACACGGCATGCAGCGTCCGCACCGCGTTGGCAACCCCACTCAAGCTCGAAATGGACACCCCGCTGAGGAGTTCGGCCTCGAACTGGTTCGGAAGGATCAAGTCCGCTTCTTTGATGAGCTGCTTGTACGCAGGGACGATGTCCTCGCTGACGTACAGTCGGCCCTGATCCCCCATGACGGGGTCCAAGACCCAGAAAAATCGCCCCGGATGCACGGCGGAGCGGTACCGGAGGTCGCGGGCAATGGTGCCGATGGCGTCGACGACTTCGACGGAGGGCGAATAGCCCGACAGCAGGACGTCAAAATCCGTCAAGTAAGACTGGCGAAGGCCGTCGTAGAGCTCGCGGATCTCGGCGGCGGGAGTCCTCCGGCCCTTGAATTGGCGGTATCCTGTGTGGTTGCCTTGAATGGAGCGAGAAGAAAGGTTAGGGTCAGACCAATAGCCATGTCACAAGGAAAGGTAAATCAATGAGGTGAGCAGAGGGGAGGGAAGGAAGCTGGCTGAGACCCGGTTTGATGATGCAGGATATCAGATCCCGCATGGCAGCGGGTGATTTTACGGCACAGCTTGTATGAGCCGCCGCAGATGTAGACCATGCCGACAGAGCAACGGGGGAGAGTAGAACAGTGACTCACTGAAATGCACAGTATTGATGGCTCCAACATCACAGCCAAGCACCTGCATCACAAAGGTGGCCATGGTATTCCCGACATATCTGAAATGCAACGGACAAGCCGAGAAGCCGTCAGCTGCCGACTTCCTGTAAAGACGTGCAAGGTACCAATAGAGCAGCGACACCATCTCGTCACCATCACCGTCGTCACGAGCAACATCCCAACGACTGATGCGCACGTGCGCAGGAAAAAGGAAAGGGGCAAGGCTCGGAAAGAGACACAAAGTTCTTCGCACCGACTCGAGACTCACCCATAGACGACCTTGCTCATTTGCCGCTGTCAGCCCTATCTATCCCATCTGTGTGGCACAAGTTCTTCAGAGAAGCCCGGCTGGCCCGCCAGATACATCTCTCACAAGGATTCCAGGACGGAAAAGGGGAGTAAGACGCCCAGGCACGTCTGAAGGGAGTTATGAGATTTGAGGCAACAACGTACATGGCTCGCTATGGCCAGAACCTTTGTTTCTGGTATTGACATTGCATGGAACGTCATTGCATCTTACTCGATTGTGGCCGGGGAGGGGAGCAGGATGAGAGAATGAAGAAGAAGAGGGGAGAGAGGACCTTGGGTCGAACGAGTGTATAGCGATGCCAGAGAGAGAACCCCGTGGTCCGTCAGTATGATGTCCCGTTCTTGTGTCTATCGTGGGATCAGAGGCGTTGAAGGGCGTAGAAAGCGACCACGAGGCATCGGTGGTGGGTTGTGCTCAGTGTGACTGGATGAGTATTACTATCAAAATAATTTTTCCGATGCGAGAATAAAGTATGACGACAACCCCTCCAGCCGGCGAGAGCCCGATAAGGAGGAGAAAGATGCGCTTGAGTAAAATCACCGAAAAGGAAATCCTGATAAGAACAGGTTAGTAGCACAGCCAAAGGGATTTTACATCCTCCAGTTCTTCGTTTTCGCTTGAACATGGTGGTGTTCTGGGCCTCTACTACCTCGCCTTTCCTATGCGCATCAGTCAAACCCTGCGATCGTATTGTTTGATTCATAGCGATCACAAAAATCTATCTGCAGTGATGGCTTCTTGGACTTTCAAAACGCAAGCTGTCACCTCCATCCTGGCCTCGCCTTTCAGACCGCTTGAAACAGGGCTTCTTGATCGATTTCCAAAGACAACGTCTGCTAGTGAAGAACTACGGGAAGGCAATCAGACCAGAATGACTGGAAGCCGTCGGATTAGACGGCGAGGGGTCTGGATCTGACAAAAAGGAGTCACACTTCCAACAACCGTAGGACCAGACACGGTCTAGAACCACGAAATCATCACATGAGAAGATCATCTGAGTTTGGAATTGGGAGGACTGTGTCTTTCGAGAGGGAGGCGGCCAGCTCATCGTACATCCTGCTCGTAAATAACACTCGAAACACCAGCCGGGATTGTCGTTGATCATCTGCGGCATCTGTAACAGCCACCACTACCCTCATTGACCGCATCACGTCATCGTAAATCTGTGGCTCCGTACATGCATTTGCCATGGTCGTCCTGAGCATTCCTTGTTCACTCATCATCACCAATCTATAGTCACTCAAGTCAGTGCCTGGGCTACCGCGCCGGGTTCTTGTCGGGAAAAGGATCATACCTTTGGAGCTAGGTAGAACCGCAAATAGCTGCTTCCCGACAAGTTGTATTCCACCAAAAGAGGCACCTCCTGGGAGAGGCAGAGCTTGACCTTCGTCGAAAGACTGCTTGCTTTGCAGAAATTGACCAGGTATTTGAGCGAAAATGTCAGAGAGACAGGTTCGCTGAGAGCAATCTTCACCTCCTGATCCGGCTTGTCCACGGACGAGTTCTGTCGGATGGTGACGCTGCCGCTGCCGATGTCGCCTTGACAGGAAAAGCGAACGCCATCCTTGCTTGCCTCGATCGACACTAGGGAATGTCAGCATGGGTTTGTTTCTCCTGTCATGTCCACTCCTGTCGCCCTCTTCACGCACCGGACTCGGACATGGCGATCAAATCGCGGCAAATGCGCTGGAATTCAGCGCTCGGCATCTCAATTGTGGCTGAATACTCCGTGTCGGGAATCCCCAGATGCTCTTGGTCAATGTCCATCAGCTTGATGTCGTATTCGCTGATGCGATCCGTGTCGCTGCTCTCGAAGACGAGGTTCACGACGTCCGGAGAGTCTTCAGCCTTGATGGTAAGGATGTCTTCGTTCTGTGCGGCGCGAATGACTTTGGTCAGGGAGTTGAGGTTGATGCCCAAGGCGATGTTGCGGTCGCATCGGTAAGGGGAGAACATCTCTGCCTTGAGCATCATGGAGACGAGGGCCACGTGGGAGTTGTCCATTGCCTGCAAGGCGATGCCGGAGTCATTGCAGTCGAAGTTACAGTCTTGGACGAGGTCTTTGATGGCATCCACGACCTGCAAAGCGGTTAGAAGCCGGTCTGGTATCAGAGACGGGAGCAGTACCTTCTTCAGCATCGCCGCCTGTTCAAGACGTGCTTCCAACACTGCCAGGGACATTAGCCACGATCCCACCATGCGATATTCCGAGGTCCGTACTGCTTGCGATTGTTTGGTAGTTTATCGTTTCCGCGAAGTTCGAATGGCGAGGATCAGTCGGTCTTCTCAGAAATTAAAAAGTTGAATGTTGGACAAAAGGACACAATCAACCAGCCGCAATGATGGACCGGGTCAATCTGAATTTCGACATGGCACGACACGGGTCGCGCAGCGCGTTTAAGGCTAAACTGCTTTTGGACAAATTAAGCTGAACTCTTGGCGCTCTGTCACGTGAGCAGCTTTCCCGCCCTGCCGCGAGCGGGTTCCCATGGCACTTCCGCTTCTCGCTCATTTTTTCTCCTCTCTTTTCAAATCCCGTAGGAGCGGTATCCGCCGACCTTGGATCTACGGCTGGCTTGCTCACTGCGTCATCGTGGGCGGGTGAGAGAGGCATTTTAGTCGTCGCCATGCTTGTCCATGGACAGCCTCGTTTCGAGAATGAACGCCAATCTTCTATGCTTATTGCCGAGTTCCGACCCTGTCCAGACAACTGCAGATGACATTTTTCCAGCATGCAAATCCATCCCCGGCGTTGAGCTGCGGTAAAACCCCCCAATCACGGGTCTATAATCTCCGGATTGCCTCACAGACAAAAGCTGCTGTGATGATCTCATTGGGTCCTCTGATCCTGGGATACATGCGCGGTCCATTCTCGACCTTCCCTAGTTGTCACGTGGAGCCGCCCTACCACCGACATGACTTATGGATAAGCCCTACCTACTTACTCGGTACAGTCCCCTAGGCACCAAGCCCGCCCCCGTGTCAGGCTCAGCCTCGTGAGCTAAGACCGCATTGGGACCTCCACCGTATTCGCGCCAGCATTTTCGCCACGCACAGCACTGGCCTCTCTGGATGTCCCTTCAACGTTTAACACAGAGAACGGAGGACCAAAACAAAATTCCCACTATCCCTTACAAGTGCTTTTTCTCCTTTCAAAAGTCCGTTTCGGAATGTTCCGTCAGCCGGATCCATTTATCCCTACGCCATGGTGCCATGGCATAAATTCCTTTACCACTCAAGATGCCCAGCTACCAACCCCGATAGGGGTAGTTCGTTGCCGCCACCGTTACACTGGATGTGCGGATCTTTCTCAGCCCTCTCTACGGAACCGCATGCGCCCGCGTCTCTGGGAAGGAGAGGACCCAACGCCTAGGCTTTCCTGGCGGACGAAGCATGATGGAGCCTAACGTGTGGCGATATGGGACCCAGATATGGGGCTGTCATTTCTGGTACGATGTGGCCTTAAGTACAATCTGCCACTCGCAGGCTGTCAAGCATGGGTTGAGGCATATGGCGTATCTGTTGATTGTAAGGTTACGATAGTACACGCAGCCTCAGTCCGGGGTCGCGAAAATAGTGAATGCGGATGAAGGATTGTGGTTGGTATAGGCAGAGGTCGTGAGGCAAGGGTCTTCCTGGGGCCATGCAGGTCGCTTTGTCCGATTGGTCAAGGAGAGCGAGAGGAAAGGGAAGGGGAAATTTTTCCGTTGCATTCCAAAAATGTGACAACATACCCCTGGCTGTGGCTGTCTGGTTACAGGAGATTGATACGGCAGAACATGTGGCAAAACAATCAATCGAATACGATGTGCGCCAGCGCTTTGGTTGCCTGCAACCTTGGTCCCTATTCCCCCTTCATGCGTGGTGGTGTGAGAAAGGCTTCAAGCCCGACCGAAAGGGTCAATCTACCAACCGTCCAAAATCATCGAGGTAACTGTGTGCGCAGTCAGTCGAAGGCCGTCATGGAATTCTGGAAGACATGATCAGTTTCCCATACCTCTGTAGGTAAGCAGATAAGCGAAATCCGGGTATCTGCGATGCTCGCCGCAAGTACCGTATAGCCCTGTGGAAGTATTGCTCGTTCTGATGGGAGTAAGAGACGTTGCCAAGACTCATGTTCGCTTCAGCCGCCTGCGAGGTGGTGCAATCATGATTAAGTCAGTCGTTCAGTTGCAAATTTGGCATGTGGAGATGGGGGTGGATATATGGACCAAGGGGGAAATCGTCCTGACCTCTGAGAGCAGCTCCCCTGCGAGTTCTCCATCTCTTTCGGCCACGTCGACAGCCCTAGAGAAATAGTCGACCGCCGGAATGAGCATTCCGCGTGCTTCCACATAATCGGCCGTGTGTGCTCTGGCGTCAGCTTCGGCAGTTGCTCGTTCTGCATCCCTCGACTCTTCAGCCGTCGAATATGACAATCTCTCGCTTAGACTCTGAGGACGGCCGCTGCTGCCGCTGGAGGAGCTTCCTTCGGTGCGATGGATTCGTGCGAGAACGCTCTGAGATCGAGCTAGCCACGCCTGACCCAGTCCTGGCATTATGTAAGTAGATGTTTGAGAGACGGGAAGGATTGGTAAGCTGTGTAAGTTGACTAACCCCTGAGCGCGGAAAGATCTTCAGCGTTTCTCTGCAGCAACAACAACCACTGGTTCATACACCACTCCGCGATATCAGGGACCCCAGCACCCTCCGCATCATGATAAGCCAACCGCTGCAACGTTGTGACAACGAATGTACGGTCAGTGGTTCGATTAGGCATCTGTACGAACCCTGTTGCGTCGAGCATTGCGATGGCCGTCCGGGCAATGTGCAGCCGTTGTTCCCAGGATTCTGGGGCAGAAGGATTCGTGTCTGCGATGCGCCTGACTTCCCGGATGGCGCCTTCGATTTGCGCCTCCTCGGCCAGATTGAGCCCATCAAGCCCAAACACCTGGCGTGACATGCTCCGATATCGACCGGGGAATCGATGAGAGATTGTCAAATCGACTCGACAAGGTCCCTCTACTGTCCGGTTTGAAAATGCTGTGAGGGGAAGGTACCGACGGTGTCACGCTCGACATAGCAAGCCCTTCCAAACGGGATTGTGGAGAGGAGGATTCCGAAAACTCGTGGATTGTGAAATATTGAAATAAACCCCAGCCACAGCACCTGGAGGTACACTATATACCTAGAGGGCAGCTGCGATGAGATGTGGCTGTAGTCGTCCGCAGGCGAAAGTGATTCAAGGAGAGAGAAAGTGCGTGACAGACAGACGAATCACAAGAGGACTTGCAAATCCTTAGACGATACTTACATGTGCAGAGAGGGATCTTGATGCGTTTCGAGCCACCGCCAGGCTATCATGACACATCTATAGGACCACGAGGTCAAACCTTGCAATTTGGCGTGTGGCAAACGCGCTCTTCCAACCAAGGTCCAGGGGCAACGTCGGACTGGAGATATAGTCCCAGAGAGCCAGGGCTGACCGGGGTGGGAACGAAAAGGGCCATTAGGACGATCGTCACAGAGATCCAGAAAGAGGTAAGTGTTTCCTTTGGAGGGAAAAAGAGGCTTGGACTTACCTGCAGCCACAATACGACATTCTGTCCAAAAGCCTTTGCCTAACATCTGTGGCAAAGAAAAAGGCGGTTGGGGCATGGGTCTAGCGAGCAGAGGCATGGCGACGGGGATCGATTACAGTATCACTTCTAGATGCCCTTTTGCTCTTTTGAGAACTCTGAGCGGCGCCAGGGGAGATAGCATCACTCGGGTGCTGTCGAGAGGAGCCCGTAGTTTCGCCGTTGCCCTTGAAGACGTCGTTCAAACTGCCACAGGCCAACAGTCTGGACCGAGCAAATTGGCCCTGGTGAGAAGAACGAGGCATCATAGTACGGGGTTGGACAGGGCTCGGTGGGGGCCGGCTGACCGGATCTGAAAATGACACCAGGGGCAGCGCAAGGACTTGGTGCGGATCGACGAGATTGAATACGGAGAGCGCCAATATGAGGCCTTTTGCCGCTCCTCAATTCCCATGTTGTTTGTTAGGAGATGATGGACGGCGTTATGATGGAGATTTGCGACAAAGACTCTGAAAGGGGGGGTGTCCGATGGAAGAAATCAGATCTGACTAAAGAGGTCGAAGGGGGATCTCGACGGTATTTCGGTGGAAGTAGGAAAGGCTGATTGCGCCAAGGCATTTGCGGAAGCGAGGGAAGGAATCGCGATGAGCCAATATCGCAGTCTCCATGACCTTCCACCCATCATTACGTCGTTTGCTCACCCCTCGCTGTATGTTTTGCGCGAGAATACTCCCAAAGTCCATCTCCGCGATTCGAGGGCGTTCAGTCCCGAGAGCTAGAAGACGAGCCAAAGTCAAAAGTAAGCGGCACAGTCGGACACAAAGTAGAGGCTTTCTCTGAATAGTGAACAGGTGGCTCAGAGGATACCAGTCGGAGAGGAGGGAGGAGAGGGAACAACGCAGCCATGGCGCGCTGATGATTATCGATGAGGCTGCACTTGAGCCGAGGATAGTGAATGAACAACTCTGATGCCTATACTGTGTACACTGTGTACACTGTGTGCCTCTGAGGACAAGATCGGGAAATAACGCAACAGAGCATGACTGGCAGACGATCTGCCTGCTGCCGCGTACGTGGCTGGAGCTGGGCTGGTATCGGTGCTGGGTAGAAGTGAATGTCCGCGTGCTTGTGGCTCAGACTCTGGTGTTGGCCCAACCAGCAGCTTTACAAGCCCTGGAGGTCGGGCTCGCTCAACTCCTTCTCGCTCTCTCAAGCAAGGCACGGCACGGCCACCGTAAGGCAGCAGCGGCAGCACAGCAGCAGCGGTAACGGCAGCGCGGCAATGACCAGTCAAACAAGAGCAAAAGCCTCCTTCGTGCTATCATGAGCCACATTTCCCGGACTCTGCATAGATCCGAGTTCGGACTCCCGCATCTTTCCTGGGGCCGTAATCCCTTCCGAGGGATTCTAGCGAGAGCTCTGCAGCCATTACTAAACGTCATGCAGTTCTGGAAGCGTCGCCAGGACGGAGCATGGCAGTCAATTGTACCGCGTTCAATCTTGTACGAGCGGGCCGAGGGCCAGGCCAAGCCAATCCTGTGCGAGTGCCTGCTCTTTTTATATCACGAACCACCACCTCCTCGAATGCTCATTATGTCCATTGCATACACATCGGCATCCACCACTTCACAAAGGAGAACATGTGTAAATCTTCTGGTCTTTTGGCCTCGCCATCTCTTCTCTCCTGCGTCGACTCTCTTTCATTACCAAGCACGGCGATCCCAGCTGTCTGTTGCGCAAGCCGCTTCGAGGGCATGTGTCCACCGTCGCCATCTCTCATTCGGCATAAGCCAGCTTGGAATCTGCGTGCAACTGCCCAAAATACACAATATGTCCAACCGAAAGATGGCCTTTTTGCCTCGGTAAATGACAAGAACCCTTTTGATTGTTCGAAAACGCCCGATTTTTCTCCAGCGAAAGCATTCCAGCCACACATGGCGCAAGGCCGAGAAACATCCCCTGAACTCCCTGCATGTGCTTCATGAAAATATTTGTCGTCAATTTTATGTTGAAACAAGGCAAGTCTCGATTCCAAATCACACAGACCCCAGACTAGGGAACGCCGACGTGCAGGGTACGAGACCGCAAGGGGTGGGATTATATCGACGTGATGCGCGTATCAGACCGGGCCAGGGGGCGGTGTTTGATGACCATCTGCAGCTCCCGCAGCATGTTGGTCGTGTTTTCGGCGTGCTCTTGAAAGGTGGCCCGCTTCCTCCGGTCCTCTTGAAGTTTGTTGAGTTTCTCTTCCCGGCTCATTGGCGCCCAAGACATTCTCTTGCGTGGCAAGGCCACCGCTTCAAACACTTCTTCGTCCAATCCTACTCCATCAGACTGGCTTCGTTCGTCGCCACTCAGCAGCCTTAGCGCTTCTGCCGGCCCTCCATCCACGACCGTCAGCCCACCCAGACTGCTCGGAGATGGCGATGCTGGCGACCGCATACCACTGGATGCTCGGGAGAAACGATTATCAGATTCGGTCCCCACGTTGAGGAACATGGTGTTTCGCCCCTTTTCCCATTCAACCAGGGCGTTTCGAATCTCAGCCCCGAGGTGGTCGTAATGTCCAGTGATGGCCATGCTGAGGGAGGAGTCATCCTTCGACTTTAGGGAGTTAATTTCTTCCCTCAGGAGATGGACTTTGGCGTTCAGGGATCGGATAGCATTGGCTACCGCTTCGAAGCGGCGTAATTGAGCCTTAGTGTGTCGTTTTTGCGGCGTAGTGGCGTCCATGCTCCGTTCAGCCGCTGGTTCGGCCTCTTCCGACACAGCATCCTGGCCCTCTTCGCCATATTCTTCGTGCACGACGGCAGTGTGGAGTTGTTGGCCCGCCTGGGAAAGTGCACCATCTAGCCCTTCCAACACACGACATATCAGTCGCCACTGACGGACATTGTACCACGTCGAGCCAGAATGAAGGGCCAACAGATCACAAAGGAAGACTTTTCTTGCAATGAGATGGAGTCGGAAAAGGAAGCGGAGTTCTTTCAGCGAGTCCCGATTGTCGAGAGGACTATCATTCGCGAACGCCACGGCGTCGGCGTAATCCTGCATCGAGACCTCGTATATGTCATGATATCTTTTCAAGTCGAGGTCTCTAACAAATGGTTGGACGGCATTGTGAGCTTCCACGCATCGTACAATACTGGCCGTCAAGGTAACTCCAAGAGTGGCCCGTAGATCACGGCAGCGACTCGGTGAGTTTTTATCTTCCAGTCGACTGACCGGGGGTAACGGATGGCTTCTGAATATGTGTCAGTAAAGGCAGGGGAGTGTTATATCGCCACAGCCCAGGGGGACCTACATTTCATACCCACGAGAGACAATCTCGACCTCCTGGACGAAACGAAGCGCCTCAGCCGCAATACTATCATAATTATGTGAATTCGTCACCACATTTCCTAGTGTCGACCCTGCAGACTGCCGCACAAATTCGAGATATTGACGCCGAGCGAAATAACAAAGGACCAGACAAACCCCCAAAAATAACAACGAGTATATGCATATTTCTGACCAAGTTGAATAATGTGACCGAGACGATCGATATCCCCGCTGGAACAGATGAAGAGACCACGCGACTGAAAAGGAAATTCCGGCTGTTATACAGGCACCCCTGACGGAGAGAGTATGTGGAGCGAAAGGTTGATCATTTTGGAGAAGTTGTCGCCTCGGCTTCGGTTCGTCCGCGAGAAGTTGGGAGGCAACAATCACGTAGCGAAATCGCTCGAGGAATTGTTCGTTTGCAACATCGGTCACAGAGGCAGCTGTTTGACGAATGTTCCGCAACTGCTCGCGAAGTTTAGGCAGGCCTCGAGGGGCGTAGGTCTGTCGAGCGCAAGCGGAAGGTGAGGGCGGCTCGGTGGCCTCGAAGGGGATGGCGTCTCCTTCTAGATATTCTGCAATAGGCGAGTCATTATAGATTAGAGCTTCCATGACATTGTCGGAAGATGTGGCTGCTGAAGGGAAGAAAGAAAAGGTAGCTGAAACGGTGGGAGTGTCGCTAGGAGAACATGAGGGAGGAGACTGCAGAAGCGCGTTGCGATGGGAATGGATGTTTGATGATGGCGATGGAAAATCACCCAGCGCAGGCAAACGCGAGAGTTGAGCAGGGGAGGTCAGGAGCACAAGCCCACGGCGGAATTGCGGATGACGGGTCCAAGCTTCTGCTGACGGCGATAGTTTCCCGGGGCTGCTGGAAGGGTGCGCTTAGGCTTGAGAGCCCCGGGAGGAAAAGGGCTCAACGGCCCAAACGCTCTAGCGCCCAGAGGCGACTAACCCGGGTGCTGGGGTGCAGATCCAGGGCCTGTCCCCGTCAATCTGACCAACGTGGCTTGAACCGAGATTGGCCCAATTCCCACGTCAATCTTGGTAAATTCTGGTTCCCTTTCTCGAATGTCTGCAGAACTCTCGCTTCAAACTGGTGGGTGATCGCACGAAAGTCGAGCTGAGACCAACAACGGGGTATGCGAGTAAACAGTGACAGTGCAGTAAAGACGGCGATGCAATGGGTTCGTCAGAGATAAAAGAACAGGCGTCTACTGACGAGGAAGCAATTTTCCGCTTCCCATTATCCATCCAAGAAATTCATCATGGTGTGGCATCAAATTCACTGTTTATCGAATCCTTGAAGACCGTTGATGTTACAACGCTTTATCTTTCACCGACGATTGTTTTGTTGTTCAGACCAGACCCGTCCCGTCCATGTGTTGACTGGCAACTCCCAGTTACCAACACCTAACCTCCGCCACTGTTGACCCTCCCCTCCTCATTTTGCTTGACCCGTAATTTGAAGTGTCGCGTCTTTTACTCATGATCTCGAAAGCCTAGGTAAACATGGCGTCACCAGGACCCCCGGACGAACTTCATCCAGAACGCGAAGCACAGGCGCACAATTCGCAGCCTCAACCGTCCTCTTCCCCAGATCTGAGCAGCGTCCCAGGCAATGAACTGCGCAAGCTCACTGACTCTGTGATTATCGCCGCTGAGTCGAACGGCGGGCTTTATGCTCCTATCTTCCGCCAGCTGCAAATCAGGGCGGACAAGCAGCAGGATTTCCACAGTGGGGTCATCCGTGTTATTCGAAATAGACACCACAAACTCATCCAACGAGCCTCTGATGCCAGTCTGAAGAGCCTGACAGACTTCCTACTCCGAGCCTTCGGGTACATCATTTGGAAGGCCGACTCGGACTGGGTCCTGGACAAGACGGATCTCGATGAGGGGGAAGCCAAGTTGATCTATGTGAAAGGCAGACATAACGTTCCAGATTGCAGGTATGATATATGAGCCGTCCCAAGCTGGATACTGATCGCGGATGAAAAGGTCTGGATCGTCGCTGATGAGAAATTCGAAGGTTCCATCCAATCCTCGAGCCTCTCTGGCGCCAAATGCGAAATTTGATGTTCACCCGTCGCCGACAAGGCCCAACGCATCGTTCCAGGGCTTCCGGTGTCGCAGCAACTGACGGCGAAGACTCGTATCTGGCCGACGTGGACACGCGTTCATCCTCGCCGGTGGCGGCTGCTCATGCACGTGCCCGTGCCCGAGCTACAGCGAAGCTAGACAACTTGGCCGCCCATATTGCGCGGAATGGTCCTGCTCAATCAAATCATAGAATGAGCACCGAACGTACGGAGGACGCAATCATTGACCTTATTGCTCGTCTAGCCGAGATCCGTGCCAACAGTGACCCACGCACGTTTGAGGAACTCTGGCAAGTGCATATCATGCGGGCCGAGGAGCTAGATGATGGGCAAGGAATGAACGAGGGCGAGCTGGAGATGGAGGAGAACACCGTCAGTCTCACCCAGGAACACCCAGTTGTTGCTCGTGCCCCGGATCAACACTGTGGGAACCGCGCATCGCAATCGAACGTGCCTTTCATGACCGAGGGCACCCCGGTCTTACCACGACCTATGGTCTCCCAGGCACTCATTCCGCCGTCTCTCCCGTCAGTCATGTCCGTGTACGTCAGCGTCTCCCGTCTGCCTACCCAAGGCCATTTCGATTCCATCTCCCACACGACAGCCGCGTCCCTCGCACAGGCGTACCACTGGCCCTCGGCACCCGTCCGGGAGCACAACGTCGCAGCGTTCTTCACCGGCATATGCTACCGCGTTGACATTGCCCCCTCAGCTGTTCTGGGTTAGGTGCTCAGTTATGGGTGGAACGATATCTGTCGATTCGTGTCAACAGGACGCTTCGGGGACCGGGCCGTTCAGGACACCTCCCGCCTTGTTGCACGTTCTCCTCTCGCGGTGGAGGACAGCGGCAGTGATGACCGTGTCGACTTCTCCAACCAGTGTCAACAACCCAGTGGTGCTCGAGCATGCGATAGCTCGGACTGCGAGATGATGGACACGACGAGCGATCTCCCAGAACCGGCGACGTCTTCCCCCAAGCCAGCACTCGCAGACTGCTCTTCTCCAGGAAGTCCGGTGTTAGGACACGATCTCGACGACTTCACGGAAGAGGAGTGGCGAGTTATCGCTCTGGGCTGGCGCGACTTCCAGAACGACCTGCGCCACGCGGCTCGGATGGGCATGCGAATTTGGAGGATGAAAGTATGCGTCGTCGTCGCCGCCGCAAGCTCTTGACGATGGAATTGACATTGTCACTACGTGCTCTGACGATGGGGGGCATTCGGCATCTCCGCAAGCGCGAGGGGTTGGTTTCGAGACTCCGCCATTGAGGGCGATGATGTGTAGGTAGGTAGGTGGGTAGCCAAGGGACTGAAAAAGGCAACAGATGCCATTGATCATTCACCCTGCCTTTGACATATTCAGACGGGACCATCCGTCAGGTTCAAACCTACCTAATCCCGACACTGCCCTCCCCACCCCTCGACCCTCAGTTCAAAAGCAGAAGATGCCTTTTCAATTCCCCCCTCTCTAACTCTCTCACTAGGGTTTGTCCAGCATCCGTTTTCTGGAAGAAATAGCTATCCACTGCATTTGAGCAGGCCTGAAAAGTGCGAGCAAAGCCCCTGAAAACTCAGGCGCTCGAAAAGCCTCCTTTCCTCACCACGTTCCCAACCCCCCCCCCCCCCCGGGTGCGGGCGGGGGGCCCCCCGTCTCTCCTCTCTCTCACGCACAAACACGTCCTCAGCCTTGACTTCTCACGACGATGTCTGGCTACGCTTGTCCATTTGAACCTTTCCCCGACGAGGCCGGCATCCACGGTGTCCAGTTCCCAGCATACAGCAGCAGCAAGGAGGCCGAAGCAGCTACAGAACAGGCCTCGGCGTTGGCTCCTCCAGCACAGACAGAACTGGTAACGTACCGTTGATCTCTTTTCGTCCCCAGATTGTTTTCGGCCACCCGAATTTGATGAGAAGGAGGGGCTGGATGCTGATGTGACCGAGATATATAGATGGAGGGTGTGGTCGTCGATCCTTCGCCATCATCATCACGACCACAACCACAACCACAACCGCCAGCACCAGCAAATAACCCACTCTGCAACAGGATCTTCTCCACGACAAAAACGTGTTTGACACTTTTCATCATAGGATCCTCGCTCGCAGGCCTCGTCGTGGGCACCATGGTCCCGCAAGATCAAACGTCGCTTTCGCCCCAGCACTATAAGTCCCTCGTCAGCACGCTTGCCGCGCCCGCGTTTGTTTGGCCATGCCTCCCGCTGGAAACGACGGAAGAGAGAGGCGAGATCGGGAGTGGAAGGCCTGCCAGCGCATGGTTTTGGCGTTGGAATGGACTTGGATGGTTACATTGTTCTATGAGATTTTCCTCACCAGAAGCTGCACGGCTTGATGGCTCGATGATTGGTACCATTCCTGAGGGTTGGAGGGAGGGTCAAGAGAAGAAATGGTGGCACTGCAGTCACATCAAGATGTCAAGGTGCGGTAACTTCTTCGGCAGCGAGCGGCTCGACAGGCGCGGCTCGAGAGGCATTTGTCTGCTTTTCTTTCAGGATACAACCGGCCTCCATTACAGCAGAATATCTACCTTATCCTACCATGCCCAGTAATACTAATAATAATGCTCCTGTACCCTCAATCACACGATTAAGCTCTGTCTGCAAAAGGCGCTCACTTCGCTCGTCCAACATTCTTCTCGTTCATTATGTACAGCGTAATCCTCAGCGTAGAGGTTGTTTCGTTTCGGTTTCTGGTTTCGTTCTTGGCTGGAATAGAATGTCTGAAGGCCGTGAATGCATGTTTTGACTGAAAAGGTGAATGACACTAGAAGGCCTTCTCGGCAACCGATGTCCCAAAAGCATATACACCTGGGTAAGGTGAACCCGAGGGGAAAAGCGATAAAGTCCCAAAATAGTTGCGTCCGTGCTTTGATACGAGTATGAGGCTGGAATGCGAGGAAAGACGCTTGAAAGAAACACGCATCAGGGCCACCAGCCCATCTTCTCATAACTTGAAATCATCTCTTTCACACCTTCCACCGTCAGGCCTTCGGGACGCTCGTAGTTGAAGCCCACGACGCGTTCGAACAGACTGCCGTCGAGACTCAGGTCTGTGTCTTTGAGCAACTCCTTTTCCAAGAAAGGACTGAGGGGGCCAGGTTTCGTGATGCCATTTTTCTCGAGCATATCGGCCCACGGCTGAAGGATGTCCTCGTTTAGATCATCGACGACGTGCTCGAGATTCATCTTTGCGAAAGAGGATATGATCGTTCCCTGGAACCCGGTCTTGATGTCGAAAACCTTGGAAACAATGTCGGCAAATTTACCCTGGCTCGTCTCACCGTGGTCGACAATGTTGAAGATGGGTACGTTGCCGCTTGGGGCGTCCTCTCCCTTGGTGAGTGTCGGTCTCCGAGTGATTGTAGGAGAAGAAGATGACGGGATAGTTGAATTCTGTGACCTCCACTCTGCCGCTGCCCACAAGGCTCGCGCAACGTCTTCCACATGAACCGTGTTGATCCTCAAGTCCTCAGTCCAGAGCCATTTCAGCTCCTTTTGCTGTTCCTGATAGACCCGAGCCAGACATAGTCCTTTGGCAATGAATTTCGAATCATACTGTCCATAGACATGCGCCAGACGCAGGATGATCAAGTTCAAACCCGGTATTCTCGATAGCTCTTGTTCCGCTTCTAGCTTCACCTTGGCCAGTTTCAGCCACGGCTTCAACTTGTCTTGCTCGTTTCGCGGGGCACGATTCGGAGCATACACCATGCCTGTGCTGACCTCAACGAAGGACTTCACGCGGCGTTTGGCTGCCTCGTTCGCCAGCGTCACACTCAGCTGCCAGGAGCGCAGTTTGTATATTTCCGACGTCTGGGACCAAGCCGTCTCGCCAGCGCAGTTGAAGACAAAGTCCCAGGCTTTGTCAGGCCCATCGGGATGCTCGAAGATACGAGCCATCGAGGTCTCGCGAGAGGCATCGGCCTGTATGAACTTGTCTGGGGAGCATGCTTCGCTGAATTCGGGAGCAAGATGGGCGAGCTGGGGGAGGACCTTGTCAACGAGGCGAACGGAGGAGGCTAGGTTCTGCGTATGGATGTATTTTGACAGAAAGCGACCAATGTATCCTGCCAGAAACTGTTAGCGCATGCGCATTGGCACGAGTTTAAGGGCATGCATATACCGAGACCCCCCACTATCAACACTGACGGTTTGGAGGTGCCATTGAGTGTCCCGTTCTGGTCGGACATGGCCGCAACAGAATAATCTAGCAGATGGCAAGGCGCAAGAAGACGAGAACAAGGAAACGCTGAACGCCTGGGAGGGTTGGGGAGAGGACGCTGAAGACAGAGAAATGGCTTTTTAATGATCAGCTCCTGCTCAGTTGGAGGGTGAAACTGGCAGGTGCCAGAGGAAGGAGGGTCCCTGTTGACCTTGGGCCAAATTAGGTATCAACAATAGCCTCTGCTTTTGACGTCGACGCCGGAAACAGCGGGCTCGAGAATCCACAGATGAGACCTGTGGACGAGGATGAGGGGGGAGGGAAAAGTGGCTCCAAGCCTCAAACAGGCCACACGAGGAGGGATTTGAAGCCACTGAGGGACAGGAGTTCGAGACCTTGACCGGGGGCTTTCCAGGCCCGGGCCGTCAATGGCAGGTGGCAGGTGGCAGCAGGCTGAGGGCGGGGGATGGTTCGGTTCTCGGCAGTAGGACAAAAGCTGGAGATGGCGTGGGATGGCGTAATTAGGAGGAGCAATAGTCGGGATTTAAATAGAGTCAGATGATGCTTGTGGTGGACGAGGATGGGAGTAGGAGGAGGAGGGTTTGCGCGGGCGAGCAGGGGGAGGGCGGCCACGAGGCAGATGGATGTCTGAGGACGATGAAACTCGAGGAATTGTCGAAAGAGGGATTTTATTGTTTTGTCTGTGGATTTGTGCATCCAGCGGCCATGCAAACGAACCGTTAGCCTTGCATTTGCGATCTGCTGCAGCTTGCGCTTTTGCCTTTTGAGGCTCAGGGGTTCATGCAGGTCCGCCGTTGTGATCGTTAAAGGGGTTCGCAAACGGAGGTGGCGATATCGACTTCGTGGGCTTTGGGCGTTGGCGGTGGTGTGCGCATGGCCGCGTGAGCGACAACCCAAGGCGTCGAGGTGCATAGTGGGATGCATCTGGTGCATATCCGATGCACTGGCGGGAAGCAAAGAAGTCGGGGAGCCAGGGGCGTCACGAAGATGGGGGGAGCAGATGAGCAGATGAGCAGCACGAGCAGACAATGCACGTCGTAAACAGCATGGCTCGCCCGAGTAGTGGGCGGCGCCAGAACGGCCAGTACCCCGAACAAGTATCGGCAGCCCACCTTTTGTCGTAGCTGCAGCATTCTAAGACGATCCCAAGGACCCGCGGTTCTGTGTCCCTCGTACGGCGGGAGAGCTGGTGATGTTGACCGTGATGGTCGTGGCCATCAGTCACAATCCCCTCGTGCGCCCGTTCTTGTCACCAGGCGAACTCGATTACTCCGGATTGATACTATCACAACTCCCTCGCTAGCCTGTTCCTCGAAAGCCCCCCTCACGGTGTCAGGTACGAGTAGTACACACATACAGAAAAGGTACACTAGTACGATACATGGTGGTTGCACCTAAAACCCCGGTCAAAGCCTGACTCGCTGACTCGTTTCGTATCTCCCCTAACTCAAGAACGTTGAATGCCTTCATCCAGCCTTCCGCCAAGCACCCATTTGCACAGCTCTGTCTGTCACATTCCCTCAGTTGCCCCTCTGTTCGCCCGTCCCTCGCTCATTTGTCGCGAAGATGGTAGGAAGTTGGGCAGACCGAGCAACATCAAAATAGGTCAAGGTGGTTATGCACGACACTGTCTTTCCCATCCCGAGGAGCATTGATCTGTCTCCTGCTCTTACAGCACCCCCGCCCTATCGTGACGCTGGGAAATCTCAATGCCCTGAACTCCATTGATCTAATACATCTCGAATGGGATCCGCCCCGTTTAGGTATCATGGTTGCTGTTGCCCCGATCGTCGCCACATGTCCCTTCCACTGGGCCAATCTGAATGCTGTCATTCCGTCCGAGACTATCTTCATCGACCGATGTGTGTTATTTGACAGGTGCGGGCCTTGGTTGCGCCTTGACATTCGTCGAGAGCCAGCTCTGTGAGGGCGTGGTCAACGCAAATACTATTATTTCAGGGCGTAGTTCAAACTCACCAATCCTTCGAGCAGTCCTTCTCCGGTGGTGGCACAGCTAGGAACCACATACCAAGTCCGGTCCTTCAATTGGCCCAGTCGCAGCTTCTCAGTCACCTCAGTAGGGGTCATGGAGCCTGGGATGTCTTGCTTGTTGGCAAACACCAACAATAGCGCCTCTTTCATTTCTCGGTCCAGAATAATCCTGTGGAGTTCTTGCCTGGCCTCGTCGATGCGTGCTCGGTCGTTGGAGTCAATCACAAATATCAGACCTTGTGTGCCGGAAAAGTAGTGTCGCCATAACGGCCGAATCTTGTCCTGTCCACCAACATCCCAGACATTGAACTTGACATTCTTGTAGGTGACGGTCTCGACGTTGAAGCCAACCGTGGGGATCGTTGTGACGTCTTGATTCAGTTTCAGTTTGTACAGGATTGCTGTCTACACGTCAGGATCTCTGCATCGCAGTGACACTATGCGGTGCAGCTGACTGCGCAGCCGCCATGTTTGGACTCACTTGTCTTGCCAGCAGCATCAAGACCCAGCATCAACAGTCGCATTTCTCTCGACCCGAAGATCTTGCCCATCATCTTGGATATTTGGTTGCCCATCTTGTTAGTTTTGCTGCAGGGCGCAGCTTATCGTTCAGGAGGTACGGCGCTGTTGGAAAATCGTGGGTTGCGCAGTCAAGAGACAGCCGCTGTGATCAGGTTGCTTGCGGGCCACCAACTCGACCCGGCAAGTGAGTTCGCCTACGCAGGACTCGGACGACGAGGACAAGGGCGGAGTCTGGGAATCTAAAGTAATCTCATAGAGCCTCGAAAACGGGCTGCCGCTGTCAAAAGAATTTCAGGGGACAATCTCGTCAATTGAGTGGATGAAATGGTACCCCGGCTACTGCAGCGCGGTTCACAGTCTCCAAGTCCGGAAAGGGGCGCGTGCTGAAAGTGAAAGTGGATTAAAGGAGAGACCTGCACTAGACCGAAGGAGGAATAGCCGCAAGCCCCCAGCACGAGGACGAACGTTAAAGCACGTGTCGCACCGATTTGGTCTCCTCTGGTGCCATGAGGATTCCATCAATGAATGCCCACCCTTCATATCTCATCAGCTTCCATTTCTCGGCAACCTTCTTTGTGACCAAGTCTCCCGTAGCCACTGCGTCTTCTTTCGAGTCATGCCCAGCCTCGCCCGCAGTCTGGATGCCCCGCGACAGGTACTTTTGACTGAGTATCTTCAGCCTGTACCTTATCGGCAATCCTCGAGGGTGAGGATACAACAGGACTGTATCAACCACGCAGGGATGTATGATCCTCACCACGTTCAGATCGTTTTCGATGGCATGGCCTAGCAGGGGAGTCTCTCGGCTGATGTGATCGAACAGTAATTGCCTGGCTGCAGCCGGCGAGTCCACTTTACGGAGCTGGCATTGATCGAGATGCGCCTTCTGGACCGGGTCAGAGAGTTCGGATTCGTACGGAAGCGCGGAGGCAAAGGCCTCCTTCGTCACTCCAGAGAACCTAGTATTCAGATCGAGAATTTCCCCAAACGGTCGCACCAAGATATCAAGCAGGAGTCTTCCGTCCGGCCACGAGACAGCCGTCACTCGAATAACTTCCATTCCATGTGTGGTGTAGCCCATTTCGCAATCGAAGGAAACAGGTTGTCTTAGCCGTACGTCAGGCTTTTCTGGGGTGTGCTCAAATTGGAGGATCGTTGCGAGGCGCTTGGGGTCTTTGACGACGAATACGTGTGAGTCGGCTTCTGAACACCCTTCACTGCCTTGTGGCTTGTTGCAGCACGGGTAGGTTGCTTCTGACTGGCCTTGAATTCTATCTCCCTTCTGAGGAGCCGCACGATTTGGCCGAGCCCAGTGATAACGACACCGTCCCTGGCTTGTCAAGCGACCCATCTCATCTCGACCGGGAAACACCTGAAACCTCGTACCACATCGATCGCAGCTTTCGAAGCCCCTGGCTGCTGCCAATCCTGCCTTCGCCGAGGCAACTTCTGAGCTGGATGGTTGCGTGGTCACGTAACCGTATTGCTCCAGGCCTTCCAGAGGAGTGCGGAGATGCTTAAGCACAGCAACCTGCTGACTGAGAGATGAGAGACCAATCGAAAGAAGATCGCCATTCTTGTCAACTGGCTTGGTATGGGCGTTTGCCGTCGATGAAGCTCCGGTCCATTCGGAGACTCTTTTGATCCACTCCTCCATAGTCATCTTTCTGGTTCGCAGAATATTTTGCGCCATGGTGTTCTTGTAGATATCGCCTCCCAACCTCGTAGCAGTTTCCTCTTCGTCGAGTGCGAACCTGATCAATTCCTGTTCATCTAGCACGAGCGACTTGGACCTGTTGTCTGAACTGGCAAGCTTGCTGTTCTGGGTCCGCATCTCCTCGTGCAACTTCTGCAGCACGGTCAATCTCGTTTTAAGGAGAGCTGGAGCATTCGGAACGTTGCGAGGCGTCAGCGATTCGACTTTCACGGGTTGCTTTCTGACCAAGAGCGAAGACTCCTTGCGGGCCTTTGTTGGTGGAGGTGACACGGATCTTGCAGCCGAAGCTGGCTTTGATTTGGCACGTTCTTGCACCACATCGCGTGTAGTCTGACCCAGAGTTGGGTTTTCTTGCGTGGTACGACTCACGGTCCGGGAGGGTGGAAGTCCCTGCTTCCCCGACGATGACGGGGTAGAGTCTTTTAAGCTTCTAGTCTCCGATTGCACAACATCGGGGTTCTCTGGTGGCTCGGGAGGCGATTCTACCCTCCTTCTCTTTGGAGGCGGAGATGATATGTCGCCAGCGCTGAAGGGGTCATATTCTTTCGCAGAGTTGAGCAGGGGGTCTGCCTCAGGACTAGATATTCGCCAGCTGTGTGCGAAGATACAGGTCTGTAAGCTGCAGTCATCCTGTCGAGGACATGCAACATTGCGAAAAAGGCCAAGAGAGGAGAACATATTGGAAAGATAGGATGAGGATACCGGACTGATAAAGGAGAAGTGGATAATGATGTTGGTGGTGATGTTCTCGATGTTGTTGAATCCTGGTTGGCGTTGAAGTCAAAGTCCAGTTGGGGGCTGAGGAGCCTGGGCGGTGACCAACAAAAACACCACGATTGGAGGGTCGTTTGTAGCCCCAGCGCGGCGGGCAAACCCATGTCAAGAACCCTAAGTGGGATAGCCTGGCGAGGAAAGGATTCTGTGGTTCTATGCGTGGTATTCACTCTTGTTACCCAGAGGTATACCTATTCGTCAACTATAAAAGTATTTACTCTACCTTTAGACACAGTGGTGTCCCCATCCTTGTTAACAACATTAGCCATATCTGATCTGGCGGCCACCTGGTCGCGCCTCAGAAACAATGTCTATTCTGCGTCAGACTGTCCCACTTATTTCTGAAGAAGGTTTGTCCCCAGCTATGCCGGTTGGGAACACTCTCGGTCGAAGAAAGCTGGTAGACCGTGCATCTGGTGTTTTGCCATGCTGTTCGGGGAATCGTGCGGACAGTAAAACTTGATCCGGCGTCTTGGGGTTGGAGTTTATGCAGGCTTGGTCAACGAGCAGATCGAAACTTTGTTCGCTATCAGGTAATCCCAAGCCTTGCAGTTGGTGCCATGGGTGATAAGCCCTGCTCCATTTCCGAAGCAAGGACTCCTCGGGCGTGGGAGAGCCTCCTTATCGCCTGTACGAGAATGGCTGAGATAACGCCCACGGGGGAGCAGAAGAAAGTAGACGGGGGTTTCGAGGGTTCCAGGTGACGTGTGGGAGAAGCTGCTCAACAGTCATAAGGCCAAGAAGAAGCCTTCGTAAGAAGAAGGGTGTTGTTCAATCTCATCCACCTTCCAAGTGCTATAGAACGCAGCTACTCTTTCCAAGGGAATCCCCCAACAACACTCAATTTGTTTTGTCCAGTCGCGCCCCGTGTGATCGACAAGTATACCGGGTGTGGCGAATTTGGGCTGTCAGCCTCGCTGGGATTGTCCCAACACGTTTTGTTGTGTGGTCTGTGCAACGATTCAGGCTGCTGAGGGAGTCTGGTGTCAATCGTCGACTTCGACCGTCACTTGTGAGAGGACTGGCTGGGCACTGACAAGCCGATGAGGTCAAAGCTGCGTCAGTGACACAGGTGCAGAATCGATCAAAACTCGGCCAGGCGAGCCAGGATAACATTCCCGGCGGGTTGGAGGGTCGTTAGGATCGGATAAGCAAGTGGGAAGGAAGGTGGTGCCCCCATTCCACAAGTACCGGGGTGCCCAAAGGAATCCCCTAGTTGACTGACTTACTTTAGTGTGGCCTGCAGGCGAGCGAAACCCGTCGCTGGCAACCAGGCAGCAGCTTCTACGAGTCAGAGTGGGTCTTGGCAGCAGACCAGCTCATCCCTGACACGTACGAGGTACAAAAGTCATGTTGGTGCCATCATTACCCTTCGACCTTCGCAGCATCGACAGCCAGATCCTCTTCTCCAACTGGGAGATGGCTCCCACCCTGAGGAAATCGTCAGGTCAGTCCACTCCCCAGAAGGCCCAGCACCTCGTGGTCCTCGTCCACGGCCTCTGGGGAAATCCCGGCCATCTCAACTACATCGCGGACGCTCTTCGGGAACGTTACAGCGGGGAGGAGCTCATTGTCCTGGCCTGCCGCAGAAATCTAGGCAGCCTTACCTACGACGGCGTGAATGTGGGTGGAGAAAGGGTTGCTAAAGAAATTGAAACCGCTGTGGAAGAACTAGAGCGCGATGGACACAGAATTACTCGTTTTTCAATCATCGGATACTCTCTTGGAGGTCTCGTTGCTCGCTACGCCATTGGACTGCTCTACCACAAGGGCTATTTTGAGAAGATGACCCCGGTCAATTTTACAACTTTTGTCACACCTCATCTCGGTGTGCGCACTCCCTTGACTGGATATCAGGTGGGCAGAATCCCCTAGGAGACGCAGCTCTGTGTCTAACTCGGGTGCATCAGAATCATCTCTGGAATGTAGGAGGCGCCAGACTCCTCTCGCGATCGGGCCGACAATTATTCCTGATTGATACCTTTGGCCGTACTGGCAGGCCACTCCTGAGCGTCCTCGCAGACCCAGACAGCATTTTCATCCATGCGCTTGCTCGATTTCAGCATCGCACACTGTACACCAACATTGTCAATGATCGGTCCGCCGTGTATTACACGACCGGAATCTCAAGGCATGATCCATTTGTCGACTTGACAAAGGTCAACCTACATTATGTCAAAGGCTACGAACCCGTGATACTGGACCCCGATCATCCATGCGATCTGATACCTCAGGACGAGGTGCCGTCCTTTTATCAGAGATTTTGCATGCATAGCCACCACTATCTGCGTCGCGCGCCAATATTGCTTGCGTTGGTGGTCCTTCTCCCTGTCGTCTTCGTGGCGTTTGTGGTGAATTCAGGCATCCAGACACTGCGCAGCCGGCGGAGAATCATGCTTCATGAGGCCGATCATCACGGTGAAGGGTTCGGACTGTATAGAATCCCTTGGATGGTCCAGGATATGCGTGTTGGTCTCGAGGATGCTTTCGAGAACGTGAATGCTTCTCAAGAACAAGAGTATCTACCAGAGGGCTCGGAGGAGATAGCAGATGCAATAGTAGAGGATCCTGTTTCGTCTACCATGGCCTTTGCGAAGACCTCGTCTGAATCATTGCTGTCTGAGAAATCAGACAACGATGAGCCATTCCCCTCTGAAAGGCCGTCCAGTTTCCCGACCTTAGCACTGACCACGGCCCAATTTGCCATGATCAAGGCGCTGGATGATGTGGGATTCCGCAAGTTTCCTGTTTACATCCACAAAAGCACCCACAGCCATGCAGCGATCATTGTGCGTGTCTCGAAACCTGCATTTGAAGAGGGCAAACTGGTGGTCAAGCACTGGTTAGACAACGAGTTCCACATCTAGTATCGTACCAATCGCCGAAACCAACAATTTATTTGGCCTTGACGACACTCCCGAACACTTTTATTCGGCCTCTCTCTCTCTCTCTCGTGTCTTACCTTCATTCTCATGATGTCCATCGACGCTCGAATTCGGGATATCCTCGAAACAGCCTCAAACTACGCGGCTGGAGGGATGCATATGAAGCTACGACATATTGAGCTCTTCTTAGAAGGGGACGAACCAACGATTGCCAATGTCCTTGCCAATGTCACCATCAAATACGAGAAGGGAAACAACAGTCGACAGAACATCGTTACCGCAAGGTGAAATCGTTCAACGACCCCGAGTTCAACACCATCGACCTTGTCCTACAGTGGGTTGCCCATTGTCTCAGACATGGATTATTTGCCAGTGGTGGTACGTTAGAAGAGGTCCTCACCGCAGCTAAGAGGAGACTCGATCGGCGGCTACTCTCTAAAGATGGTATTCTCCCGTTCTGCCCGCAGATTTCAAAGAGAATGCTCGACCTTCAGAAGGCGGCTAGTACACAGCAAGCACGCAAACAATCGAGACAATGGGCTATCAAGCTGGATATCTTACTCGTCTTCACACATGATGTCCGGCGCGGCACTTCCAAAGACCTTGCAAAGCTCCCCAGAGGTGTCATGAAAACTCACAATTCCGGCGTTGCTCGAGCTATGGGACACAATAACAAATCGATGAGCAAATTCTACAACGGGGACGAAGATGAGGCGTTAAATATTTACAAGGCTGGAAATGAGGTGACTGAGATCGATACAAGGATCCTACAAGCGCCAGTTGGGTATAAGCGGCCAAACCAATTGGAGGTGCGCAAGTTGATCGACGACTACATCATTGCCAATCCTGGCAAACTTCCAGGCAACCAAAACGACGCTCAGCTCTTTATCGAGCCGGTACCACAGAAAGATCATCCCCGCAGTAAGGAATACAAGAGAGTTCGTCTGTTATTAGTCAACATCTTCACCAAGAGCTTCGAGACCAGTGGACAGAACGACAGAAAGCGGGAATTGCTGCAACTTCGGCTCCTCACATAGTCGAACCAGATCCATTTGCTGATGCGCTTGCCGCTACGGTCCAAGAGAAAGCTCGTCTTACCGGTGGTGCCCTCAACCCTGAGAACTCCATCGCCCACCTCGTGGACCAGCAACAGCACCGGCAAATGCAAACACCCCAAGCAGTACATACCATCGACACCTCTCTCCAAAGCCTTGACCCAAGACTTTTTGACCCGACACCGCTTGACCCGAGACTCCTTGACCCGGGCCTCGATATCCCCAGCGCCTCTTCTGATCTCCTTACGGGGCGACAAACCGAGTGGCTTGAAGGCAATCTAATAGCGACAGACGAAGACGAGGACGAGGACGAAATCATATCAAATACCGACACTAACACCGACGGTATACCTGATCCTATAGACGCCCCACAACAGTTTCAGCGGCCGGACGATGAGAACGCCGGCCATACCCTTCATCTTCCGCCTCCAGACTTCGATACTTCAGCAAGTACAATCTTGTCTTGCTTCCTGGCAGGGATGTTATCGTGGAAGGCAATGTCCCAGCCGGCAACACTCGAGACAAACCGGCCCCGGTCCGACTCACTTGTCCAGATTGTCCAGGTAAATCGTTCAAGAATATCGTCATCCTTCGTGGTCATCGCAAGAGACGTATAGCCACCAGAACCGAGGAGGCCAAAAGAAGAATCGGAGCCCAAGGTGGTGCAGCTAATTCACCCCCGCAAAAGAAGAGAAGGACAGCCAGCTTCCATTGCCCTCAGGCCTCTGGAAGAAAACCAAAATAGCACAGTCTGACAGAGAATAGACGCTATCTCAGAATATTGCCAGTCACTCCATAGCGACGAGAGACCCGCCAGCTCAGAGATAGCCAATATTGCTAATACGGGTTAGGATGCCACTATGCCTAAGGACAGAATAAATTCCCTTTTCAATGATGGTTACCTTTGAGTCAATAGTGAATCACTTCTCTGTACCATTTCTCGTCAGACTGTGCACTTACTTTTGACATCGAAAAGGTCGCTGTCCTTACCCTCTCCACGCCATCATCCTAAACATCTACCACGATCACTAGATTCGTAGTCAGACACTGGTTGGACATCGAGTTCCACATCTAGATATTGTTCAGCGTTGTCCCGTGTCGCTTCTGACGCCGACCATGGGAACCTAGATGCATGTGTTGTTGGGTGATGTCCCAGAGCAGTTAACATCATGTCCAGCGTTAATCTCGTCACTCGGCTTGTTTTTCTTGCGTCCTGGGGCGATCTCGAGGAGGAGCAGAGTGGGTATAGCGCGAACCACTGTCTTCTTTGGTAGGCCTTGGGTGGTCCGCCTGTATGCAAGACCCCCAATCCATCCGCACCTGGTTCGGCTTGTTGTACTCTCAAACAGTGTCCCGCGTAGCCGTCGTCATCAGGATTGTGCAATCGAAAGCAAGCAGGATGCCAGCAAGTCCCACACGTAGGACACGCAGGATCAGAGTCTCGATGGGGATAATGCGGCCCTTTATCTGAGGGTCTCTTCCCACGGCACCTGTAAGTGTGGACGTATCAGCACGGCACATGTGAATGCAACAATGTACCTCCGTACCTCAAGGCTCCGACGCGGATGAGGCTCCCGAGTCAGCGCAACCACGAACGAATGAGAAGGGCCACTCGTAAGGTTTCCGAGGCGGGTACTCCTGACTAGGGAACCCGGGTCATTAGTTGTTTGGGTGAAAATGGAGCATCGATGACAGCAGTGGCGTTGCATGATCGTCAGCTCTCAGAAAACGAAGGCCGAGCAAATGTGAGAGAGAAGGCTGAAAACTGGAGACGGCCAGCGACCGATTCGTTAGTCGAGCCCGTTTGGCGACAAAGACATGTGGACCGCTGCAAAATTTCTGTAACTCGACGCCTCGGCGATCTCCAACCACGGGCTGCTGGTACATGTTGTCCCCTACTCCAGTGGTTGTATCACAGTCCGTCATGGATGATGCCCCAGCGCAACCAGGGTCTCTGCGAAGATTTAATGCACCGTTGCCAGAAGAATCCGTCTCTATTCGCCCAACCCTCGCTCGGCGACGTCATGGCCATCCCCATCCTCACCATCGTCTCTGCGCTGTGGCCATGGACCTGCCGAGCACTGCTCCATTCCTTCACCGAGGGATGGCCTTGCTCAGTTTTCGTGATATCCACTGTTTGGGTTTCAAGTGTCTGATATCTTCCACTTTTCCTCCACGTGTGTCTCCGATTTGCCTCGAGGGCTTTCGTACTGAGGGTGGCCGTGCCGTCTCGAGGGCTGATATATAAACCCGCCCAAAGCCCCCGGATCCCGTCATGGTCCTGCAACCGACTCCGTATTCCCCAAGCCAGCCATAAGTGACGATTCGGTGCATCTTGATTAATCACGAAGGCGACCGTTTTGGTGATCATACTACCTTGAGACGGAGAGAAGATATCAAACAGGCTGCCCATCATGTCGACCGACGGGGCCCCCCCAGATGTGGACAACGGCACACTGTATCCCACCTCCAGCAAGGCATCCCAGCGAACTATGCGCAGATTGTCCAGCCAAAGCGCCCAACGGGCAGATCTATTTGGAGGACCTACCGTTGTTGCTCCCCCACAACATATGGACGTCCACAGCCATGCCAACGAAACTGCCCGCGCCATGGAAATGGCGAAGCATCACTTGGCCGAATCATCCCCAACAATCACACCACCTGATTCAGGGCCTGCTACCCCTGATGACAGCGGCCTGAGCACGACCGACAAGTATGCTTTCGCTTTTGATATCGACGGAGTCCTCATCAAAGGTGGCAAGGTGATCCCCGAGGCCGTGGAAGCCATGAAAGTCCTCAATGGCCAAAATGAATATGGTATCAAGATGTACGTGTCTCCGCCATCTTATCTTACATGGGTTCAAGCATGCTAACCCTTTCCAACAGCCCTTACATCTTCGTCACAAACGGTGGCGGGAAGACCGAAGAGGAACGATGCATCCAGCTCAGCAATCAACTCCAAATGGAAGTGTCCCCCGGCCAATTCATCTGTGGACACACGCCGATGAGGGAAATGGCCGAGAAGTATCACACGGTCCTTGTCGTTGGCGGCGAAGGCGAAAAGTGTCGCGACGTGGCCAAGGGCTACGGCTTCAAGGACGTCATCACCCCGGGAGACATTATCAAAGACAACGCAGACACCACGCCCTTCAGAAAACTGACGGATGAGGAACACCGAAACTCCAACGTTCGAAACTATGGGGAAATCGAGATCGAGGCCGTCTTCGTGTTCGCCGATAGCAGAGACTGGGCTGGGGACTCGCAGATCATCCTCGACCTGTGCATGAGCAAGAATGGCCGCCTGGGCACCAGGTCCGAAACCTTCGATGAAGGTCCGCCGGTTTTTTTCTCCCACAACGACGTGGTCTGGGCGACCTCTCACGCCTACTCGCGCATCGGCATGGGAGCATTACGCGCGTCCCTCGAAGCCATGTTCAAAGCAATCACCGGCAAGGAGCTGAAGACCATCGCCTTCGGCAAGCCGCAAGTGGGCACGTTCCAGTTCGCCACCAGGCTGCTCCGGCAATGGCGGAAAGATACCCACGGCATCGATCGACCTCCGGAGACGGTCTACTTTGTTGGCGACACCCCAGAATCGGACATTCGAGGCACCAACGAATTCGACGAATCACGCGAATCCGAGGCGACGTGGTACTCCATCCTGGTCCGCACCGGGGTCTTTAGAGAAGGCACGCGGCCCAGGTACATGCCCAAGATGACGGTGGACAATGTGCTGGAAGCAGTCAAGCATGGCATGAACAGGGAATTCGACAAGGCGATCAAAGATCTGACGATAGGGGGTGCGGCACCTCAGCTCGCTAACGCCATTGTTGAAGACGACTATGAACGGTAGAAGCCACCACTGTCATCCCGACCACTACGACCGCGCGGTGCCGCCACGGGGTTTCTTGTTATGAACCGACAATCTTCAGTTTTCAAACTCAATATTATACCCTACGAGATGTTGTGCAGGAAGGATTTGGCGTTGGCCAAGGCGGCGTTGGCGTTTGCTTTCCGTCTACTCGTACTATCATGTAGGGTCCGGCCCTTTTGAGGCCACCCAAGAATGGATGACCTTTTTCACGATCAACCGCTCGTCCTCCAGACTGTTCTGTAACTAGTGGTTCGCTGTTGGGGGCCATCGGCTAAGATTGGGGGCCGTCCGAGTGCGCGAGAGGAATTTCTAGAGGGAGACAAAAACCCTCACGGCCAACGAAGATCATCTTTGATCTATTGGTGGCCATGTTTACTTTGCCATCAACGACCGCCGGTTAGACATCTGCGCCAACGAATTCTTGGACTCGGTTCGCCAGGAACTGAGTCCGCGAAGTCAGGTTTAGGAAATGGGTCGACCGGCCGGGGACGAGAAGATCCGTTTCCTTCGTCCTTCGCTTGTAGCCGCGGTTAAATATAGGTAGGCGTCGATAGTCAAGCAACGCAGACAGGAGGCTTTGATGCACCTTGCAGATCAGTGCGGTGGCACGTAACTCCGGAGAGATCTATCAGATGACAAGGCGATAGAGACTCTGGTGCAGTATGCTCGACAGCTTCGCTAGGCATCAAGCTAATGTGCGGTGCTCGTCCCAAGGCAGCAAGTGAACCAGTGTCAACAATGAGCACTAGACTCACAAATGACAAGGTAAGCGAATGTCTGAGAAGCAAGCACAGGAAATAAGCAATCGATGTCTTGGGGGCGTTGCTGGCTGAGGGTGGGTGATTAGCAAGGACATGGACGAGGGGGTCTAAATAGGGAATGCATCTGCCTATGGCTTGCAGGATTAAGGAGAGAGTGGCTTTGGGTAGCTACCTAACTCACCTGCCACCTGCTGCTAGGGGGCCATCGCTGACTACTCTGTGTCCCTACGAGGAGCTGGTGCAAGCACTGGGCACCCCGGCACCTAACAAATAACACGTCGCACCGACCACCCACCCGTCATTAGACACCAGCTAGACCACCCGCAGAAACCCACCCGAACCTGCTGTTGCCCAAACTCTACTCAGCTGCGACCTGTGTGGTCTTGGAACCACAGTCGCCAGCCCAGTCTACCAACACATCCCAAACACTTTCTCGATCTTACACAAGAATTGCACCCCCTCCCCATCTCATCACCCCTGGCAGCCCGTCAGGTCCGTAGAGTCGCGTTTCATTCTACCTTCTCATTACTGTCACTTTCACCTTTTCCCAGCATCCTTCCTCTGCCATCATTCGGAAACCCGCAGTCAGACTGACTGCCTGCTCGGTTGCCCAGAAACTCTCTTGATCGGCGTCGGCGCCCTTGCTGCGCGCTTGGCCAGCCATTCGCTTCAGCTGATCGTCCTCACAATCCAACCTTTGAGAACATTAAGAAAAGAAGGCATTTCCTCTCCAGATATTTCTACTCATCACTCTGCTCCGTCTTTGTCAGGGTCACCTCTCCATTGCCTGCTGCGGCTGGCCAAACAACGCGTCAAGACGACCGACTGCGTCGATTGAAGGAGAGTCGCGCACTGTGCGATATTGTGTGATATCAACTGCAATCATTCACCAACAACTAAAAAGCACCTCAGGCATCATAGGCAACCGGTCTCCCTCCTCCCAAACCGTGTGGCGAAGAGCGCACCTGCGCCTGTAGCCGCATTATGGCAACGGGAGGCGCAGGCACTCCGAGCCCTCCACGACCCTTTGCCCAAAAGCCACCCCGTGGTGGTGGTGGTGCTCCGGCGCCTGCACCTGCACCGTTGACCACCGCATCTCCTCCCTCAAAACGAGAACTAGCATCATGGTGGAAAAAGTTCAGGAAGACGACAGAGAAGGCGGATGAGAAGGGTAAGAGAGCCAAAACAGTCATGTATTTCCAGGAGAGGCTGCTGTTCAGGCAGCCGGCCTCTCCCCAGGTGGTTTGTCAACCGTTCCCGGCTTGTCAGCTAACTCCTCTATCAGTTGAAGCTCCCACTGGCATCTTCGGCGTTCCTCTGGCCGAGAGCATCAGATACGCAAATGTCGCCATCTCCTTGCAAAACGAATACGGTGAGAGTTTTATCTATGGCTACGTTCCGATCGTGGTTGCGAAATGTGGAGTTTTTCTCAAAGAGAAAGGTACGGACTTGCTTCTGGAAAAACGCTGTACGAGCAACTGACAGGTTCTCAGCCACCGATGTTGAGGGCATCTTCCGACTGAGCGGGTCCGCGAAACGAATTAAAGATTTGCAGACCATTTTCAACTCGCCTGACAGGTACGGAAAGGGGCTAGATTGGACTGGCTATACTGTTCACGACGCGGCCAACATCCTTCGCCGCTACCTCAATCAGCTCCCGGAGCCCATTGTTCCTCTCGATTTCTACGAACGATTCCGCGAACCACTTCGCCAAATCCAGGTCCCCACAGGACCCGACGGGGAAATGCAGTCTCGCGATATGAGCGTCAATGAACACAGTGCCGCCGTCACTGCGTACCAAAAGCTCATCACGGAGCTACCGCCTTTGAACCGCCAGTTGCTCCTCTACATACTCGACCTGCTGGCGGTTTTTGCGTCCAAGTCGGACCTCAACCGCATGACTGCTGCCAATCTCGCCGCTATCTTTCAGCCGGGCATAATCTCTCATCCTTCGCACGACATGTCGCCGGGAGAATACCGACTCAGTCAAGAGGTCCTGATCTTCCTCATTGAAAATCAGGATAATTTCCTCATCGGAATGTCAGGCACCGCCGTCGACGAGAAGACTCAGAAGGATGTTGAGAGCGGTGCACCATCTCTACGATCTCCCAAGGCTGTAGGGCGGTCTGCATCCAATGCCAGTGCTGGGGCAGAGAGTCTCCGAAAATATGGTGTCCGGCGTAATGTTTCCGTCTCATCACGAGGTTCCAGGGAGCGAGGAAGTCCTGGAGTTTCGAGCCCAGGTACTCCATCAGGAGTCACTTCTTTCGCCGCAGGTGCGGGAATAGCACGGAGCAATACTGTCCCGTCGAAGCGATCTCCAGCTATCACCTCGAATCGCTTTCAGAGGTCTAACGACAACACAGATTCGACAATTCAATCAGTGGGACCGCATGCCGCGCATCCCGTCGTTTCAGCCTTGAACCAGGAAACTACAGCTGAGTCGAAGTCCTCCAGATCTGGGTCTATCCAACCAGACGATGCTGACGGCAGAGGAACGTTGGTTCCTGCACAAGCCGCCCAGGCACCCGGTCAGTCTCCGCAACAACTAACCCAACCTCCATCAGCAGCACAGAGCGTTCCAACCCAAGACCAGACCGGCCAGGTCCCGGTCACGGCGGCGGCTGCGGCTGTGGCTGCGGCTCCACCGCCCACCACCACCCGAGAACGAAAGATATCTAATCTCTTCCCCAAGTCACCGATATTTGGCCCATCAGATCCCAACGGGAGGCAACCGAGAAAGTTACAAAAGAAGCCAAAGCTGCCCGGGAGTACCAACGACAGTGCACAGAGCTCGCTGAACTCACTCCATGGTGACGAGGCCGGCACCTTCCACACGCCTCTTGTCTCCCCGGATATCAATAGCGCTGGGCGACACGATCCATTGACTGCTGCTCACGGTCCCGCTCTCACGAACACTGCCGCAACACCTGTCAACGAAACACCAAGCTCGAAGCAATTCTCGACGCCACCGACTGGAAACAACGCGCAGAACCATACGGCCGGGCTAAAACCGCGTTCGTCGCCACCAGGGTCGACACACTCCCGCTCTTCTTTTACGGATCCGTCGGACCCCGACGTTGTCGACGACGGGCTGCCACAACCCGAGAAGGAAAAGCGTCGTCATCGATGGCGATTCTCCTCTGCGGCAAAGAAAGGGGAACAGTCGCCGCTTGCACCACCGCCACCCGTTGGCCAGAATGCCGGGGCAAGGGGAAGCAACAGTTCAATCGGAAGTTCTAATCGGCCCAGGAAGAGCTTTACCGGGGATTCTCAACTGACGCAATCTTCGTATATCGATCCGAGCGGGAGTGGACAGCAGCCCCTCGTTGGTCCCTCAAGCCACGAATCAAATGATGTGCAGAAGGATCCCAATGCAGAGACAGAGAAGAAGGGCTTGTTTGGTAAATGGAAAGCCAAGATGTCCCAGAACCGAGACGAAAGGCTGGCCGAGAAGGACCGGGCCAAGAGTCCTCCTCGAAATGAGCAAGGTTCCTCTCGGAGCAGCCTGGCGGCTTTCGCCCAGGAGCACTTGGCACCTCGAGGAAGATCATTTGACCGGCCCCGTGATGAGGCTCTGTCGAGTGTGGCCGCAAGACCTGTTGCCGAGGGGCAAGCTCAAGGAAGGAAAGTCTCAATGGATCCAGGACGGGCAGAAAGGCTCCCGGGTGCATAACGGGTTTGAGTGGGCTATCACGCAACTATTGTTTTGGAATAGATATGGATGGTCTGTCATGGTATGGTGTGGAGCCGGGCCAGCACAGGTTTGATTGTTTCAAGAGTACTTCACTTGGATACCTGGGCTGCGACAAAGGCAAAGTTACCACATTACCTTGGATAAGACGGCACAAGCGAAAACAGCGCGAAGGCGGAGGAGAAAAAGCAGGGTTATGATTAGGGACAGGGATGGGGTGTACATTGGATAATAAAATGGATCGGAAATATCATGATACGGCGCTATTGGCCATACCGGAGGCGTCGACGTCGTCGTCATTGACCTGCTCCCACTCTTTTGCCGACATGTTCATCGACAAACAACGACTACGCCAGTGGTGGCTTGAATGCAACAGTGCACTGTTACCGTTCGTGCGTGAACTTTCAGCGGTTGACGACTTTCGCTCCAATGCTTTCAATCTAGACACTCCTTTGCCTGATTCTGCCAAAAAGGGAGAAGGCAACGACGGTCGTTACTATTTGCAGTATAGCTCACTTATACTCGTACGCATTTGCTCACAACGCTGCCAACGTAGTTTAGTCGCTCTCAGTTTTGGGCATTGGATGAGCTGGGCGTTTCTTGGCCCGACCGCAGACGGCAATAGACCTTGGATTGCGAGTCTTGAAGAACTTGCAAGTTTAGGCTTGTCTCGCCTGCGGAGTAATAGTACAGGTGACGCCTTACGAGTCTAGTTAGTTGTCTCTAATAGCGGATTCATGTCACGTGCAGTGGCAGAATTCCCGCCTTGTCTTCCCGCCGCCCAATAATAATAGTAATGATGGACGACAAACCTCCTCGGGTCTTGGACTGCTGATTCGGGGTCCCCGCAAATTTCCAAGGGAGGTCGAAAAACGTCCCAACTTCACCAACGAGCAGCTTTCTCTGCTGTCGTTCTTCGGCGTGCTCACCCCCTCTCGCCCTTGCACGAGTTATCGTCGACACAAACTCTTGGACGATCCAGCCGGCCGGAGTCCGGCGGGCCGTAAAGAGGAGGGCAGAAATTCAAAAGAACAAAGCTACATTTATACGCTCGGTCGAGCCGCTCGATCGGGTCAGAGATGGCCAGCAAAGCTCGCGCGTTGCAGCGGGCGTGCCGGCTCCATCTGCGCAGGGCAAATGGCGGGAGCATCGCCTTTCCCACCTCCGCAACGGCGGCGGGCTTCTGGGACTTTTCACCACGCGCCTCCTGCTCCTCCTCCTCCTCCTGTCTCGTCCCTGAGAGGCGGTATATGTGCCTGAGCGCAGCTTCTGTTCGACCCGCGTCCTCTCCGTCGTCGTCTTCCTCCCTCCTGGACCTTTCCGGTCATCGCACCCTGCTGCCGCCGGCGCGGCGACCGCAATCGCATTCGCGCCATGCGAGCACGAGCACGAGCTCGAGCTCCTCCGGTCGGCGCGCCGTCACCGTCACCACGGACGATGGCCGGTATGGTTGGAACGAGCTGAGCGCGGGCGAGAAGGCCGCGCGGGGGACTCAGCAGACGTTCAATTTCTTGCTTGTCTCGCTGGGTCTTGTCGGCACAGTGAGTTGACACGACACGACACGACACGACACCTCTTCCTCCCTCCATCCTCCATCCCTCCCTCCCTCCCTCCTTCGCTCCCAACTTATCCCCTCCTTTCCTATTCCAACACATAACTGACTCCGAGACCCCCAAACACAGATCACAATCGCCTACCTCCTCTACACGGACCTCTTCGCCCCGACCTCGTACACGGTGCAATTCAACGCGGCGGTGTCGCGCATCAAGGCCTCGCCCGAGTGCCGCGCCCTGCTCGGCCCGGCGTCCCAGATCACGGCCTACGGCGAGCCCACCTCCAACAAGTGGGCGCGCGCCCGCCCGCTCGCCCACGCCACCGAGGTCGACCGCCTCGGCACCACGCACTTCCGCATGCACTTCAACGTCGCGGGCGCCGAGAGCGGCGTGATGGGCGTGGTCGCCGTGCACATGACCCGGCCCCGCGATGGCGACCGGCTCGAGTACGAGCTGCTGAGTCTGACCGTCAAGGGCCACGAGACCGTCTATCTGGAAAACAAAGGTGCGGACAAGGGACTCAAGGGGAAGGCCGCAAAGATGTTCGGTGTGCAGTGGCGGTAACGATCAAGGGGGAGATGTGGCTGGAAAAATGCACCATGGCAGATATTAACATTTTGGACATACGCAGTGTATATTTAAAATGGTGGAAGAGTCCACGTGAATGGTCCACAAAAAGCATATCAATTCCTCCCATGGCTCGTGGATCTGGCTGCAGCCACAAGATCGGTGCTCAGTACAGTCTGAGGGATGGGCTTCGGATCGCCCCCATGAGATCTAGCCAGGAAGGTCCTACCATGGCCTTCCGTCTGATTCGCAGCATCAAGGTTGGTCACAACCGTCGTGCTGTATATCCAAACCAAACCGCTGCCACAAGCTTTACGCAGGCACTTCCTCACGCTTGAGAACCTGGATCCTTCCACTTCCCACAGCTGTCGCTACGGCTGGCGTCGGTGACGTTTCTTCAAGTCCATCCCCCTTTTCTTCGGCGGAGATGGGTTGGCGCCTGTGACTTGTAATATCAATCCCCAGCACACCACCGATGTATCCTCCCCTTTCGCCCGGTACACTAAACTCGCGAAAGGTGTAACCCCATTCATTCAGCCAGTTCCTCACCCCTTTCCCCACTTTGTCTTTCCCATTCTTGGAGTGATGGCCTGTGCCCGTGATTGCATAGATGATTCTTCTGCCTCTCTTAGAATGGGTGAGGAGGATGTTCTCAAGATACTCGATGGCTTCTTCGGGGTGCAGGCCGTGGAGGTCAATGTAAAGTTCTTCGTCGTCGTCAACGGGGGATGTAGAGAGATGTTTGTTTCTTTCCTCATAGAGGGCCTTGGCAGCTTCGCGGTGGGCTTTGCGCATCGCATCATTTTCGGCCTGGCCCCGGAGAGAGAGGGCTTTCGCAGCCCGGGCGTCATTCCGGTTCCATGCTTGTGCCGCGCTTTGGGCTCTCTCAGCATTGTTCATGAAAATCATGGGAGTGCGTCGCGGGGAACTTACCTTTGCAGGAATTTGTTTCGTATACTTCCGTGCTTGATCGCCTCCTGCCTGTATTTCAAATACTGCTGATTGGCACGAGCGCCAGTCTCAAGCCACGGGATATGCTGAGGTTCGGGAATCTTCCGTGCCGCCGCACTCTCGGAGCCTCCATACGTTCTGATCTTGCGTCCTGTGTCGCCTTTGCGCTGCTGACCAGTGACCGGGGACGGAGACATGCGAACAACCTCTGCAAGCGAGGAGGGTGTCTCCTTCTCTGCGCTTGAATGACCGTGTCTCGACCGGTGTCCATGATGCTTGGATCCCCGTTTTGCGGAGCCTAGACTTGGAAACGCTTCAGGGTCGTCCATAGACAAAGATGAGGGCGTCTCTGGTCGATTTTGATGACGCGAGTTGGGCCGAGAATGAGCTCGGGGCCCAGCGCCCAAACTACCCAAAGCACCGCGATTCTTTTGATTGGCAGGAACGAAGGTGTTTCCAGCGGCCAGACCGGCTTGAAGGGTGCTCCTGATGTTCTGGTTGGTAAGCGAGGGAAATTGTTCGTAATGATCCTGAAGTTGAAATGGCTGTGGAGCAACAGGGCCTTCGCCAACAGTGAGATGATTGATGAGAAGCGCGGGATCGTGCGAGAACTGGCACGCATCGCCGGCGAGACAATTCCCATTCATCCAGTATCTAGAGCAATTATCAGTATAACAGACGGCATAGAAAGAGCGGGAAATAGCCTCACTTGCACAGATAGCCGCTAGTGTCGTGGGCAAAACGACAGTCAGCACGAAGGCAGGAGCCTGATGTAAGCCAGTATTTGCAGACGATGGGATTCTTTTGCGGGCCAGGGGTGGAAGGTCGGGCATGGTTGACTGCCATGGATTTGCCGACCAGCACGTTGTTCTCGGTCGACGGAACTCCCGTATATTGTGCGTCGGCAGTGTCTGTTCCAAGCAAGGACGCGATGGTAGCGCCCAAGTCGTACGAGTTCTTGTTTAGTGCTTCCTCGATTTCTTCATCCGTCTTTCGGTCGCCCAGGACGGAACGCAAGATGTCGTAGGGACTCATATCTGGTTGAGGAACCCATTCTGGTGCAGCAGCGCTCAAGCCCCCGGTAGCGGTGGAGGAAGCGTTACTGGTAGTCTCGTCGGCCAACAGCCAGTCAACGTTCTCGTGTCCATAGTCGCCGTACGTATCCGGTGCCGGACTCGCGTCGGAAAATTCGTAAGCATTCAGGCTAGGGCTGTGAGGAATAGGTTGCGCCAGAGCAAGGCGTGGTGAAGGCCGGGGAGATACAAAAGGAGACGGGATATTGGATTTCTGGCGGGAGAAGCTGGGCCGCGAGGCTGGAAATCCTGCCGAGAGCGCGGGGCTCGAGGAGAGCGGAGGAGGCGATCCTAAGGGCGTAGGAGCACGATTGGCCTGCCAGGGAGCGGGAGATGACTTGCGAATGACATGATGTCGCAAGGGGGTCTCGGAAGTCTCTCCTCGTTGAGCATTTCGATGTTTCCACAGGGCATCAAGGACGGCATTTTCCAAGGCTGCTCCCTTGAGACCAGGCACTTTGCCCAACAACTCTTCCAGACGCTCTGTCTTATCCTCCTCTTCTATGGTCGGATCGTCGAGAATAGGACGACAAAGATCGTATTGTTCGTCAGAAATCATTTCGGTCGTGATCGTAGTCTAACTGTATGTTGTAGTACGGTAGGAACGGGGAATTTAGCGGGTCCGGCTGATGCTCGACATGAACACGCAAAAGCGCGCATGCGAATCTGAATGCTGAGGCGTAGACGAGGAATATCTGAGGTGATTTTACCGATTGCTTCAGGGTATATGAGACATGCTTCTGTGAACAAGCACTGGAGAGCCCAAGAGCATTGGCTGCGGGGACCGGACTGCGGTTGCCTCAGCTGTGGTACTCGTCAAGAACAGCCGACACGTTCACCGAATGGTCAAACATAGACAAGTTCATCTGGCGAGGGCAAAGGCAGTGCGAAGTTCATCGCCAGCTGAAAGTAGACAACGCCGTGGGGTGGAGTCGATCAAGGTCCTCAGCCGCTCCAGGCTGCGCGGGTTCGAAGGCGAAGCAAGGCGATTACCGAGAGTGAGTGAGCGAGGGAGGAACGGAATCGTTGGAAGAGGAAGAGCAAATGCACAGGTATATCCCACGTAGGCAGTACTTTGTAAACAGGTGAGTTTGAGCAACACATGCACCGCAGCTCTAGGGTGCCAGGATAGAGAGGTGGTTAGGTACAAGACCGAGAACAGGGGGGTGGACCGACGATGAGGAGGTCGATGCGTGGGCAGTTACGAGGATCGACTACTCCATCCAGGCTTTGGGTACGTGGTCCACGGTAGTTCGAGGCAGGGCGGGGGGAAGGGCCACTAACTTAGGCTGCCCGCTTCCCACTGCCCTCTTTCCAGGCTTCGGGCCCCCGTGGTGCCAGTCGTTTCAGTGACCAGTAAAAGAGCTTAGACGGGATGTGCCAAATTCCTCGTATCACCAGGGATCTAAGGTACGTACGGAGTACTCGGTACATATCTCTCCCCTCAGCTCGGGCGCCCGCACGAGTCTCCTCCACCAGCAGCCCGCAAGACAGCAGGGGATTGGTGTACTATAAAGTATACGGAGTGCAAGGCTCAGAAGAGCAGCTGAGGAAGACTCGCCTTCCCATCGTCTCCGAAGTAGATTTCCATGGGACAATAGGATAGTGCATTCTGGAACAGGAGATGTTTGTGAAAGATAGCACATTGAATGTGTGAAACAGGGATGTTCTGGGCATCAAAGGGTCCATCGGGCGACGCAGGATCCCGTGTGATTCAAGTTCAAGGCCCAATAGTACCGAAAATCCGTGCAGCAGCCTCCTTTGGCTCGCTGCGATGGCCAGTACCGTAGGTATACACATGCAAAGCCCATATACCGAGGAGCCTGTGTAAGGAAAATATAGCACAGTCTGACGACGAGGTAGCCGCCAGATCAAATAGCTGATATCGTCAATCGAGGATAGGGGTATCACTGTGTATAATGATAGAGTACATGTCCTTGTAAATGACTGGTATCTCGGAGCGAATAAGTCAGAGTGACCACTATTTAGAGAACCGCCAGACTGTGCCATTTGTTCTTGAGATGGGCTGGCCGAGTAATGAAAGGCACAAGCAATAATCCTTGCTCGCTAACAACACCGATGATATATGCAATGATCCACAACCCGGAAGTTGGCGTTGCAGCTTGATCCGAAACTCATCAGCCCGCCAACCTCTCAGGCCGCAGTTTTCATCAACGGCCGTTCCCATCTTCTATGAGTTCCCAGTCTTCCTACAACTCCATCTCCTCCTCGCATACCTCCTAGGTGCTGATTGAAATCCATTCGTCCTGTTGCAAAATGCTCGATGATCACGTCTGTTGAGCTCGCGCCGGCTCCCTATCCTCGTTTGCCTCCTAACTGCCAGCCATTTGCTGGTGCTTACTCTCGATCGCCTCTACGTCCCTAACATCATCATCCTCTGTCCTCCTTCCACATAATGGCTCCAAGTCCTGTATCACTCCCCGATTCCGACGATGAATCTACCCCCGCCGGGCTCCTCAGTCCCTGGAGACCTCCTCGACGATCCATTTCCACTGGCAGAAGTTCTCCGTTCGCTCAAGGTCGATCAACAGCATGGCGGGATGAGCTGATCAATAATGCTGAGAAAATGAGCCGCCGTGCGTTTAGAGTGTGGGGTGGTATGACACTGCTGCAAAAAATTCTCGCCTGCGTCGGTCTGGCGGCGTTGGCCACCCTAGGTGTCCTGTTCCTTGCGTTCAACGAGCGTATCTTCGGCTGGCTCGAACCCCTCGCCGAACGCTGGAAACACACGACCGGGGGCTGGACAATCCTCTGGGCAATCGTCTTTGTCTGTGCATTTCCGCCCGTCATTGGATATTCCACTGCCGGCACCACCGCCGGCTTCGTATATGGCGTCGGCGAGGGCTGGCTTATTCTTGCGTCCGCGACCGTGGCCGGATCTTTCTGCGCTTTCATCGTCTCGAGAAGTATCCTACGGAAGTGGGTAGAGCGCATGATCGCTCACGACAAGAGATTTGCCGCTTTCAGCCTCATTCTGAAGCATGACGGGTTGAAGCTGTTGGCCATGATCCGACTCTGTCCTCTGCCTTATTCCTTATCGAACGGCGCGATGTCCACTTTTCCTACAGTCAGCCCGGCGATGTACGCCCTGGCCACGGCGATGGTCACCCCCAAGCTGTTGGTGCATGTCTTTATTGGAAGTCGCTTGGCCGTCATCGCACGCACGCGGGAGAAGATGACTATGGGAGATCGAGCCATCAACTACGGAAGTATTGCATTGGGTGCCGTAGTGGGTAGCCTTACGGGATTGTACATCTATCGACAGACGATGGCTCGAGCCAAGCAGCTCGAGGCTGACGAGACCAACTCCATTCGAGACGCCGCACGACGAACCGGTCTCCCGCCGCCAGATTTCAGTGACGATCCCGAGGCTCAGGCCGCCGCGGACACAGTTGCTGACGACACGATGGACTACTTTGACGAATCGCCTAATGAGCGACCAAGGTATCATGATGAAACGGACGACGATGAAGATGTCTTTCGAAAAGGCGATGGAGATGATGATGAACCTGTGATTGCCAACATCGGTCTGCATCAGCAAAAGAAATACGAGGGCGCATGAATGGTCGTTTTGACGGATAACAGGCTCTGGGAACAAGTTTGGTAGATTACGATAGACTCGTGGGGAGCCTCAGGGAATGAGCGAAGGTGTATACTCGGTAGACAACGGAGGCCCCAATCTCGCGTGTCTAGGGCGCCGTGTATCAATTTGGCTGTTCGCTGCATCTCCTTCGCTGCTACCAATGCCCCTCTAATCATTCGATGTTACAGACAACCTAGGCTGTGCATGGCTGTCCCGTGGCCATCGATCGCCTGGGCGTCGGATCAGTGGCGTCTGAGGCAAAGGCTCTTGTCCAATCGCATATACGCACTTTCCCAACTCGCCCTTCGCCCAGGGTTCTCATTGGCTTTTGGCACGTGACCACTGGACTCGTATTCCCCAGAACCCGCGTCATGGCGAATCCCCCCAGCATGCCAGGTGAAAGTGAGCGGCGGCCACAAAGCCCTTAACTTTGCTCGATGGCTTCCATCTTGCATCTCCCACACGCTGGCAAGGTCGTCTCTTCATCTTTCTGGACACCGCCTCATCTCTCTCTGTGTGTCCAAGTTGCACCCGACCCACTCGTCTACCTAGAGGACGGGGCGGCCTAAACAGTAGACCGCTTCCATGGAGCCTTCGGCACCAGCCCTGCCTCCACTGAGTCCGTCAAGAAAGGCATCGATTCTCGTCTGTGACTGCATGTTCCGCCTTCATTTGGTCCGCTGATACGGTTGCTACGCCGGTCCGCCTGCTTGGCTACATGATGGGGTCGATTCCTGCAGCCTTGTTGTGCAGAAGAATCCCGACTACATAAGATGACGCCGGAACCCTCTTCCCCCTCTGTCCCTCCGTCGCCACGTTTTGTCGATGGCTACTTTCCTCCCCAACCACCTCCACCGATGGCTGTCGACAACAACACAATCCTCAGGCTGATCCAGCAACTCGAAGTCGACCGGCAAGCCTACCTGTCCACCTTCGAGAGGATCCACGAGACTTTGATACAGGCTCTCCCCCCACAGCCAGCCAGGCCTGTAGCCAGTCCGCGGCAGACCCTGACATCTATTCCATTGGCTTCATCTCCCACTTCTCTACCATCTTCTGAGATTGGCCCACCGGTGGTCGTGTTGAAAAGGCGGCCTAGTCTGAACAGCCACCACTCCAATCCGAGCAGTCACATTCTCGAGCAACACCACCCTCTACGCCAACCAAAGGACTCTATATATACTGGAGACGACAGCTCCGACAGCGAGGACGATGAATCATTCTTTGCGCAGGAGCTATTGCCCCCGAGGGACTTCTCGGAGACTGATTTAATTGAACATCTGAAGACCTACTCGTGGGATATCTACAGCAAATACATTCTACAGGATCTTCTCCGAAACATTGATTTGCTTTCGAATGGCATCTTCCTCAAGGACCGGCATAATCAAACAGATGCCAATCATCAGCATGCAGATATCTACCACGTCGGTGCAGACGGCTCGCCTCTGCGGTTCTCTCGAGGTGATTCAGACGAAGGCCCTCTCGCGGCCTGGGAAGCGTTGAAAAATACCAACAGCGACCAGTCACGAAAGCAAGCCGTGGGACGGATAATCGTTGTCCGAGAGCCCGCATCAAGCCTTTTCGCCGCCTTGCACCTCACTATGAGTGAATACTTCGACATGGACTCTATTTTTCGCATCATGATTGACGATCATACCCCGACCAAAGCTATAACAAAGGGCTACTTGAAGGGGGACCACCGCCGACAACGATCTGTGGTCTTTGTTTTCAAGTACCATACCATCGTGGGGGAAGGGCGAGCCCCTCTTCACTGGCAGAATCATGACGAAGATCCGGAAACCGAGGATGGCCATATCCCACTTACGACTTGTTCTTCCGTTGTTGCCCTCTCCCTCGCTGGCAAGCCCACCTATACTCTCCGACGCAATTCTCGAAAGAACAAATCGGTCATCGGGCATGTTTACGATCCGTTCGCGCCGTGGCACGTCCTCTCCATTCAATGTTTTCCGGACTGGAACTCCAGCGTCGACACGCATGAACACAACCATCATTATTGCAACGGTCCCGATGCTTTCCTCACAGGCGTGCTCTCGGAATACAAAGACGCAATCAAAAGGTTCAAGGTCATACACAAGGCCATCCAAGAACTGGCCACACCACCGAACAAGTCAATCTTCGACAGCGCCCTCCGGGACGAACTTCTCTTCGAAAACAACAAGTTCACCTACTCGCGGCGCTATTTCTGGGCATCGCAGACCCTCGGGCTTCTAAGCAATGAAATCAAGGACATGATTTCGACCTACAGGGACACCTTCACCGATGAATTCTGGTCTGGGGAGCATAAAACGTTGTTTCCGGGCACTAAGGATCAGTCGCCCCGGTACAACAACTGGAGGAAGAAACTGGTCTATACTCGAAGACAATATGAAAAGGAAATCGCTCAACTGGAGGAGGTTTTGCGGATATTTCAAGAACAGCAAAAGCAGATCAAAAACCTGCGGGAGTGGCTCTTCAGTGGGACATCGGTTCTGGAAAGCAGGGAGGCCGTGAGTATGGCGAAGATAACTGTCGAACAAGGCTACAACATCAGGCTATTGACGTTGGTCACCTTGTTCTACTTGCCATTGAGCTACGTCACGGGGATTTATGGGAGTACGTGACCTCTCACTCGCATCTTTTACCGGCGCCTTTGGCGTCCCTCAATCCACATGGCCGCCGTATGAAGTTTGATGCTGACCGTATCACAGTGACGAATATGCCACCAAATGACTCTTTCCTCCCTTTCGCAATGACAACGCTCGGAATCTGCCTACCGACCTACCTTCTGATCGTGGTTGTGAACAATCCCAATGTCGTCAAAAGGCTCCTGGCCAATATCGGCCTCTTCTTCACAAAAGTCACCTCAATTCCGGCTCCGAGGAAGTCCGAGAAACTACGGGAAAAGATTTTAGAAAGCAAGATTTCTCATAAGGGAGAGAAACAAAACACAATACAGAAGGTTGCGACCTTCGCGAGTCTCGAGGCTCGACTGTCCCAAGACTTGAGCCACGAACCTTCATTACGAGGCTCTCATGGATTTGCACACGCCACACGTCGCATGTCTCAGTCGATCGGTAACTACCTGCCGGGGGTGGCAACAAGACAAGCCTCGCAACCCCCGGCTCAAGCACTACCCAGGCTGTCCACCTTCCCGGAGGAACCCAAACATCCTCGGAGATCCAGCACGATCAAATTCGACGAACCTTTCTCCAGCTCGACGAAGTGGGAGGCTGACGCACCGCCGCGGACCACAGTCCGGGACTTTGACAAGTCATTTTCGAATCTCTCAAGTATATCCCCTACAGAGAGTCCGCCTCTACCCGCCGTTGTTGTCAGAACGCCCAATGGATCACCCCTGCTGTCACCCTCGAGGGCAACGCTGAGACCACCTGAATGGCGAAGAGAAAGGAGCCTCAGCCCCAGAAGTGGGCCGAGAGGGAGTAGGTCTCTCTTCGGGAGACTCAGCAGTCGACTTTCGTCCGCACTGCCGTCACCGAGGTCGTCTGAGCCAGGGAGTTCGACGGAAACTGTGTAGAATCGACGGGGACTGGGATGCATTGCCCGGTGGAAACGTCACACTGTATTGCCACGCCGGTCGATCTCGCATGTGTCTGGTGGACGGTGGAAGGGGAACGTGAAGAAAATAGCAACATCAACTGCCAACCTGAACGACCATCACAGTCCGGTAGGTTGAAGGCATGACCGGATATGTTACGAGAATTATGAACGGCGGGCTCCTTCACGAGTAATGAAAACGATCTCATGATAGACACAGGTGATTTCGGGTCGATTATCGCACAGGGAGACGAATGCGAATTCGACGACCCCTCTTAAAAAGAACGGCGTTTCGAGGAATATCTCCTGGCGAGGAGGGCTCGTGTCCAGAGAGAAGGTCGGCTTGGGTTTATGAGATCTACAAAAGCCTCGCGGCATCAGCAGCAGCAGCAGCAGCAGCAAAAAAAGAGGCAGAACTAGCACAGGCAGCCTCGCCTAATCATTCCACGTCTTCACGGTAGGTGCGATATGGGAATCTCATCCCTGATCTCAAGAGAGGGGGGGTTACACAGCTAAAGAAATCATAAAGCAACAAACCGGTTGAGAAGAGGTCCAGGGTGAATGTATGCACAAGCCAATCCTTTGGACCTATCTACTTGCCAAGGGACTACGGGGAATGTGAGCACTGGCGCCTGAAGTATATACAGACGAAAACAAAAGATGCACTGCGGAGACGGGGTGTCGGATCCAATACATGTATGTACATAAGGGGATGCCTGTCCAATGCAGCCCGACGATATCAAGTGCTAGGCCATGTACTCTACACATCTCAGCTTAGTCGATGCCTCCCAACTCATTTTTTGTCTGCCTGTTTACCTGTACCGGTTCCCTTGCGTGCCCCAGTTCGTAGATATTTCCCCCTTCATTGCGCCCCATTAGCGACCGTTCTTCCGTTCCTGGCAGATGCCGCAATGCGCCCAAATCATAACGTGTCAAGGCAAGAAACCAGGCGTCTATCAAGGACAAGATCCAGCCCGCATGCCGAGAGAAAACTCTGGCCTAAATTGAAGGAGAAAAGAGAAGACCAACAGGAGAGCAATTGGCTTGGCATGTCATCCTGCCTTCGCTGTGCAAGCCCGACGACAATTGCTCAACCCGGAAAAGCTTGTCTCCCCCTATCTTGTGGAATCGATATGCCGTCTCGCAAGACTCGAAACGTGCAAAGGATTTCTGCCGCTTTTGGATGGGTGCTTGGTTGTGAGACCTCATATCTTTGGAGATTTTGGGATTGACGTCAATTGTCAGACAACGAGCCCCGCGTCATAAGTGGGAGGTGTGGTCAAGAACATCATCCAGCATCGACTCCGCTCGAAGTAACGACTTGCACATCTGTCCCGCACCAAGGCACATCCCGTTCTTCCCTCTCGTGAGCGGGCCAAGATCGTATCAAAACACTGTCGCCGATGGATGAGCTTGCACAGATCGATCGGTTGAAAGCAAGTGATCGAGCTCCGCAATAGATCAGATCTTGACATGCCTCCCCTCTCGTTCCACCGCTTTGACAAGGCTCTTATACGTGTCTTCCCAGCTCTCCTTGTCGTCGCCGTCCTCGTCGATCTTTTTCTCCTTTTCCTTGCCGTCTTTCCCGCCTTTCTTGCCGGCGTCCCTGCTGACCATCACGACGCTGGTCGGCCGCTTCGTCTGGCCCGCCGTGCCCAGCTCCGCGCGACTGGTCACGTAGATGTAGGGGACGCTGTGGTCTTCGGCCAGCACGGGGATGTGAGAGATGACGTCCATGGGGGAGATGTCAGCTGCGAGGACGACGACGCCGAGGGGGAGTTTCTCGGTCGAGGAAGTTGGGGATTTTCGGAGGGCTTTGACGACTTCTTTGACGCCGCGTCTCAGAGTGCGTTGCGAGGCGGCTGCGAATTGTCACCGAGTTAGCAAGGTTAGGTCAAACGAGAGGGGAGAATGTGTAGCCATGGATCACCTTTTTTGACGCATTTAAACACCTTCCTCGCAACCTTGTCGTCTGCCAAGGGGTTCGCAAAGGGCACCAAAGCTCCCACGGGCCGTGCAGCGAGGATCTTCTTTTCGGAGTCTGTTGCCTTCTTCGACTCCTCTTCTTGTTGCTCGTCTTCATCATCTCCTTCGTCCTCGTCGACCTTCACACCATTCTGCTCCTCCATCTCGTCGTCTTCTTCGTCACCGCTTTCCTCGTCCTCATCCTCCACGTCTGTCTTCTTCTTGTTGCCTTTGTCTTGAAGTTCATTCAAGGCCTTCTCTGCCAGCGCCTTCCTCGCCGCCTTTTTCTCCTTGTTCTCTCCCTTTGTCTTTGTTACTCCGGTCGGCCCGGCTCCACCAGCTTTCGCTGCCGCAGCTGCTTGCTTCTTTGAGACTTTCTCTGCTTTGCGCGCCTGTTTCTCGGCTTTTCGCTCGGCCTTGCGCTCAGCTTTGGCGTCCTTTTTGGCGACGCCCGATTTATCTTTCGCCATCGTGCCTTCTTTTCTCACTATGTTCAAGGTAGTTGGTGCGCGTGGATGGCCACTTATTGCGAGACCTTCGGGTTTGAAACAGTAAAGTATTTCTTGGATGATTCGGATATGGGACAGCGTCGGTTCGAAAATTTCTCAGAAGCAGTATAGCCGAGATAACAAAGATGCTGCTCGCTTGCTACCGTGCGACTTCGAGGTTTGCTAGCTTTGGAACAAATTCTCGATTGACTTGCACGGCAAGGGCCAGGTCGAGCTCTGAGCCCGGAAAAAGAATTTCTTACTGCGCCTTGAAGCCTGCGGCGTCGGTCGAGTCAAGAGTTTCGATTTGATCCGAGGGGGTTATTCAGGACTTTGCAAACAATAGCTAAGCTGTGTTTAGAGACATCCAAAAAGAAGTGAAATAAAAATTATTTTGGCTTCTCCGCACTTTGGGCCACGAACGAGACCTGCACCTCAACTCATCGCGGGTTGCAGGCAAAGTTCCCGCCGCTTTGAGAGGGCCTCTACCCACGATGCCAAGACTGGTCTCCAAGCTTTCTCTGCCGTTCCAGATTGACTCGCCTTTCCACAGCTCTGCGCAATCTACAAGTCACGATAGACGGTTTGAACTCGGCCACGCCCAGTATACTTGGGTAAGCCACATTTGCGGTAAAGAGAGGCGAGAAAAAAAATGTATGGTCATTATGAGCGTCGCCCAGACCTCATCCTCATACGTCACTTGGGCGGCCATGCTGCCGACTTTGCTGGCCCCTTGGTTGTACACTTCACCATAGCGCCCAGTCTCTGCTGACTGACGACGGCTCTGTGTCCTATCAAGACCGTGATTGGAGCCGAAACAGCCAACGACTGCTTTCTATGCATGACACCGTCGATTGCATTCGTTCCGCGGTGAGTAACAACTTCTCGCTCATCTTGGTGGAGTGTTTCCCGTATCCCATCAAATGCCATACCACGATCGGCTTCAACGGTACCCTGCTTTGGTGTCGTTTGTTGGACAGACTGGTGCAGGAAAATCGAGTTTAATCAGACTCCTGGTCGAATTGTATTCTCCAGATCAGGCCAGCCCGCAAGTTCAAGTTGTCGGCTCAAGCCGGCGTGCAGACTTACCAACCAGCGGAGATGTGCATCTATACGCAGATCTTAAAACATCTCAGACCAAGCAACCCATCTTGTATGCTGACTGTGAGGATTTTGACGGAGGCGAACGAGAGCCATCAGGCGTAAGCCTAAAGAACAAAAAGAGAGAAGCAAACAGCGAGTATCAACGCACCAATTCCTTCGCCAGGAACATCCGCAGACAGCACCATACATCGGAACGTGAGATCTTGTGGGCGACGGATACAGTGAAAAAGATCTGTGAATACCACGTTCGGCATCTCTATCCTCGGTTAATATACACCTTCTCAGATGTTATTGTCTTTGTCATGAAGAACCCTAGGGTTGTCGAAAGTATTGTCGAACAACTTCTTCGGTGGGCCGCAGATGCGCTCGAGACTTCCTCCAACCAGCCTGTTCTGCCGCACGCAATCATCGTTCTCAACGCCTACGATAATACCTCGGATCCCGAGCTCTGGGATGCGAACAACTCGACTATCAATTTGATGGAGCGAGTCAGCCGTGCAGTGCACCAGAGTCACAACATCAGGAAATGCGCGGAATCATGGAAGCAGAAGGGGAGACAGATCGAGTCTGTCTAGACACTTCTACTGCCATAATACTCAAGTTTCAGGGTCGTCCACGTGCCTGAGCGCGGACGGCCAGAATTCATCAACGAACAGATGCAAGAGCTTTACCTGGAAATCACCGAGGCATGCAACCAGTCGCGCGCGCCTCGAAATATAAACTACGGATGATCCTCAACTCCGATGAGCCACAGCACAAAAGCTCGGCGATGCCACGGTCTCTTCTCCGCGGCTTGAGCTTGAAGAGGCTCTCAACAATCATCGCGCCGTCTTGGGTCCATTCTTCAACCACCTTCATGGCGCGCGACTTTTCATCAGCCACGCAGCATGTTACACATGCTTGATGGCGCCGGCAGAACACCCCTTGCTGTGTGGCCATGTGCTCTGCACACCTGCATCAGAGGCTTCGGGTCACAAAGAGGGAGAATTCTCTGGCAGATCGATCGTCGATCGGTGTCCGCAGCACCACGACGACGAGGATGGTCAGTTCCACACATGGTGGCCGATACACATAAAGCCGTCTAGCGTGGGTGTCCGCATCCTGACTTTGGATGGTGGTGGTATTCGAGGCATAGTATAGTTGTGCATCCTACGAGAACTTGAAAGAAAAATCGGTCCAGAGCTTCCCATTCAGCTGTTCTTTGATCTGATTATTGGCACTAGTAGCGGCGGCATTATTGCGCTAGGTTTGGGTGCCAATGGTTGGAATGTTCACATGTGCATGAGGACGTTTGAGAAGCTATGCAAGCAAGCGTTTACCAAACGAAAGGGCATTGGTATTCCCTGGGTTGAGCATTTTGTGACCGTCACGAACGACAGCCGCTACGAGACTGCTCCGATCGAAAAGGCGCTCAAATCGGCATTTGGTGAGGACCAGGATTTGTTTGCTGGATCGAGGGAAGAACCACCAGAGCTGTCAATGCTTGAGCGGAGGGCATTGGTTGCAGTAGTCACGACAACGTTACAGAAGAGACAGGAGCTGCGAGCTATCACTATCATCGTTCAGAAAAGCCGGACAACGAAGTGAAGACATGGGAGGCCGCCCGAGCGACTTCGGCCGCGCCTTTGTTCTTTAAGCCATACGTGCATCAACCGTCTGGCCAGATATATCAAGACGGCTGTCTTTACCACAACAACCCAATCCGCGTGGCATTTAGAGAGCAAAAGCTGATTTGGCCTGACCGGCCCGAATGTTGTCCGGACATCATCCTTTCCGTTGGCACTGGCGTCAATGATCAATGAAGGACTGTTCACAGCCATCAAAATGGAGACCAAAGTCTCGGATGACAACGCTGAAACAGAGGTATTGTTCTGCTTCAGGGATCGACCTGATCAGGCTGCTTTTTCCCCCATAAGCGGGTTCCTGAGATGTCTCGGCTTTGAGGTCAAGATGACTCTCCGCCCAAAACTGGTGCAGACAGATCAGGTTACCTTTGTGAGAGTCAAGTGGGATACTCTGGAGGCCTTTCTAGCCTCTAGGGACACTAATGTTGCGGACTTGTTTCAAAATCCAAGATCCCTGGAGAGCATTTAGCAGTGCAGAATACAAAAATCCTGGCAATGCTGGCGACAATCTTGTCCAGAGGCTGTCGGACAGGTACAGCACAGTGCGCCAGCCGTCGGTCAAAGCGAGTACGTTAAACAGAGCCGAACTTCCGGCTTTCGAGCAGGACGACGAGTTGTATAAAGAGGAGAATGACTGCGGCTCTCTTACGTCGGAAAGCGTGATCCCTCGCATTCAGTCGCTGCGTCTCTTACTGAGCCCCCGCGCAGTTGACAATCACATATCCGGACCTCCCGATTCATCGACACGCCAGCTGTACCGTGACCCGCCAGCCCTATTCCCTGTTTCTTTTGTTGACCAGCTTCGGACAAGGCAGCCACAGGAATGCCGGAGTGATCCAGTTTATATCTCTGATGGCCGATCGGCCTTCAGCAGAGTGCTTCGTCCTACGGAGAGACTCCCGGGAGAGCCTTTCGAGCTATCCACCGATCCCGCGGCGTTAACAAAACTCGGTTCCATCGAAAGCTCCTTGACCCCCAGGTATCGCAGATATCGAATTGTACCATTGTAGATTCCGCTAATACTACTAGGACCAAAGAATCGAGTCGATTGGGAATCGAGCCACAACACTGGTTCTCTTACAGCTGGACCGGGCACGGTGTCGGAATCGATAGATATATCCCGTATAGGCCAAGTATGACTGCAGTCGACGCTGTTGAAGACATCAGCAATCACGTTGAGATGTGCAGTATGAGATGACGCGACAAATGTCAAAGTCGATGATATGTTCTAGGGGAATTGCCAACTGGATCAAGGCGGTTCCGCTGTTCACTTATTGCTACTCGGTTCCGCTCTGAGTAACGTTAACCACGACGTCTGTGGCTTTCAGCAAACCATGCTCCTTTACAATTTGGTCGCAGATTTCAGCTCCACCGCAACTCCATGGAGCTTGTTCTCTCGATTGTCCTTTGTTCCTGGACCAGCTTGTTTGCTGGAGCGGTTCCGCTCGCACCATGCATGCAATAGAACCAGATACTGCCTCACAAGCCACCATGGATTCCGACCGCAGAATCTCGAGACAAGTGATCATTGAACTCGGACTCGATTATCGATCCTTCACTACAAAGATACCTCGAATCTACGTATTGCAACGAGGAGGCGAGCCCTGAAGAAGTCGGTCCGTCCAACACTAATCCAAGTTTGGGGAGCTCACTTGGTCATTTGTCACATAGGAGACTTACCATGGCCTTGTTAGCCTATTTCAACACGCTTTTCCTTTTCCTGGATGGAGCATCGACCAGGCGTGCCCTCCAGGAAGAAAATGGAACGCTATTCGTGACCACCGGCGAAGCCTGTACCTAGTCCGCCATCGGGCATGATCGCGTCCAGACGTGTACTCGGAACCGCTCCAGCGCCGCTTCCCATTCAGTCGACGGCGGCGATCGAAGCTACTGAGCGTTAAGTCATTGTTAGCGGCGGTGTTAGTGATTTGGTTCAAAGCCAGACCACACTCGAGTCATCCCGTGATAATGGAAGACGCAAGGGGATACTGCGCAGCCGCGACAGAGGGAGCTGAAGCGCGGCTCGATTCAAGGCGACTTCTTACACGACACTCGACGAACTGGACGTGGAGTTCAAAGGATGGTAAGGCCCAGGAGGGAGGGTAGGTACCGCTCTTCCCTGACAGAACAACTTCAAGCCAGGGGTGCCAGCTGCACTGAAATATCCTCCTCTTTCATCCCATTCATCCCAACCCTTGTCAGACACTCCTCAAGACCTCATGCGCTGCCAGCGCTGAACCAGGAGGTTTGACCGTCCATGTACATGTCCATTGTCCCAAGGTCCGTACCTCGCTTGCTTCATTTCAGGACGATACCTACTCAGGAAAGCCTGGCTTGGGGCCGATCAGAGTAGACGTTGTCCGTAAGTGGTATCAGCTAGCAGAATCCAGCCCGGGACGCTTTGACGAGAATACAGCGAAGGGATTCCAGAGTGTGCTTGTATATTAGGCAGCCTTGTCACGATGGTTAGACATATAAGCGGCATGGATCTGCGAAACATGTTCTCTCGGTGAGAATAGAAGGGCCACCATCGCAGTTCATGTCGGAAGAGATGCTCTGATTGTTATACCTCGTCCTAAGGATCATGTTGGGTACAGGACAATTGGCGGTTAGGTAGCTCGACTAGTGATATTTGTGGCCAAAGCCAACCAACTCAAGGTTCTCTCCCACGTCGACAACGGAGTATCTGGTATCTGGCAGCCAATATGGGCTGCGGAACCACCCATGGCAACGATCAAAAAGGTCAAGACCCAGTTCTAGGCCTGCAAAGTTACCAGCGAAATCGTCTTGACTTCGTCCCGTTCACGGACCAAGATGGCTTGCAAAGACGGTCCAAATTTCATCCGAGCGCGCCATCAAGTGGTTCGGTTGCTAATTTACGAGATTGTTGTTCCTATCTGTTCGACCGCAGAATATACAGTCTACATACCATCCAGCTGGGGGCAGGCACGCTACAGGTTTGCACATCTTGCAGGTAGATCCCGACGTTGTTGACATTACTAATAGTTGCGCGGCGAGATCACCAGGGTCGGCAGGCTGTCTGCGAGATTGAATAGTTTGCGGGATCTCCAGAGTCGAAGAGAGTGACACAGACCTTGTCGCCCTGGTCTCTTTGTTACCTTCTCCTACACGCCCCAGCCATGGCTGAAGAGTTCAACTTCAAGCTTGATATCGGGCTCGCCTTACGGACCTTTCTCCATTCCCAGTTCTTCGGGACACCGCCATATCCAACCCAGTCTTTCTCCAATCAGATCATCATCGTCACCGGGTCCAATGTTGGTCTCGGATTCGAGGCTGCCCGACACTTCTACCGTCTCGACTGTGCGAAACTGATTCTCGCCGTGCGCACAATCTCCAAAGGCCAGACTGCTAAAGAGGACATTGTCCGAAGCGTGACACACCGCTTCGATGGGGCAGAGGCCATCGAGGTCTGGCCTTTGGACCTTTCCAGCACAGAAAGCACCCTGGCGTTCGCTGATCGCGTGAAGAAAGAGTTGCCGCGTGTCGACGCTATCGTGGAGAATGCCGGCATCAACAATCAGAGCTGGGTAGTGTCCGAAGGGTTCGAGCAGACCATCCAAGTCAATGTGATCAACACTCTCCTGCTCTGTCTGTCACTGCTGCCCAAGCTGAGAGAAACCAAACGCAAATTCCCCGAATCCAGCCCTCACTTGGAGATTGTTAGCTCTGAGGCCCACCATTTTACCAGTTTCAAGGAAGTCAATGCTCCAGACATTTATGCGACTCTGAATGACGAGAAGAGCGGTGATATGCTAGCTAGGTAGGTGTAGACGGAGGCGCAGATACGTGGCCCTCTTCCCTCGTGCACCTCGAAATCACATCAGGCTCACGCAAGAACGAACAGATACCCAGTCAGCAAACTCATCGGTGTGCTGTTTGTCCGCGAGCTCGTTCAGCGTCTCCAAGAGCACGACAAGTCCAGCACCGTGGCAGTGCCGCCTGTCACTATTACCTTGGTCAATCCGGGCTTATGTATGTCTGCCCTGGATCGAAATGTGATCCTCCCAGGGCGAGTTTTGATGTATTTTGTGCGCATGCTCCTCGGAAGATCAACGGAAGTTGGTTCTCGGACGCTGGTCTACGGCGCGTGCGCCGGTCCAGACTCTCACGGGGCGTTCATGTCAGATGGCAAGAACCAAGAAGTCGAGAAATGGATATATTCGGATCTGGGCAAGAAGGCGCAGGCCAAGGTGTTTGAGCAGACGATGAGGGTGTTGGAGGCCAGGAAGCCGGGCGTCGGGGCGGAAGTCGGGTTGCCAGCCTGATCATTGTCCCCGAGGAAGCTTTCTTGCGTTAATCCATACCAGCATCTACGAAACGACCCTCAGCCGATGGGGAAAATAGATTGCTACTATGTTTTGGAAACATTCATCCGCCCCCAATAAATGTTCTCTCCTTCTCGACCCGAGATTACGCGCTGCTTACGGAAACAGAGTCGAATCTCCATCACGGCACGAACGGCTCATTATTGGCTGCAGTAAATCCTGCGCGCAGGCGGTTGCTCAGCTGAAATTGGAAAAGGTGCTAAGTAATTATCATGTTAACCGACTTTCCCCAGAAGTACGAGACACTCAGATGTGCAGCCAAACATATTATCTCAGCTCTTTCCAAGACTATACATATTCCCCGCTGCCTCCTCCTGGCTACGACGTACCAGAAATCTAGGCCGCGCTTCTCACCCTTACAATCTCACACAATCGCCGCAAGTGCTTACTTTCTAGAACTCGGGGTAACGATGCCGTCGCCGCCACCTCCATGAGGATCAGGCAGAGGACAGGGTTGTATTGGCAGCAATGGAGGATCTTAGGCTGGTCTTCCCATCCATCCACTTCAAGCTATCCTCCGATACAAGACCGCCGGCCTTACAGGGCCAGCCTATAAGAACGATGTCGCGCGCATTCATCTTGTCCATGCAGGTAAGGTTGAGTTCAAGGAAGTGTACAGGTGGTGTAAACAAGAGAACAACGTTTGAGGCCAGCAACCATGTCTCGCACGATCGACAAAGTGCCAGATAATGCTTCCTCGCAGATGGTCAAACTCGTGGTCGCCAGCTGCAGTCGGTAAGATCTACTTCCAGACAAGCCCGAAACAACTATCTGGACAAGATATGCTCTCCCCCTAAAGACTCCCGGCTAGCTAACTAACGCTTCCCCATTTCCAGCACAGCAACACTCGGCGTCTACCAGGCCCTCAAGATACTTGGCTATAAACCGTACCACATGTACGAGATGGCCATGTATGGTGGGAACACCCACTGGGAGATCATGATGCAAGGGTTCCGTGCCCAACACAACCGCTGGTCGGGCATCCGGCGGTATACCAAGCGAGAGTTCGACAAGTGGTTCGCGGGCTACGATGCCTTGGTCGAAGTTCCCTCGTACTTCGACATGGCGTGCCTAGAAGCATACCTGCAGGACCCCGAAGTGAAATTCATCCTCACGGAGCGCACTCCGCAAAGTTGGGCCAGATCATTCAACAGCTTCATCGGCAATATTGTGACCAATATCGAGTCACCACCGATGAACATTCTGCGACACTTCAACCGCACGCTGAACTACTTTTACCTCTTGAACGTCGATGGCTACGACTTCTGGAGTGACTGCACGAGGCCCGGCGACCCCAACAACGAGGAAAACCTGATGAGGAATTACGAGCATTATATCACCAACGTGAAGAGGTTGATCCCGCCGGAGAGGATCCTCGTCGTGAAAATCGAGGATGGGCTCGGATGGGAACAGGTCTGTCCGTTCCTGGGCAAGCAGGTCCCCAAGGGAGTCGAGTACCCACGAGGAGTGGAGCACGAGGATGTCAAAGACAAGATGCTGGTGCCACTGGTGAGAAACGCGATGATGAAGCTGGCATTGACTGTGATGGTGCCGATTGCCCTGGGAGGGACAGCGTGGTGGAAGTGGTCTGCATCAAGGTGAAGAAGTATGCCGCAGGGTGACTAGGTAGATGCTGTTGAGAACAACCCTACCCATAGAAATGATCGGAGAAGACCAACTGCTAGTAAGAGAGTCATTGCGGTCTGGAATACACCGTAGACAAAGAGCCGCATCCGACCTTTTTTCCCGCAAACCGCCGGTCGCATGCGACAGCCTTGTCAGCCTCGTGCCAATTGTCTTTGGGTTAGCTCTTCCCTGAAAAAGGGTTAGCGCAGTCTTGGCGAGACTTGCAACTTCTTCGCCTCCCATCCCTTCCAGCTGCACCCTGAACCCCCAACACTTGCCAACGTTGAGTTGCATCGACAACGATCTTCAACAGGCAGCGCATCATCCGTTGTCGTGCGCCTTCTAATACTCTTCCTTTGACGCTGCGCTCAAGATGGCGTGGCGCAATCAAGGCATCACAGGTTCTAACAACATCCCCCTCGGAACGCGTCGTCGGTTCGGAGGCGAAGGTAATGGTGACTCGCAAAATGATAGCTCTGCAAACTCTCCAGCCTGGGATGATTCGAGCAAGCGTGGGCGAAGTCCTACCAGAGGTTCGTGGCTCAACGCTCAGCACCTACAACTGACTGACAAGCTCACAGCTGAACCTGCGGCCGACGGCGTCAAGAGGCGTAGAAAGCGCAACCGCTGGGGTGAAGCTGGCGAGAATAAAGCGGCGGGGCTCATGGGCCTTCCGACGATGATCCAGGCGAACATGACAGCAGAACAACTCGAAGCATACGCCCTCCATCTCCGTATCGAAGAGATCAGTCAGAAGCTGCGTATCAACGATGTGGTTCCCGCGGAAGCAGATAGGTGAGCAGGCCCCTCCCCTCCTTTCCTCCCACATATGCTATCTCTACAGGTTCTAACAGCTGCCAGATCACCATCACCACCACCTCAGTACGATAATTTCGGCCGCCGGGTGAACACTCGCGAGTTTCGCTACCGCAAAAGACTGGAAGAAGAGCGTCATAAATTGATTGAAAAGGCCATGAAGACCATCCCCAACTACCACCCGCCCTCTGACTACAGGCGGCCCACCAAGACACAGGAAAAGGTCTATGTGCCGGTCAACGATTATCCCGAGATCAACTTCAGTATGCTTACTAACCCTATAACTCTGCTACAAACCCCCTTGCTTTGCTCGCTGTTCCACATGCTGTCGTCTGCTCTTCGAGATACAGGAGGTAGACGTAGCATCTTGCACTAACCATGATCATTGCCTTTCCCTGAGACATTTTTCGTTTTCGAGAATTCCATACTAACACTAAGCTTCTTTTTTGCAAAGTCGGACTACTTATTGGACCTCGTGGCAACACTCTCAAGAAGATGGAATCCGAATCTGGAGCCAAGATCGCCATTCGAGGCAAAGGCTCTGTCAAAGAAGGCAAAGGCCGATCTGACGCAGCTCATACTAGCAACCAGGAAGAAGATCTACACTGTCTTATTATGGCAGACACGGAAGAGAAAGTCAACAGGGCCAAAGCACTGATTCACAACGTCATCGAAACAGCCGCATCCATCCCTGAAGGACAGAACGAACTCAAGCGAAATCAGTTGCGCGAATTGGCGACCCTCAACGGTACCCTTCGTGATGATGAAAATCAAGCCTGTCAAAATTGTAAGTTCGCACCCTTACGATGGACCATCTCTTACTAAAACACGCAGGCGGTCAAATCGGCCATCGCAAATATGACTGTCCGGAGCAGCGCAACTTCACTGCCAACATCATCTGTCGCGTCTGTGGCAATGCCGGCCATATGGCGAGGGATTGCCCAGACCGACAACGTGGGACCGACATGCGGAACAATATCCCTGGAGGATATGGTGGACCACAACGAAGACTAGGCGCCGCCGATGCTGTCGACCGAGAGATGGAGGTACGTATTTCCGAAATTTTCTGGACAATGACCACTCGCTGACATCTTACAGAATCTGATGCAAGAGCTTTCTGGCAACGCATCTGGCAACGGCCCTGCCGGTCGCATCGAGGCTGCACCTGGGGGCTATGATCAGGGCGATTCGTACACTGCTGGCGGCGATTCTCGTCCCTGGGCACGTCAGCCGACTGGGGGTGTTGCTCCTTGGCAGCGAGATCGACAAGAACGACAAGACCGAGACTATGGTCACCGAGAGTACGGCCAACGGGGTTATGAGAGTCGAGACCATGGTCACCGAGACGGCGACTCGTCGCTTCCTCCATGGGCCCAGAGTCGAGGAGGAGACGCCCATGGGGGATATGGTGCTGCCCCTGCGCAAGCAGCAGCCCCCTGGCAGCAACCGCAGCATCAGCAGTATCAGCAGCATCAGCAGCAGCCACCTCCAGCACAAACTTACGGATATGGTGGTTACCATGGCTACGATGCCCAACCATCGTACGGCGTGCCTCCTCCGCCAGCTCCTCCTGGACTCAGCTCTTTCTTGCAGCAGTACGGTGGTGGTGTTGCTCCCCCTCCACCGCCAGACTCACAGGCTCCTCCTCCACCACCGGATCAACCGCCCCCTCCACCAGGCATGCGTGATTACTATCCACCACCACCGCCTTCGGCATAATGTGTTGGATGACCTATCGATTTTGGGCGAGATTGCGTGGAGAGTTGCGAGGACGAGGGCGAGGGCGAGGGCGAGGGCGAGTAATTGGGAAACAATAGGACGAATGGGCGGAGGACAAACTGGAAAAAAAAAGGGGGATTGAGAGTGCGGTGAAATTGCAATTGCTTTTCATGGCAACCCAGCCAAGGCGAGGTTGTTGTTGTTTTGTAACAAGTACTATCATTATCAATGCTTGAAGTTATTCCGATTTGGCTCTTCTGTTCCCCTGCCTCCCGTTCGATCATTTTGGCCACTGACAGGCTGCAGCGAGGACTTCGATTGCATTCGCAGGATTGGGCCAATCACAAGACACGGAATCGGCATGGCCCAACTACGCTCTTGGCATCGAATGGCCGTCTCGTCCGTCTTCAAAGTTCGATCAAGTCCATCTTCAACTCCTTTTCTTCACCACTTCTCCCACTTCACTCATCGGTCTCTCGTCCTACCTCGGTTCCCTCACGCACAAATTGACTCCGACCGATTCTTCACCAGAAAGGCCTGCAAAATGCCTCGTTCTCGTGGAGGTGCTTCCCGACCTGCTCCGTCGCGACCGACAGCTCCGGCTGCAGTTCCTCGGTCTGTCGCGCCACAGCAGCAACAACGGCCTATGACTACCACTGCCCCGACTGCACCCGTTCAACACGCCCCCCCTCCTGTTCAAGCATCGCAGGGTCCCGGCCTCTTTGGCCAGATGGCCAGCACTGCAGCGTGAGTGAATTTGCCCCAACCCTAGAGTCCCGCAAAAGTTATGCATTATGGAGACGAGATATATCTCAAGCAAGAAAAAGAGCAGAGAGCGGGGAGAGCGAAAAGAGATTTTTTTTTTTGGTGGATTCACCGACTAACTTGTGCGTGAAATTGTAGTGGCGTCGCAGTCGGATCCTCAATCGGCCATGCCATCGGTGGCTTCTTCAGCGGCAGCGGTGGCTCCTCCTCTGCGCCAGCGGAGCAACAACAGCAACCCACCGACGCCTACGCCCGAACCGGCGATGCCATGCCCAACGCCCTGTATAGTCAATCGAACTCGGCCGCCGAGGCCACGGGCCCCTGCGCGGCCGACATCAAGAGCTTCACCGACTGCATGAACCAAAACCAAGGGAACCTGACCATTTGCGGTTGGTACATGGAGCAGCTCAAGGCCTGCCAGCAGGCTGCGAGGCAATACTGAGAATGGCCTCTGTGACCCTGATTTCGTATCCAAAAATAATGGGGAGAGATAGACCAAGAGATATACGCATCGACGTGAGGACGTCATTGTAAATAGGCATATGGGTGGGACTCTCTGAAAGGATTGAATTCAGGAGAGAGAAAGGTCGAAAAAAATGTCCCTTGCATTGGCATAGCGTGGAGCATGTTCGATTAGAATCCTGTGGAAGACGCCCATCCTTCCCTTGAAAAATGATATCAAAATCTCTCCACTCAGAAGGACATTGTATTGTTTCGGTCTATGCGCTTCACCAAAGGGGATCATTCTGCTGCAGAGAAGGGGGTGGTCGTCCTTGATCGCCGAGGCGCAGCTTTACTCTCACCTTGGCCCAGGGTCACTTCACTCACGATAGACACGGTACGGCCATCCTTTATGAGAGGACTGGCTCACTTTGAGGGCTTTGCGGTCCGCACTCACCAGAGGAGGACCGATCGCCGCTGTCGTTCACTGACGAGAAAATAGGGTGGTCCCCTTTCCGGGGTTTCTGGAGGAGGCACCGTCAAGGTACCTGGAGACTTCCGGGTCTGGGTTGTTCTCTTTCGGTGTGGCCATGGCTCGCACGCCCGAGCCATAGTCGGCCGTCGCGGTGGGCTACAGCTGGAAGAGCTCGCCGAACGAGGAAAGCCCGGTCGAGCAAGGCTCAGTGAGTCCCCCATGATTCCCGTGGTAATGGCCTCAGGCGTGCATGGTTAGTGGGCTCCGAGACTGCAAGACTGCCGGACAACCACACAACCACACAGCCAGACGTACAGACCACAGCATGACAAGACAAGGAGACCAAGTCTCGGCACTCTGGATTTCAAGCCCCGGTAGAAGAGGTTTGGTTGTTTCGTCTCGCGGCAAGGGGAATTGTCGGGTTGTCTTGGTCTGCCGGCATGAGGTATCGGAACGTCCTTGGGCCTTGCCACTCATCTGTCTGTCTGGGTAAGGTGAGTGAGTGACCGATTGAGACGGCAAGGTCATATCATGCCGTTGTTGATATCCGAGTCCTGTCCAGGTGGACGGAGGTTTCCGGGATACCACGTTCCCCCTATAGCCGGCGGCCGCAGGATCACATTTTCTGGGCAGAGGACCGCGGGGTGAGTCTTTCCATGCGACCACCATCATCAGCATACGCCAAATTCCCTTTCCACGAGTGGAAGAGGGTGGGTGATCATTCCAACACCGTCGATATCCGAATCGTGGACGAATCCCATCCGCCGATCGCGCAGAAGACCGCGGTGCAAGACGGTCAGCAAAAAGGCACTGAGACAGCTCGGAGGGGAGGTTCCCACAGGGCACGCCCGCTCCAGAACGACAAACCTGCACCCTCGATCGTTGAGGATTCGGCCAGATTGGATCATGATTGGACCAACGATGTCGAAGAGGAAAGCCATTTAGGAAAACTCGGTCAGAAAGAGGGCAGATGGAGAGAGCACGCCTCACGCACGCCCTGTATGTGGGCATATCACAGGTGGTTCGGTCTTTGGGATGACTGACCCGTCGACAAAAGGACCCGAGAGCTGGGAATGGGCGGGCTCCAACGGCCGTACCTGTTGTACCCAGAGGATATACCCAAGTCTTGGGGAGCCATCCCGAGCGCTTTTCCCGAGCCCGGTAAGTTGGTTTCCCCCCCAAGAGGCGGAGGAGTCAGCCTGATCTTCAGGTCTCGAACCTTGAGCGACCAGTTGATCTTTCGGTTCTCGGACCCGGCATTGGAGGGGGGGGGAGTGCCAGCCGAGCAGCACTCCCGGGGATGGTGATGGTTCTCGACTGATCTTGTCAGTTCCGCGCTGGCGGAAGCGGGCGTTGGAAACAGTCAGATGAACCTCGGCAGCGTTTGGACAGGGCACTGGTACAGCTGCTGATAGGGCGAAGGGCTCACCGTCGAGGTGGCACCAGTCCAAGTGCCCTGAGCTCTGGGGAGCTTGGACGCTGCAGAAAGTGAGGCAGGACCACCAGAGCCGCCGGCTTCCACCCAGCTTGATTGGCCCGAAGCCTGTACAAGTACCTTCGTCGCTGACCAAAGGAATCGGTGCCTGGTGTGGTGGCCATGCAAGGCATGGTGGGAACAGAGCCCATCAAACGGGTCTGTCTCCCTCAAGGAGAATAAAGGATCAGGATGACCCTCCCTGCCCTGGGCAAGTGTGAACGAACACGAGGTACGCGGTTCCACCCAATATCTTCCGAGCCATACAAGTGGGAAAATCATGCGGTGTGCCTTTACTGAAGTGGTGGAGGTGGCGCAGGTGCTAAGGGGGGCTTTTGACCCTTCGTGGTCAGCGACCGTTCCAAAAGGAGTACTCCCTTAGACTTGGTTGGGTGGACTGTTTGTTGCTGACGCTCGAGCTTTCTTGGAGAGACACACACCCTCTTCTAGCGTGGAGAGGCTTTGAGGCTCTGAGAAGTGGGGGAAGATGATAGGTTTTTGGGGGGGGGGGGGGGGCTAAGAATACATACACCCTCTGGGCTTTGATAAGCATGTAGTCGGTCAGTGGATCTCGTATATACGAGTGTGTGGTGGGGGAGGTGGTTCGTTCCAAAAGCTAGGGCCGGGCGGACGAAGTGTCAACCACTCAGTCTTCTCTTGGGAAAAACTTCGCCCGTCAGCTCCGTCCGTAACGGGTTGCTGGCACATGTGGGAGTGGGATAGGCGAGTAGTGAGTGGGTGGTAAGCGTCTCAGGGCTTTTCTTCGATGAGGAAGAGGGCAGCAGCAGCAGCAGCAGCAAAAGCGGCAACGGTCTTGGTCGTCCCAGAGATGGGAGGATGACTGATATGTCAGCAACGGCAGCAGTAGCAGCAGCAGCAGTATTCCCGTGGAATTGCCAGGAGGGATGATAAGATGGGCACGGCGTTAAGACGGCGATCCGATTCTTGTCGTTTGGTGTGTGGTCTCAGGCCCGACGTCGTGTTGGTCCCCACTAAACATCAACCCGCCTTAGGGCTGAGCGAGGACAACACAACACAACACATCACAACAAGATGCCGGAATTCGAGCCGCCTTGCCCTCTTCTTGGTCCGCCTGAAATAATCTTCTGTTGCTCTGCTTGGGAGAGGAAGGGAGTCATCCCATAACGAGGGTCTCTCTCCCATTGCAACGTGCCTCCCGAACCATTCTGCCGTGCCATCTAGTGGCCATCGAACCAAAAGTTGAGTCAGCAGGGAAAATGTTTTTTGCTTCTCCACCAACCAATGATAATCGTCGGTTGAGCAATTGCTCGATTAAACTTCGGTCAGCACTCATACCGACTCGTTCCCTACCCTTTACTCGAGCGGAAATAGAATGGGATTTTCACATGGTAAACCGTATGCTACTGGGGTAGGCAGGTAGGTAGGTAGCACCACTACTCGGTACTGTACCAAAGGGCGCGGGCGGGCGGTCTGTTCGGGGGGTGCGTGCTGTACCCAGTTCCGCTATCCTGTTCCAGATGCTGAGAGGCAATGAATATTCTGTGTCGTGACTCACCGTCGGCCGCAAGATGCGGAACGGGCGAGCTCGATGTTACCACGGGAGAGTGTCAGACTCGTGTTTTCGAGTGCTTGTTCTCGAAAGGGCGTGCCTGCTCGTTGTAAGGTGATGTTGTGTGCAAGGCAGATAGGTGGCGAAGATCACAAGCAGGGTCCAGCAACACAGCCATCAGGCAGGCGATCTAGGCAGGCGATCAAGAAAATTGCGGGGTAATAGCACTGCTGTCTCGTTTGGGGAGTCGAGAATTGGGAATCACAAAGTGTATCAACGAGCACGCTCAACTCGCTTCGCTTCTAAGAATACGCACAGCCCCCTTGGCGCGGGGCAGCTGATTGGACCACCGCAAAAGTACAAACGATCGACGGCGACACAGCCTCGGTGAGCCATGACAAAGAATCATCAGCCCGTCCTTCGAGAAGGTTGCCGCATCCGGTAATCAGACGCTGCCTCCGAAGATCCAAGCCACTAGCCGCGATACTAGTGGCTCGACCCAGGGCGCTAGTGGCTGCCAGCCGTCATAGCGTTGTAACCCACAATCTGGGATTCTTCTTCCCAGCCCCTCTAGCAGACCAAAAGCCCGCCCAGAGGGGGTATTCGTTCCCAAAACAGGTCAAATGTGCGAATAAGGATGTCCCCAAATCCAAAATCTCGTGGCCTTGACGAGTAGCTCACCGCATATCCGTGGACATGGCATGCCAGGGGTGCTGACGAGGGTCTCCCGCATTGGGTATGTGGTGTTAACGAGGATGCCTGACTCCTTGCCTGACTTTTGCCCTCAGGCAGCCGCCAATCTGATTCGTCGCTCTTGGTATGCATTTTCTTAGCATTTGTGCACTTTGACACCAGTCGAGAGAGAAGGGGACAAAAAAAACAACGCGCACGGAAATTATATCGCCATCCCTTGTCGGAGCCATGAAACGTTCCCCGCGCAAGAAAAAGGGTCACGAGCGCAAATTTCGAGGCAACGAAGAGGACTCGGAAACTTTGCAACGTCGGAAGCGCGCACATTATATCGTCCGCACATCCGTTCCATCACGATCACGAGGCTGAAGTCGGGGTTTAGAACTTCATCTTCACAAAGGGTGGGGAAGGCGGAGGCAAAAGAGAGCGAGGGGGACCTTTGGCGCTGCATCTGGATGACAGGAAATCCTGCACAAACCGGCCGAAGTCGGTGCATTATGCACGGGCGCCATGAGAACAGAAAGTGAGCGCCCGCGGGGGGGGCGTCCATGGAGATTGCGAAAGGCCGAGAGCGCGAGCCAACTAGAGGAGAGGAGCTAGGGAAACATAGAGACAAAACTTGATCTCGGACGAATAATTCGTCCTGCGGCGGCGTTTGGCATGGGCGACGCTGCATAACGTCAACACTATCCCCATCCGGGGGTAGACTGAGGCATAACCTGCATGCGGCCTCGTCATGGCCTTTTTGTGCCCGACGGGCGCTCTCGGGCCCGGCGAGAAATTTGCTGGCAGTCGCACCGGAAATACCAATGGGCCGTCCTCCCCCTCGTCCCCTCGTCCCTCGTCCCTCTTTGCGTGGATGCCTGGCCAACTGCCTGGCAGGGGCGCCAAGCAGTCGAAAGCAGCGTGAGACGCTTTCCTCCTCCAGCAACTGTTCTGGATACGGCAATCAGGCAACAACTTTCCACGATTGGCGGACAAGAAATTCGCAGATTGTTCCGAATACGGCCAATACGGGGCCCACGAGTGTGGTGTGGCTTGCACCGCACGACACACCACAACAACACCTCCCGCTTTTGTATACGAATGCGAGCACCCAATACGGAACAGGTTTACAACAAACACGAGATTGCGACGATCATGGCGCCCATGTGGCTGCCGTGGCTGTCGTCTCCCTCTTGTCTCAATCAGGTAGACTTAACCTAGAACATGGGGCACCAAGTCGTCGCCGTGCGGTGCGACAACAGGGGGTGTCTCTCCATTTCTCCATTTCGCAGGCAGCCAGCAATCTTGATGCAAGCTCAGCCCACCAGCATGCGACAACGAAGTACCTCGTACACTTTCTGGAATCCGTATTGTAGCTACGGGGATTGACTATCAAGTTGATCAGGAGATGCTCGGCCAGTGCGACGATGTATTCCTGGGTGAATCCAGTGCTGTGAGATGAAGCCCGAGGAATACGATATGTAGTCCAGTGACCACAGCTCTCTCCGGGGACTTTGTTGTGGCTTGAACCGCATCCCCGGGAGAGGCCACTGTATCCAAGTTATAGGCGGGGTTGGAGTGTTTTGAGAGCCCGAGAGAGCAGCATTGGGCGACCTGAAACAGAGTTCCTTAGGCGTCTCGAGCTACCCCTCAGCACGGCCTCAGGCCCCTCAGCCAGCCCCCTACGCCCCCTACTGTGTCTGATCTGATAACGAGAAGCCCTCCTGTTATCCTTCATCGACCGCTAGGGCTTCAGAGCTGACGGCGATTCCACCAATACCAGCGCAAACTGCCTGTTTGACACAGGAGATGCACACAGCGGAGCTCCCCCTAGAAGGACAGCTGGATGAACCCCGAAAGGAGCAAAGAAGATAGATGGACTAGGAAAGCGCTCTGGACCTGGGCCTGCAAGAAACAAGAAGTTGTGCTGCCAAATTATCGACCCCGCCCGAGGAAATCTGTTCACGCTGCTACGAGATTTCAATTTTGTGGCTGGCCCCGGAGAATAGAGCCAAGGTGTCCTTGCTCAGGTCATGATATTTGGCAAAGCTACACAGACGATTTGGGTAGGCGCACAATGCAATACGCACCAGCAGTCGAGGACTGGTGGATTACGAGAGCATAACAGTGCTGCGGCGTCACATCCAGAGTCCAGAACACGCTTGACCGCCAGGTGGTAGACACAGGGCCTTCAGCCAAGGCAAAGGTTACAACGCACTGGCTGACCAAGACACAGACCCAAGACGGCCACTCATTGGGCAAATTGGTGGCCCAGAGCAACAGGACATTTCTCAGCAGTGACTCCCCTAGGAAATACCGTCATTGAGCTGCTGCCACTGCTAGCCGCTTTGTCGCCTTGTTTCCTGGATCTGATCAAATCATTGATGGATGAATTCGGAAAACCCGTAGAGTAATCGGAAAAGCTCCCACTCAACAGAGCTCCCGGCACACCAAAATTGGCCCATACGAGTAATACCCAGCGACTGGGAAAGTCAGCCATAATCTTGCCAGTTTACACCGGCTATCGATGGGGGGGGTGAAACCAATCGACACGAAACACGAGCACAGCACAGCAACGATGAAGGGGGATGCCGTAAGAAACGGGGGGGTGAGATCAGCCAGGTAGATTGGGTGAGCCTCCAAAGAACGAGGAACGACGGGCGAGGGAGACGGTCAAGGGCGGTCGAACACATTACTCGACTCGGAGGGGATTGCGACCCAGGAGCCGGAGGGAGACCAGGAGACCAGCAACGAGGTGCAACAAACCGTCCGAGGATCAGGCAGACGAGCCGGCCGAGTGCAGCGACATTGGCCAGTTTGGCCATTGTTGCTGCATAACGAACAATGACATGCTGCTTTCAGATTTCTCAGCCAGCAGCCCCGCTTGGCTCCCTTCCAGGCAAGAGTCCCAAGAGTCACTCGGAGAGAACGTAACACCGCCCTCGGGTTTAGTTCACAGCCCTGCTGGTGTGCGAGCTGACCAGGGCCAGGGGCCTAGACAAGGGTCCCCGGTCGCCTGGTGGAGCTCGGTCTTTACGCACGCTCGACCCTCTCTCGCACTCGTTTCTTACTCAGGCACCTTCAATAATCCTAACGTTAATGGGCCCCCGCCCATACATGGCTTTCTTACCAACCCGTGAGTTTACAAAAGATCTCGTCCACCCTCCCCTCCAACCAGCCTCCTTTCTTCTCTCCATCATCAACATCAACTACAACCACCAACAACCAACAACAACAACATTGATGAACATCGAGCATTGAAGCACTACCCCAGACTCCAAGTCACGTCGACCTGACCAGACTACCAAACCAAAACACCAACAGTACCCACACCAGTGACTCAGAAAGCAATTCCATCAACACCAACAACCCTCAAAATGCCTTCCTCAGTTACTTTCTCCGCTGCAACAGCGAACACCAAGTCAGCCAGCCAATCCATCTACACCCGACCTCCCCAGAAGAAGCAGAAGATGAGCATCACTCAGACCTACTTCCTCGCCCACAGCGCTCGCGGCAAGCTCTCCCGCGAGGCTGCCCGACCTGACCACGACCTCCGCCTGTTGGTGGGACACGCCAACATGCTCGACTCCCTGATGCTCGATTTGGCCAACGCCGAGCAGGAGCAGGAACGGTGGTTCAACAACATTGTCAACGGATCGCAGTCAGAAGAGGAAGAGGAGGAGCGACATCGACATGTTGAGACCATTGTGGAGGAGCCCGAGGCCGACTGGGAACCAGAAGATGCCACCTCGTCGGAGGAAGAGTCAGAGGACGAGTCCGAGCAGAAGCCAGACACCAAGGTGACGGCCATCGAGGTCGACTCGGATATGGAAGATGACGACGAGGAGAACGAGGACCTGACTCTCGTCCGCACTGCCTCTCGACACTCCCCTCCCGAGCTCAGCCTTGACACCGACTCCGACTCAGAAGACGAACACATGCCACCCTCACCACCCACCCACACCATTGAAGTCCTGAGCGAGAAGCAAAGACAAGCCATTGCCACGACTTCATTCTACGATGCCAAGGACAATGCCTCCTTATCACCCGAAGAGTCGGAAGCCTTCGAAGAAGAAGGCTTCTACCTCCCTTCAAGGCAACAGCCAACCATAATCGCTGCCTATTGAGCAGGTTGATTGACCGCCCTTGAAAACGACTCTTTGTGATACCCAGCAGCGTTCTAGCAATCTCGGCATCTCACGGCAACTTGACGTCTTTTACGAGCATGGTGTTTATGGTATCTTTACACTTCTGGATTCTGTCGGTGGAATCAAAATGTATTCAACACGGAAATTTGGGCCAGTCTAGGAGGAACACACGCAAGGAGCCACGAGAGCAGGGCGAGATTGGAGGAGGGGATTCCATGGCCTCATTGTCGACCCATTAGTCGTGGCCGCTGTGCCAGCGTGGGAAAGCAATGCAGGGATTGGAAGACCTCGACCGCCTCGACCATGCTTCAACATTGTTGGCTCTGGTTTCTCAATATGACTCTACTCTATGTACAATGGCAGATAGTTCTCCCTCGATACTAGCATCGGAGGTCGAGACACCTGACACAAATGATAATTCATTTGAAAAAAGGCATCTACACTATTGTTTCATCTCTTGCACAATATCCAGCATTGACTTCCGATCTCCCGGTGTCCCCCAAGCCTTGTTGCGGAGGCTGGTTGTTGCCCTTCGCGCTTAGATTAAAGCCGACCGACGTCTGGAAGGGCTCGAGGGCTCTGGGACAAAAACTCTCCGAGCCTGCTGATCATGCAATAGTCACTCGGAATCGGATTTTGTTTTTCTCTGCCTCTGCGCGCGCATGTGCGGAGCCCAGGGCCTGAAGTTGCGGCCGAAACCCTCCGTGGGCCGCCTCACTAGGCCTCACCATCAGACACCATCAGACACCAAAGAGTCATCGCCAGTTGATTCTCGGCCCCGGGGTGGTCAGCCAGTTTTTGGCGCGAGGGCCGAAAGGAAATTCCTCAATCAAATCACAAATTCAAAACGGAGCCTTGGCTCTTGTCTTTGGCTCGCATTTTATTCAGCATTCATTATTATTATTACCATCGTTGGATCCCTTTTTCATCTTGGTCCATCTTCGGCGTGATTTTGTCGTACAATCGAACCCCACGTGCGTATCGTCCACTCACCCTTGAGTCGTTTAGTTCGTTTGGGCTACAAAGTTCCCTTACTTCCCTTGCTTCCGTGCGATTTGCCCCATTGCCCTTTCTGCAGTGCACTTTCTGCTTCTCTCACCCATTCTGCGCTCTCCACCAGGCAATTTTTAATCCAATTTTTTTTTTTTCAAATCTTGAATTTTCCAACCATGGCCAATCACCACTGACCACTCCCGTAAGCAAAAAAGATCATGACCGTTGTCCTTGGCCACCCGCACCGAGGAATCGGAAATTCTCGTAGGTCAAGGGCCTGATGACTTCCAAGTACCGAGTACAGAGTACTACTCGTACACTGGCCTCTAGAAAAAAAAAAGAGACCCTTTTCTTTCTGCCTCAGGAACCTTCAAGAGAAGGATTGCCCCCCCTCCCCCCGGGTGAGTTGTGCGTCCAGCAGGCCTGCGTTGGGCTTACTCGATCCTGATGCAGCCCTTTTTGGCCACCCTGTTGTCAATTCCCACCAGCCCGGGTCTCAACAGCGAGAACGTTTCCGCCGCTACTCTGGTCAGTGCCCGCGATATCACCCCGAGGGCACCATGGGGGACTCTGTTGGCTTGGGTAAGCTGCAGAGACGACGACGCGACAGCACTCTATGATTCCTCGCTTCTTTGTCTATCAGATGCTTCGAGGACCTGGGGGCTGTCCTGTGAGGAAAGGGTCTGCGTGAACGATTCTCCGTTCTCCCCTCTCCTGATTCCTATCTGACCATGACGAGCGGAGGGAGTTGTACAACGTGCTGCATTCTCCCTCCAGTCTCGCAGTACGTATGCCTGCCACATCTCTGTCTGAAGAGGTCAGTGGGCATGTTGATCAGGCGCACTTTCATTCCCATGATTTGTTGCCTTCATATCAGTCATTTCTCTTTCGGTATGTCCTGGTCTTGGTCTCGAAAGTTTGAGGTTGCTTGGGCCATCTTGCCCAACGTGGTGATTGCAAAGAGGAGGGACCCAGAGAGCCGGGTCACCTTATCAGCACCCAGACCATGTGTTGATATTCAGGCCCTTTTCTCAGGCCGTAAACGAGAGCCATGGGAGGCCCTTTGGGGTCCAAAAAAGGATTTGCGGTGACCCTTTGTCTCCCATTAGGGCATTAGTTCCCCCGGGGAGCGTTGACCCTGTCTCGTTTGGTATCCCCGTTCTTGTACTCAGCACGACGCATCAGGGTTCATTTCTCGCCCCAGCTTTGCTGTATGGCCGGTGTTTCAACCGTCTGCGTCACTGGTTCTTTTGCACGAACGAGCGACGATTCTCAAGCAATGGTCGTTGTACGAACATTGGCAATGATCACGGTTCTGGCACGTGCTGTCGGTGCTCGGTCGAGTTGCCTTCGTACAACATGTTGAAATTGTACAATGCACACTCTTCTCTCCTCATCTTCCTCCTCGTACCGTTCCCTACAAGTACATTGGAGATCTGCCCACTACCTCTACAGGAATAGCGTGGCTTGCGCTGCTGACTGATCCAGTCTGCTGCCACCAGCTGCTGCATAATTGCATAGCTTGCCTCAGACGATTTGGGAAGAACATGCCTGGTCGACGCACGTACAGTCAAGGCGTGAACAACACCGCCCCTCAACCACCTCCCTCGTTAGTCTGCATCTCTCACTTGACTTGGTGTGCCTTCTGACCTAACCAGAGCAGAGACACGCTACTGACCTCACCGTGCGGCAGATCGGCGATCCGGAAGAGCGGATATTCTTGCTTCCCGAGTTGGGTGGGATCACCAGCTGATGAGATCTGGTGGACACCGGACGGCGGATGGAGGGGCCATCGCAAATCATTCGAGCCCTTAGCGAGCGAAGCGAAGAGCTGGGCGACCAAGCCGACCAGGGTTGGCCTTTGCTCCTCACTGGTCGGCCGTTGGATCAGGCAAAGGCTTCACTCGACTTGTGGCCAGCTCACGTGGCCCCTGGTTCGCTGGCTGGTCGGGATTCCCTGCTGCCAACGATGCCAGTCGCTCCTCCAATCATTCCTTCGCAGCCGGTCGGCACAAAGCTCTGCCCAACATGAAACCACTGAACCCGTGACCGCTGTTTCGACCATCCTTGCAATGCTTTTGATAACGCGGCCTGCATCCTCCACGCACTCCGTTGTGCAATCTGTCGCTTCTTCGCCATTCAGAGGCGTCACGGTTCCAACCTCGCCTGCCGAACAGCGTGTCACAGATACAGGACATTGCCTCGCCAACGGTCGAATCTTGCAGGCTCGGCCTGCTGGGCAATTTCGCACAGGGCTTGAGTCAGCACCCACCAGATCTCAAAAAGATCTGGTTTACCTGAGCCGCCCATTGTGGTCCACACCATCTGCTTAGATAGGCAAGCTCGTGCACGTCCTTGTGAGGTCGAGAGGGTAAACCTTGCAGTGAATGCACTGCGGGAAGCGTGGTAAGTCGTAATGAGGTGGATGACACAGCATTTGACTCTGGGGAAACCCTATCAACACCCTGGTGCATGAGACATGCTTTGATAATGGTGGCTGCTGTCAACGCTCAAGATGTTCTCCCTGATTGGATCCGTTGGGACATTTGCCACGGCTGAAGACGTGCTTCAAGGTTTGGACCAGACTGCACACGGATTCGAGTTCGTGGGACATGATTCGAGAACGCCATGCCATTTCACCGGCCTGTACGAATCATCTGGTTGTGTTTCCTCAGTGCTAACCCTTCCCTTCTCGCTGTGCCTTCCAGAAACATTCGGTACTGGCTGAGTGAGCGACTTTGTCATGCAGTTACCCCCTTGGGGCAGTTGAGACAACCCTAATTGGTCATGCCGGGGGGTTTCCTAGAACGGAATATACTGCCTCGTCAGCAACACAAGTCCACCAAGAACGTCAAAGGATCTGAGCAAGCGAGTTACCACAGGTGACGGTCGAGACGACCATGCCGGGTTTGTCCTTAGAGGCAGTACGGTTCATATGCATCCACGCTCCCTAGCTCTTGGCTACCTCGGAATCCACGTCGGACGGTCCATCGTTCTCGTTACCACCTTGGGTCCTCCCATTGTTACACTTGGTCAACTGAGACCAGCAAGGCTGGAGGCTCCGCTCAGAACAATGTCCGTGATCTACGAATTCCAGCTCAAGAAGGTGGATCAATAAGGTGAAGGGTGCCCGGCTCTTCTGCCCCTCTGCCCCTCCCTTCGAAGAATTTTCCATTCCTTCGTCTGCTCTGCTATCGACTCGGAAACGTGAGGCTGCAACACTAATTGGCGACCTGCCCACTATGCCGTCACCGCCAGCCTTATGACGAAGCCTTTATGGAGGCATCCGTCGTGATGGCGCTCGGACAGCGTGCTTGTTGACGTCGCTGGGGCTCTCCACATGCTACCACGGGAGTATGCAACGTACAGAGCATCCGTGTTATTCTATCTGCAGACTAACTCACCGCCGGCGCTTCGGGGCTGGCCGAAAGTCGAAATGAGGGATATAGATACAGCAACAGGCTGAATACCAGGAAAATCACCCGGACAGGCGAGTTTCGACGGGTATGCAAGAGAAGGGTCCATGGAAGCTATGGAGCACCGGTCGACAGACACCCTTGCCCACGTGTCGGTGGTCCTGTGTCCACATTTATTCAACTGCCTGGCCCAAACGAGACTACTGTAGCTGATATCAGCCTCATCCAGGAGCCCTTGCTGCTTTACCAAGGTCTCATGGGAGCTGTGGAGCTCTCCCGATGGTACTTTGCCAGACCCCATGCTCTGCCGATTGCTACGCTGTATCTTCGACCTGCACGACATCGCTCGGATAAGACTGAAAAGGATTCAACATATGCAAGAGAAGGTCTCATGGAAGCAGTGGGACTGCTTCGAAAAGGGACGACCCTCCTGACGCCCGTCACCCTGTCGCTTCCCTGTCCACTCCTAGCCAGCCTCTGACACTCCACCCAGCGGATGCAATACACTGATGTCCGAAGATGACCCCTATCCTTCCCATCACCGCTTCAACAATGCAAGAGACGCGAGCAAACAAGCCGGCCTCGAAGGTGTGGGTCTTGCAGGACGGCGATGGCGTCCCCAACCACAGCGCTCATTGTCACCCTCACATGGTGATGACGATGAGCAGGGACCTTCTCCTTCCGAAGCCTGTTTGGACTTATGCTAGCGACGACCCGCAAAGCTTATCGTCGGAGATTGGGAGGAAATGATGCAAGGGACGAACAAGTCAGAGGACGGAGCAGAGAATAACCCACTCATTGTGTCGAAGCGGGCATGGCCTCGAGGGACACCAAGGCGGGGGCTCGCTTAAGCAGAAATGATTTGCGAGGCGATATTGTACGGTAGGTGTGTCTATTCCCTCGGTTGGGCTATTTGCAGCCCTGGCCGAAGGATCCTACCAACTATGGAGCGTGCCATTGTAGGTATCCAGTATATTTCACAATGCCACGACTTTGTCCCATTCTCTACCGGTCTATTTCTTCGCGTCGTCCTGCATGCCCTGGACGATCCACTGGCTGGACTTCTTGGCGTAGGCCTCCATGCCGGCCTTGTCCTTCAGGCGCTCCTTGATGGTGAGCGGCTTGGGCACGTCGCAGCCCTGCTTGACGGCGGGGCGGGCGGTCATCATCTCCTCCCACTGCTTGAGAGCGGGGAACTCGTCGATGTCGACGCCGGCCCAGCCGGCCCAGATGACCCAGCCGATGGTGGTGATGTCGGCGACCGAGATGTGGTCGCCGACGATGAAGCCGGACTTGGAGGCCTGCAGGTGCTTGTCGAGCACGCCGTACAAGCGGCGCGTCTCGTTGACGTAGCGCTTCATGCCGTACTCGATCTTTTCCGGCGCGTACCTTTTGGGACCGTCAGTATTGATTGACTCGGACGCTTTCTTTGCCATTTCCCATCATTTGACATTTGACATTCGTGGTCATCATCCTTGTCAATTCCCACTCTCACCGTTCCGCTAAAAAGAAGAGAAAAATGGCAAAAATCCCTTCTGGTTGGAATGGATGGATGGATGGATGGATGGATGGTTGATTTGTTGTTCTCACCTGACAAAGTGATTCGCCTGGCCCTGCATGGGGCCCAGGCCGGCGTTCTGGAAAAACGTCCAGTTGACCATCTCGTAGTACTCGCGGGTGCCGCGCGGGAAGCTGATGCGGTGGTCCTGCGCGTCGTACTCGTCGGCCAGGTACTGGAGGATGCCGCCGGCCTCAAAGAGGCGGATGCGCTCCCCGTCGCGGAACGTGTCGGTCAGGGCCGGGATGCGGCCGTTGGGGTTGATCTCGAGGAACCACGGCTCCTTCTGCCGGTTGGTCGAGATGTCGATGTGCTCGACGCGGTAGGGCAGGCCGAGCTCCTCGAGCGCGATCGAGATCTTGATCCCGTTCGGCGTCGAGTCGGTGTAGAGCGTGATGTTGGGGCGGGAGGGGGTCGACATCGTCGTCGTGGTGTCGGCGGTCGCGGTCGTCGGGGTGTTGTTGGCGGGAGTGGAAGTGGAAGTGGAAGTGAAGATGGTGGTGGTAGCTGCGGTGATTTGTTGGGCTTGTTGTAGAAGACGATGGGTCATCTGTCACGCCTCGCGATATCAAACTCACCCGCGTATACCTGTCTCTTGTATATCTTCAAACCAAGTCGCTTCGGCCTTTAATGACACAATCATTAACAGGGCTATCTGTTGGAGTATCTGTCGCTGACTACGGCTATACGCTTTACGAACCCTGTGACCCCCCCACTGGTAGAGAGGCCACAGCCTCGGATGATTAGTGAATCATTTCGTCACTTTTGACCCCTCGCGCGCACCACCGCTCTGCTGCACTGCAGGCTCGGGTGTTTCCCCACACCACAAGTATTACCAACCGCATCTGCCCTGGGGTTTCTAATTCGGTGTTGGATTCGGCCAATTCGGTATCGGGTATCAGAGATGAGCTCCCGCTGGCGAGCTGGATTTGAAAGCAACACCCTCTCCCCCCCTGCAATCAAGCTTTCTTGGCGGCGGCGAACAAGGCTGAGCCGGTGGAACAATAGATCCAACAAGCGCTGTGCGCGTAAATGGTAACCGAACGGAAAGCACGGGATGGCGCTATAGAATGGTGTCGAAGAGGGAGGATAACAGAGGACATTCTTGCTGAGAAAAGACGCCGTACAGATTCCCGGCGGATGTGCTCCACGGTAGACCCTCTGAGATGGCTGAGAATCTAGGGAATCGATGGGATCCCTGCATCTAGAACGAGGTCTGAGCGATATGGCAAGCAGTGGTGTATGTACTTTCAATGGTTTAGATACCATCCAACGCTGAACAGTCGACAACCCCCCCCCCGGGGAAAATTGTCGTCTCATGGGACGGATACATTGAGACGACCGAGATCATGGTGCGAAACATGAAGGCACAATGCCCACTATGGAGTTCAATGAGTTTACCCATCTCAGTCTCGAGTATTGGGCTGGTTTGAATACCAGACTGCTGCTGATTGTAGAACTCAGCAATGGGCCCTACACGGCAAAAGTAGTGACGATGGACGCGGTAGAGAGCCGTGGCCACAGCCCTGGCAGCACGAGCCTCGCCTAAGCGAATTGCACAACTCCAAAGTCCGCTTCCAGACGATGAAATGTCCCTGAAGAGAACCACGCCTTTGTTCTCCGGCAATCACTTGCTGCCTCTCCCCATTGATTGGCTGTCGTGGTGATGCCAAGGAGCCAAGAGACTGAGCTCCCTCGCGTGATTGGCCCGCGATGGACATGCATTCCACCCCAATTGAGTATGTCTACCAATTGACTGCACTCTGAGGGTTCTCGAGTGCAGCATTTCAATGGAAACCAACGGACATTATGGGTGCAGCGGCACCGTTGTACCAGCTTTGTAGGACGTGGAGCTGGGGTACCTCGTAAATCATACGCTCTGGCTGCGGAAGTTGGAGAAAACGCAAGGACACGGAGATGACGACGGAGCACACATAATAATGCGGGGATCCTAAATGGCCGGGAAATTTCCCTGCGCCCGCCGGCACCAACGTGAAGAGGCGGTGATCAGCACAACCATCTTTGCTTGCCGTCGCCGTCATTGTCGTCGCCGCCGAACCCACCGTTCTCGTTTCTCCTACCTCGCCGCATGCCTCCACAAGCTCAATGACATCGACGAGGTCGGCCTTGTCTGTTGCTCAAGGAATGGGCTGACGGCTTGCAGCGCTTTTCTTTCGTCTTTGCGCGTTTCGTTTTGTTGTCTTCTCACATTGGATACTTACTTTTCATCTGTCTATGCTATAGAGCATCCTCGGTGGTTGACGCTGAGAGAACGCTCGAACCGGAACCCCAATCCAAGTGTAGACCCGCCACGGCAACAGCATGGCGACGCACACCGAAGTCATCACACCCTCCTCCTCTCGCACGACTCCTGCCATTGTGCGCCGCCGATCCTCCTCCCACTCGATCCAGAAGAAGCCGTGGCAGCACACCCATCGACCGTCCTTCCACTCGAGCCACTCCCGACCAGACCCCGAAGAGATCCAACGCCTCTCAGAGCACATTTCGCGCCAGACGACTCGATCGTCCCACCGTCGCACCCCGAAATGGTACAAGATCCGCTGGTGCAAGGGCATGTTCGACGACGTCAAGAGACGGGCGCCGTACTACTGGAGTGACTGGAAGGATGCGTGGGATTATAGAGTCATCCCTGCCACCGTGTACATGTACTTTGCAAAGTACGCGCAGTCCATATACAATCTACCGTTTGCACAGACTATACACATCTACTGAAGTTTCTGATTTGGAAATTCCCCCCTCCCCGTTGATATCCCCTAGACTCCCATAGCGGTGCCATGTTCGGATGCTGACTGCTCCTCCAGCATCCTACCAGCATTGGCGTTCTCCCTCGACATGTTCACAAAGACCCACAACTCGTACGGCGTCAACGAAGTCCTGCTCTCCTCGGTCATGGCTTGTGTGGTGTTCTCTCTGTTCGCTGCGCAGCCACTCGTCATCGTAGGCGTTACGGGTCCCATCACCGTCTTCTCTTACACGGTGTACGACATCATCGTCCCCCAGGGCACCAATTTCTTCGCCTTCATGGCCTGGATCGGCATCTGGGCCCTGATCATGCATTGGTTGCTGGCCATTACCAACAGCTGCAATGCGCTGACCTACGTCACGCGGTTCAGTTGTGATACCTTTGGGTTCTACGTCGCCTTCATCTACCTGCAAAAGGGCATCCAAGTCCTGACCAGACAATGGGGGTTGGCCGGCGAAACTAGTGCCTATCTGTCCGTCATGGTCAGTCTACTCGTCCTTGGGTTTGCATACGGGTGCGGTGTGCTCGGCAACAGCCACCTGCTGCAACGCCATGTGCGGAAGTTTATCGAGGACTACGGCACCCCCTTGACAATCGTCTTCTTCACGGGATTCGTCCATATCGGCCACATGAGGAATGTCCATCTTGAGACCCTGCCGACCAGCAAGTCGTTCCACCCGACCGCTGACCGTGGCTGGTTCGTCCACTTTTGGGACATCAGTGTGGGAGAGGTCTTTCTGGCGATCCCGTTTGCGATCCTGCTGACCGTCCTGTTCTGGTTTGACCACAACGGTACGTACCACGCAACTGACCCTGGGTCGACGTCCGTCTAACCAAGTACTTTAGTGTCGTCCCTCATCGCGCAGGGGACGGAGTTCCCTCTGCGCAAACCGCCGGGCTTCCATTGGGATATCTTCCTCCTGGGCCTCACCACGGGCATCGCGGGGATCCTGGGCATCCCTTTCCCGAACGGCCTCATCCCTCAAGCGCCATTCCACACCAACGCCCTCTGCGTCACCCGACAAGTTGTCGACGAGAAGGCGAGAGGCCACGTCGTCCGGGTCACGGACCATGTCGTCGAGCAACGCTTCAGCAACCTGGCGCAGGGCCTGCTGTTCTTGGTCACGATGAGCGGACCGCTGCTGGTCGTGCTCCACCTGATCCCCCAGGGCGTGCTGGCCGGGCTGTTCTTCGTCATGGGCGTCCAGGCGCTGGTGGGCAACGGCATCACGCAGAAGCTGCTGTTCCTGGCGCGGGACAAGGAGCTGACGGATGCGACAGACCCGCTGGCGCGGATCGAGCGCCGCGCCGCCATCTGGGCCTTTGTGGCGTGCGAGCTGGCCGGCTTCGGGGCCACCTTTGCCATCTCCCAGACCATCGCCGCCATCGGGTTCCCGATCATCATCCTCCTCCTGATCCCCTTCCGCACGTGGCTGATGCCCAAGTGGTTCCGGGACGAGGAGCTCCGCGCGCTCGACGCCCCCACGGCCGGCGCCTTCGTCATGGAGAGCGTCGGCGGCGCGTACGGCGAGAGCGGCGAGAGCACCCCGTCCGGCGGCGCAGGAGGAGGGGCGTCGTCGCCCCCGGACGAGGACGACGAAATCGCCGTCGTGGACGACTCGCTGGAGCGAGGCGAGAGCCACGAGCTGCAGAGCGTCCTGGCCAACAAGAGATCGTCGATGGAGATTGGCGGGAATGCCGCCGCGGCGACGAGGCGGACGGGGAGTCAGAGCGAGACCCACCGGCCCGACGTGGGCATGAGGCGGAGAAGTCGCAGTTCTCTGAACAGATGAGTTTTCCCCGGAGGTGGGAGGTGGGAGGTGAGAGGTTAGAGATGTGTACATACATACAGCACCAGCACTCTCCCGCGCGGAAACCCCCCTAGAAAGAAAACAAGACGCTCCACTGGAGATATATATGGTGGAGACACCTAGAGATTCGGAGATACACACACACACACACACACACACACACACACACAAAAAGAGATTACGGCGGGGACAGCCAAAGAACCGCTCCCCACGAGATATAGCGACAGCCAGGAAAGATGGACTATCGTAGTCCATCTAGACAAGAACACGGGATAGGCGTGGGACAAGAAGAGGTAGACGGCGGTATGTCCGAGGCGTTGGACCGGGGGGATGTCCAGCACCGGAGAATCGGACGTGGGAGACGCAAAAGTAGGGATGGATATGGAGAGAGAGAGAGAGAGAGAGAGAGAGAAAGCAGGAGGAAGGGGTTTATCGGTCTCAGCAAGCACCAGCATTCCTCTTTCCCCCCCCCCCCCCCCCAAAAGCGCGCGGTATCTATGTGTGCAATTACTCGGGTGTTGTTCAAGGAACTAGTTCACGTCAGACATTATCTCGGCACACTGCATGGATACCAACTGAACACATACATACTCGGTACAATATCTAGCTAAGTAGCTCCGTAACGTACATTATGAACAGATTGGGAGATTTCAATTCAGCGCGATCCCATTCACTCATTCACTCCTGCTTTGCGCCCGCTTGGTACTCCCTTCCCCTTCCCCTTCCCCTTCCCTCGCTGCTGGGCTTGGGATATGATCAATTCTGCTCGATCACCCATCCGTTTCCTTGCGTCCGGTCAATAACATGTAGGACAAGTGAAAAACAACAACAAAGAGACTCGCTATCTCGCCATTCTTCCTGAATGTCACAACTCGGCTCCAAGCCTGGCCGCGCCGGAAGCGAACCTGCGCCACTGCTGAGCGAGATCAGATCCCAACGCCTTGCAATTCCCGACCCAATCCTGCAGAGCCCCAGTCCAGCCCTGACTCCCATTCCCGCGTGCGCCCCCCATGGCGGACGTGATCATCCCCATCACGCTCATCCCCGTGTCGGCGTCAAAGTGGACGATGCCCACCAGGACCAGCAGGCTGAGCAGGCTGCACGCGGAGATGACGTAGAGGCACTTGAGGCGCAGGATCTGGCGGCGGCGGTCGTCGCGGTCGTCGTCGCGGTCGTCGTCGTGGTCGGCGGAGAAGATGTCGTGCTGGGTGCAGAAGTAGGCGAGCATCAGGCCGACCGAGATGGCGATCCAGGCCAGCAGGCTGCGGCTGAGCCGGAGCAGATCTGGCTCCGTCGCCCGCGTGGCCCGGAACACCTGCAGGCACCCAAACGACAGCAGGATCGAGAGGCTGCACAGCCGCACCAGCACCGCCAGCGGGCTGTAGTGCAGCAGCCACCGCGCCATCAGCGACGAGGCGAACATGTGCGCGAGGTAAGCGGCGGCGCCGGCCTGGAAGCGTGGCCAAAGACAAGACACAGCCGGTTAGCATGGGTTGGTTTGATGTTTGCTCGAGTGGATAGGAGGACAAAAAGGGGGGCACGCTGAGGGAGGTTTGTTGCTTTGGCCTCCTCCGAAGGAAAAAAGCAAGGTTGAGCCCAAAGAGCAAGCATTTCAAACCGGACCGGATCGTAAGATGCGTCCTTGGACATTGCAACCGGGTGATGAAACAAGGTGTGTATGCACTCAAAGGAAAGTTCAAGGGTCAAAAGGATGCTAGGACAAGACATACCCAGAGAAAGCTCAAGCATACTTGGGCCACAGCCATGCGCCTGAAGATCCGATGCTCCAAAAGCGAACAACCACTATTCCCAGCGTCCGCACCACCAGTGACACCGATCCTGCCGCGGCCGCCACCGCCCATCGCCGACGACAAGAACAAAGACGACGTCCCGTCCCTCGCCGCGTCGTAGTCCGAGATCAGTTGGTAGATGCTGAAACAAGTCTGGCAAGCCCACCACGCCGCAGACACGGTCGAGAGAGCCCGGCAGAGCAAAAGCGGCACGTGCCACCGAGGCTGGACGCCCAGGAGGACAGCCACTCGTGGATATCGAGCGGACATGGCGACGCTGGCGATGTTGGCGTTCTCGGCGACGCCGCCGCCGCCGAGCACGGGGCCAGGCTGGGAGGGTGGTGACCGGGACGGGCTCAAAGGATTAGCAGCAACAGGGCGGAAGCTCCCGTTGCGTTGAAAGAAAGCATCGCCATATGATGGGGGGCCCAGACGCCCCGAGGTCGCCAGTTGGAAAATGGTGCTGCAGCGCTATGGCGGCTGCATAGCCTTCCCCAGGATGTGGTGAGGTGGTCCCGCCCCTGCAAAGCCAGAAATTAACCAATTTCTTTCTAGTCCAAGTCAAAGTTCAAACACCTGGTTCCTGTATACGAAGGCCGACTCTAGACGGGTGTTATTAGGGCGAGGAAACAGCCTTCCGCTAACAAAGGGGAACGGAGAGAGCAAAAAAAGGGGAGGAGGCGCGTGACCGGTTTTATATGTAGATACGATAAGGGCAGCGGTTGAACCACACAAGAGCTCAAAGGCTGCTCGCCTCAAATTACCCCAGACTCTTGGCGGCAGAGCCAGTCCGGCAGCTTCAGCTGGTACATTCATGGAAACCAGATGGAAAGGGCTTAGTCCATGCACGTAGGCGTTGGTTGACCCAAAGGTGTCGCGGTGGCGTAAAAACGGCAGGTCATGAAGAATGGGAACTCGACGAGAAACAGTGGAAACGACTGACGCAGCCGCAAGTCAAATACGTTGTTTCCAACATGTGGAAAGTGATTTCAAAGCTACCGTGCATGGACTGGTGGGATCAACGATAGAAACCAGCCCAATCCTTGTCTCTCATATTCCCAGCCGAGTGCTGTTCGCACCATCGTCACCACCGAATGTTGCTGATTCCTATCCCGTGCCGCAACAGTCCGATCCCACCCCATTCCGTCCGAAGGCAAAATATCCATCGTGGGTATCATCAAACGCATAACCTTATCGCATCCCAAAAGTGCTATCGTGACGAGGCCACTGCATCGACCAGCGAAGACGAACAGGCCAGAAGTAATCGTTCAAGGAACATGATCGGGGACTCAGTCGACAACTTCTATCGGTCCTCGATGACCGAGCAGGATAGCACAGGATGCCGGCTGAGGCGTTTAGAAACCATGGACCTGGCATAAACTTAGTACAGGGTCATTGCATAGGGGCGGCAGCATCTGCTTACCTTGATAGTCTTTGCGTCGAGCTCGAGGCCGTCCTTGGCGACCAAGAATTCTTGAACATCTTTGCGCTGATCACCTTGAAGCTGGATCACCTCGCCCATCTCACTGTCCGTGACGATTGTGCCATTGCAGGCTGTTTCTCTTGTCAGCCAATGCTTTTATACGCAGTACCTCTCTTCACGTACCGAATTTCTTCTTGATGACTTTGAGGATCTTCTTCTGGTCGAATTTCTTCGGAAGGCCTTGGACGGTGGTCAGAGTCTTACGACCATTGCGCTGCTGGATACGAATGTGGATGTAATTCTGGGATTGCTTCGCTTCCCCAGTGTCGTCGTCGGCCTCCGCGAAGGGGTCTGTGAGACAACGAAGTCAGCCATGAGTCACACAAAGAGTCTTTGAGCCGTGCTGCACGCGAGGCCGTCGTAGAACGATTAACGCTGCATCCGAAGCACGCTCCTCAACAGTCACTCGCAACAGTATACGATGGTGAGGCACGCGATAGTGACGAGTGGTTTGGTGATGGGCACATCGGCAGAAGTGGCGAGAGGGGGTGAGAAGAGGGGTCGGCTTACCAAAGGTTCTGAGGTTTTGGATAGTTGACATAAACTCGTTTGTCTCGAGAAACGGGTTGATATGAAAGGAGAAGTATCAATGATGGGAGGGTGAAGACCGTTGAACGTCCGGATTGCAAGCGAAAGAGTTGTTGCTGGAGTGGAGAGTCTGGTGATGGGTTGTTGGTTTGGTATGAGAAGGAGAAAGAAAAGGAATGGGGGAGGAAAAGGGCTGATGCAAGAGGCGAACCGCAAGAGGCAGTAACTGACTGGTTGGGTGCAGGGCAGTTGGTGGGGTTGGGCAAGGGAGGAAAGGAACCCGAAAGAATCACCGCGCCCGTTGCCCTGCCTCTGTGGCCCCTACAAGCCACTACAGTCAAATTCGTTGCGGGCGCCAAGGCCCATGTGGCACGGCACGGGTGGTAATTACCTGCTGCGCCCAACTACGACCTGGGCAAGTGGCAAAATTAATTGGCGGGCTCCAGATTCCAGGTTCCAGGCCCCTACAAGTAATTGAGGCTCGTGATTGCCATCCCCCAAGACCCCGAAGTTGGGGAAATCTCCTGGTCGTACAGGTACTGAAAATGACATGTGACGATGGTAGAACAAAGTATTTCTTTGACTTCCGCTGTCTGAATCTGGATTCGATCGGCATCGCCCTCACTGCGTTCATCTCAAAGTCGCAATTGCAGCTCCTGTGACCAGAAACAGGAGGAGAGATCCAACAGTGACCGTCACTTCAACCCAGAGACAAATCGCAGAGGGATGCCTCCATACATTGCCGCCCCTGTCGCAGAGCCAGCAAATAACCTATACAAAATTCCCTCGCGCTTCTTCGCAGATAAATCCTCCAATACCGCCTGACTTGACTATTCGTCACGATGAAGCGGCCGGCGGCACTGCTGCTGGTCCTCTGGCATTGGGTGGCGGCGGTAGAAACAAGGGCATATATGTCTGGAACGCATGAGTCGGTCTTCGGTACCTTAGGTTGAATAGTGACACAACATACCACGCCGACGGCAAGCACTTTCAGATATATCAGCTTCAGATTCATCGATGCGAAGACTGTTCTGCCACTTACCAGCCATACCAAAAGACAAATATCCGGGGGTACCATTGGGGCTCTGCCTCTGGGCTGGTGTCTCGCCCAACCAGTTCAAAAGAGCTGTCATCAAAGCAAACCTGGTCCTGTCAACTCAAAGCAACGTTCTGTTTTCATCCGCCTTACCAGCCAAGCATCCTGATCGCTGTTGTTAGCGGTAAACAGGATCACAGAAAGGCTGCTTCTTACCTATTTCTAGTGAACATCTAATTCGCCGTCAGCGTAGGATTCAAAAGCACAACAGCCCCCTCTTCCACTCACAGCTGCCATAGGCATGGTACTCGTCAAAGTCGAACTGAAATCAGTGGGCTTCTCGTCTTTGGGCTCGACATAGGGAATGACTGGATGGGTTTGGTCAGCTTCTGCGTTCCTCCAAATCTGAAAAAGTCTCAGAACTGACCGAGATCCGCCCTCCGCATATCCTTTTTGGCAGACATAGCTGGAGTCTAGCAAGTTGGATAATGCTGTTCGCGCATTTACATGCAAAGCGAAAGTCAGCTTCGAGAGCGAGACTCTCAACAGGTCCTTCGCTGGCAAAACCCTGGATCTGAGCTGGGTTTGCCAGAGACGCTCCAAAAGGTAAGTGTGACGATGTCACGTGGACCAGAACCTTCTTCAGTTCAGCACTGAGGAAGGTGGGCCGAGAGCTGTACCTACTTGTAGGCAACGAATACGGTGATGCTGCTTTTATGAAGGGTTAGAGCCTGTTCACGCCGGCACTATGAGGACCTATAGAGCAGCGTCAGACTTGTCTGCATTTGTCCAACATTCAACTGCGCTCGCGCCGTCTTTTCTTTTCCCTAGAGCTTTGTCGACCTTGCCGACAAGGCCATCAATTGGCAAGGCAATCATTTCTGTGCGATCCTGTTCAAGATGGCGCATCCTGTGGCCAGAGTCTCCAGCAACAGTCTCAAGTTACCCTTACCTTTGACGGCCTCTGGCCAGATCCTCCAGATCTGCCCTCAATGCGCGCATCGTTTACCTTCTATCCACACTCGCCAGTTCACAACCACTCGACGCAGAAATGCCGCCGGCGTTGTCCAGAGCATTCCCAACATCGATTCCAAGCTCCCGAAACATGTTTCCATGAAGAGCCAGATGAAAAAAGCCAACAGGCAACAGATAGGCACTGATCTGGGAAAGCTGCCCCAGACCTTCATTCTCCCTGCCGCCAAGGACCTGCCGGGCTGGATGAGCCCTAATTTTATGAAGAGAACAAGGATTCATTGGCTACAATTCAAGACTGCTGTCAAAGACTGGTGGAGGTAAGGGACATGACTCAATTCCGGACCAACCTGGGTAAATGGCTGACCTGCTATCTAGCTTGGTGGTTTTCCTGAAATGGGACGTCAAACGAGACCCTCTCACGGGCAAAAAGCTGAGGAAACCGCTGGAGCTCTCCCAGAGAAATCAGATTGCGCGAGACCTGCACAAGGAATTCCATGAGGCCTTGGGCGAGGGCGACCTGAAAAGGCTACAGGTCATTTGCTGCGAAGGTCTGATGGCGCAGGCGAGGATGCGCGTCGAGCAACGGAAAGCCTTGCGCCGGAGGAAGGAACCTTGGCAGCTTCTGAGTTACTCCGGCATTCGCTATCCCGCCTGGCTGGAGAGATGGCCTCTCTCGGGGTTTCTCCCCGGAGCAAGCACCAGGGTGGTGTCGGACAGGCTTGCCCCGTTGCCGTTCGCAGACACCTACCTCCGCCAGTGCATTGTCCGCATCAGCAGCGTCCAGAACTATTTGCTCGCCGACCGGGACAAGGATATCTTGCTGAAGCATACTGATTATGTGGTGATACAAAAAATGACTACCAAGGGCGAGGAAGGGCCTTGGAAGATATGGGGTCTGACGGAGCCGACCACCACGAAGGAGATTGATGGGTTACTTGAGGGCAAGGGACAGGAATCCGGTACCACCCTCGCGGAGAGGATACGGGACAAGATCTCCGGTATTGCAGGCGTCTAGCCGAAGACCACAGACCAGAAAGCTGGTCTCGCAGCTGATCGATAGGCTCATCTGCTGCTCGACACGATGTGAAATCCATACCAGCGTCAGCCGAGACCAATCCCACTCCTGTCCTTCTCTCCCTGAGCGCCTTCCAGCCGACAGGGAGTGGCGTTGGAGAGAAACTCCAGAGAGCGTTGTTGCTCGACAGCGCACAGCCTGCTGTACAACTATATGTAACCATCCTGGCCAAAGATATGTTTGAGCTCGAGGGCGCCATCCATGATACTTCTTCGTTCGACACTCCGTCCGATCAACTTCCCTCCTCGCCTAGTTGTTTTGTTCCCTGGTAGTATTTTCCATTACTCCGAGCCCAGCCGCGCGTGATTATCGTGGTCCTCTCCCATGGCATTGATTCATTCATCTATTCGTTCGTTCGTTCGTTCGCTACATACAGGCTTGCACCAGGTCCTGACGTGGGTGGGTACTTAGGCCGGGATGTAGACATCCAGCGATCTAGATATGGAGGGAGAGAACAGACCTGTCCAGGGGAGCCAAAGGAAGGACTCAGGTCCCGTAGTGGATGGGGCTCTCATCAGACTTCTCCCTCTTCCGACCACAGGCAGGCAATATTGACATACGCGACTCCCGTCCTAGTGCAGATCAAAGCTAACTCGGCGAAAAAGAGAGGGGGGGGGGGAGGGAGGGGAGAGAGAACGGAAATGTGACAGTTCGTCGAGTGGTAATGATGGAATCCAAGCATGGAACATGGACTCGTAATATCGCTCTTTCTGGGCTCTGTCCCCTCAAAGGTAATAAGCCGCCATCAAGCCGCTTACTTTCCACCATGCCTCTTTGTTTTCCACCTTCTGGGTGCCCATGGTGGCTTTGGGCCGCACTACTGGTGGCTGCTGAGCGGGCACACTCCTGAGCGCCGACTTTGCTTTCGAGGCCCATACGAGTACCACAGGTTTGTAGTAGCCTATTCCTCTCCTGTGTTTTGGGGGAGGGGGAGGGGGGGGGACAAGAGCATGGAAGAAGAAGAAAGAGTTCCCCTAGACACCATCTCAAGGTTGAACAAACAATCTCCGTGTTTTCCTCCCTGGCTTCCTCCGTGTCGTCAAGTCTGTATTCCCAATCGACTCCGTTCGGTACTTAAACCCATCGGTTCCTAGAGCTATATAGACATTTGCCAGAGTTTCTTGCGGCTCTGCCAGAAGCGTCATACATAACAGGGCATGGCCGTGGTCATCAAAGTCATAACATCGTAAAAACGTACCGATGAAACTCATCCTGCGACTCAGGCCTTTTGAAACAAATCAACCAGTGTATAAGCCCTCCGACATGGAGCCATAGCCTTCTGGCCATCCGTTCCCTCCGCTAGGAGGTGATTTGGTGTCGAAAGGAGTGGCAGTGAACATCGGGGAGCAGTGCAACTGGAAAAGGCTGAGCCCAAGGGTGCTCATATCCCCCTTCTAAATTGATCGTGTGCCTTTGCGACCATAAACTTCGACATAGAAACCTTCTTTCATGCTGCTGCTGTTAGGCATTTGAAGCACAAAAGAATACAAAAAACTGGCGCCGTGACAATCGATGCGAATGTGCTGTACAAGAATCCAACGCAAAAAGATCTCCGGTTTGGCAAATCTGTGAGGCCTCGTCTCCAGTCTCAGGTGATGGAATCCCTTCGTACTCAGCTCAAAGCCGCTAAGTGACACGGTGAGGGAGGGTATACCTGTTGAACTTGACAGGGTCCTGAGCACGATAGTCTACAATGGTCAGAACAAGCGCATGCGCCTTTTTCCCGCCTTGTTGTTTCCATCGGTGCGTTGATTGAGGACCTCGCGGAGTCTAGGGTCAAGACGATCTTCATCCGAGTGATGCTGCCGTACGTGCCGCTGCAGGTTGTCGGGCCGAGGATACCGATGTTGCTGGTCCGGACAGAAAGGACATATATACCCGGGAGATCTATGAACCAAGCCATGTCTGCGGGGAATGGAAACAATTAGCATGAGAAGTCTCTTTTTCGGTACGGATCGTCCCACCTGATCATCTCATTCTTCCTCTTAAAGCCCAGGCCACCATACCCCCGAGGGCAATCTTTGATCGGACAGAAATGAGTTCGCTCGTTAGAATGGACATTCATATGGCTGTTTAACAGGTATTGAGTCTGAAACGGTGCAGCATTACATCCTTCGTGGGTGCACTTGAAAGGACCCAGCGAAAAGCGAGCAACTGAGGCGGGGTTGGGGGCCAGCTCGGGCTGAGGTCTTGGGTGAGACACAGATCGAGGTTGAGTTTTCGACGCAGATTGCGCTTCTGGCTGAGGCTGTTCAGACTCCGAATCAAGATCAGATTCAAGTTCGGATAGCTCGGAGAGCTCGGATTCGGTCTCGGATCCAGCCTGAGATCCAGCCTCGGGTTGGGTCACAGGTTGCATTTGAGGTTGAGGCTGAGGCTGAGGTTGCGCTTGGGGTTGGGGCTGGGCTTCGAGCTCGGGTTGAGGTTCAGGCTCAGGGGGAGACTGAGGTTGAGGCTGAAGCTTCGATCGAGCGGCGGGTTTGGGCTGAGGTTTGGGCCGTTGAAATCGAAGTTTTAATCGGGGGTTTGAACCCGCTTCAGGCTGATATAGAGATATGAATCGAACTTCGCCTTTAGGTAGGAGGTCGGTGTCCATGGTTGGGACATGATGCATCCTGCTGCCCTCCTCTTGCTCCTCCTGATCGTGCTCAGGTAGTGCGGTTAATGAAGAGGGACCGGAGGCTGCCGGAGATGGCGTGATGATGGACGAGGCTGGAGTCGAGACAGAGAGAGAATTCGAGGAAGTATAATCTGAAAATGTTGACGTATTGGAATTCCCCGTCGTCGTCCGCCAGTTGTTGTGAGAGGGGGGATCCGGTGGAGACATGGCGGAATATGCTGTGTACGACGCCGGAGACGCATAAGAGGCAAAGGGCCGACCCATGCTCGGAGACAGGCAGGCAAATGCCCCCGGGCTTGGGTCAGGTAGGTCTCCAATGGCGATCTTCAAAGACGGAAGCGTCATCCTATAGTCTGGTAGACCTGCAGGCGAGGAACGTGGTGGGGACCTCTGTTGCATGGCTGGCAAGGTGAAATCTGGATGTGCATCACGGGGAGATATCGCAAACTTTCCCAGAATGGGTGACTTGAGGATTGAGTCGTCATCTTGATCGCCGTCACGAATGTTCGTAGTAAGATTCAGCCGCAAATTCGGATACAGCGGGCGAGTTCTCGGGGGTGGGATTGTATCGAATTGCTTTCTCGACAGATCTGCGTGCTTGGAGGCAGTATGAGCCTGTCCTGTCGACTTTTGGATACCCTGCGTAACCCGAGGCGACCGTACCGGTTGCTCTTCAGCCACACTGGCGGGAGTGTCCACCATGGGGAAGTCCTCGTCCTCGTCGTCCCCGTCATCAGGACCATCTGGATCGGCAAGCAAGGCCTTCCGCGGCACCGGCCTTGGTTTGATTGAAACCCGGTGTGCTCCATGCCGAATGACCCTTTTGGGCCTTCTCATCTGTCTCCGGCCACGTTGGGCCGCATTGTCGTCGTCATCGTCGCCGTCCTCTTCCTCCTCTTCCTCCTCTTCTTCCTCTTCCGATTGACTTCTCGAGTCCAAAGGCTCTCGCCGTGCTTCGCTAGCAAGTGTGCGTTGATTAGGATCTAGGTTCAGAATCAGTACGCCATCGGCAAAGGTGCGGTTGGCTCGACCCTTTCGTGCTAGAGGCTTCTCCCGATGTCGCAGTGCTTCCCTATCCTCCGCCTCGGAGGGATTAGAAGATAGCTCGTCGATGGGCACAAGCGGTGCAGGGCTAGATCGTGGCCCGTACTCTGGCTTCACTGGCTCAAGGCCGGGGCTTCTGAGGGGTGCAATAATATCCCGCTCGACGTCGAAATAGATATCTTGATCTTTGGACATGAGTGAGCACGACAAATCACATGGCAGATCATCCGCAATACGGATGAGGCAACGGCGCTGAGACGAGCAAAGAGTATTGTTTGACTATGGAGGCAAATGTCGTCTGGGATCGATGTCTCTGGACCATATGACATGTCAGTGCGTGAAATTTTCAACTTCACCGGTTGGACACCCTCCAGCAGGAGCGCTTGACATGGAAACAACAGGGACTCGCTGGACGTGCTGCTATTGCCCGTATCGATGGCCCGCAGGACATGCCAACTGATTGCCAGAAAGGAACGAGCAGCGGGGAATGGGGGAGGGGTAGGGTTTTGACGAACTCAAATGGTTCCAGACCGTGGTCAGGCGGCAAGGCAAGGGTGGTGACTTGCGTATTCGGGCACGTAGCGGCTGAAGAGGAATGGCAATGCATTGGCCCAAGACGAAAGCAAAATTGGGGGAGGGGTGGTAAGACTCTCATACCGGGAAAGCAAAAGGGCTTGATGCTGGTACCAGTGTGACTCGAGTCAGTTGATAAGATGGCGGGAAAGTGAGGGGTATTTGTAACACAAGGTCGGGATGAGGCTCTTGGAGGCTCTGAGGAATTGGCTGATCGGGAAGCACTGGTAGGGTTGGGGCCTGGAGGCAGAGAATCAGGTCGACTCGGGTGGTCTTGGATGTTTTGGATAGCTCGGAACTGCTGGTGGTGATGGCGGTGTTGGCGGTGATGGCGGTGACAAAGACGCAGACAAAGAAAGAGAGATTTTGAACCGAGTCTGTGAGTTGGCACACCGCAGGCGAACCGACCGACGACTTGACTGCTCAGGTTGCGAGGCTGCTTGGATGCGGAGCCGAGCAGAGAGTCTTTAGGTTGGGATGAGAATTGACCAGTCGAGTCAAAGTCACCTCACCCTCTCACCTCTCTTCCCCTCGTTTTCTCGTTCTCCTTCCCGTTTTCCTCGTCCAAGGTTTGAAGGGATGAGGAAGCAGAAAGAATTGCTGGAGCCTTGGGGGGCTTAGCGTGAGCAGGTGGACAATCACAGCACAGCCCCTCGCCAAATGCACCTTCGGGGATTCAATGGTTACAAGTCCGTTAGGGTTGGGAGAAGGGGAAAAACTGGATGGGAACGGGAATGCCAGGTTCGCTAGGATGATCCCTGGCCTTTGTATGGGCTACGTGTTGCGAGGTCCAAGGTTTGGGTGGCTACATGGCTACGTGAGAGGTGATGGGAGTGCGTTGTTGTTGTAGCTAAATCCAGGCTTAGGTTGTGCCCGATGCATTAGGGAGCCCATGCACGGTCTGGAATTGAGGCTGCTAATGACGGAGCCATGGCTCCCCTCTAACGCACCTCATCCCATGGAGGCTCGCGGGAACAACAAAGCTGAAGGCAGGCGAGGAGGCTCCTTTAGGCGACGAGGACTGTCGCTGAGGGAGATCAATCGGATCGAACACGGCCTGGGGGGGGGGGGGGGGTTGGAAGCCTGGTAAGCTTCATCCTGATAGGCGAACCACACCCCCCAAGTCCCCTAACTGCGCGAGCGACCCACTCTACCAGGGAAGGCTGATTCCAATGAAGAAGCCCGTCCAACCAACCCTTTCCAGGGACGGGTGAGGGAAAAGAAGGTTGCTGGATATGACCGGAAGGACAGAAATATCACATCACACATAACAGGGGATAACAACGGCCACGGCAATAGCACAATGCATCAACGGAGGACTTTGTTCCGATCCGACCAGCCATGTCAGATACCTTGGGAGTGCGAGGGAAATCCAAAGGAGACAAGAAGAGCAGTGGAGCAGTAAGAGAGCGACCAGACAACGAGAAACCAGACAGAGAGATGGGGAGGGGAGTGCACGTAACATCTGAGACTGCGCCCTGAGATTATGCCATCCGGGTTGATGCGTAACGAGAGGCGAGAGGTGAAAGGTGAGTGAGAGATGAGAGAGTGTCTTGATCTCTTCTTGCATCTCTTGGTTCTGACGCTCTCTGTGGCTCTCTTCCTTGCTTCCTGCACACTCGGCTGCTCCCTCCAACTACCCAACCAAGAAAGTGCTAGAGGCGACCGCGGCAGCTGATTCCCATGCATGAAGAAGCAACAACACCCTTCCGCCCCTCCCTCTTCTCTACGATAGGCATTCCCACACCACAGAGGCAGGGCGCTGGCTGGCACCCGCAGGTGCCAGCAGCACAACAGCACTTGGGAGCACTACGCCTTCGTTTCTCATTGGTGTTGGTGGCTTGCCTCACCTCACAAATTGGGCCTCAAAAGCGCAATTCCAACCCCCCAACATCCATGGAGGCCAACTGCGTCACAACCAACGATGATGTTGGCCCTTCTCTGCCCATCCTCCATCGTCTGTCGACCCTCTCGTTCTCTCTGCCCCTCTCTCGCCCTCCTCTCGACCTTTTCTTCCCACAGTCTGTCACCGTCCGGCTTTCTCCCTCATTCAAGGTCCACTCGGCTTAACGGGCGGTTCCAGAGCCTCAATTCATATGATTAGCTGAAGTCTGACCCTTTTTAGCTTCACAGGGACGCCCCGCAGTCGCAAAGAACTTGCTTGGAAGCCGTCCGCAGCTTCCTCACTTCTCCCCGGCCGGTCGCCTAAACCTCTTGGACACCAAGGGCTCTGGTCTAAATATGCAAGACTACGAGTTCACTTCCCGTTCGAACTTGGCGGAACAGCCAAAGAGATCGCTTCAAGACTGCACGGCAAGTCTCTTGTGTTGGCCGATGGCGTCCCCATGTCGTTCCAGTCTAGTCCAGTCCAGTCCAATCCCATCCTCATCCGAAGCGACAAAAATCTCTCAGCCCCCGACCACGGATGCGCTAACTAGGCTCACAAGGATGTAGCTTCCGGCAAGCTACAACACCTCGGAGACCTACTCCCACCACCACCTTGCTTTTGCCCTGCCACATCTGGCTATACAGAGGAAACTGAAAATGGTCCTGCAACAATGGTATCATGTTCCAGTTGACGGTGAGTATTCGAGGGTATATACTGGCACGGTTACTCGTCATCGGACCGTTGTGACACATGAAACCTAGCGCGGAAGCCTTATTGGACCAAGTTATCGAAAAGGATTTGGGGCTCGGTACGGCCTCCCAAATCCTGATGTACTTGTAGGATACGGAGTACGGACAACATTGCCAACCCTCGCGTGTAATCTATTATTGCGCTCTATTGTGACGTCTATGTGATCCAAAGCGTGACGAACAGCAGCGACAGGTCCAGCTACCTGTTTTGGGCACATCGAGGTCGTCGGGGCTGACTCCACCGTGAACTCGTGCTCACCGATTCGATGCTTCTCCTTGTCCCGATTCCGGATTTCCACAACCTATCCCCTCTGTGAGGAATGAGCGGACCGCTGGATGTCGCTGAACGAGTCCTGCTGAACCGTCGCTAAAGGCGTGGCTTAGCGAGGAGCCGGCGACCCATCCTCAGCACAGCCCGCACCTGCGTTGGTCCAGATCGGGCGGTAAGCCGCTCAAACAGAAAGTGCAAATTAAGAAACCCATGCGAGCCCTATGCCAAAACTCGTTGGCGTCTGAGCTGGAAGCGATTGTCCTTCTCGACTCGAGGATATCTTGTTCACCACCCGGTCCGCTGTGAAGAGCTTCTGGGACTGGGTGCTCCCGTATTCTGACTCGTTACTCGAAGCACACGAAAACGGCCTGGTCAGGGAGACTCCCGATATGTCTGGATTGTGCAGTCAACGACTGAGTAATGGCCGTTCTGGGTCGTTTTCGTCGTCTGAGCTCTTGCACATCTCCTTGCGTCCCCGGTACAGAATATAGTGTTGCAGGATGAAGAGCAGGTCGAACCCCATGCTAATGTTCGCGAGCCCAAGCTTCAGAGGATTCCCAGTAATTCCACTCCAGTCACCGCCGAAGCTCGCATCGAGTACCAGCTGCGCAATGGACAGCACCCCTCCGGTAAGATCGAACAAGATCTGCAATATGCTCCAACCTTCGGTCGATTGGCGCTTATAATTGAAGAAAGCCTGCGGGATGTACTTAACAAAGGTGCATACGAGCTTGACGTATCCCAAAGTGTACAGCTGCGGATGGTCCTCGTTGTTAGTCATTCGGGTCGACAACAAAGAGGTAGAAAGGATATCTCACCACATCTATCCAAGCCCAGTCCATTGGATCTTGGTCCCTCAACCCTGAGCGAAAAGTCACCAGTACAAACGTGCCAGCAACAGCAAGAAGGCTCCCCCAAACGATTGCCAAAACCGGGCGACTGGCTCGCTGATGAGCTGACTCTCGAAAGCCCCATAGCCGTGAGAAGAATTGCGAGTACGTCAAGATGACGAGCACGACCGCATGCAGGCCAAAGGCAACATCGTTCGGTTGAACGGTCGGCTCTGGCGATGCCGGGTGCCTCACTGCATATTGTTTTCGAATTGTTGGTGAATATAGGAAAGAGCAAGTTGATGCGCTGTAGCATACAAACCCGAGGACGTTGAGAAGCGGAAAGTCAATGGCAAGGCCTTGAGTAGACCGGCGCTTCCAGTTCAGCCACGGTTGAGGATAGAATGAAGCGCTCCAAGACAACGTACTGTAACCCGAGTTAGCGGTGAGGCCGTTGGCCAGCAAGATGCTGGTCTCTCAATGGACTTACTAGACCCATCCAAGAAGTCTGGAGAAATGTATCGGTTAGTACCAAGGATCTGTGTCTAGCTTATCTGGGCACTGATAAGGGCGATTAAAAATTCGTACCTCGACACTGCTCTTACAAAGCGAGCCCACTGGTCAGCATCAATCATGGTCGATGTCGAAAGGAACTACAGATGAATCTGTGTGCGGCGGCGGCAGTGGCATCGATCTGAATCGTCGTTGGGCTTTTTGCGCTCGTGCTTCACCTCATGAGGATGGATGGTCGATGTCCCAAAGGCCGACACTTTAAAAGGCCTGATGAGCCAGGGTGTTGATCGTGGTGCGGGTAGCCACGGGCGGAGGCGATGGCGTGGCGAATCGACAGTGAAGAAATCGCCAGGCCCGCTGGTGCCCGCCTGGCGGCCTCCGGTGCCTGTCTTTAGCGGTTCTTTCTGGGGGGCGCGCTGCCGGGGCTTATGGTTGTTGCCCATCCTACCGCTCTGGCTCGATCTTGGCAGTCACCTGCGCTGTCGCAAGCAAGCAGGACAACTCACCACCCAGTCCGGCCGCATCCAGACAATCCAATTGTCCATCACGCACTTGCTCTTGTGATACTTTCCTACCGACTTACGAGTAGGCATCATCTCAGCTCCAAGCCCGTCTCCTGCGCCTTGCCACAGTATATTCAATTCGAATCTCTCCCAGTAAAACGGCGTCGGCCATTCATCTACCCCGCTTGCCGAGCTCGAGTAAACAAAGCGAAGATCAGTGACAGCTCCCGATCGAGCCGCAAAGACACCCAACGGCTGCTGCACAGGAGAAAAGCAAAAGTCGTTCCCACCTTGGATGGTTTCAACCTCTTGACCGTCGGAGGAAAAGCCTCCCGCAAAGCCCATCTGTCAATTGCAGATACACACTCTGCACTCGAGTCATGTCGCCCTCACCGCAACTCTCTCCCCCAGGGAGCAGCACCTACGATTCCAACACGATGCATGTAGGCGATGGAACTTGGGATGCAGGAAGAGATGACTTTCTCCTACCCAATCTTGTGGGACTGAATTTCGCGACAATGAGATACAATGGTGAGAAGAACAAAATTTTCAGCAATTCTGCGGTGAAAACGGGTAGACTGACGCGGTAAAATATCAGGAATGGGAAATCGCTTCTTCTCCTTAACCGGTTACCATGGTCTGGTCGAGGCGCACGGTATCATCGCTGCCATCACATTCCTCGGGATCGTCCCGCTCGCGATCTTCCTCATGCGATTTTATGGCCGCCAGCCCCGACTCGCTCTCCGAATGCACATATGGCTCCAAATCCTCACACTCCTCTTGAGCACGGTGGTCATCATTCTCGGCTTTCAAGCTGTAGGCCCGAACCGAAGCTTGACTAATCCACATCATGGGATTGGTGTTGCAATATACGTCTTGATCTGGGTTCAAGTCATGGGAGGCTGTATGGTGCACCGGAGAGAAAAATGGAAGAAGCGTGCACACATTCCTCTCAGCGCCATGCTCCATCACTGGCTGGGCCGTGCCATTGCTCTGCTCGGAATCATTCAAGTCCCGCTTGGTTTGACTCTTTACGGGTCGCCTCCTTACTTGTTTGTTCTTTATTCACTATGGGGCTTTTTCTTACTTTTCTTGTATTTTGTCCTGCAATATCTGGCCGAGAGGCGAAGAGGTCGCTACGGGCCCGGCGGCGGCAGCAACCACCATGTTGACGTTGTTGAGACCGCCGACGACCGCAGACACACAGGGTTGGGAAAACTGGCACTGGCCGGAGCAGCTGGTGCGGGTCTCGCAGCACTGTTCAGAAGACGATCTTCGAGGAGGGATGATTCGCCTCACCGTGTGCATGGTGGTTCTGGAACTGAAGTGACCGGAAGTGGATCGTCTTATTACTACGATGACGACAAATTGTCCGATCGGTCTCGCCATGGGATTGGACATCGTCTTTTGCAGATCGCAGCTATCGGAGGAGCTGTCGCTGCGGTCAAGAAGCTGATGGGCCGTAGAGACCGCGACGACGACTCGGACGTTGGCCCTTACAGACCACCCCTTGGTGGGAATCAGTCCGTCACGACAGACTCGATGTCGCGAATCGAAGAAGGCAGGCCGCCCCCCATTCGTCCAGTTACCCCGGTTGGTGTCAGTCCGGGCCACATTCGACCGACACATCCTCTCGCCCAAACTCCCATGACGCCAGGCTCGGATGGACGCAGACCTTCCGGGTCACTGTACTCGTACGATTCATATATGTCTGGATCTCCATCCAGGCGCGACCGGAGATCGCACGGATTCCGAGATGCCGTGGCCGCAGGCGGGACAGTGTTCGCGATTCGACAACTCTTCAAAAACCGCAGACAGCGGAAAGAAGACCTTCGTGCAGAACAACTGAGGAGAGAAAAGATCGAGGATGAGCGAAGGGCACGCATGGACTCGGCTCACAGGTACACCGGCGATGGATTTGCTCCCCCAAGACGAGCTCGCCACGGCAGGATGGGCAGTCAGACTGCTTCGGACATATCGACCGATCTGGGACCGCCTGGAATGAGCGGAGCCATCCCAGCTGCAGCAGGAGCAGGTGTAGGTGCCGCTGCAGCGAGTGCCCTTGCCGACAGAGATCGAATCAGACCCGTTGGCCAGGATCCTCCCATCGTGCAGCCTGGCCCGCCTTCTGCTGCTTTTCCAGTTCCCGTTCCCGGTCCCGGTCTCGGCCAAGCAGATATCCCTCCTGTGCCACCGCCTCACCTGGACTCATCGGGCAGCGAACTTTACACTACAGGGTCCGGCAGGCAACGACATCGACATCATCTCCGCGACGAAGCCGCAGCTGGACTGGCAGGAGCCACCCTCGGAGCCGCAGCAGCGGAGGACTCCCACCGTCGCCGAAGACAAAGCAGTCGCAACAACGCGACTGACAGCGTGGAGTCCCCTCCTGTCAGTGTTAAAATAAACATGCACAACGATGGCCGCCAAGTGACCCTTCGGCGGTTGACGGAAGAAGAGGCCGCCGCACAGCGTGAAGCCCGGAGAAGAGAACGCCAGGCTTCTGCGGCGGCGAGAAGATCAAGGAGAGGCTCCAGTCTCAGCGGGAGTGACAGTGAGGCGATGGGGGGAACTAGTGCTGATCGACGATGGAGACGCACTGAAGCGCTGGAAGCCGAGCAGGCCGCGCAGAACGAAGCTGCGGCTCAAGCTGCTGCCACGCCATATTCAGCCGCAGCCAGAACTCCTCAACCACCAGCGTCTGTTGCTGGGATCAGCCCTGCTCCCACGATACCATACCCTACACCCCCCGAGCCGCCGAACGTGCACCCAGGCACTGGCCAGCCATATCAAGTGCCTCTACCTCCACCCCCGCCTATCCCAGGATCAGCCAGCAACCTAGGGTACCCAGCGGGAAGCGGCGTCACTTCTCCTGGGACGGAGACGAGTGGGGCGACGGAGTATGCTAACAACCGGAGAAGGAGGCGGGCGGAACGGGCCCAGGCAAGGTTAGCCAGGGAAGGGAGAACCGGGGGAACGGTTGAGTTTACCTGATCAGATCTCAGCCGTGTCTGAGACACCGCTGCGAGACTGGAGTGACAGCGCTTTGGAGGCGCGCGCATGTGTATGGAAGCTGACATGAAAATAACGACTGTGGCATTCATGGTTTTGTGAGCATGTGGTGTATTAATCTGCACAAAGCAGTCTGTGATATGTGTTTTATAGAGCATTTCTGGCATCCCTTTGGCGCCATGGTATATCATAGGCTTGGAAAGGATGCCTGACGAGAATGATGAGATGAGGATGCTTCCTTGGAGCCATATTGTGCAGGAAACTTTCCACTTGGGATAGTGACCAGAAAAGGCCATGAAGACCCGCTGATAATGAAACGTTCGTGCAAGCTCATCGCAGACGATGTTGAGCCGCACGGAAAGCCTTGAGCGCGCAATCAACCGTAATCCCGCTAGGACAATACAATCATGGTCACATCGATTGAGTCGATTGACCTTGTCTTCACCAGGACCTATGAAAGCTGCAGTCGTAGAAGAGCGCACTTCACCCATTCGGTCCCGGTTATGTTGTCTTGACGATGCCAAACTTGATCAGACTCTCTCCCGTCGCCACCAGTGCATCAACGGGCGGTCGAGGCTGCCAGCCCAACAGTGTCTTTGCCTTGTCGTTGGAGATTTGTTTCAACTTGCCGAGCTCCGGGACAACCAGAGCAACACTCGGGTCAAAGAGGGCGACCAGCCTCAGGAGGAAGTTGGGCAGTGTCCTGGTGGGCGCGCGCTTGGCCGCGCTGCCCATCCTCTCGCGCAGCGCCAGCGAGATTTGCTGGACGGTCATGCCCGGCGGGGAGACGGCCAGAAAGCGCTCGCCCTTGGCCTTGGGGTCGGTCATGGCGCGGAGGTGCAGGTCGGCGGCGTCGCGCACGTCAACGATGCCGAACTGCACCTGCGGACAGCCCGGCAGCGAGCCGTTCAGGAGGCGCTGCACCAGAATGATCGAGGTCGCGAAGTCGGTGCCCAGCACGGGGCCGAAGATGCCCACGGGGTTGACCACGGCGAGCTCGAGCGATCCGCCGCCCTCGCCGCTGTTGACAAAGTCCCACGCCGCGCGCTCCGCCAACGTCTTGCTCTTCTGGTAGGCGCCGACGCCGGGCCCGTTGACGTCGCTCCACACGTCCTCGGTGTAGGGCACGCTGGGCGGGTGGTCGTTCTCGGTGTGACCGTAGCCGATAGCAGCAAAGGACGAGGTGATCACGACACGCTTGACTCGAGCGTCTCGTGCGGCGCGCAGCACTCGAAGGGTGCCTTCACGGGCGGGGATGATCAGGTCGTCCTCATGCTTGGGCGCCCCGGCAGGAAACGGCGAGGCGACATGCAAGACGTAAGTGCAGCCCTGGACCGCCTCTGCCCAGCCGTCGTCCTTGAGCAGGTCTGCCACGGTGAAGGTGAGCCTGTCGAGGTTGATGGATTCTCGGCCACCACCACTGCTACCACCACCATCACTGCCGGTGCTGCTCGCCTTGAGCATGCTTCGGACATGGTCTGCTCGCTGGGACGATCGGACGGTGGTCCGGACCCTGTAGCCGCGCTCGAGGCATTGGAGGATGCAGTGGGCTGCAAGGAAACCGGTTCCGCCTGTCACCAAGACCAACCCAGGATGATCTTGGTCCTCTTTGGCTGCGGTGTTGGCCATGAGGAGGGGTTCAGGAGTAGAAAGCACTAGGGGTTGGAACAGGGGCAATGATAGTATAGGTGGTAGCGGCGAGCAGTTACGACTGCGACAGTACCGTTGCAACGCACAGAACACCTTCAATTGCCAGCATCGTCTCCCACATCCTGTTTTCTGCTTTATATGCTTCCGTGCTCGGTACATACGAGTTCAAGGCCCCCTCCGAGTGCAGGCACTCGGAGGGGGCCTTGTGTGTAACCAGCTGGCCAGCATTTGTCCCCCGGAGTTTCGGAATCAGGTAATATTCCATGGCCATCCCCCAACCCAAGAGACAGAGATGCGTTCTAACCACAAAGGCGTTGGGACCGGGCAGATTCATTGAGCCGATCATGGCAATCAGTCGCAGCGAGCGATCGATCGAGTGTCACACATCCATCGAGCCACCACTATTCTAGCTCTTGTCAGCCAGAGGCAGACTCGCTCGCTTCATTCCTCCCTCGTCCTCCTAGTCCATTCTCTGCCCTCTCCACAGCTACTGCTATTACGACCGACCGACTATGCCCAACTCAGACTTCGACCAGGGGATGGAGTGCTTGCATCTGAGATCACCACCTCGCTAAGCGAGCAACAACAATTTTTGTCTCTGCTCTGTCTGTTTGTCTCCATCACTCCATGCGCTAAAAGAGAGGGGCAAAGATCAAATGCAAACCTGCTACCATCGCAGGAGTGTTCGGAGTGCGGCACGTCCAACCCCTGTGTAACCAACCGACTCCAAGCGCCGGCGGTTGGTGATCGGCTCAGGGCTGCCCACAACCGGCTTAGTTGGAAGCTGCCACGGTTCAGGTGCATGCTGCATGCATGCTGCACGCACAGTGGTGACGCTGAAGGCGAGAGTGAGGGAGAGATAGAAGCGAGCAAGAAAGCAGCTACTTTGCGAGCATGTCAACTCAACTCCAACATACTGCCAGCAACAAACAGGCCATGATCCACACTCGCCCTTGATCAAGAGTTCGAAATTCTCTCCATCTCTTTCCCTCCCGTCGTCCCGAAGGGCGGAAGAATAACCGCGTTTATATTTGCCATTACTTTCCGAATCACCACCCTGGCAAGCAAGGTGTGCTCTCCCCAAAGCAGCAAGATGAAGCGAGAGAACGCACATGGGAATAGAATGCAGCAATGCATGAGTTGAGCTTGAGGCAGAGGCACAGAGGGAGCCGGAATTGACTCAGGCGGGTAACCCATCGTCCTCTTTTGGACCAACCAACGCGGGGCAGGAAAGCCAGTTTGACATCAGAACGAGGGTGTGCGACCTCTGCAAGTCGAATCAGGCGCAATGGTATTTTTGGTGGCCCTCCTATAGGTGGGGTTTATACGAGATTTGAATCCGACAGCTTGAGTCTATCTCGCCTACCCTCCACTACGCTCCAGCACCAGATTCGCAGCTCAGCCTGATGACACTCCCCTTTTTTTTTGCATGCGGTGTCATCGCCCAGCGTTTTCTCCTCCTCGCTCTGTCCGTCTCCACACAAGAGCCACCAGGGGCCTCAGGATGAGATTTCATATCATGACCTCATGTTCAAAGATACGGTGGAAGGGGGAAGCTGGATGGGTGGTGCATGGGTCACCCTAGTAAGTCCTTCTCAAACCTGCTATACGAGGTTGACACTTTGTGGGGAGCCAGCTACCTAGCTAGCTAGCGAGGTAACAAGGGGTGCTCGTATGCAGGGAAAGACATGGATGGTTGGCAAGGTTGGTCAATGCCCCTGCACTGCCCATCCCCCCTCTCTACTCCCCCTGTCTCTATCTGTGCCTCTGATCTTGCGGTCTGCCCTTGGATTCAACACCCTGGCTTTTGACTTTGTCTTTGCCTTTTCGGCCCTTTTCGGATCTCCGGTCTGCTGGTGGTCTAAGCGTCGAGGCGGAACCGCGCTGTGAAAAATCGCAATGGCCATGAGTGAATGGAGACCTGGGACAGAGCCGGTATCGAACTCTTTGTGTCCCGGCGAGGAGCAATGCATGCACATATCCATTTTCAGCCCCGGTAAGTTGCTGTTCTCACGACGACTAAAGCAACCCCGGGTGATGGCGCCAATCTCCATGGATGTCCAGAACGGGGCATGAGCAGGGACCAAAGAAAATCATGGACTTGGCTCTGGGTGTGGATACTACAACTCAGAAATGCTCTCTGGGAAAGGAAAAGGATGGGTGGGTTCCTGGGTGGTTGGTAGCACAGATGGGGTAGCACAGTAGGCATGTGCTTGGAGCTTGTTGCGGCGCCGGCGCCGGCGGCCAGGCTGTCTTTCCGACAACAGTCGTCGTGAGAGAGACTCTCTCTGAGAGAGGGAGAGAGGCAGGCATCTGAGATGTACAAGGTCGGTGGTTATTTGTTATATTCCGTCAATCAATCCATCAGTCAGTTCAGTGGATGTTCGCGATCTCATTATCGTGGACTATAGCTAGCTATGCAGCGCTAACTTTGCTATTTCTGTTGCCTGGGGTTTCCGTTCTGTGGCAAGAAAAAGGAAAAAGGAAAAGGGGGGATACACAAGGAGATAAAGAGATATTGAATCGACAATTCCCCTAGCGCAAGTTTTGTCAATTTTCCATCTGTTCCTGTCCACCCACCCACCGCAAAGGAGAGACAGTCCAAGCCCTGACGAGGCCATGTTATCTGAAGTGGTGTCAGGCAGAGTAGTACTGCTGGTGGTGGTGGTGGTGGTGGTAATTCGTGAAGAAAGGACACAAGCAACAACAAACAGAGAAACAAAGGAGATAAGAAATGGGTCAGAGGGGGAGGGGGGGAAACAAAACATGTCAGTCTGTCGTGCACGCCTGGCTTTCCAAACCGAGTCACGGCGGCTTCACCATTCGCGGGAAAGGGGACTCCTTTGTGTCTGTTTTTGGGGCCCAACGCTTGCCCTTCCTTCCTTCCATCCATCCATCCTGTTCTTTCTCGTTGTTAATCTTCGCCAGAGCTGCTAAACGACAATCACCACAGGGCCAGGGTCCCGAGATATCCTCTCTGCCGGGGACTGCCTGCGCTTGCACCACCGGGCCAACTAGTAGTTCGTTGACCAGAGCACATAGTGTTGGCCATACTGCCAAGCGTAGGGATGCTGTTCCACGCAGAGTGTCAGTTGTCAGATCGAGTAATCGAGAGAAAGAGGATAGATACTTACCGGTGCTTGCATGATTGGCTGGCTGTAGAAATGTTCAGGCGGGGGTGGTGCAGGCCAAGCAGCCGCTTCTGGTTGACGTGCTGTCTCCTCCACTCGAACGTAGCCCTCTGGAGCAGGCGGATAGCCATGGGCCGGCTCTTGCTTGACCGCCTGGTCGTAGAACGTAGGTGCCACCGCCGGAGGAGGCATGGTAGGAGGCGACGAATCGACCACCGAGTTTGGCGGCGTGTAGCCCCCCTCGGGGTCGGTAGGCGAATGGGGGGCATAGCCGTATGCCGCCGCCTGGTCGGCTAGATGGCTGTTGAAGGCGATGTCGATCACGGTTGCAGGCGAGGCATTCGCTGGCCGATCTGTTGCTGAGACCTGTGTGATCATGTTGTCCGTCGCGTAAGAACGCTGTGGAGGAATACTGTTTCCCGAATCATGGTTGGTCGGAAGCACGGTAGTCATCACGTTCGGCATTCCAGGCGCCGGTGCACCAAATTTGATGTTGACGACCACGGGGCTCGACTCGCCTTGGACTGCTTCCTCTGCTAGGGGTTCAGCGCCATTAGGCTCGATCGATCTATCCCCATTGCTATCCAAAGCTTGAGGATTTTCTGGACCCTTCGAGAGCATCGGAGCCAGCTTAAGAGGATGTCTCCATTCGGGACCGGCGCAGGCTGGAATTGTGGGATCGGAATGTGCCATATTCCCAGGGGGAAGCTGTGGAAGGCTCGATGTTAGCCACGGCATCGATGTTACCGGAAGGCTGGGCGGCTCCCAGGTTGGGGCAGCATGACCACAATGTTGAAGAAGAGTGCTTGGAAAGTTAGATGTTGGTGTCGCATGGCTGAAGGCAGTGTCATAACCCCAACTGCTCGAAGAGCCTCGCCGTCCGGAGTGAGGTTGGTCATAATGGTTCAAATCTGGATGAGGCTCCAGGGACCTGCCATATATCTTGGTCAGTGACATGTGTTTAGCGACAGGACGAAAACCTACCTAGGCAGATCCACAGCCTTTTGGGGCAAGTCCGAATAGACATGGCCAGATTGGGCAGAGGAATAAGCAGAAGAGGGAGGCATCGGAGCTAGATCCCAGTGAACTTGTTTCTTCCGTTCAGGCTTACGGTCAACCCGTTTCGTTTTGTCTTGTTGGTCGTCGGCGGCAGTGATCTCGAGCTCTCTCTTCTTGTTGGGCTCTTCGCCTTGAACGTCTTTCAAGGGCTGGGTGAGTGCTAGTTTGGAAGCAGAAGATGTTGCCATGAGCGACTTAGAAAGAGGGGGATGCCATCAGTAGGGCAAGCTTAAGGAAGATAGAAAGAGACTCAGCGATGGACGGGGGAAGTGAAGGTTTATAACTGTGTAGAAGTCGCTCTCTTCAATCCACATAGAGATCCGCTTGACCACAAGCTGCTATGGAAGCTCGATACCAACATCCATACTGGCCTCTGAGTTGTCCGCAACTCGACCCGATCGCGATGCAGCTTGCATAAGGTATTGGTGATGGGCGATGTGGAACGTCCAGGATGGAGAGGCCATCGCTTCCGGAACCCAGGAGCCACTTCAGCCGTGCGAAGCACACGGCTTGACTGTAAAGCAGCAAGAACGAATGTGTCGAGTCTCAGAAAACATCCATGGAGGGCGTTCAATAGTCGGTTCCCTCCTGCAGGCCTGCAGATGCACTCATTCATCTTCCCTAAGTTGAAATGAGCACCTGGTGATGGTGTGCAGCAAGCGCCCTTCATAGGATGAGCCAGGGAATCACCTAGTGCGTTTGTAAGTCGCTAAAGGCCACAGCTTTCCCCTTTCGCCTCAGGCTGGGGAGGCGAATTAGTTTCAGGAAAGCCCCCGCAGATCTCGGATGCAGGCAGCGTGCGCGAAAGATGTCGCCGAGCCGGCTAACAAGCTCGATCTCGAACGTTGGTGGCTTCGATATCGCCCATTTCATTCGTCGATATGTCCGCTTCAACTTGGCGCGGGGCCTTTTGGCGGGCTCTGAGAGGCAGATCCAACCACCGCGTGAGTCGATGCACTGACATTAGGAAAAAATGAGGGGGTTTCAGAACAGCCACCGACCTGCCCAGTTGACATGGGTTGTTGTTCTTGTGCCCCAGCCGCTTGCCTCCGCCCTGAGCTTCCGGTTTGAACTTTCAACACGGGCAAGCGGGACCATCTGACCAAGATACGAAGGAAAATGACACTAAATCTTGGGAGGAAGCTTGCATTGGTGGTCGACGGCCGCACATTGACACGCGGATGCAGCTCAAGCTCCCCCGAGCACAGACACTGAATTGTCCCCCATGATTGCTGTGTTCAAGCCTGGTCGATCGTAGGCTTGTCCCATGTGTTTGAGCGTCTTGAGAGCGGGCAATTGAAGGAACCTGGGGGGCTGATCTTTCACACAATCCCAGGCTCGCAGTGAGGCAGAAAACTCAAAATGTAGAAGCCGGCCAAAAGTCATGGCCAATTGCGAGAGGCGACTGTTAGGTCTCCTCCCTGTGACCGATTCCAATGTGACAAGTGATATTTCTGGAGAGGAGGCATTGCAGCAGTAGCGTGGAGATCTCGCTTGCTGTTTCCCTGGCAGCATGCCGCCTTTCCTGGAGCTGGAAGAGTTGTAGCGACTTGATTGAGCTTTGCATATCCATCCCCGGCAGTGTGTCCGTCCTGTGGAGATCCCTAAATGCGACTTGAGCTAGCCCGGCGCTTACAACCGTGCTCTTTTGGCGACCAAAAATGCCCTTGATTACCGGAGTGGTTGCTCATCGAAATGGCCGATCCCCAGGGTAAGATTCGAAATCGCACCCATCTCACATCCCAAGCAAGATCGGGATTCGCTCGCCGTAAGGTCTATGCCAACCCCTGCCAGATGGCTTGGAGCCGGAATAGTTTAGAATCCCCAACGTAAGCGATACGAAATAACGCTTTTTAACTTTGAAGGCCAAGATACCACTGCTGCAAGTCTTTGGGTGGGCGAACGTGTGAACACAGCCTCAGAGTCTGCAACTGGAAGCTGTTGACAGGAGGCTAACAGGCAGAGCCCAATTGCATCGCTGCAAGAGCCGGTCTCAAAGCTTGTAGAGAAGACGATGCATGACTGAAGTGATGGTGCCCAGGGACCATCAAAATCGACAATCGAAGTGAAAACCTCCTCCTGACATTCCGGCACTTGCCAGGCGGCGGTAGGTGGCGTCCCGCAATGGCCGACCTCTGGTCCAGGGTAATTTGTGCCGGTTGTCAAGCTAGATGGCAACTTGGAGGGCCGTCCGCAATGGTTACATTGCGACACCCAAGTACCATCCTGTTGTCACCTTTGTGGACTCATAAATCATGTGGCGAGCAAGAAGTACGCCGATCCAACATCGAGAAGGCGGTGCATCCGCGGATGTTTCTAGCAAAGCTCCGGTAAAGGATGGCAAAGGTTGCTCCTCTTCTCAGAGCTATGACACTCTGGGGGATCCGCGGTCGTCTGTCATCACCTCCGTTGACAGCAGCAAGGGTGGGGTGCAAAGACGCGGTAAAACAGGGGCAGAACTTTAGCACCTAAGATTCAGATCCCGGCATGTCGAGAGAGGGCTCTGTGAGCAACCAAAAGAGTCCCCGTATAGCACTAATCGATAGACAGAGCTTTGCCGTCAACAGTCGATTGGAGACTGCCCCCTGATTGTAGCAAATAGTCCAATCGCTTGGTTTTCTGCCGCATTGAGGCGGGACAACCATGGTTGGAACTTCTAACACAGGTTGCTCATCTTCGAAGCAAAGTTGCTAGGTGTAAAAAGTTGAAGGGTCCTGGTCAAGTGCGTCTTTGGCTGACCCAAATCTGACTGAGTGCAATATCCCGAGGTTCAAAAGGGATGGTGGTGAACATGAGCCTGAGTACCAGGATCCATCGCCACTAGGCGAGACGAGTTTCTGGAGAAAGAGCCAGCTTCTTGTGACCGGGATGGCTTTCCTGCACTGTACCAGTGCAACTTGGGGCTCCATCGTGACAAGGGATGCAGAGATCAGAGCTATGTTGAGGACTTGCAGATCCATCACGGGCTTGCAGTCAGTGAAGGAAGACTAAGACCTCCCTTTTCAAGGAATTTGTGAAGGCATGTCTAGCAGGCCAAAGCCCCGATCCCTGCTGAAAGTCAGACAATCTCACTACCAGTTGAAAGTCCGGCATGGTCATGGTAACACATCCACTCATGCTCACTTTCTGACCCGGCACAGCAAGGCTCCTTTTTGTCTCCGTATCCTAACCCTTCCGATCTGTCGGTCAAGAGAAGGTACGGGGCTCGCGCATGGTCGACTCAACATGGGATCTGGAAATCTCAAGAAGGCCAGGGTGTTTCGACCACTTGAGAAACTCGACGTTCTGTTTGCATTGGAGCAACATTATCGGACCATCAACGTGCTTCTGCAATCACGTCGAAGGTCGGAGTCGTCGGGGTTCGCAACGCCGATCACATAGTCCGACTGCGAAGGCCGTGCGACCACAATGAACAGCAAGGCTTAATAAAGGCAGCGGATTGCGGCTGTGTCTTTGGTCGGCTCGGTCTGTTTAATTGTTTGCCATTATCGGTAGGGGGACGCGATGAAGGCGACAGTGCAGCCGGCTGCGGCAGCGAGAAACTCGGTGGAAGGCAGACATTGCTCAAATCCAGACCACACAGGCTTTGCGGTGTAGACCTTCGGCGCCGTTGCGTGATTTTTTGGAGCTCCGATGCCAGCATGTTGCTGCCCTCATCTCGCTAGCATTCCTACTCCTGTTGAGATTGTTTGCCACTTTGAGGATAGCGCCAGCCACGAATGCTGTGATTCTAGGAGAATGAGCATCGTCGTCCGTCTCTGCAATCGATTTGTGCTCCGTCTAGTAGCACATGAAATTGCATTCTCGCTGTCCGGTCTGTTCAAATGGACTTGGACTGGATGGTTCCACCGAAAAAGTATTTCATCTCTGAAGTTTCTGCGCTTGTGGTAGCATCAATGCTTCCCGGAGTCACATCACTTACCTCCGATTGTGCTTTATCGCCGTGCATCTCTTTGCCATAGGTCATGCGGGTGCATGGCGAGGGCCACGACGGGTTCCCTTTATAATGTCATTGAATGATCCCGGCATCTCCTCATACACCACATTTCATCGTTTTGCGATTTCCGGCAAGACAGCCTGATACAGTGCACGATGGCGGCTTCCAGAGACCTCCCTCCCTTGACGAAGAGCTACATGAAGCTCTTCTTCGAGTCTCAGCTCCGTGCCAAACCTGCACACCTTCCGAAGGGGACCGACCTCTGCGGCAAAGGTATGTTGTCTAAAACCACATCTCCTACCGTCTGAGATTCCCCTCGACATCCGTATACAGACCTTTGTGCTAATATGACCTTTGGGAGCACATCAGTGGCGCTCATCACAGGTTCCAATGTTGGTCTTGGATTCGAGGCAGCTCGCCAATTGCTGTCCTTCAACCTCTCTCACCTAATTCTTGGTGTCCGCTCTGTCCAAAAGGGCGAAGCGGCAGCAGCCAGGCTCTCAAAACAGTATCCGAAAGCGACCATTAAGATCTGGTCCTTGGATATGTCTTCATACCAGTCCGTTGAAGCTTTTGCCAAACGGGCGGGAAGCGAATTGGCCCGTCTGGACTTGGCTATTCTCAATGCCGGGGTGGGAAACGTCAAATATGAATTGAACGCCAGTACTGGCCACGAGGAGATGGTCCAGGTCAATTACCTTTCGACAATGCTCCTTGCGATTCTCCTCCTCCCAGTCTTGAAACAGAAGTCTCCACCGAGCGTACCAGGTCGTCTTTCGATTGTAAGCTCCGGACTGGCTCTTGTGGCAAAGATTCCGGAAAGTAACCAGGCAGTTTTGACGTCTCTCGATGGGTCCGACACGTTCAATCCTATGACCAATTATTCGGTATCTAAGCTGCTCGCTCACATGTTTGTATACCAGCTACAGGACTGGATCTCGGCTGACGACGTGGTTGTGAATCTGGTGGACCCTGGCTATGTCAACGGGACCCAACTTCAGCGTCAGGTCTCAGGCATCGGAGTGATAATCATGTGGCTCTTGAAAACGGCAACAGGCAGAAGCCCGGCAACAGGCGCGTCAACGTATCTTGACGCCACGATCTCCAAGGGCAAAGAGTCCCATGGGTGTTACCTCGCAGACTGGCAGATCCGGCCGTGAGTAGCTGCTTGTTCCCGCCTCTTTATCCCCAGCCAGACTCATCAGAAAATGTCATTGACGCATGCATTGGCTTTTAGATTCGCCTCGGTCTTGTATACCCCACACGGCAAGGAACTGATCGAGCAGGTATGGCGAGAGACACTCGACGAATTTGACTTTGTCAATGCCCGAGGCATACTGAAATTGATGAAGGATGGGAAGTGACAGGAGGATCTGGGTTCGTCTCGGTTCGAGCGAGGGTTGTTTCAGTCTCCCCGACTCGAGAATGCGGGTGTCAGCGCCAGGATCCTACCTCTAGGACTGACAAGATGCGCTTGTACCACGACACTGGTACTTGAAGAAACCGTAGAGGATGGAACACAACGAACAATAATCCAGACTCCGTGCGCAGTTGCTTGGCGGATGTTTGCCGAGCTCCGGAGTCCTTTAGGCGAGGCTGGGAGAGCTTAGGGGCTGATGGGCAGGCGGACGCCTGGATTCCTACTTGTACTTGTAAGCTCTAGTGGCTCTGGGCCGACTGAATCCTGACTGGCTGGCGGCGATTGAGCCCCATCGATGCTGGCAGGTTCCAGCAGCCGCTGCTGCGGCAAACAACAACCATGGCTTCGTCATTCCCAAATGGCACAAACTTTCCCATCTTCCCCTCCCAGCCTCCCACCTTGTCACCTCTTAAGCATTGCCTTGATTCATCTTCCTTCGACGTTCTCTTCTGGGAACATTCCCTGATACAGATTTCTTTGTTGTGCGTTGTTCGCGCGACGTTCCCGGGCGCTTTGAGAGTCGGCCGGAGTTACACCACGCCTGGTCTGGTTATCGATCGACTCATTCCTGAGAAATCCCCTTCCTTCGACGTTCATATTTGTTTTATTTGACTTCAAGGTGGCTACCGACCTCCAAATCGCACCTCACATCGGACATTACTAGTGGTCGTCGCGTGCCCAGCATGGGACCAACAACTCCAGCTTCTGAAGATGTCGAGATGAATCTTAGCACCGACGAACCACAGGCCTACACCGAACCTCCGCCTCATATAGCTGCGCGTTTCCACCGTAAATCCTCTGTCCGCCGAAAGTCCTCTGCCAACTCGTCTCGTCGAAGCTCGCTGTCGTCAATCCACTCGCACTCCTCTGCACGTTCTAGTCATGGCGGGCCCTGCAGCACGCATATCGCACAACATCTTCGACGAGCATCCATCCTTGAGAGTCGAAAGGCTCGCCTAGCCGACCGCGCGGCCCATGCTGAACAGGTCAGGCTCCGGGCCGCTGCCGCCAAGGCGGCACAAAGGGCATCTTACAGCGAGGAGAAGGCTTTAGCGGCGCAGGCAGCCCGGGAAAAGATGCTCGCAGAGATTACAGCCCGCTGTGAAGAAGAGGTAAAGCGAGCCAAAAAGGTCGCCGAGGAGACCAAGGAGAAAAAAGCAGCTGAGTTGGCCAGACTTAAGGAAGAGATGGCCGAGAAGTATGCAGAGGCAGACAGACGAAGGTCTATGTACCAGCAAGGCACACGGCGGTCCAGAACAACTTCACTGGCGGCGGTCGAGGAGAAGAAAGTCGCCCCTGCAGTATTGAAGCGCTCGAATCGCGTCTACGCTGCAAAAGTCATTCAGCGATCATGGCGTCGTTACCACGCGTGCAAGATATCCTCAGACTTCTCGGCTCTTGGACTCGACCTTCAGCGAGCCAAGGCCCTCCCTTTCGAAGAGTTGACTGAGTTCATTTCGGACCAACAGACCACTGCTGCAACGACGTCTGTTCTAAGGCACCTGGGCGTTCTTGAAAATGGCCAAGAAAACTCCGGGGTTGTGCGGCTTTTCCTGGGTGCCTATCTTGTCCTAACACATCCAATGCAAGCTTTCAGTCATGGTGGGAGTCAACCTCAGGAGCAAGAGGTCATGGCAAAATCCCGTTTGCTGATCGAGGCTTTCGAGTCTTGCGTTGAGGCCGTGACCAGTCCGTCGCAGCCGATTCTATCGCAGCCCAAGGTCGAAGCCTTTTCCTTTGCCTTGAACGACTTCACCGTCACTTTCGACGCATGGAAGAAAGAGGACAAGGGTTTGCTTGTCGACATGATGGTCAATTCGTTCGTTAATTTGGATATGATTCTGCAGGCTACTAAAGATGACCCCCACGGCCACGTTGCCCAGGATTATCTTGATGCTGTCCGACAAGAGCAGATTAAATTACTGGCTCGTCTCAAGCGGCTTGCAGGCCCTGAGCAGGCTCTTTCAAGAGTTCGCATAGCCGTCAGGAAGGCTCGAAAGCAGAAAGCGGCAGAACGGGAAAGGAAAGGAAGGGAGCAGGTCTCCCAAGCCTCTACGCCTGCTACCGAAGAGGCGGATGTGGTTGAAGAAACTCTGATGACACCTCCCGAAGCACCTCAAACCGGCCGATCGGACCAGATGGCGAGCGTGACATCTGTTTCCGACAACCTCTCGCACATGATGACGCTAATGCCATCCAATCGGGTGATTGTGCACGAAATACTGGTCAACGGTAGCTTTGAGGTACAGCAACAACCTTGGTCACATGCCCGTAAGGGCTTGACGGACTCCTTGCAGGAAAAAATGCGTGCAGACCTACAAGACGGAGATAGAGAAGCCACTGCGAAGTGGACTCACTCCATGGCAGATCTAATTCGAGAAAAGCTGATGCTGCTTATCACCCCACGACACCCTCTTTATGGCAGGATTGACGGCCTTCTAGATCTGTCTTTGATCAGTCAGCAGTGCCAGAATGGTTTGTTCTCGTACGATTCCTTTTTCAGGGCCATCGCAGACTTGATCGCACAGATCTGTTCTCCGGGCCGAGATGAGATCGTCAGGGCCTTTGGTACTAGCACGGCAGGTGACACGGTTGACCGTCTTTTCGAGCTCATCAACATTATTGATCTGATGAGTTTGGATCACCTCAACTTCCAATTCAGATTAGCCTGTGAGGCGGTGCTGCAAATCGGCCACTTGCACGAAATTGCATCGTTTGATCGGGATCTTGTGGCAGGTGTCCATACACTTGCAAGATCCAAGGAATGGTGGGCCAATGCGAAATCAAGCGTGGGCTCTCAAACCGTGAGTGCGTCTGTGGTATATGCCAGAGGTCTGACCGACCTTGTATTGCGCAATTCACATCTTAGCTTTCGCGACATTCCCGAAACGCTACAGCTTGACTATATTCGCCTGCTCAAATTACGAGCTCGAGTCTTCCAGATGGTGGCCATTTCCTCAATTCTCCTAACCACCAAGATCCGGCTCCGGCGCAACAGGGAATCTCTCTGGGCAAAAGATGCGGAGCGTCTGATGGCTTTAGATCCCTTGAAATTCGAGGCCAGCAGGATCGTCTCTCTGATTGAATCATCCCACATGATGCCAGAATCGACCAAAGAAGGCCTGTCCAACTTCGTGGGGCGGGTTCTGCCCACTGCCGCAGCGGCATCGAGAAACCTCGAGGCAGCAGCGTCAGCAGATTTTAATGCGGCCCTTGACCAAACAATGAACGATCCAGCCGGCACAACCAATTCCGATGTATTCAGCGAGCAAATTGCGAGTTTCCTTCTGAAGACACTGCGAGAACACGTCTTCGCTAGACTTGCGGCGGCTAGCACGGCCGAGAGAGCTCGGACTACGACGGGTGCGGGGGAAGTTCTGGCGCGCGCAGGCATGCCCGAGTTCCTGGAGGAGGTCAACGGACTTGTGGACACCCTCGACAGGGTTCGATCGGCAGACTGGAAGTGTCATGAGAGATGGTACGAGGAGATCGCAAGCCAGGCTGTCTAAGAGCGGGCGGATTATACAACACACATGGGTCTTTGCAAAAAGGCTTTTCGTTCGATTGGCGCGGGGTGATTTCTATCTTTTGGCAGATGGGTTGTGTATATTATGCCTTTACGAAACCACGGCGCAGCAACGAGGACCAAATTGCAATTGATTGACGATGACGAGAGGAAGGAGAAACAACACAATGGATCTAGCAACATATCACCTAGCAAGAAACAAACGAGTCTGTTTTACATGAAGCACATTGGATCTGGCACTGTAGACCCTGTCGTTGTTTCTAGCGAGAGATTCGCTTTGTCTGAGTCTGGTATCCAGCATGTGCACTGAAGATTCTACTAGGTAGTTTGTCCCCGTCTGTCAGGGCCTAAGATCACGGAGCAAATGTTGAGGGGGGAGGGGGAGGGGGACGGGAAGTGGTCTACACCAGTCCCGGGTGAAAGAGGAGGGCGCAGATCAACACGCGGGCAAACAGCCATGATGATCTTCATTTGTCTTGGGGTGATCTAGTCATCCCTCAATATGCATTGCAACCCCGAGCATCTCGTTGCAGCCAACGGATCCATCAGAGGGAAAATCAATAAGTGCCCCGAGCGCAGCGCAGTGGTCGAGACATCCCAGCCTCGTTCAATCATTAACAATCTCATCGTCCGGGTTCCTCGATCGTGAGAGCCCCATTTCGACTCCCCTTCCGCCTTTTGCCATTGCCTCTTGTGGACTGAGGATCAACTCGCACATAAATTCCCTTCCAGCTCTCTTGTATGAGTAAACGTTTAAACGGCCCCTTCAGGAATCACCTCCAGCAGCCAACCCCCCCATTTGCTCGGTTTCGCCACGGGGACTTCTCAGTTCAGATACTTGTTGAACCAGTCGGCGGCCTGCTTGGCGGCGTCGTGGTAGTGCTGCATGTCCTCCTCGCGGGCCTTGACGCAGAAGCCGTGGGTGGCGCCCTTGTAGACGCGGAACTCGTAGACGTAGCCGCCCTCGCCGTCGCCCTTGCTCCCGCCGAGGGCCTCGCGGAGCTGGGCCTCGGTCTTGGCAGCGACGTCGGCGTTGAACTGGAAGTCCTTCTCGGCCACGGCGGACGCGTAGGGGGTCTGGAACGCCTTGACTGCGTCGACGACCATGTGCGGCTCCTTGATGATGTACGACGGGTGCCCGTTGAACTGCGCGTCGATCAGGCGCGCCTGCCCGCCCTCCACCGCCGGCTCCGTGCACAGCTTCGTGGCCGGCCACGCGCCCCAGCAGAAGCCCGCAACCCCGAGCTTGCCGCCCGCGGGCAGCTCGGCGCGCACGTCGCGGGCGAACTTCAGGATGGTCGGGTACGGGTTCTTGGGGTGGCCCCAGAGCATGAACGGGACGGCGTGCGGCAGCAGCGTCAGCACCGTGTACGCCTTGGGCAGGAAGTTGGCGACGCTCAGCGAGCTGCCCATCAGGTGCTCCATCTTCTCCAGGACGGAGACGGGCATGCCGCCGCCGTAGACGACGTCCGGGATCAGCACCCTGCAGCCGGTCGCCGACGCGTACTTGTCGGCCAGGATCTTGTTGTTGACCAGCTTCAGCGAGAAGGCGTCGGGGAGATAGATGATGGCGGATTGGGACCGCGCGGGGTCGCTGCCCCCGGCCACATAGGTCTGGATCCCGTGGACCGTCTCGATCTTGCCCGTGGGCTCGGCGTGGGCGTGCACGGCGCCGCGAAAGCAGTCGGGGCAGGACATGGTTTCGCTTCTCCTCTTTGTTCAAGACCAGATGACCGGCGCTGTCGCTTTGTTTATATTCGTTTGTCTTTGCTCGCTTGCGTCGAGGGAGGTATGAATGAGGTTTTTGATCAGGCGGAGCTGTTCGAGCAACGACCTGGTCTGTGGGCTCCCCTGTCCAATGGCTTGCTACCCGTGACGATCACTCGGCTCGCAATGGGCAGCATGTTGTGGATGATTGGCCGGAGACGTGGACGACACATGCATCGTGCGTGCGGTGATAAGCTCCTTAGCTCCTCCTCTTGCTCCTGCTCCGTTGGACGCGTGTGGTCCGAGTACCCTTGTACGGAGTACATTGCCACAGAACTAGTTGGATAGACTCAGCCGTGGTCCGTGGGCGGGGGCATGGGGCAATGGGTGCCTCAGTCGAGGTTGGGCCGATCCCGGTTCGGAGGCTGATGTGGCCGACTTTGTATACCGGCCATTGGGCCGACAGGGCAGGCGGGCTCTCTGTCCCAATAACTGGAATATAGGTAGGTAGAGTTGTAGATCATTCGGGGTGCGATGGTTGGTATAACAATACGCATCAAGTGCGAGGACCAGCTTGGGCGTTGACAGCCCGACAATGTTGGCTGCGTGCATGTATCTGGGGTCTCGCCTCCAAGGAGCCGGACCTGACGCCGGTCCTCAGTGTCGATGGCCCTCACCAACCCAACATTTACGATAGTGAAAGCGCTGTAGCGAGGCTGTCGGCTTCAGATTCTACTTTACGACTCCATAGTTCCACCAACGATGAGAATTTGTATCAAAGTTGTTCAATTATCGATCTCAAAAACTGGACTGCGGGTAGCCCTAACATCCTCTTTGTTCTCATCGTTTCTCACCAAGATAAGAGCCCACTATTACTGTAGGCGTTCCTCATGGGTTCCTCCATATCTTGATAGGACATGGAAGTCTGCCGGCGCTCGGCTGGTTGTGCCCTTGCGGTAGATGCCGCCATCCTGGACCACTCCATGGACGCAGTTCGATACGGACTCCATAACTGTCCTGTTCCATCCGGGTCTTGTGCCAGCCGACCTTTCTGCCACTGACCCGGAGTCTGATAGACTCCTTCCGGGTAGTGTTCTGTGATATGCTTGGGAGCAGCGTTATAACAGACGCGAAGACTGTGGTCTCTTCGAGCAGAGCGCGCCAGCACGAAATCGACCGAGCTTGTCTGCTCCTTGCGTGCCGGCTGGATCAAAGTGAAAGCAGATCTATTCAATTCCACCAAGGTAGCAATCAAGCGTGTGCAGGGGAGCTACTACACAAGCACAACAAGGTGAACTCCATTACAGCGATCACGGCGGAGATCTTTTCCATTACTCCAGGGTTCGATAGCATATTGCCTAGACGAATGGATATTTCCTTTGGAGACGCGACAGCAGCAGCGACATTTGGTCTTAATATGGCGCCACAAGACGGCGATATGGGTAGCCTCGTCGAAGGATGTGATGGAGCCCTCAGGTGCCCTTGATGAAGGCTAGGGAATCGCGCACACTAACCCTGCGGCCAAGGCGGACGTTGACATGTCATTCTGAGGATTGGGATACTGCGTGAGATCTCGAGTTGGCCATGATGTGCCCCGTCATTCGGGCTATTTGATTGGCTCATCACCACCAGCATGCAACCAACACCATTTGACCGCCCGTACAAGACAACACCGAGCAAATCGCCTTTCACCCAGGACTTTGCATTGCACATATACCTGTCGACTGCCATCTATGCGTCTGTTCCGCAGCGCAGGCAGATCCGTGAGACACCGTCCCACCAAGAATGCCCCTTCGCCAGCCACAGCGGTTTTCTTGTCGAATTCATCCCCGCAGCCAACACTGGAAGCGCTTCACCGCAGCTTGCAGCACAAGAGACGGACCCGTCTCTTTTCAACTACACTTCTGGAGGATGGTTGTACGATTCGACCGCTTTGAACCGCCAGGAAGGCATCATTGACCTGTCACAACAGCTATGACGAGCATCGTCGTCTTGCAGAGCGATATTTGGAGTTCAACGTCACAGAGCTGAAGCGTGCTGTGGTCCAACCAAGCTATTGACAGATGTGAAGATGAGATTCAGACTTTCCGTAAACTCATTGAAGGCTGTTTCCACCGTTCGTTCGATATCGCCATGAAAGATGGCCTGCAGATCGTCGCACGATTACCCTATCCATCCAATCTGCCAAAACGATCCGCTGTTGCCACGGAGGTCGCTACAATGGATCTGATTCGGTCGTACAGCCTCACCGTCCCGCGCGTATACGGATACTCGGCTACCTCAAAAACTCCAGTCGCTTCAGAATACATAATCATGGAGAAGATTGGTGGGAAAGAGATTGGGCATATTCGATACGATTTGTCTATGGAAGAGAAAAGACAGCACCACCTTGCAGGTGGCCAAGAAGCAGCCCTTTTCTCTATCCACTACCGGCATTTGGAACCGTGTTTTGCAAATGTGATCTGCCCTCCACGGATCAAAGTATTGACGTCCCAGCGCACGAAGGACTGTGCATTGGACCCGATGTAGCTCTGTGGTGGCAATACAAACAGCGAGACACGCTGTCAATCAACCGGGGACCAGGTAAGTTAATCACCGGCTCGCCCATCGGCTCTATATCAGTTCGTAGAGGCCAGAGCTAGGAGGGAGCTGGTTTGGACCAAAGAGTGTGGACGGCCTCGCTTTCCTTTCTCTCGTTACAACAGAGAGCTCATGGGTTACCGGAAGTCTTCTCCCGAGGAACATGTCAAACACCTCGAAATGGACTTGCAGATATCGTCGCAGTTGATGCCCAAGTCGTAATGGATGCAGGAATGTCTACGTGTTGATCGGCTCCTGAAGGAAGTAGACGCTGAGATGGATGGCGGACGGGAAAACATTGGGATGGATTCAGATGGCTGGGCTCCCAGCGAGGAATACGACAGCATTTGTGAGAAGAACAAATTCATCAGGCAACAGGTTATTGATCGCACAGAGGATGACGAAGAGAGGCAGCTTAGCCTAGAGCACTATCGGTTCGATGACCATAATGTAGACGAGATAAATCCAGCGCATATTGTTTGAACTGGTGCCCCGTCCAAGCAGAGTGACTGACTCTTTCTTTTGACTGAGAGCCGTGATCCAAGACGTGTCTCCTGCTTGATGACGTGAAGTCGAACGAGACTGCCTACCTTGCTGGAGCTCATCATGGACTCCAAACGTACTGACAGTGTCAGATGTGACCCAGAAAACGGGGCACCGCTCGAGGCTGCGGCATGTTCAAGGGCCACGCCAAGGCTCGTGTCGGATTTCCACAGCCACAGCCACCGCCACCGCCACAGTTTGCGTGCTCACGGCCACTACATAACGACTACTAATGTCATTTTAAGCCACCAATGCTAATATCAATTTGGGCCGTCAGAACTAGAAAGGAAAGAGATTTCTCTGACCTTGGCTCGCCTTGCGTTCTCCACGTTTCATCTGGCTCGTCCACCGTTCGCCATACGGCTTGAAGTGGTCAAAACGGGTGTATCCTCAGCCCAAGACGACACCGGAGGACAAGAGGAGGAAGTGATTGCAGTGGAAGGCCCAAGGAACAGCAAACGAGGGGAGGGAAAAAGGGGAATCCAGATATTATACGAAAACTTCTACGGACCAAAGCACAGGTGACGTGATTTGACCATGGTAGACTCCCCCCTTCTTCCCCCTCCTCTTCCTGTTTCCTCTTTCTCCTTCCCGATGGATCATCAGGGAGCGACGGCACCGTAATTGACATGGTGGTTGACAACCACCCCGAAAAAGACGCAGCAGGAGGAACCACACGAGCAGCCGCACGCGGCGTACTCGCACTTCCCGGCCGTGGCGAGCAAGCCCGCAGCGTACGCGCAGCTGCTGGGCTCGCTGGAGGCGCTGGTCGAGGCGCAGCGCAACTGGGTGTGCAACCTGGCCAACGCGGCGTCGCTGCTCTGGCACATGTACCACGCGCTGCCGCCGGCCGTGGCGCCGCAGGCCGCGGGCGTCAACTGGGCGGGCTTCTACGTGCGCGACCCCGCGGCCCCGGCGACGCGGCTGGTCCTGGGCCCCTTCATGGGCAAGGTCGCCTGCCAGACCATCACGCTGGGCAAGGGCGTGTGCGGGACCGCCGCCGCCGCCGCCCCAGCTGGTGACGATGGCGCCCCCGGCAAGAGTCTCGTGGTGCCCGACGTCGAGGCGTTCCCCGGCCACATCGCCTGCGACGGCGACACAAAGAGCGAGATCGTCGTCCCCATCCGGGCCGGCGGGAAGGTGAGTCTCACCCCCTACCTAATTCGTGTCTTCGTTGGTATCTGGCAAAGGGAACTGCCCGTTGATTACCCCCGTCTAGGTCGTTGGTGTCATCGACATCGATTGCACCCAACTCAACGGCTTCGATGAACAAGACCGAGAAGGCCTCGAGAAGGTAGCTGCGCTGCTGGGGTCGTCTTGCGACTGGTGAACCCGTGGGTTAGCTCAGGATCGGTCTCAAAAAGAGGGAACGGCAGACATAGGCCAAAGAATAGTACGTATTCCGAGTGCTCATTTTGCGTGATCCGCATATCATCATTTTTCTTCTGTACCGAAGTTTCGTTTGTGGGTATCTTGATGTCGACTAACAGTCCTATTTCTATTCCCCTCCCGTAGCACTGAGCAAATTGCATATGCTCGTTCTGAATGTCCTCACAATCTTTCCGCTCACATCGACAAAGGCAAATCTCGAAGCAGATTCTTGCACTTTGCTCCCTTGTACTCATACCTCCACCAACAAGTCGTTCATCATTCATCCCGGCGTGAGTATTTTCTTCAGAAACACTCCTGGTTTAGAGCGGCTGAACATCATGGCAGCATCCCTTTTCATGTTTGCATGCCCATGTTCGCACCATCCGTAAAATTCGAACCCGCTCTTGAACTCTTGATAATTCTCGAGACCTGCTCCTCCAACTCGTCCCAGTCATCCGTCGAGACCTTGGTCATATGCGTGTTGAAGTATTTTTGGATTTCCATCAACTTCTCCCAGTCACCCCGGCTGCTGACGAACGTCACAGCCACACCCACACGTCCGAATCGGCCAGTTCGGCCGATACGATGAAGATAAGTTTGCGGGTCTGCGACGTATCGGCCGCCACCGACAAATCTGTCCGGAACATCGTAGTTGACAACCATTGACACGGATTGGACGTCGATACCACGAGCGAGGACGTTGGTCGTGATCAGAACTTTGGCATGACCCATGCGGAATGCGTCGATGATGACGTCGCGCTGGGCTCCTTCAATGCCTCCAGTCAGTGACACCACCTTGTGGCCCTCGGCGGACATTTTTCGTTCGATGTTGTGTGCAGTTTCTCGAGTCTAGGTCCTGTATCAGCCGGCCAAAACACACTATTCTGAATCGATCGGCTTACCTTGACAAAGATAATGGATGAGCCAATCGTCATGAGACCGTAGAATTTGACCAAGACTTCGTACTTGGCTTCATCGCTGTCGCAGTCCAGGTAGATCTGTTTGATACCTTCGACTGTCAAATCCTTGTGTTGAAGAGTTAACTGATTGGCGCCTGGAGCAAACGCTTCGGCATATAGGACGACGTTTTCTGGGAAAGTGGCGGAGAACAAGACGATTTGAATGGTTTTGGGTAGCATCCTAGAAGCTGGTTAATTGAACCGCCACGCAAGAGTCGGATAACGACAGTACTCACGACTTGACACGAATGCACTGGTCACCTAGACCTTGTTGATCCAGCATGTTATCGGCCTCATCGAGCACCAACACTTTGACTGATCTGACATCCATGGATCGCTTGCGAATCATGTCCATGACCGTGCCAGGAGTTCCAACGACCACTGAGGCTTCGATTTTCCGCGAGCGGCTTGCAGCATCTTGAGGAATGGCAGCGGCCACAATCAGACCTTCCACGAAAGACCCCATGACCTTGACAACGCCTTCGATCTGACGAGCCAGCTCTCTACTGGGAGCCAAAACCAGTGCCTGTGGAGTCTTGCGCATTTGTTCGTTGCTAAGATCGAGACGATGTAGAATGTTCAACACGAAAGCGGCTGTCTTGCCAGTCCCAGATTGAGATTGACCGATCAAATTCTGAGGAGGGTTCATCAGGAGGAGCGGGAGGGTCTTCTCTTGGACTTTTGACGGTTTTCGGAAGTTCATGCTCACGACGCCTTTGAGGATGTTTTCGTTGCTGGTGAAGTCAGCAGAGCATTAGAGACATCTCGAGAAGGGCAACTTACAGCCCTAGTTGCTCAAACGAAGTGGCCGAATAGAGGGGGTTGTTAGGATCTGCCTGCATGTCGGCCAATTTGACCTCCACCTCAAAGTCGGGTTCTTCCAACTGCGATCCCCCGAAAGGTTCTGTAGCTCCATCGACTTGCCCGTTATTCTGTGATGCTGGCTCCGGCTCTTTTGCTCCCATGTTTGCAATTGGTGGTGGGTTCTCGGTTGCGGGAGAGGCTACTTCATCGGCCCATGAGGTGGACTCTGGCTTGGTGATGCGGTCTTCCAGAGACCCGCTTCCAGATGGTGTTTCAGACATGGCAGTAAGTTGAGGAGGACGGGCGCACTCCTATTGAGGTGAATTCTTTGATGCGTCGAGGGTTGCTTCAGAGTGGAAAGGGAGAACTCGGTCGAGGGTGAAGGTGAAGGTGAACCCAAATGGAAGTGAACAAAGGATTCGCTGGCTAAAAATACAGGTGGAAAAACCGCTGCCTTTATCTAGTTCCTGCGGGTTCCAACCGCACTGGGTAGAAATAGTGAATAGAGGTCAGGCAGCTAAGCCAAGTGCTGTGAATCAAAAGATTCAGGCTGCGCTGATGGAATGGAAAATTGGTGACCAGGGGACCAGATCCCACTAAAACTGTGGCGTAAGCGTGTTCGGACAGGCTTTGTGGCGCACGCGTGGTGGTAGGTGCGGGGTCAGAGCCTGGCAAGCCTGGGCCACTTAGCGCCTGCGCATTTGGAGTGCTGCGCTGCGTTGTACCTGGAGCCAGCAACTTTGGTGGGCAGTATTTGCCGCTGGATGTCACCCCAAACGACGGTGCCACCAGTGCTTCAGGCCGTTGATGATTGATCGACTGTCCCTCGCCAATCGTTGGGCGTAAGCTGTCCATCAGATGAGTACGCATACTTCCCCAGCTGCGCCGCAGTTTACACTAAGATCGAAAGAATTCGGAGAACTACGATTCCTCTTCCTCTGCGCCTGATTGACGATATGGAATGATGCCGTTGCCGTCTGGATTACCTGACCACTTGCGATCACAATGGCTCAGGTTGCGACAGTCAACTTTGGCACCGAGCTCAAGGTTCGGCCACTGTGCTCTTCTGCTTGGACGGTACGCTGATGTTATTTTAGGACGGCTACAAGCCGGTCGACAATTGGGTAAACTTGGGCATTACATGGCTCACCGAAATCCAAGAATTCTACCAGGAACGCTCCGCTATAGAAAAGGAATACAGCCAGAAGTTGACCGCTCTGGCAAAGAAATACTATGACAAGAAATCGAGAAAGTCCAGCAACCTGAGCGTCGGCGACAATCCCGCTCTGACTCCGGGTTCTTTAGAATCCGCCTCCCTCACGACGTGGACCACCCACTTATCTACGCTTGAGGCCCGAGCGAATGAACACGCGAAATTCTCTAAAGATCTCATCAGTCAAGTTGCGACACCGCTGGAGTATACCGCCACAAAACTCGAGGAGTTGAGAAAGAGCCATGCCGAATATAATGCCAAACTTGTCAAGGAGAGGGATTCGTCTTATGGCGATCTCAAAAAGTTAAAACAGAGATACGATGCCGTGTGTCAAGAGGTTGAGAATCGAAGAAAAAAGGCCGAATCGTCCATGGACAAGAGCAAGGCTCAGAGCACGTACAACCAACAGTTGATGGAAATGAACAATGTCAAGAACACCTATTTGATTGGCATCAATGTCGCGAATAAGATGAAGGAATGTTATTACCACGAATACGTCCCGGAATTGCTCGATTCCTTGCAGGACCTGAACGAGACTCGTGTTTCGAAACTGAACTCAATATGGCTGGTCGCCGCGGCACTCGAGACCAATACTCTCAAAAGAAGCACCGAGCTCATGACCCGTCTCTCGGGCGAGATTCCCCGAAATAATCCGAGTCTCGACAGCAATATGTTTGTACGGCATAATGCTGTACAATGGCAGGAACCTGGTAATATGATCTTTGAGCCGTCTCCAGTGTGGCTGGATTCAGACAACATGATGACCGATGATGCGTCCAAAGTTTTCTTGCGCAATATCCTGCAGAAAAGCAAGCCACTCATCAATCAACTCAAGGTGGAGTCGGCCCAGAAAAGACGAGAGCTGGAAAATTTGAAGCAGGCTCGGCGAGAAGGCAAAGACAGGCGCGACGAAGTAGAATCGGTGCGATTGCAGTTTGCCATGCAGGAGGACTTGCATGCCGTCGAGCGAAAACGACTGACGGCAGAAGTGGAGACGTCGACAATCACCTCAGTCGTGGGCGATCTGAGCATGTATGGCAAGAGCCACAGCTTTAAATCCGAAACATTCAAAATCCCTACTAACTGTGATCTCTGCGGTGATCGCATCTGGGGCCTGAGTGCCAAAGGGTTCATATGTAACGATTGCGGCTTCACTTGCCACAGCAAGTGTCATATGAAAGTGCCTGCGGACTGTCCTGGAGAACAGACGAAGGAAGAGAAGAAGAAATTGAAGGTGGAACGACAAGCGGCAGCGCTGATGGCAGTCGAGGCCCCTCCACCTGCCTCGAACGGTGCTACGTCTCCTCCTCCCTTGACGAGACAAGACACAATGAGCAGTCTGTCGTCTGGCTACGCGGCTAGTGCCACAAGGTCTTTGTCTGGCGGAGTTCCAAGGTTGTCAGCGCTGGACGATTCAGCCACGAGCTCTCCATTAACGACCATTACTTCCAACTCTGGATCAACGACAGTCGCGGGACCAAGACGGAACAGGATTGTCGCGCCACCACCAGCAGCATATGTCAGCGTACCTGGCGGTGACTTGGCTGCCAATGGGAGTGGTCAACCCAGAGGCAAGATGATGTATCCATATGAGGCCAGAGACGAAGGAGAAATATCTCTTCCCGAGGGCACGGAGGTGAAGATACTGGAACCCGACGGTACGTAAGCTCCACGTGATTCTCCTCATTCGTACTGATCAGTTGCAGACGGCGGCTGGACCAAAGTTCACGCTGGCTTGGGCAAAGAAGGTCTCGTGCCCACGGCCTACTTGGAAGAACTGCCCACTGCAGCCAGCACGCCCGCGCAAGAACGCCCTCCATCATTATATTCCAACTCGAGTGCCTCCCTGGCATCGTCGAACCTGGCGGGCACGAGCAAGAAGAAACAAGGTCCTGCGGTAGCGCCTAAACGAGGAGCGAAGAAGGTCAAATACGTGGAAGCGCTCTATCCTTACACGGCCCAGAGCGATGCCGAGTTCGACATGGCCGAGGGGGAGAGGTTTATACTGATCAGTATGGGGAGTGGAGACGGATGGGCGGATGTCGAGAAAAACGGCGAGACAAGAAGTGTTCCGGCCAATTATATCCAGGAGGTCTAGAGGATCGCCGAGGAATGCCCAATTTTGGGGCAGAGACGCGCCTTCACGTCTGGTTATGGTGCATAGAAGCACAAGAGATGCATTTTGAGCGTCAAATAGAGGCACTGTCATTTTGTCCACGAGCCATAGTTCACCTGGAGAGGACCAAGACCAATGCAGCCTTGTCCCAGGCAGTCGGGTGTAGTGTTGGGGCCGTTTGATAGCGGGCTTGTTTGGAAAAGTTACCATTGGAACTAGAACCCATGTGGCCGGTTTCTTTATCTTCAATATCCTTCCCTCTTGCTCGTTTCTCTGGCCGTAAGTCCATCCCATTATCCCTGATGTGTCGGTAGGTGTCTCGAGTCTCGATGCGTCCAGCCCGCCTCGCCCCATCCAGCCTCGCTTTATATGCCCTGTGGTTGGCCAGTTGATATCTTGGCAAAACCTTCGCTCAGCTCCACGCCAACGTCTTCCTTTGCCATTGCAATTAGACAATATTGCCATTCGTATTCAAAAGGCTCGCTCCGGCAAAAGCGCCAGCACAAGGCGTACACAGGGCAATGTGCTCTCTTTGACTTCGACCATACCCAAGTGCCAAGGACACCAAATCTGCCCATTTCGCAACAAGCTCAATCACATAGAGCTTGCCCACCGTTAGAGTTATGGGCGCTGGCGACCTTTGGCCTTCGAGGCGCAGACCCAACACAGTGGTCGTGTGGTCTTTTGCTAGCATGTCCTTTTCCCGCACTCGAATGCTCTTGCTCTTTTGGGCCTTTTGAAGAGACTATGGCTTGTTGTACTCGGCCAGCCGATGGCCGACTGTCCGCCCATCCGTCCATAAGTACCACTCTCTGTCTCCCCTAGGTTCACCCGTTCAAAGGAGCTGGCTGTCAGGCTTCATTCTGGGTTTTCGTTGCATCTTCAAACTCTGCGCATAGACGGCAGGTTTATACTTGACAGGCATGGCGGGAATCACCGTTTCAGTCACTTCCACTCAGCGAGCGACGGCGAAAGCGATCCCCGTCAGTCCCATCACTTCAGCTCCCATTCTGACCCACCAGCGTGACTTGATCAAGAGGTCCGACACAGACACAGTCGAAGACAACACTTGTGGATGGGTTAACGGTGATCTCAGTGAGCATGGCATCCCCTCACCCAATATCTCATACAACAATGCTTCGGCTTTATTTCCACCTATCTGCTTCCCGCCAGATTCATGCAGGACGATACTAAACGCTGCGGTTTCTCTCTAGACACTCCTCTTGTGTGTGACTATCAAGCCTGCCTTTGGTCTCCCGAACTTCATGCCGTCGGCTGTTGTGCGGACGCTGCCACAACGGATTGCGCCTGGGTGACCTCGTGTGTGCCCTATTCCATGGTGAATAATGGCTGTGATATGGCGTGTCAAGGGAATTACCTCAACACTGTTTGGTAAGTACCATGATCTCCATCTGTTCCTGCACCACCCGAGACGTCGAAAGGTCGTGAATATCTTCCACAGCGATTGAAGGCTGACTTGCTTTGTTTGGGTAGCGACGAAGACTATCCCCTTTGCGCAACGGCGACTTTCGGCGGCCCGGCGGGCTACACCTACCTCAGCTGCACAGACACCATTGGTACAACGGACACGGTAAGGGTTTCGCCTGATTGAATAAGCGTTCGTGTCGAAAGAAGCATCAAGATTCATACCGTCAATATCTACCCAGGCTGACGTCGAGTTTGCAGATGATGCTCACGTACTACGGCGGAAACGCAACCATTGAAAATTTGCCCCGGTACTTCTCCAGTTATTGGTACGGGAGCACGGCTACCTCTACCTCGACCTCGACCTCCTCTCCAACCGAGGATGCCAATGTTGGTGATACGATATCTTGGCTCTCTGGCCACAAGACCATCCTCATCGGAGCTATCGCCGGCTTTTGCGGGTTAGTCCTCCTCCTGGTGATTGGTTGCTGTGTCTTGCGCAGCAAAAGGTCCAAGCGAGGCCGGTATACACCCGCAAATGCGCAGATGCCTCCACAGGAGGGATTCGGGATGCATTATCAAGGCGCGGCGGCATATCAGCGGCCTCCTTCGTATCATCCCAGTTATGGGTATCAACAAGACTATGTCCAGGCGTACGTGACTCCGAATAAGTGAGGGAGGACTGTCGCGAGTTTGTTCCATCTTGAGCTGTCGGAGGTCAGGACTCCTGGGTGTCCTCCTCGAGAGAAGACCCCGCCATTGTGGAATGCATCCTGTGTGGCCCAGAAGGAGGATCCAAACAATGCCTCTGGCCCCTCTTCTCCCCGGCTTGAATTCTTCGGAGTCCTTTTGAAATCATTGTCGTCCTGCGTCGATGGGAGGAGCAAGGGAAAGATGGTGGTGAGGTTGGTTTGCTTGCCCTTTTATTCACCATCTATATATTCATTCCATGCCATGCCATGCCATGCCATATGTGTTGCGCCTCTTTGGACAGTCTCTCAACGCCGAGAACATTCCCGTTTCTCGACATTCTCTATCACCGCTCTATCTTCCCTTGTTTTTATCTCCCTGCCCAACCCATGCCTCTCTCGTCGTTCGGACGACTTTGAGATGGAGAAACGTGAAAACGTCCCCAGCCAGATTTCTCGAAAAGCCAGCCTCAAGCGAAGAGAAGCACCCCTCCTGCCCTCCATAAAAGGGGTGATCAAGGCACACATTCTCCACTACGATCACAATGCCCGGCCGGAGCACTTCTAGTGGGAGTTCAAATGGACTAAGAGTTGGGCTTCGCGACGATCTTGAGGGATGACCTTGGTTCGCGAAGGTGCTTCCCAGGTAAGTAAGTGCACGACGCCGAGGTCGAGGCCGAGGGCGAGGAGTGGGCGGTGCTGTTTGACCTCCCCCCGAGATCGATGGCCGAGGGGACGGGCTTGTCGGGGATCAAGCATCCTTTGTTTTCGCCCATTCCATGAGAGAATACCCCCTTTTCGCCAAACCTACATGTTGCGGCTGCGCTCACTATATATCTCCCATGATGCGATCTTTAGAGGGTGCTGAGAGGAGTCCCATGAGGCGGTGCGATCGGAAACAGCAGGGCATGTGAAGCAGCAGCAGTCAACGAGGAGCAGAGGAATAGGGGATGATGTAAAGCCCGCCTCGAAGGATGAGAGCCTGGCTTAAGGAAACGGAGAGGATCTTTTCGGTCGAGTAGCATTGTCTTGCGATGCATTCCATCACCTACCTCCAACGGTCACCGCTGCAACCCAAAATGAGGAAGGCAGCATATATAAGCCGCCCAATGTAGGGGCTAGTGCTCTAGTAGAGCTCGACCAAGACCCTCACCCCCTTTGTGTCTCTGCTCGGTAACGGAATGAACCTGTCCTCACGCATATCCACGTCCTTCTCGAACGTCGTCTCAAACAGCTCCAGCCGCCCCACATCGCCGTCGAATTTCACCTCCCTGCTGCCGTACACGCGAAACAGCTTCGCTACCATGAGGTACAGCTCCGCGTACGCGAGGTTGATGCCCAGACACTGCATTTTGCCCTTGGAGAAGCTGACGAGGTACTTGTCCAGCCGCGGGTTCTCGATCCACCGTTCAGGCCGGTATTCGTGGGGCGACGGGAAGATGTCGGGGTTCCGGTGGATCATGTAGCTGGTCATGGAGCACGGGGTGCCGGGCGGCACGGTCCAGGATCTCTCGCCGTCGTTGAAAACGAGGGCTTCATCCCGCGCGATCCGTTCGAGCCGCGTGCAGATTCCGTAGCTCAGGCGCAGCCCTTCTTGTATCACGCCCGTGAGGTAGGGCAGCCGTTCGAGCTCGGGCAATGCAGTGGGCTTTGTGGGATCCGGTATCGCTTCGTAGAGCTCTTGTTTCAGATGCTGCAGGACGGCGGGATTGGACAGCAGGTAGAACACTGTAACCGGCAGGGTCCAGCCCGTGGTCACGGCTCCCGCGCTCACAACCGTGGCTCCTTCATCCGCCAGGCGGGAAGTGCGCTTTTCGGCGGCGGGGAGAGAGCTGTCGAGTATTTCGTGGAAGATTGTGGGGTGTGAAGCTGTCTTATGCGAGGTGTCGACGCCGTTGCGGATGTTTTCGATTTGATTCTTGATGTCCTATCGAAGCAACGCAGTGGTCTTGTTAGTCGGCGGAGAGGTTGCTCGGGAGCAAGACAAAAGCGAGGATGAGCACGAGGGCAAAGGCATAGCATTCTACCACTTACCCGCTTGAACTGTAGATAGCGGCTGGCTGCAACCAGTCAGCTAAATGCATGGATTACCCAGGGTGCCAAGGGCGCCGTCAATCCCTCAGTTACACGAAAGCCAATCTTACCGTTCGCGTCGAGCTTTTGAGCCATCCAATCCGGAATATTCAAGACCAACCAAAAGAGCCAGTACATCTGCTTTGCAATCTGGCCCAGTGAACTTGTGGACGACGCCGCTTTCAACATCCAGGGATCAAAGTCCTCGGCTTCAAGATGATGTTCACTTCGAGCAAAGGCGTACTCGGTGATGACGTCTGGTTAGGATCAGTCCTATCTTCTTCATCGAGCGGGGAATGAGAATTGGGCTCAGGCAAGGAGAAGATTTACCGTAAGCATACGCGGCGAATGCAACCTCCAAATTCAAGGGCTTCCTTGCATCTTCTTTTCTCATGTCGCCAAACTCTCGAAATCTCGCCATCAGCAGATCCGCCTTCTCCTCGATGACGCCTTGCAGTTTCCGCACGCCTGCAACTCCCTGTTAGTCTGTATCCCTACCAAAGGAGTGAGCTCTCAGGTCGACTCAGAGAGCACTCACTTTGCATGCTGAAGTAAGGGCTCAAGGCAGCTCGTCTTGCCTTATGCAGGTCGTGAGGATTCGTGCTTGCTCCAGCACCAGGCATGCCGAAACCCTGGGTATAGCGTTCCCAGCGATCCCGTCGCCGTGTGGGACCTGCGTAAATCTCCTCGTAAAATTGAGGCGGATAGAAATGTAACTCTCGCGGATTGATGCGAACAACAGGGCCATATTGCTTGTGAAGGTCAAGAATGCGGAAAGTGTACTGTCCACCTAGAACAACGTCGTAGTAGAACTCGTACCTGAGAACAGTGTCAAGGCAAGGCTCTCCGGACGATGATCTCGGCGAAATTGACGGGTCGAGACTGGAAGACAACAGCGCTCTTACCAATAAGTTACGGCAGCGATTTTCGGGCCCGGGAAGTGAGCGATGGGGCTGAAATATAGGCGATAGATGACAAGCCCGACATTGTAGCATATCCATAAAGCCAAGCAAGCGAGCGGAAGGAAGAGCGACGACTTGGTCTCGAACCACATGGCTTCAAAAACACCCATACTGAACTCTTGGGCGAGGAGTCGGAGGTAGTGGAGAGAAAGAGCGGTCTGTCGAGCATCTCCATGTCAGATTAATATCTTCGGCCAGAGCATGTACCTCGCGTCGTTGCTGATCTGTCCATGATGGATCGATTGAGGTGGCCACTTTGATGGTGGAGAATGTGGTTGGAGATACGAAGGATGTTGGCCCGTAGTTTACCGTCCTGTGCAACGTGTCTCCAATAGCAATTCGTCCGAAACCCGTTGAAATGGATATGCATATGTGATGCAAGATATCAGACATGGAGCCAATGATTGTGATAGGGGAAATAAAGAACAGCAACCCGGCTGCGCGCATGCATTCGCCAAACGAAAGAACGGAAAAGATCATCTTATGGCTTTGTCAAGAAGGGCTTGACATCCTGACAAGCGAGCGGAGGGAGTAAGTGTCTCAATTCCTCTGCTGGCATGTGTTTGATGGTGTTGGCAACCAATCGACTCCGTTCTCCGAGGGCATTTCGACCGCAGTTGAGAAACTATAGCCGAAATGGGTGCTTGCTATATGGTGTGGTATGAAATGAAGTTCACAGAGAGGCCGCGGGAAGACTCTATCGAGGTCAAACATCAAGGCCAACGGTACTCACCATTGCAGGCAGAGAAATCAAGGTCGGTATAGTCCCGCAAATGTACATAGATGATATGATACGTGCATTGATCCACTTGGCTGAGAGCAAGCAGCTCACTCCCAACACATCGTTTATAGCTTGCGCAGAAATGCGACCCAGACCGAAGCAAACGCTCGGTGTGGGAAGGTGGAAGTCAATCAAGCCCGCCAGCAACATTCGCACACGTGTATGATCAGAGGCTGCTTCAGAATAGAAACACCGGACGGATGGGGGAGGTAGGGAGTGATTATTCATGTCGGATGGAGATCAGCGGTCCCTGCGGGAGGTTCACGCTCGTACGTCGCAAGGCACCAAGGTTGAGCGATGTGTGAACAGAAGAGAGTTGGTGAGCAATTGGGTTGTAAGATGGCACTGGGCTGCAGCAGTCAACGATTCAAGCAGAGGGAGCAATTGTTGCACGACTGATTCCCCAGCGCCGGACCTGGCCCCTTCCACCTACCAGCCCAGCCCGCTAGTGAAAGGATCGAGCACGAAGCGGTGGGCAATGTGGTGATGCTCGTAACCAGCTGAACACTCGATCGAACAGCGATGGGACCGAAAATGGGCAAAAGGGGGGACAATGACGCCCTCTTTGTGTATTTGTGTCTCTTTGCAGAACTTGTGTCAATGCACAAGTGATGTGTTTCAATCCCATGCTCTTGCGTCCCTGGCGAATAGCCTACTTCTCGCGACGACGGGTGAATGGGTCGTCAGAGAAGGTGTGCCAACATGGCTTCTTCGAAGGCAAAGAGAGGATCAATTGTCGGACTCGGGATTGAGGACATGGCTGGTAAGGGGTTGAAAGGTGTTGTAGGCTGCTTGCGCCGGGAGTTCTGTCCTCTCTGACAGTGGTGTTGCCGCCCGCTTCGAACCCTGATCAATTCGACCATGGACATAGCTCAACTTATCAGGATTGTCGTGTCACAGGCTAAGAAGTGCATGATTGAAAGGCTGGAAAGTGAGTATCGTAGATATCGCGGGCTCCTGTGCATTGAGCCGCTTTCCAGGCCGAAGGTGCCTGAAAGTTGGGCATTCCGCAGTCCCTAGGCGGCACCAGCTAATGCCTACCTAGGCAGAAATCTAACCAACTTGAATCTCTGCCAGTATCATCAGCGCCCTCACTTGGCACAGACTGGGGATCGCTTAACGCTAAGCTCGTCAACATCACCTCTTCAGATGGAATTGTCCTCGACTCACTTCAAACCTCTCAACTCAACTGCACAAGGTCAGTTAGAGATACAACAACGGTCTAGGTATGTCACCTTGGCTCTGTCACTTCCCGCATAGCGCCAGAGGACAAATGGATGGTCTACCCTGCTGGCAGGCTGAAATTGATGGCTGTACTCGGTAACATGCCAGTGCTTGTGGAATCTTAATGCCTGTCCGCGGCTTGTTCTAATTCCGTCGAGGTGGAACAGCGTACTGCAATCCTAGTGTTCAATAATGATAGCTTCACAAATGGCCATCTACGAAGCAAAATGATCTTACGTTGCAGCCTCCGCCCTCGTTGGGCTTGGGTGTTTCTGGAGCTGGGCACCATTGATGCCACTTTTTCGAGCATTATGCAAACGAGGCGTGGGTCTCACTCAAACGCATTGCCAAATGCAAGCTGGTCGACGGGGGTCCGCTTTGCAATGTCTTGTGGGATTTCGATGCCTCTTTCCTTCGTGGCGCTGTCATTGTTTGGCTCTCCGAGGGCATATACGATACCAACAAATTTCAGCCACTTCCTGAACCAGGCCGGCAAGCCAGACTGCCATCATGCTTGATCAGCCCCCATTCACGAACACCACATGCAATTCACCCTTCTTCTGGCCTGAAACCTGCTGAGCAACGCGCGTCGTGAGGACAGCAACTGGGAGTTGCCAGAGCCGCCTTGAGGACCAACCTCCTTGTCTCATGGTGTCAGGGCGCACATGTCTTCTGACAGAGTCGATAAATCCCGCAAAGTGGCAGGCAGGGTGGCTCCCGGGGATGATTCGCCGTTCAATATCAGATGCAGGATGCATTTCGACCGAAACAGCCATGACTTTGAACATCGCACTATTTTTTTTCACTTTCGCCTAGGTATGGGATTGCCTCCACTCGAGCCTCTAGGGCCGGTTTGGATGTACCCGTCAGGGCCCTGTTCCCAACTCAAAGAGCCCTGGGACAGATCGCCCTCAGGGTCCCAACGCTAGATGCCCCGCGTGGAATTCGCTAACTCACGATGTGAATAGATCAGCGTTCGCCATGGCAGTTAAAGCTCCAGAAGAGCGGTTGGTGAACCTCTGTATTGGATCGTATTCTGCATGCTTGTGGTGGAAGCCGAGTACCCTTCAAATGAGCTTCTGCCCCGGTGCGAGAAGCTCTGGCTTGAGTTCCTGGCACCCCAAAGACTGTCAGTTCGGAGTCGGACTCCTGTGTCAGGAAACGCCCGGGGCAGTTGTCAGTCTCTTTTTGAGACGGGAAAGGTGCTTTCCGAAGAGGTCTCGCAGGAGAAAGCTGTAGTTGAGCAGGGGCAGTCGAAAGATCCTTGAGCACCTGAGCACGCATTGGGACGCACGGGGGCAGCAGAGAGGGCTCATTGGAATCTCCCAAAGGTGCCGTGGAGAGAGACAGAGAGCGCCGAGTGTTTGCCCATTTGCTGGATGGCGCAAGGATGGAGACGACACTGACTGACACTGACACTGCGACACGACGGGGTGGAGATTTGGTCGGTGGTTGAACAGCTTCCAGCTGCGAACATGGCAAACTTCGGGTGTACCAGATGGACCATCCGGTGGCTTGATGTCTTATAGGGATGGACTACGCCGTGTTGGCTGGCAGACTCCTTGCTTGGTGGACAATTCCAGCAGTCTTGTGGCCCGTGCGTGCCTCGTCAAGTCGTAGCCAGCTCGCTAGTTAAGCGATGCAAGGCACCATCCGTGGCCCGTCGGTCTCCATTGTCTCCATAGCCAAAGTGAGTCCAAAGGCAAACCCCTCGCTTGAACCAAGAACACCACCTGTCAACTACCCTTCTCTTGTTTCTGCGCCTCCCTTCTGTTCCACAGCCATCTGTCCCTCCAGCGGGATGACTTGGGTGATTTGCATGCGTGTGGGCCGAACTGGGTGGGATGAGATGAGGTGAGTTAGGTCAGGCTGGCAGGCTATCAGGCTGCTGGTGTGTCCGAGGAGGAGTGCAGGAGAAGGAGTCGTAAGGCTGGCGCGGGCCGCAAACTGCGCCCCATCCGTCTTTTCTCTCTCTTTTCCTCCCCTTCTCTCCCTCTCTCACTTTGACTTCATTCAGCCACCCGTCAAACGCGACCTTCCCCGGCATACTAGTGAGCAGAGGCGGGACTCCCTTGCTGACTCCCTATATTGTTATCCCATCTCATTGGACCAGCCAGACATGCAGACCTAGGGATATTCTTTCTAGTCGTCTGCTAAAATGCACCACCACAATTGTCCCCTCTCCTTCGATACCCACGGCCTTCCTCTTTGAACTGCGCCTGCTATTCGTAGCTCAAGCTGTCAAGCTGTCGGAAGATGCCTCGAAAACACCCTGCCTGCTCTTCGAGAGTGACGACGCCGCGGCCTCCCAACGAAACCTTTGACACCTATGCACACAGCCTGCCAGATCCAAACTCTGGTATACTCCTCCCCCCCGGTAGACCTTTCCGGTCCCGTTTGCCCCCTTCTATTACTCCTGTTTGAGCCAGTCCCTGAGCCCAACTTTTCCATCGCCGACCTCTTGCTTTTACCAGCCGATCTGTGCACTTGGTTCCCAGCACCTTGGGGAGGGAAAAGCAAGATACTCATAAGATTATACTCAAAATAAACAAGACGAGGCCAACCCCACTATTTTCCCAGATTTTTGGTGCCGATCTGCCTCGCGGAAGGAGGTGAACCGTACGATCTGAGCACAGGCGACCCCTCCTCCCATGGCGGTATATCTCTATGATCAACAGGGTAGTTGGCCCCTCGTCTCTGCATCTTGTGGCAGCAGTCGCGTGTCTCAGGGTCGAACTCCATAAAAGACCCTTGTTAGATGCATGCAAAAAGGTGGGAAGCTCCCTCCCCATTGTGGACGCCTTGGATCTATGTTGCTACATGCGGCACCCTGTCCTCCATTGAACCTTACACTGCCGATTGCTCCAATGATGGCACACCTTGAATTACGAGGTTGAACGACTGAGTGAGTGTCGGGACAAATACAAGGCCCTTGGCAGACTGTGATCTCCCTTACTTAGAGGAGAGAATGCCCGCCTCTCCGGCTCTCCTTTTTCTCTTTCTCTTTTCACAGAAAGATTCGTTCAGTTGTCCCCATCCGTGATCTCCGACCAGAGCCCTGAAATCTCCCCCTATTACCCTCACCGCAAGAACCAGCCGAAGACATGGCGGGAAGAGTCAAGAAGTTCACCGTCGGCGTGTTCGGCGACCCGGGAGCGGGCAAAACAACACTCATCCATCAGGTAAGCCCGCGCTTTGGTCGGTGGGCCTGCACGTTGGGTGGGAGGTGATGATCACACTGACGTGTTGTTCGCTGGGACATTGTAGTATCTCTTCGGGCAATACCTTGAGGAGCACAAAAACATGGTGCACTACGGCAAATGGGTCAACGTCGAGTCCGAGCTGATTGAGCTCGACATCATCGAGACGGGCAAGGACCCCATGGACTATCCCGAGTGCGACGCCATGATCTTCGTCTTCAGCACCTCGTCGTCGGCGACCTTCCACTCGGTGATGCGGTACCAGAACAGCCGCCGCCGGCTGATTGCCTTGGTCGGCACCATGACCGACTACCATGGGCAGACGGTGGCATATGACGCCGGGCTCAACCTGGCCAAGTGCATGGGGGCCGGGTACTTCCACTTCTCCCCGCACCACGGCTGGGGCGTGCAGACGCCCTTTGAGTTCCTGCTCCGCCGCTTCGTCGTGCAGCAGCCCAAGCAGGTCGAGATCGTCCAGGTGCCCTCGATCAACGTATACCAGTGGGTGCGAGCCAAGTGGTACGTCCACCGCATTAAGAAGCCCAGGAGCAAGGTCTGGTACGACGACTAGACTGGGACAAGGGATGTGGGATGGGGAACAAACCAGTTTTGACTCAAGAGTCAACAGGCGTCTCCTCGCACTGTCAATGAATGATGAACGATATATCACAGCCACCTAGACGCAACAGCCAACAATCCACCGACCCATCGACGGAAGGGATGAGATGATATGACACCTCGGCAGAAGAAACCGAATAACGAAATCTTTGAAACCAACGCGGAAGAAGAAAATAAACACACACACACAATCGAGGCATTACCATCGGAGGTTGTAGCTAGCAACTCCTCTTCCTCCTTTTTCCTCTTTCCTAACCCCTTCTTGCCCTCTCACGCCAGGGTAGGGGGTGGTTGAACCTCTTGTACGACTTACGACCTTCACGACACACCCACACAATCGATCGACACAGCGACAGACTGACAGACGACATGGGCACGGACATCGATATGGACATTCACATGGACACCACCGACCAGCCACAACACCTCCAGCGAGGCTTTCATTCGGCATTGGCGGTCATTATTTTCGGGCATTTCTATTTTGGCTTCAATCACTTTCTCTTTCCCCCTTTTTTCTTTCCCTTTCCATTTCACTTGATGCTGGGAATGATGGGACGGCCTGGATTGACGACGAGGAACGAGAAACCAAAGCGGGGCGTATGACTTGGGGCACTTGGAACCATGACTAGGGCACAACATCGGGAAGTTTTCATTAACTTTGTGAATCAACAAAACCCGCCTTGCGTACCAAGGGGCAAAAAGTTTCATCTCTATCTTTCTCTCTCTCTTTATTGTACTATTACCAACTATAGCTTCCGGGGTTCAGCATCCAGTATCTCACATAGAGGTACGGAGTACATCTTATATCCAAAAGCCAACGACCAAACCCCTTCTTTTTGCGTCACAACTAACTTGGTCCTTGGTATCAGGCTGATGGGTTGGGTAGGGAGTCAAGAGGCTCGATCTCGACTTGTTTCATGGTGCTTGCTTGCTTGCTTGTTTGTTAGTTTGCTCGTTAGTTTGCTCGCTCGCCTGTTTGCTCGTTTGTTGCCCCCCCCCCTCTTCTCCCCCTCTAACCCTTCCTCTCCTCCACCCACCCCAACCCCCCGAAAAACAACCGGCGAGGAAATCCTGGCTCTTGGTGGCTGTTGGACGATACTGATGGCGGCAGAGAGACTAAACTACATTGGTCCAAGTAGGCATACCGAGTACGAGTAGAGAGCCCCAATTTACGAGGTACAGGTACAGGTACAGGTACAACAGAGTTTGAATCACCTACCTGCGTGCTGGGTAGCTATGTAGATTTCTAGGTGGGTAGTCAGGCAGGCAGCCAGCTGTGTCACAGGCTCGTCACCGAAGCAAGGACACTCGCTCGATGGGTTCATCCTCTTTGTCAAGGAGACGACGACGACAACGACGACGACGACCGCTACCGCCACCACTATCGAGTTAGGTCTAGGTAGCCTGGTTCCGCTATCAACGCCACGTCGCTACCGGGAGGCACTGCTCACGGGTTCCAACACACACACACACACACACACTAACACCGTTGACGGCCGAGTCCAGCCTGACGGCAAGGTCGGACGGGGACATCTGCAACATCGAGGGACCCCAGATGGACAGAGAGGAGGACTCCTTTCTCTGCAACTGCCTGAATACAAAGGGACATACGGAAACGGAGTAGTCGAGGAGTCGAGCAGTCGAGCAGTCACCCCAAATCTGATCGTGTCTCCTTCGCTGGGGTTCAAAAGCAAAGTTGCCGGCATTATTGTGTAGAGTACCTATCAAAAAAAAAAATTCAAAAAAAAAACCACTGGCCCAGTATTCATTTCCCTCGAGATAGCAAGCGTCCTCTGAAAACATAGCACCTCGAGCATCTTCGCCTCGTCCCAAGAAACCTTTTGACCCCAAAATTTCGCCTGGATTCGTTCCGCTTGTCGCTTGCCGCTTGCCGCTTGCCGCTTGCCGCGCCCTCAATTGGTGTGCTTGCTTGTTCGGAGCCTGATCCAATCGATCATCTCGTCGAGCAAGGCCGTCCCCACGAGACCCTGCATCAACAAGCCGGTGTGGCCATGGGGAAAGATGCTCAGAGTGGCTTGACAACTCGCCGCCTCCAGGCGGGCCACGAAGTCTTCGCTTTCTCGACGTAAGATGTCGCCGGCCATGGCCACGACCTTGGTCGGGAAGGCCCGGGTGGACTCGATGGTCCGCTGGTCGGCGTAGATGGGACTGGCCCTCCAATTCTCCCTGGACCTGTCCCCGGGGCTCCGGAAGCACCGATCCTGAAAAAACCGCATGGTGGCGGGAGTCAGCCAGGGAGCGTCCCAGTTTGGCCGCCATCGTTCCTCGCACTCGGACGTGTTGTCCAAGCTGGGAGCGACGAGGAGCAGGCCCGCTGGAGGGCGTTGTGCCGCCGACCATGCCAATGCGGTGGCAGCGGCCAGATTCCCGCCCCTGGTGATATCCAAATCAGCAAAGTCGATGTCAAACCCGAGGTCAGCACGCCTTACGATGATACGCCAGCAATGACCACCTCTTTCCTTCCCACTCGATTCTTGACCCAGTCTGCCATCACCATGGCGTCGTCATGTGGAATGGGGAACTCCTGCCGGCGGTAGGCACCAGTGAAAACTCGGCATCCACAACCTGCAGGAATGTCATGACACGGACGCGTGCGGGAGGAGGAAAGACTTACGAGCCGCAATCTGACTGAGTACATTGTTGTCTCCCGATATGTCTCCAAGCATCCAACCTCCCCCCGCGAACCACATAATGACCGGCAAGTCCCGCCGTTCGTGCCTGGGTATGAACTGTCTCACGCATAGACCAGACGGGAGATAGTGGTCGGTGGTGTCTACGCCAGAGTGGAAATCCAAGTCTGTGCTAGTGTCGAATGGCGACATGGGCGTGAGACGGTTCTCCCACACACGAGGCGGATACCACTGCACGACTTCTTCGTGGAAAACTCTGAATGGGCCACACAGTTGTTGTGCAATATATGGCGCCAAAGGAGACAAGGGCACCCCTAGATATCTGGCCATGTTCCCCTCCACCCTAGGAGCAGACGGGTCCAGCCTGTCCTGCACCTCTCCAGCCGCGCTTGAGAGCATGATGACCCAGCGTGTGATGTGGTATTCGAGGTCCTGGATGGTGAACGGGATACCGAAGTACTCAGAAAACCATCGAGACATTGCCGCCACTGGCAGCGGCCGAGGCTGCAGACAGTTCCTGGTTATGGGTTGCGAGGTTGCCCCGACGTAGATAATGGCCGCGTTCATCAGCCAATTGAAACGTATGGTCCATGATTTGCTGTGGCTGTCCTCGTACTCAGGATCATCAAGGAGCCCGCGGAGGTGAGAGGCTTGCTGGAAAACTTCAATCCAGCGCAGGTTTCGGCCGACAATGTGCGCATTCAGGGCCTCTTGGATCCATGCGATGTTGAAAGGAGTGATGAATGCGAATGTCAGGCGGTGCGGCAAGCTATAGGACCTGCCGCGTGCGAAGATCCAGGTCAATAGTACGACGAGGACGCAACGGCTTAAGTATTCGGATCCTGCGCCGTTAACCATGGTATCCTAGGGAGATTAGTGGGACGATCAAATCAGAAATTGTCCTGAGCGAGAGAGGCACCAGAGGGATCCTATCACGCACCTTTGACGGTCCAGACGAGTTGGTTTCGCACACAGCCTAGAACGAGACAGGCGAGAAGAATAGCGGACTGGTGATTTGATATTGCAATAGAGACTGGTGATGGGGAAGAATGCAAGTGGGTATATTGGGGGGAAGACAGACTGGGAAGCACGCAGGCGATGACTGAAGGAAGGGATTGATAGGCTCAGGATGGGAAGCAGGCAAGGCTCAAGTATGCCAGAGCCCGGTGAGTGAAGTAGAAGCTCCGGCCTTTGCTCCTCTGATCGCTTCTTCCATCTGGCCTCTGACGATGCTGCTCCAACTGCATCGTCTGCTTTCGATCTCGTATCCCCTTACACACATACACTGCCTCTCCCTGCCCGTATTCTTTCGGCTAGGACTGGGAATGCTGCACTTGCCGCATAGCCTTGACATCACCACTCGTCGAGCGTGGTCACCGTCCTCACCGTGCTGGCAGTAGTAAACACAGGCGCAGCTGCAAGCCCCGTTTCTCAACAGGGATCTTGACCCTTTCTCTATTTTCCCCCTCCCCCCAAGAACGTGAACCTGCTTTCCTTTTTGCGCCCCTCCAAGTGTCATCCCGCGCAGCTTAGCGTATGCCACACGTTCGGAAACTGTGAAAGCAATCAAGCACGCTGCACGCTCCCTGCTTTGGCTGGTGTAATGATGATGAATGTGGGGTTTTGGAATCCGAGATGTAAAACAGTCACAGTGTCAGTCACAGGGATTTCGGCCCTGTTGGGACTTGGACGTGGGAGGCCCATGCGCCTCACTTGCTGGGAAGGTCCAGGGCCAGGATGATCTGGGGGTCCAGGTGGTTCATTCAGCTCGCCTGGGGCTTTGTCATGGAATGGCCTTGGTTCGGGGTTGGCTCATCAACGTCGTGGATGGGATGCTGTAGGGAGTAGCGTCAAGGGGATTTGAGGGTTACACAGGGATCAGTTTACCGAGCCGCGTGTCTGGGTTACGATGGGCGAGGCCATCAATTGATCGGGCCTGACAGCCTCATTCCCCCAGCCACGGTGCTCTTAGTTTGTCAGTGATCATCCGTGCAGAGGATCAACTGCATGGAAGCACATCGTACCATTCAGCCATAGCCTGTCGAGCTGAGGGCCATCCTCGGTTGTCCCAGCCCTCCCACGGAGCAGCGTGCAGAGAACGTTGGTAGAATGCTTGAAGCAGTTGACAGGATGCCAGGACAACTTTCAGACTTCCGAACATGATGGTGCAAAACCAATGAGGGCACAGCCCCAACGTCAATTAGGGATGCATAGGCAACGACCGGCGCGCCGCGGAGGCGTTTAGCGCAGCTTGGCCATTGAGGGCCAGATGCCCGCCCGCTGACCGCTACTTTTATGGTGACAACTTTTGGAATTCTCGTGGAAGTGATTTGCAGGGGCTCAAGGGCTCTTGTAGTGGAAGGAAAGTCGTGGCGTTTGAATAGGTGGTGGTGGCCTGAACCTAAAGTCGAGCCCATGGTCAAGATGGTGGCGAGAGGAAGAGGAGGAGGAGGAGGAGGAGGAGGAGGAGAGGAAAGGTCCCGTGCATGGCATAGTCCTAGGCCTGGCGAGGCAGGTGCCTATTACTCGTTGCTCCAGGCGTATTGAGGCCCTTGGGTACCCAGGTAGGGAGGCTGCTTACCGGCCTGGAGCCTCTTCCGCCCTGGAAGTCCTGGGGCCATCACTGCCTAGCAATTAGCCTCACTCGCCCTTAGCATTGCCTAACTGCCTCTTACCGACTCGCCACGCGACGCCATGTAACCCTCCACCATTATCACAACTTCGGATCGACTAACAAAATGAATACCCGGCATTTTGGCGCACCGCTGAGAGAGCAGATTCAAATTTTACTTGTTTAGGCAATTGTCTCTTCGGATCCCTCCACGCTATCAGGCTGTAGTCTCTCCCACGGACAACTCCCAAGCACAACTCCCGAGCACAAAGGACCCGGGTGAGAAGAGCGAGACAAGACACTACCCGCTATGGCGCACACACACACACAGGCCAGCTTCACCCTTTCGCCTTGATGCCTTTGTCAAAGACTGCCTCTCGCGTTAACTATCTCCAACCCTGATTTGATTCTGATGCCACGTGATCTCTATGCCAAAGATGCCGTGGACGCCTACCACCGTTGTGGTAATAACGCTGGGGCATTTGTAGGAACAACAAGCAATAATGCGCCTCCCATACGCTTATCTTCGCCTGATTCGCTTATCTCACAATGCTCTCTGACCTGCCTGCTGATTGTCTGCCCGCTGCTGAGGGCTCGGGTTTCCCCCTGGTGCCTCGATAAACGTTCCCGCATCCAGGCGACAGTGACGATGAGTTTTTGAACAACTCAGACCTTGCCATTCCTTGGAATAAGCCGAGTCATATCTGTACATACGATATCACTCATATTTGCTCGTTATGCCGGGGCTAAATGGTCCACTGGGGGGGGGGGGTGCGTAACAGAATCTTGTGCGGGTGAACAAGCAATCTCAATCTAGGATAGCGACACGGCACACACTAGCAATAACGACCCATGGTCCATTGATTGTGTAGAATGCTTCGGGTTTCGTGTGCCCATCACTTACCATACCAGCCCAACCACAGGTGAAGTTGGCCGTCACCCCAACGAGAACGGGAAAGGGGGAATCTCGCACGCTCGACTGCTAGCGATCCCGCAAAAGACTTGGAAAGCAACCTGATCCCCTTGGCGTAGGGGATTCGAGAAGACAAGCGTCTTCATTCCTGTTGTTTCCTTCGTCTTACAGGCATTGCATCCAGTGTGTCCGCCGTATGTTTATCTCCCGCCCCTGATCAAGGGAACGTAGACTCATAATCGATTGAGTCTTCCTGGAGTTCCGTATCAAGGGTATGATCTTGCGTGACGATCACTCACTGTTCTGTGAACCGGACCAGTAGCCTGCTGTCCTTTGGTTCTTTTAGGCTGGTCAATGATCGATCGTGCTTCCCACATTCCTTGACCGAGACACCCACCGCTTCATCCGAAGTTGTGTATATCCAGCAATGAATTCGCAACATGGTCCCCACTCGTTTGCCTTGATTGGCAAGAGGTACAGTCACCTGTTCGGAAATTTATGACTGAGGGACGGCTAGACTCGACTACGTATTTCGATGAAATGCGCTCCTGTATCGCGTCGCGGAAGTCGGTGTGTACTGTCTCTGTCCGGACGAAGTGAGTGCAGCCGCCTAATTGTAGAATGTAACTCGAATCTCCACATGTATTTCTCGCTCTTCTTCTCTTTATTCCCATTTGTCAAAAGTCGCGGCCGAGTAGGTTTCATCGATGACCGTTACGGACGGTCTAGCGGGAGGGTATTTGGGTAATTTGCTCGATCGCACACACCTGGAGACTTTGAGAGGTCATGGATTGTGTCAGCACCATTGCAAGGCATGGCAAGGCATTGCTGCTGCTTCACCTCTTACAGCTTCCTGCTACGCGTTTCTGTACGCGTCTAATGTAAACATCACTCTTGAATTGGCCGATCTCTTCTCTCACGGAGGGTCAGAGTATGGGCATAGGCATCTGCGGCAAAGGGGCTTGGAGACAAGCAGTATATAGGCACGGACCATGATGGGGCTGGCTCGTCGTCGTCGAGGGTCTTGAGGGTAGTTGAGCAACTTGGAGGGCGGATGTAGTATTCAATTCAAACAGCCCGGAGATTTCAGATATCGAGGCGTCTATCAGCGGAGTGCTGCAGCCTTTTCCTGCATTGTTGACTAGTATGTCGAGCGAATTGTCTGTCAGTTGGGAAGTGGCCTGAACTGCCGCTTTGACTGAGTCTTCTGAGAGGACGTCAAGCTGCAGAGGATCGATACCCATGGCTTTGAGAGAGGCCATTTTTGCGGGGTTTCGCGCGGGTGCAATGACACGGTCGCCATTGTTGTGAAAGGCAATGGCGAGACAGCTCATGGTGCTTGTCGAGTGGTTAAGAGTCGGAGAAAAGGTTGCCGCTGGTGACCGTGGGTCTGGAGGATCTTGCTAGCAATGGTCAAATTGTTGCTGAGGTACACTTCATACTCACGAGGTTGTTGCTGCTGCTGCTGTCGCTGGGGGGCTCCAGGAAAGGTGAGCGACTTGGTGCCGGCTGCAACGGCGGTACCCGACAGTGTGGGCGGCAAGGACGGGAACCCCCACAAACGGATTGGCGAGAATTGGGACCTGCATCGATTTCTTGTCACATGGACTCGAGGAAGGCCCCTGTACGAGCATCTCCGGGTCAAACATGGAGTCGATGGGCTTGTGGGCGGTATTGCTGTGTTTCGAGCACACCCATGATGGCCATGATGGAAGCGAGAAGTCTACCCTCTCGGATTGTCCTGCTGGTGCTGCTCCCTGCGACCCTGCTTCTCCAATTTTGCCGGCGGTCCTCGCACCTCTTCCGACACACCAGTCGCCTACGCACCCTCAAGCCTGAGGTTCCACGAGACCAGCCCTTTCCGATATCGATCCCTTACTATGCCTCCGCGACAGAGTTGCCGGCGAAGCTGCCCACGACACGAGACATCGAACGAGCCCGGGTTGTCTTGTCAGAGCGCCTCACCGCAAAGGTCGTTACCGTGGGTCCTCATTTTGTGGTCAAATATGGAGAGGGCGTTGATCCGGAAGAAGGGCGAATGATGCTATTTGTGCAACAGCATGCCAAAGTGCCAGTCCCCCGTGTTTACGCCATCTATCATGACTGTGGCAAGAACTTCATCGTCATGGAACGAGTGGATGGTCAGACTCTACACGCATCATGGCCCACTCTCACACCCCCGGAAAAGAAGCTGGTCGCAAATCACCTCAAGGAATGTTTGTTTCGAATGCGTGCCATCCAATCACCAAATGGATATTGCAGTCTGGACGACAGACCGCTGCGCGACGCCCTGTTTTGGAGTGGTCATGCAGATGAACCGCTGAGCCGCCGCGGGCCCTTTGCCACGGAATCGGAACTCAACAGCGCAATCGTTAAGAAATGCCGGACTATGAAGGCCATTGAGGGAAAGGCCGGTTTCTATCAGGACAGCCTTCCACTGGTATTTCGTGACCACCCTCCGACTCTCACACACGGCGACCTGCAACCCAAGAATGTCATGATCAAAGCCAAGCCAAAGACTGGAATCGAGATTGTCCTTCTGGACTGGGAGTGTGCAGGTTGGTACCCGAGCTATTGGGAATATGCTCAGGCAATCATGGCGTGTGGGTGGTTTGAGGACGACTGGCACCATTGGGTAGGCAAATTCTTGGACCCATATCCGAACGAGTACGCCTGGCTGCTCATGCTGGAAAATGAAATTGGATGGTGACAGTTCTCATCGTCGTTTCACGCCGGGTCCTCGACCACTCCAGTCCGCCACCATCACTTTGTCTGGCCGATCTCCTGGAGAACTCCTGCGGCCCGCAAGTCACCGAGCGCCTGGTACACCCAATGGCGGCAATCTCGCTCCATTCGCACTCCAGACACTGTTCGGATGCAAGGAATGGGCACATTCTGACAAATCATGTCGACGCGTGGCAGGTCCTCCCGTGCTACTTTCCCCCTCGGCCACATCTTGTACAAGCTCCTGGACTTCTCGGGCCGCTCGCATCCACATGCTTCGTACCGGAATCCAGCGGTGTGGGAGCCGACGGCGTGGTACATCAAGCCGCCTTTTTGGTCCCGGTGTATATAGATGGCGGCATGGAAGGCGGGAAGACGCTTGTACTGGACCTCATATACCGTCATCATGGCCATTTTGTGTGATAGGGCGCCTTTTGTGGCCGTTAGGTTTCCTAGAGGAAGAGTCGACTTGAGAAGGGATTAATTATGAGAACTATCATCGATCGTACGTGATTGCGAGAAACAACGACAAGCGGCAACGAACAACGGACCAGCCAACAACAAGATTCGATGAAACCCGGCAAAGAAGGGGAAATCCAGATGGAACGGTGGTTTTCAAGAAGGAAGGGAGGAAGAAGACAAAGATAAAGAGGCTGCTGCGAGAGCTCACAAGCGATGTCAGTCGCATGACGATGATAAATGATCAGGCTGAGATGGACAACACCGCCAAGGATTCTTGCAAGGTGGATGTCTACCATTGGTGGACGGCGGCCTCACCATTAATTCTACGTCGCTCTGCAGCTTTTAGCTGGCTGGAGTCGCAACTGTCAAGCGGCCAGCGAGGCTTCATTTTCAATACAGCCAAAGTTGGTCTTCAATGGCTTTGAATGAATCAGCCCAAGCGATACATCACGGTTTGTTGAGCCAATCTCGTGTCTCGTCGGCTTCCCTCAGAAAGCCACTGTCATCGCACGGGAGGCCGAGAGTTCAGAGAGCCACCTCCCTCCATCCATCCATCAATCAGTCCATCCAAGAATCCCCCTCCAATGCTTTGCATCTCTCACAACACGTCGACCTCTTCAGGACTCGACCGGCTTTGGCTCATGTTTCGCGGCATGAAATCTGGAGCTCACGCCTGACGTTCCTCAACTCCGAATGCTCAGGCAGTCTGACAGGGCCCGGAAGAGACCTCCTTGGCTGCAATGTCACACTGCACCGCAACACTTCCACAATTTCCGTCGACAATGCCCGATATTGCTGATGCCTCGGCCTCGGCGATCGCTTCCAGCCGGAGGAACTCCAGTTCCGTCCAATTGAAGATATTGTCGTTCTCAAAGACCTGCCGTCCGAAAAAATTGCTGGAGAGTTTTTGCAGGTAGCGATAATCAGGCTGGTGTCTCTCTTTCGAGCCGTGCACATACCTCATATACTTTGCGAACTCGGCAGGGAGGCCTGCGCAGAGTTCCTCAGCACTGGTCGTTTCCATCAGAAGCAAGATACGCAGGGTCAGGTGGTCGCCCTCCCTTACGCCTTGGGTTCGGATATGTTGCCAGGAGAGTTTCCCCTTTGCAAAATCCACCAACATGTAGCCCAAGGCCTCTAGTTCATCGCATGCAGATTCTGCTGTCAACCATGTCAGATGGCCTGTGTCCACATGCACGTCCATGACCGAGACGCTTACAACCTCCTTAATGGACGTTGATACTCGCATATCTCAGGGTGCAAACCACATACGCGCGAGGAACTTTCAGGCTCTGAGGAGCAGGATCCGCACAGCCATCGGATCACGGGCGGTGGAGAAGCGTCAGACCGAAACCAGTGAGAGGAAGTTTCGGGGAGTGATGCCTGAATGCAGATAATGATGTGAATGGAGCGTTTCGAGTCGCGCAAGGAGGTGGTCTGCCAGCATCAACGTCGTCTTGAGAGATAATTGGCCGCCGCCAATACAGAACTTCCCGAAACGTACCTACCCCGGCGGACACATTGCAACTTTCTGGACAAAAGCCAAGGAAAGAATGGGTCACGCTTTACCTACGAGAGCATGGTCACATTTTTGTTCAGTTGGCGAATCATAGCTCGAACTTGTTCCTCACCGTATTTGCGATACCGTAAAATCTGAGTGCTCTTTCTCGTGACATGACAATATGCTTACGGAACAACAATTGACTTTGAAGTGAAGGGTTGGTCACAGCTGCAAGACGAATCACACTAGCCATGTTTTATAGCAGTGCAGTCGTGCGTTTCAAATCTGCTCAAGCCTTATACAGCATATGATAAAATCCGCGACGACGCTCATACTCAACAATCACCTCTACCCTCTACCACATCATTCGACCCATGCTCCTGGCATACGGTGAGCACTTTGGACCTCTTGATCTAAGCCAGTGTCACTGCCCGTGCTTAGCCATGCCACCAGAGTATTCGCTGCGCTTTGGGTGTCAGGGTGCGAAGGACCGAGTACCTTTCCCATTGTTTCCATGCAGGAAGTCATCAACTGTGTAGCTTCGTCATCGCGGTTTTGGTCTTTTAGCGTGTAGGCTAGGTTGGCCATGCTGGTCAGCGTGTCAGGATGCTCCGCCCCCAGCACCCTCGTCCTCGTCTCCATCACTTGCACCTCCAGCTCTTCCGCCTCCTTCCATCGACCTTGATTCCGGTACGTCGACGCCAGGTTAGCAATGCTGGTCAGCGTGTCGGGATGCTCCGCCCCCAGCACCCTCGTCCTCGTCTCTATCACTTGCACATCTAGCTCTTCCGCCTCCTTCCATCGACCTTGATCCCAAAACGTCAACGCTAGGTTAGCAATGCTAGTTAGCGTCGAGGGATGCTCCGCCCCTAGCACTCTCGTCCTCGTCTCCATCACTTGCACCTCCAGCTCTTCTGCCTCCTTCCATCGACCTTGATCCCAAAACGTCGACGCTAGGTTAGCAATGCTGGTTAGCGTCGAGGGATGCTCCGCCCCTAGCACCCTCGTCGAAGTCTCCATCACTTGCACCTCCAGCTCTTCCGCCTCCTTCCATCGACCTTGAT